AGTCGTCTTTTTTAGAGATGAATACAACAAGCCTTGCAAGCTAGTTCTCGGCATCCCCAAGGTCTTTATTCGTCACACAGGTCAAAATATTGCCACGCAAATCGTCGAAGTCTTGAAGATGTTTGGTATTGACCATAAGATCGGCTTTCTTATTCTCGATAACGCTGCCAATATGGATACGGCATCAACCAAGATAGGGCTAGCCCTAGGCTTCGAGGGCAAGAAACGGCGTGGCCGGTGCTTCGGGCATCAATTGAATCTCTCTGCCAAATCCTTATTGTTTGGTACTGATGTTGAAGCATTCGAAACAGAGATCAGCAAGGTCAAATCTCTTTCGGTTGCTGAACACGCGTTGTATCACCGATTAGGCCCTGTTGGCAAGGCTCACAACCTCGTCGTTGATATCTGGCGATCTGACCGCTTGCATTACATCCTTCTTGACGTCCAACGGCAAGATGTCCTCGATTTCACAGTTCCTCACACCAGGGCACTGTGTGTCATCCTCGATAACGACACTAGATGGCTTTCACAGTTATATATGATCCGCCGTCTCATCAAGCTTCGCCCGTATCTCCCTCGAATAATAGCCCAATTTAATCAGGAATGGGAAGACCAACACAGATCCAAGAGGACTGGCCTCGTTAGTGGCAGGGCCATGGCAAGGCGGCCCCGAATCCTCAAAGAAGAGAATCATCTAAATGATCACGATTGGACCGTTCTTGAGCACACTGCCGCTATCCTTACTGACTATGAACACACCGTGAAATTACTCGAAGGGGATGGCATGCAACGCAAGCGGAAAGGATGGACCGGTTCGTATGGTAACATCTGGGATGTTATCTTTGGATTTGAATTCCTTCTTGGCAAGCTTGAGGGTTATAAAATTACTGCTAACAAGCTTCCTGACAGTGAACACTTCGTAGCTAACATCAACCTTAGTTGGATGAAGCTAGACAAATATTATCAGAAGCTCGACGAGACCCCCCTCTATTACACGGCTATAGCCCTTCACCCCCGATTCCGATGGCACTGGTTCGAACAGAAATGGAATGATCGGCCCGAATGGATTCAGAAGGCAAAAGATTTGGTCCAAGAGCTGTGGGATACCGAATACCGTGATCTCGAGATACAGAACACCCTTAATGACAACGAGCCTGCCCAAAAGCGCCGTAAAATCGATCTGAACCCTCTCAAGGAATTCATCCATCAACAAGCAAGCTCGGCCCCGATTTCATCCACTCTGGGAGACGAATACGAGATCTGGCAGTCTCACGAGACTGTGAATAACGCAATATTCGATCCTTTAGCCTACTGGCACGAACGACGTCACCAATACCCTCGTCTTTCACAAATGGCGCTTGACATCCTCACAGTTCAACCGTTGTCTGCCGAATGTGAGAGGGTTTTTTCGGCAGCAGGGCGGATAACGACTAGCCTTCGCGGCGCCCTAGATGCTATGATCATCAGTCTCTGCCAGGTACTGCGTTCGTGGCTACGAGCTGGTGTTATACACGAGTTAGACCCCGTATTGCTGTCACCCGACAAGAAGGATGAAATTAATTACGTCGAAAGGATGTCCTCTGACGAGCTCGCAAAGTGGGCAACTGCGTGGATAGCAGTTAGCGAAAGGACACGTGAAGCAGACGACGAAGAATACTGCTAGCAGTTGAACGAGAGGCTATTACACCCTTTCGGGCAAAGGGACAAATATTACGGCTTTAGCACGAATATGGGGGTGTCAGGGCCATCCCAGATGAGGAGTTCAGCTTTACCACCAAAAATATGTACATCCACCATCAATTACATCCATTTGGGGCTTCAGTGGACCACTATTTCGTGGATTTGGTGTAAATCCTTACATCCACGCGAATCCGTGGCTTCGTGGATGTAATGTAATTGATTTGGGCCCTGGGCTGGCGTGCCATTCACCCACTCACTCTCCGGGGCCCCAAAACACCAGGCACGGTGTTCTAATAGGAGTGAACATGTAGCGGCGGTACGGCAAGCCCTGTGACAGGAGGCGTGCAGTGGCTTTTGAAGCCACTTATGTGCACATACAAGACGTACGTACAAGTGGACTGCTTGCCACGCCTCATCGCCCTAGAGACCACATTTAGACGTTAAAGACTGCAATCAATGAATCAATCAGTCGTTGCAACGATAAAACAAAGGCGCAAAATAAATAGCTCAGGGCGTTCCACTTGAGCGCATTGTTTCCATTGGCGTAGTTCTAGGCGGCCTTTTGAGTTTTGATAGCAAGCCATTTGGTCCAGTGTACTGCAAACTCAATATCAAAAAGGCGTTGGGACAACTGGTCTTTAACTGCCGCAGCGCCCAAGTTGTGTATGCCTCCTGCTAAACTTGCATGTTTCCTTGCCCCTCGTCACCTGCACTTGGTTCAATACTCATCACTTCATCGACCTGTTCCTCGCTGGGATTTCCATCGACCACAGCAAACATTCGAGCCTGCATTCCGTTTTCGTATTTTATCACACTCCCCACTCACGAACAGGGCTCAACAAGGTCAGCATCTGCTTTTCACTAATCTTTGTCCTTACCAGTTCTCCTAACTGGCAAGATAGCGAGCCGGATACCAAGAGCTATGATGGAGCCGAGCAACCGAGACCACCCCATCATCTTCGATGTCCCTGCGGAGTTACTTTTCGCCATCATATGGGACCTACCGTTGAGGATCTGAACAACTGGTCTCTCACCTGCCGGCATTTCACGGAAAAGCTTCGTCCGGACCTCTACAAAGCCGGTCTCACTGAAGTCTGGAGCGGATGTCAGTGACGGGTCCGGCTTCTCGGCCTTACATTACGCTTTGTCAGCTTCGACGGTGGCGTGCCTCCGTGATGCCGGTCTATCGGCCGAAAACATAGAAGCTGGGAACCAAACGACAGTAATCTGGTGGATGGTCCAAAGTGGTGTGGGAACCGACACGATTCGGACTGCCTTGGACATGGGCTTCTCGCTTGACGATCAAGGCACGGGGAGTTCAATGTTGCACGCTTGTGCTCGTCATCGGCTCGACGTAGTGCAGCTGCTCCTTGACAGAGGGTTCCGATGGCAACCAGCACATCGATGGCACTGGACATATGGTCACAGCTGGATCCATGATGGCAGCCTTTCTTTGTGGGGGCCGAGTTCCACGCACCATATTTCCAGGGGACCTGCGTTTGAGGTCCTGTGCATCACAGAGGTCCTCAAGTGCAAGGTGGATGACGTGAAGCCTTCCACGATAACCGAGCTGTTGCAAATGCTCCTAGAGCAGTACACGATTTCCGGCATCAGGGACCACAACCGCGAAATTGAATGGCTCATTCTAGCCACGAACCCTCGAGTACCGGCAGGAGCACGGTCCCTTTTGCTCTGGGGTGTATCAACTCATCAACACCGCCAGATTCCCAAGATTGGCAGCGTTTGGGGATCAGTCACCTTCAAACAGCTCGTGGACAAGGCCGAAGGCCTGATTGGCGAACAGCAGCAGAAGCGAGTCAGTTCCGGCTCAATCGATCTGGACATAATCCTTCATTCTGTCCGGAAAAGCCTGGCGTTCGATGGGTCTTTCGACTGGCCTGTCCTTCAACCCATGATCAAGCATTTGATCCAGGGACTATGCCACGGACACTACATCGAGATAGTATGCGACTTCCGAACCAATCCACGAGCCGTCACCTCACAGAGAAAGATGAGTCTCTTACCCTGGAAATCCTCGAGCTCCTGCTGCACAAGGGAGGCAACCCTAACAGCCCCATTGGCGACGAGTATATTGGAGCTTACCCTGTCACACACTGCGCAAGCATGCTCGCGGCGGGGCGTGTGAAGCTGCTCAGGCAGTACGGCACCTACAATGACCTTTACGCTACAACGGCGGCCATAGACGCGCGGCTGGTCGATTGGCCTGGCGATGAAGACAACGGCCACGACGCCGATGCCCATTACGCCAAACAAGTATACGAGGCGCAAGCCGAGACTATACGCCTACTTGGTCATACGAGCGCGGTAGTTTGCTCAAGTCTACGGCAGTGCCTGAATTGATTCCAGAACATCGATACCGTCTCTCGATCTGCTGGGTTGGGAACACGTATTCTTACGAGCATGACTCGGAAGACCCCGTGGTCGGACAGGCAATTGGGCGAGGCCATTGAGTTGACGGACGATGCGTGGTCGGAGGCAGAGTGGTGTGACCAGCACCAAGGGCCAACCAGGCAAAAACTGGTAGACATGATTAGTGCAATGATGTTATACGCGATTCTGTATCAAATCATACCTATCAGAAGAAGCAAATCATTCTCAGTAGGTTCCCATGCTTTTACGAAAACCAGATCTTCCACCCATACTTAACACATACCTTCCACGAAACAACCACTGACACTACCAGGCGTCGGTGCAGCAACAGCGATCTCCTTCGCCCGCGAAGGCTGCACTCAATCATACTCGCCGACCCCTCGGGACCCGGCCTCGAGAGAATCGCCCGTTCCATCATAACGACGATTCCACACGTCAAGGTCCTGTTCCAAATAACCGACGTCTCGTCCTCCGACTCCATCGAAGCGCTGCTCACCAACATTCTCAAGATCTTCCCACGAATTGACTACGCCGTGCCAGTCGATGGGGAATGAGGAGGTCATGAAGGCGAAGAGTGCTGCGCCGATGAATCGTCCGGGGAGGGCGCAGGAGTTTGCTGGTTGCGTGTTGTTTTTGTGTAGTAGTAATGCTAGGTTTGTGCAGAGGGGTGTGTTGGTTGTTGATGGGGGGTATATTATCAATTAGTATTACCAGCTACCGGCTTGTTCAGTCAAGGTGAGTAGCCTGATGGACTTCTATTATGAGTTAGTTTTTATGGTACTAAGCCCGTGTGGGTGTCTTCCGCCGCTACTCACCTCAACTAAGCGCCTTGTATCACTGAGGACATCGTGTCAACGAGAGGTCGAAGAAGAGATCGTGATATCTGGTATCTGTATTTGGAATGGTATATGTTTATATATGATGATCGTCTATCGTCCAAACTTCTTGCGCTCCCAGTATCTCAGCGGCAAGAAGATGACCAGCGTAATCATCAACGTGAGCTGATTTCCAATATCACCACCGCCGCCAATCGCCGCGGCAGCGACACCAATGTACCACGTTGTGACCATACCTAAGATCCAGCCAACAACACCGACTATGAACGCAGTACCAGCCGCGATACCAATCGGCAATCTGCTCGGATCGTTCCAGCCCTCAAGATCATAGTTGGCGATATTCCTCTTGCGGAACACAATGTGCTCCGTGAACAAAATGACAAAGAAACTGGTATTCCAGTACCCCAACAACGCAAGGAGGTTCTGCAGCACAGCAAGGAGGTGGTCCCTCCCGGCAAGCGCAATGGCGATGACAACGCCGAAGATAACCACGGTCCAGATGAAGCGCGGGATAAGCGACACCGGGCGAGCGAACTGCTGCACACTCAGCGCGGCGCTGTACATGTTAATGCAATTCATGCTGATACCAGCGAGGACGAAGATGACGAGCAGGAACTTCGCAAAGCCGATGGGGTAGATGATCGTCTGCACCAGGAAGCCGATGCCGTCGTTGTCGTAGGTGTCGGCCCAGTCTGGCATGGTGGCGAAGGCGGAGCCGACGCAGCAGCCGAGGACCATGCCGATGCAGGTGGGCACTGTGATACCGAGGGTCGTGAGGGAGAAGACCTTGACTTTCGACGTGTTGACCGGGTAGTGGGCGTAGTAATCGCTGGCGATCGAGGACCAGGACGCCGAGGAGCCGTAGACGATGGCGAGGAGGGAGAGGGCTTGAGCTGAGAGCCCGGCGCCGGACAGGGGCTCGCCGGTGTCTTCCGAGACGGGGGCGGCGGATACGGCATGTGGTGCCGCTTCGCCGTACATGACGAGGAAGAGAACCAGGAATATGAACCACGCGTACTTGTTGAGGGCGAGGATAGCGCGCAGGCCGAAGAAGATGAAGACCAGAGCGCCGACTGCGATGATGACGATACCGAGGACCAGACTGACCCTGCCGTCAGAGACAGCGGACAAGGCCTGTCCACCCGTGATGCAGCCCACCGAGCTCCATCCGATTTGCGAGATGACGTTCAGCGCAGCCACGATCTTCGCGGGGTACCAACCGAAGCTGTAACGGGAGATAGAGACCTGGCGAAGACCCGTTGCTGGGCCCATAGTCGCGCAGAAACCGGAGACGGCAGCACCGAGAAGGGTACCGAAGATGGTGATAGCGATGCTCGAACCGAGATCGAGGCCGAACTCGGGACCAAGGAAGCCTGTCGCAAAGCAGGACAGCTGCATAACCCCAGAAGCCCAAAGAAGGGCCATGTTGGCCTCTTCGTGCCATTTCACTGGCCTCTTCTCTTCTGGCGTGACTCTGACAATGGCCTGGCTCTCGACGCCGATTTTCTTGTCCAGCGAGTCTTCGAAGTTGCGCAGACGGCGGAGGAATTTGTTGTCGTATTTCAATGCCGCGGCATTGTGTTCTGCGACGCTGCCATTGGGGCTCGCGTCGGCTGGCGAGACGGAGCTGGAGTGGGCTTGTTTCTCCTCGTCGAACGTCATCGTGAGGGATTGCTCGTCAGCGGCTTATTCTGACAGTAAGAATAGTTGCGATAGCTGAGAACAATCGTTAAAACATGGCGAAGGATAGGCTTATAAGACGCATTTCTACAAGATCAGGGCTGCAGGGTAGCATTGTAGGGCATCGAAACTGCAACGCTGCTATCTCGAATTCGGCAGCTCGTGTGACCCATCGAGTCCAGCCCTGAGCCAGGCGGCCGGTACCGCGGTTCGCTTTTTTTGATCGAGAATCGCTATAATGTGTGGGTTATCTTTTTCATGTTATCAGAAGCTCCGATTGGTGGCCCGGGGAGAGTTTCCGCTGTTGGACTAGCGTTCGGTCAAGACCGTGACCCTTATCAGCAACTTTTATAAACCGATACTCGTTGGTCCGTGTGCGGTGCCCTTCAGGCGAAAGTATTCCATGTTCTCTGAGTTGGGGATGTTCTCAGGCTCATTTTGCTCGATGCGCCTGCCTCTGTATGCCGACGAGAATTTGTCGTCCCTGCCGACTTGTTGATCTAGCTGGGTCTTGTTGTCTTCTTCGTCGTGTCGATCATCTGTGGGCTCCGGCTGACGCTGGGTATCGACGTCGTCCGGGCGTAAGTTCAGGGAATGCTTAGCTGGATGAACTCGCGGTCACCATCCTGGCGTACGAGTGCGTCCCAGACTGGCCTCACGAAGTCGCTGGGGAACGTGAGGTCGTATACCAGCCAGCCAGGGACGCCGTCTCGAGGTCGATCTCCTTGCTTGGCCTTGCTCGATGAGCCTCCCAGCCGGGTGGGATGGAGATGCTCCATGGTTCTACTTCCTGTCAGTGCTGAAGCTACTGGTATCTACTCAGAGCTTGTGGATGGGGATGCGAGGAAGTCGTGACCACTCCGATGTTGGCCTGCGTACTTTGGACAGCGATAAAGTGGCCGTGACGTTGCGAGAAGTTCAAAGCGGCGAGTGCCACAAGAACTTGATGGTTGAGCAGCTACGATTCAAATGCACACCTAGGCGGTTTCATGGGGCTTCTGACCGCGGTAGGAATTGTTGTCGCATGTGCGAGCAGTGAATTTCGGATGCGGGAGCTTGGTGGCCGTGGCATCTCAAGAAATCTCGGATAGCTTCTCCATTGAAGACTATCCACCAGAAACTCGGAGACAACTAGTCAAATATCACTTTGACGAGTACATCTTACAAGTCCGATGTCAAATTCGTCTAACTCATGTTATTGGCACGCGGGAATATATGTACCTACTGGCGAAGTATCATCGCGCCGTCCTACGACTGTCACCGTCGCTATGAGAGACCGGATACAATGCGTACTGGAGTGGTCGAGCTATTCGGAAAAGAATCAGAGACGAGTACTCATGTACAGGGATGCGCCATCTCATCTAACAAGATCATGAGCTGAATCATCGCCAACTTGTTGCCATGTAGGTAGCGATGTCGACTCACTACCCGAAAGGCCGTCAAACACTGACCAATCTAAACGTCACCAAGCCAGATATCTTCTGCAACTGGGCAAGCCGCACAGCGAAGCACTGCGGTCTAGCAGTATCGCACTAGTACCTCGTGGTGTAATATCTCTGCTTCCAGTAGCATAGCAGTGTGGGAGACACGTCGGTGTGTTCTGGGTCCGGCGTTTGCCTTGGTATTGAGGACGCCCAGTCATAGTAATCTCTTGCCATGGAATAATTACTAGGCTTAAGTAGGCCATGAGTACGCCCATAGACACCACAGGTGAAGATTTCCTTTCCTGATTGTGTTACTGCCGGTGTATACGATCAACCCAACAGCGTCAGAGGAGGCATCAGAGGAGGCGACAGAAATGCATCTAGTAACTCGAATCCCTTGCAATTTATAAGTCTATGTAGCCCAATCGATCTCCGTTATGTTTTCAGTTGATAATATGTAATTATGGATTGTCCAGCTGTGTTTCTTGATCGCCTTACCTCCATCTCACCCACTAGTTAGACACATGGCCGTGTGGCCGTTCCGGGTGATGCGCCTGGGTTTCTGAAGAATATTACATATCCGTTCACTTGGTGACGATCTCAAGTCATTACTTTTACGCCTTCAAATATTTACCCGTCGTCCAGGCACCAATGTTGTTGGACCTTGACCAACGCACTCACACATCTTTCACCCCGATCCACGTCCATGTGTAAGACCTCGACGAGCATGAATCTTTTTAGAATTGGGGTCCGCAGTCTCAAGTCTCGATAAGTGCCTCGACTTGGTTCAAGGCTGGTCAGTTCCTAGAGATCTGGTGTCAAACAGAGCGTGGGGGCACTTAGATGGGTGAAAACGTATATTCTGCTGTAATCCGTGTTCTTGTTGTATCTCTGTGAAAATCCTTCTGTGGGCTAAGTGGCCCAAAAATGCCCTATTGGCCTTGTCGGTGCACTGCCACCTCCCTGAACGCCACGGTGGCTTGCGCGCCATTCAACATCTGGGACTCCGCCAGCACAGTATCATCTCGTCTCGTTTCGCGGCCGCACACGACCTTCTGTAACAAGCGCTCTCGATGCTTTTGGAATTGCCCACACAGTGAATTGTTTCGAGATTATGAATAATGTCGCCAACCAGGCATCTTCCATTATACATCTGCTTCTGGCCCTGGGCCATTTAACCAGCCAATAACGAGTGCTACTGGAACCGGCCGAGATCTTGCGGCAATGGAGCCGCGATTCAACGAGGTAACGGCGGGGCCATATAAATGGGACACCCCCATATGTGTTGAATGGGAGCCGGAAATAGACACCGGAAGATCTCCAGTGGGTCAGAGACGCACAGGGCATCTGACCCACCAAGAGGACAGATGATTAATCTCTGTACGCTGAAGATGCAGAGCAGAACAAGAACAAGAGAACACACTTGACAACCTGAATAACCTGAACTCGCTTGCATCTGACAATATGTGGGACAGTTTTCACAGCCAACATCACTATGTTCACTCATACATATCTCCACAGCTAATGAAGCCCTAGATACCGTAGGTACAGCGTCTGAATCATCTTTTCTTGGTATTTTCTATGATCCAGGTTTGATTAGGTCCATCGCGACGGGATGGGCCGCGGTAGGGGTCGGAAGTTAGCACTTCCGGGCCTATTTGAGGGGTAATGGGACCCGTGCCCCCTATCCCCTCTAATGTAGCAGAAGCTCTGCGTTCCTTTTTTCCCTTTTTTTCTGTAAGCGTCTGAGGCTTCAGTATATCGAAATGCCCCCTTTCTACACTCCAAAAGACTTCGTAGAGGCGATAGCCGCTATGAACAACGATGATCTATCCCTCCATAAGGCCGCCCAACGCTATGGAGTACCGAAATCAACCCTCTCTCGCAAGGTTAAAGACACCGCGATGACGCAGACACAGACCAATCGCGAGGGCGCTTGTAATAGACAGAAGATCAGCCCTGAGCAGAAAAAAAAAGGTTATTTCATGGATTCTATATCAAGAGAAGGCCGGCCACGCGCCAACTCACGGCAATTTAAGGTACATCATCAAGAAGATCCTACAATCCGAGGGAAACCGGATCATCTTGAGAACAAATACACACAAAACTTCATCCGCAGGCACCCGGAGATCAAGACCAAGATGGGACGAAAGCTTGACTACAAGCGTATCAATGCTGCCACGCCCGAGAACGTCAATGGCTTCCATGACCGTTACAAGGATTTTGGCTTCATCAAACCCGGAAACCAGGCAAATGTCGATAAGTACGGCATTATGCAGGGTCATCAGTATGTGAATTGTCTAATCCAAGTGATTTTTAGACGGCTGACTGAGAGATCAGGTCTGATGGCCTTGTAATAGGCAGTTCTGGCTCAAAAAGGGCCAATGTTAAGTCCAATGACGACCGCACGTGAACTACTGTGGTAGAATCGATCACCTTTACTAAGAAAAAGCTCCGGCCATTGGTTATTTTTAAGGCAAAGTCAATCCAAACACAATAATTCAAAGAGCAGCTCATCAAGGAGCATCCCGCGATGGCAGACTGGATAGTAACGTACTCCATCAACGGCTGGACCTCGAATGAGATTGCGCTGCATTGGCTGGAGAAGGCAAGTTTTTTCTGAGTTACTAGCTATAAATATATGCTAATTAGCCTCAAGGTATATTTATCTGATACTGTTCCCAAAGATCCTGATGATTTTTGCCTATTAATGCTTGACGGCCATGGCAGCCACTGCTCGGACGAGTTTATGTATCTTTGTTACATAAATAACGTGTATATAAGCTTTTTTCCTGCCCATACGGTAGGTTACATGATCAACTAATAGTTATTCCGTTAATAGGGGCAGTCTTACATCTTCCAGTTGCTAGATTTGACCGTTTTCTCGGTTATCAAAGCCGTCTACCGCCGCCTGATCGCCCAGCTTAGCCAGCTCAATAATTCGGCCCCTATTGGGAAGATTAAGTTCCTTTCTTGCCTAGTGAAAGCTCGCGATGAAGCTATGCCAGCTTCTGTGCGTTTGGGATGGCGTATTGCTGGACTTTGGCCAGTAAATAGGCAAAAAATGCTGGCGAATGAGCATGTGGTAAAGGCAAGGGAGATTCAAGTAGCAGCATTAGCTATAATGAACCCCCAGAGCACCCCGGAAGCACTGGAAGCCCCTAAATCAGGGCAAGATATAGCCCAGATGCTATCACAAATTGTTGAGACCCCTAAACAGCAAGTAGCAGTCCACTTGGTTACGAAGTCCTACGATGAGATAGTGGTTAAGCTAACGCTTGCAAGGGAACTGCTGGAGGCAAAAGACGATAAAATCGAGCGTCTATAGCCAAAGAAGCGCCATAAGGCACCCCAAGAAGAGCCTGATCAATGACTTTGGAGAATTAGGGACATTATTCAGGAGCAAATTGAGCATACAGAGGCCGCACGAGCTACCATTAAGCAGTGGGAAGAGCGATAACGAGTTGTACGTGAATTACAGAACCTGAATACTGACGAATCAGAGAGATCAATATCTGAACCCTCTCTAGAGTCAGATTCAAAAGAACCAGAGGAATTGGGGCCCTCTGAGGATGAAGGGGTGGCTATTGACAAAGGGGGTGATGGCACGGATGAGGAGTCCGACGAGCCCATTGTGGTGTGATCTTTACGCCGCGCAATCCGCCAGCCTGCGCGCTACCACTAGAATAAATAATATTGCTGAAAACTCCAAGAAAATCCAATCCAAACGCATTATATAGATTATCTAGAGCTTCAATTCTGATTGAGTTATCGGTGGGTGGAAGTGTAGCCTTTTAGTGTGAAAGCTGTCCCACATATGGGGGTGTCCCATTTATATGGCCCCGCCGTTAACATTGGTTCGAACTATCCGTATCGACGAGAGAATCCCAGTCAACAAGAAGATATATTACGCACCGCCTTTGAGACACAAACAGAGCGGTTACAACATCATCAATGCTGATGACCTCAGCGAGCCTGTTTCGCCGACGCCGCTAACATCTCCCACCCCCCTGCGGACCACCCCTCCGCGGACCAGCGCGTTCTGACCCACAAACGCGTAATTCACCAACCACCAGGATTATGGTGATCCACCATCTACACCATCACTTTTGCATCTTTTTTTTCACAAAGCACACTATTTGAATCCTTATCCACTGCTGAATCTTATGATGTCATTTTACGACCGTCAAATAAAAGCTGAAGCCGCCATTTTGGCCATCTAACACGGAGCTCCAGTCCGCTCGTCAGCCCTCAAATGACAAATCAGTCGCTCGTACGTCAACCGACGAATCTCTGGCACCCCAACGCGGAATGAGACCAGCGCTCTCCAACAGGCTCTCTCACCGTATCTCGAATATAAGCTGGCAAGCTGGGCCCTGGGGCAAGCACGGCTAGGGTATTCTCCGGCGGTCTCTAAGTTCCGTTTCATGGCCCAGCGGATGCTCCATGCCACCGGGGATGCTCGAGAATTAGGGGAAAATTGGGCATCCAAGTTCCTGTCTCGAAACCCAGAAGTCAAGATAATGAAGTCTCGTGTTATCGACTATAACCGAATGAATGGTACTACAGCGGCAAATATCAACATTTTTTTCGATCGGTGTGACGCCCCTGACATGGTTAACCTCATGCCAGCACGCTGGTACAACGTCGACAAAATGGGAATCGCCCAGGGGGTTGGGGACTCCCATTGGGTGGTCTCCGAGGCCTCCGGCAACGTGGCTATGAAGAAAGGGGTCGAGAAGGGTGAATGGATAACTGCCCTAGAGTGTGTGAGCGGATCTGGTGAGACCTTGCCGCTGCTGGTGATTCTCAAGGGGGTTAACGTACAAGCCCAGTGATTTAGCAACCAAAATAAGGGCAAATTCACTGACTGGAGGTTTATTACGTCGCCCAATAGATGGACCTCGAATCCCATTGTGTTAGAATGGCTTCAACGTATCTTTATTCCTCACATTCGGGAGGTCCATGGCAACACATGGGTGGTTTTGGTGTGTGATGGCCACGACTCCCACACGAATGACGAGTTCCTAGCCACCTGCTTAAGAAACAAAGTATGGTTGATCTTTTATGAACCTCACTGCTCCCATGTAGTCCAGATGTTAGATATGGGAGTCTTCAATTTGGTAAAGAAGAGGTTAAAGACCTTACTCCAGGAGACGCTCAGCGGCCATCTGGGACTCAGGCCATCTAAGGAGGAGGTTTTGGAGTGCTATGAGCAGACCCGGAAGGACATAATGACGCTCCTTAACATCAGAATTGCCTGGAAAAAGACTAGGATTGTTCCTCGCAACAGAGCAGAGACGTTGAAGTCGAAATATGTGATTCTGGAGGACAAGGGGGTGGCCAGGGCACGCCAGAGGGACCCTAAGGCTTCCGAACGAGCCACAACACCAGATTTTCTCGAGATAGTAGCTAAAACCATTGTCACAACACCCTCTGGAAGCCGGGCTTTGCGGGAAAGTGCTCAAAAGCTCGAAAAAAAGGACCCTTCCTTTGGGGGGCCTTCTGAGCGCTTATTGGTGCGAAAGGCTGGCAAGGCTATGGATATTCAGGCTGCTACCATTATAAATCTACGGGCCAAATGTGAGCTGCTTGAGGCTCAAGTGGCTAAAAAGGCTAATACTACTCGAAAAGCAGTCAAACCAACACCAGGGGAACGATTCGTCACAATGGCTAACATAAGGGAGGCCAAAATGGAGCTGAGGAACAGGAGGGTCTATAAGGACTCCACTGCAGGCGAAGAGGTCCCACAAGAGGTCCCTGGTGAAGATTTAGGATCGGAATCGGATTCTGGGAGCTGTATTATGGTTAGAACACCACGACCTTAGTGTATTTAGCAACTGTGGTGGTTGTAGATGGCTTCATCTGAATGAGAGTGGTGTGGTGTGGAGTGGTCCGTGGGGGGGTGGTCCGCAGGGGGGGGTGAGATGTTACAGCGCGCAAAGCGTTACATATCTACCGATGGCAGACGGCAGGACACGGCTCACCAGTATCTCCATCCACAACTCCAAGACGGTCGACATCCTAGCCTTCACGTTCCCGTTGAATCGCAGCTCATCCGAGTCCTTTTCGAAGGCAAGAAAGCATCCGGGGTCATGTATCAGCCCAGAGAGGGGCGGGCCCGAACGGTCAATGCTAGGAAGACGATGGTACTCCGCCTGTGCTGGAGAGATCTGGGATCGGCAATCCAGAGGTTCTCAAACGAGCCGGGATCGTGCCCGTCTCTGAAGTCCCTGGTGTCAGGGAGGGCTACGAAGATCACCACTCTGTCGGTCGCATTCAGATCGAACCTTGAACCGGATGGAACATTTGACGGTCTAATGGATGGAACTTGGGCCGTCCCCTCTATGCTTCAAGTAGGAGACAGTAAGCTTGGCTGGAAATGTCTCGATGTCAGCTGCAAACTTCGCCCAAGCCAGTCCAATATCGCTACCCTTGGGGCTGACTTCCAAAGTATTTAGAACGAGAGCTTCCAAGAGGACCCATGTTGGCCTTTAGCATCTATCCACTTTCACGAGGTTCGATACATGTCCCAGGGAGTGGGCTGAGCGACCCAGTTGACGATCTTCGGGCACGAGGTTGCGGCCCCAATCGGCTTCGCGCCCATCGGCATCAACCGCATCTGCCGGCCGTATGGCGCAATGGTCAAATGCGCTTGGTTGTGTTCTCGTTTGTGCGGTGGGCGACGAGAACAAGTGGGTTCGAATCCTGTTACGGCCCCCTTCTGATCCGGCTTATGCGAGTCGATAGCCAGCACACGACAATAAAGAGGCCCCATTATTGCAGAGCCCGATAGCCAAGCAGCTTGTCTCCATCACACCCATTCCTGCGAGGTATTTCCCCTTGTGGTTTCCCTCGCTAGCAGATAACAAACACCGGTTTCATCCACCAATGTGACATATATAGAACGGCTACTGGAACGATGTGTATACCAGAGGACTGAGGTCCACTGGGTTGCTTTGTCACTGGACAGGAGGTTTTTCTGACAGAATCGTGCTTGGGTATTGACTAAAAACCATCTGGACACTCCAGGTTGGTACCGCTACAGCGAGGGTGGGCTCGTGCACGGATCTGAATGTATCTAGATTGATACCTCTACAACCTTGCGATGCAATGGCTCTGGGAGGCGTGGTTTGCCCTGTTGAGGGACTGCACCCACGATAAATAAAATCATCATCATCATCATCATCATCATCATCATCAACCGCATCTGCCACCCCACGTAGCCGCGGCCAACGATGCGCTTGCCGGGACCGGTGCTGGTGCGGGCAAAGACAGCGAGAAAGGAAAAGGTACGGGCTCAGGTACAGGCGTCCGCTTCTACCAGCTCTACTGGTCACCCGACGACAACAGTGACCCTCAGCATGCTAACCCGCGCCGCGACATCAGGCTACACGGTATTTCCAGGTATCAGCCGCACCGTCGTACCCTAATCATCTATGCAGTATCATGGGGCGAAGTGTGGAGATGGCTTCTCAGCTTACAGCACGACATTGCCGTTTGCCAGATCTGGTTGGTCGGGAGTCCTGCCGTTCTCAATCGAAGTGTCGGTCCTTACTTCAAATCGCTGGCACTTCCTAACTTTTTTAGAAAGGAAACAAAAGTACGGTATTCAATATTATGACTACCTGTTGGATCCATATGATTCCACAGTCAAACCATCCATACAGAACCCACATGTATGATTAGATAAGAGATTAGATACCGGATTGTGAGGTCACTTAGCCAGACCTGCAGGTCCAGCTAGACTTCCCAATCCAACCATCAGCAACATCATAACGTTGACCCAATACTCGAGTATCATGATTGATCGTTCAAGCCTGTTCCCACACTACCATTACGACGTCGCACATATCATTCTATACTATCTTTGAATAGCTTTTAGTCGTGGCTTTTTAAAGATAATAATAAGTGATATATACGATGTCGTAGTGGTAATTATAACATCGAATATTGTACTTTTCTCTTTTATCAACTGGATTGATTTTGATTGCTGAGGCATAAAAGGGTAATAAAGAGGTAAAATAACGGTTTTTGTCAGATGTTGGATCCAAGATATGGTGCCCTTAGGTGCAGTACCCACTAGGGGGCTGTCAAGGGAACAGTGGATCCATCCTGGCATAGTGCAGTATGGTATTTAGCTGTAGATTAGCCCTGCCGAGCATACTTGAGAATGACAACAACATTTGCAGCGACCGCTCACACCCCCAAGGCTTGTGACCCTTCTAGAATCTCACAGTTTTAAAAATAATAAAGGAAATAATGAATAACTTTACAAATTGAAATCATAAAAAGAAAAGAAAACATACATTGCAAGCGTATTTCAAATAGATTATTTATAAAAGCTATGTAAAAAATAGCCCTTAATTAAAACTAGTTGAAGTTATTATTAAAAATATAAAAATGTATAACTATGTTAAAAACAATATATTTAAAATGCTTAATATAATTTTATAGCTATTTTTAACATAATCCTTATATGAAAATTTATATCTTATATATGTCAACCTTTTTAATAACTCTTTAATTGGTTATAATACGGCTTGTTTTATTTAAAAGTTCGTTTTTAAAAAAGTTAGGAGGTGCCAGCCATTTGAAGTGGGGACCGACACTTCGATTGAGAACGACAGTCCGGGAGTACGGGAGTTCAGCCGCACCGTCTCCAGAGTCGCAACATCACCTAGCGCAGCCTACCTATTGAGAGGCGATGAGAGGTACTGCGCCCCGATAGTAGTCGAGAAATCCCTTTCTTCTGCAAATTTGGCGGATAGAGGTACCCGCCCAGGAACTCCGGGCATAGGGCCGCGCTGGTTATGTTCAACAGGGGCCCAGATATCACAATGTCAGACCAGCTGAGTATAAGTATCTCCTTCAGCCCGGGTCTTGGCTGTCCACCTGTCATTACACAAGTCGTAACGACAAGCGTGTCAAGTCGCATCAACTCCTCCTACAGACTCCTCCTGCCCTGTTCCACCCCACCGCAAGCATGCACGCTCTCAGGGCCTGCCTCCTCTCAGGTCTATGCATAGCCGCGGCCTCGGCGAAATACCTCGTGAGCTACAACGCCAGCGCCGGCGACGACCCAAGCGTCCTCGGGCAGCTCAACCTCGGCGGCCGGGAACGCGCCGACTGGCCCAGCGGGCAGGGCCAGAACAGCTCCGTCTACTTCAAGACGGCGACGGACCCGGACGGCGTCCAAGCCGCGCACGTCCACAAGAACACGGACTTCACGCGCGCCGAGTACCACATGCTGAAGGACGAGATCGCCGCCGATACGACGTATTACATCGGGTACAAGGTCCGCTATGACTCGGTGGATTATCAGACGTTCGTGTGGCAGTGGAAGAACTACGACTCGGCGACTGTGGGTGTTGATAATGTGCCTGCGGTCTTGACGTTTGCGAAGGATGCTGATGATTCGAACTATCATACCATGTGAGTCTTTCCCCATTCACTCTCCTGACTCCACCTTATGTGTATGGACCAAAAATACAACAACACCAAAGCTGACCCGGGTGCCTCACCCAGCACCCTGAAGGCCAACCCCAGCGCCAAAGACGGCGGCGCCACCGTCGTCTGGTCCAAGGCGCTCACCATGGGCCGGACATACGCCTTCGGGCTCGTCGTCAACACATCGCAGACCGGCGGCTTCCTGCAGCTGTACTTCGACGGCGCGCTCGCGACGCTGACGGACGCGTCCGGGACCAAGACGCAGAAGCTCGCGGGCAACTTCTTCCCCGGCGGGAGCGGGGCGAGCTCGAGCCCCAAGGTTGGGTTGTACGGTAATGGGGTGGGCAATAAGGGCGCGGAGACTTGCGATTCGTATATTTACAATGTTATTGTTGGGACTACATTGGCTAATATTAAGGATATTCCTGGGGTGGTTGATGGGTGAGAGGTGATGGGTGAGAGGTGATGGGTGAGAGATGATGGTGAGAGGTGATGGGTGAGAGATGATGGTGAGAGGTGATGGGTGAGAGATGATGGGTGAGAGATGATGGTTAGGGGGGAGCTGGAACAAGGGGAGGATTATCTTGTTTATCACAATAGGTGAAGTGGGTAGTACATTATGGGTTCACAATAGCTACCCCGTTGAAAATAGTCAATACCAGGAGAAACTCATGATCGCTCGTCGATTACTCCGGCAGCACTGATGTTTACTTGTAGTCTTCCTCCCAGGAGCCCAGGAGTCACCGGTCCTCCCAGTAGTTAGTCGACCACATCTACCACCGCCTGGCCTTCCCAAGTGCCCTCTCCGAGCCATCAAGCCGGTCAGCACTGTACTCCCAACACCGACACCAAACCCACACTAGCCGACCAAAGTCGCAGTCGCAGTCGCCGGACATACCAGTAAACGAGGTTCCAGAAAGCGGGGGCGGAAGAATGACTGAGTATGATAAGTAAGGGGGGCGGAACCTCGCGCAGGGCCGACTGCAATGCATGGGAGTGCCAACAGCCAACAGCCAACAGCTCAGATACTGCCTGCATGATAGGCATATAACCACGTTCCTTAGTTCAAACCCCGACTTCATCTGCCTTCTCCAATACATATCCAGACAACAACGCATACACGGACATGGATTGTATCGGTAATGCTGTTGTTACGGGTGGAGGTAAGCCTTTCTGCAGCCCTGCTCATATTGTTGGCGTTTCCTATACTGTAGCATAATAGCTGACACCATCAAGGAAGTGGTATCGGCAAGGCGTGTAGCCTAGCCTTTGCGAAGAACGGTGCTCAAGAGCTTCTGGTTGCCGACCTTAATGTCGAAGCAGACAAGAAGACTGTGACTGAAGCAACCGCTGTCGCTACCAACCCCAACTTCATTGCTGAGGCCTTTGAGCTTGATGTCACTCTCGAGGAGTCGGTAGAAGCTGCCGTTGGATATGCGACGACGTTCCTGGGCCGCATTGATTATTGCGTCCATTCTGCGGGGGTGAGTCTCTGATTATGGTAGACACTGAGGTTGATTTGCATCTAACACGTCCGATTCATCAAGGTACCAGGAGGAACATTCGATCCTATCGCAGAGACCAGTTTCGCCGACTTCAAGCGACTGCTCGAGGTCAACGTTCAGGGAACCTTTCTGGTGACCCGTCTTGTATCAGCAGCGATGAAGTCCCAGGGCCCCAAACAAGTCGATGTCAGCAACCCCAAGCGTAGCGTCAGCCGGGGCACGATTGTCATCATGGCTTCGGTGTCGTATGTCATTTCCGTGCCCAGCATGGTGCAGTATACGACTTCGAAGCATTGCTATCCTCGGAAGCACAAAGACTGCAGGTACGTAAACGCATTCCTGACCATCGAAACACGTACAGGCTCATCAGCTTTGATCCTGCAGCTATCGACAATGTCCCCAACAACATCCGCGTGAACTGTGTCTGCCCTTCTTGGACGGATACACCCATGACTCAAACCGCGATGGAGTTGTCCCAGGGCTCGAACAGACAATGCTGGCTGGAGTTCTGATGGGTCGCTTGGCAGAGCCGGATGAGGTCGCCGATTCGGTCCCTCTTCCTGTGTGGCCCAAAGTCCAGCTTCATGACTGGTGTAAGCTTGATCGTTGACGGGGGCATGAGCCTAGCAAGTAAGACATAGGGACATCAGCATGAATCCTGCCGCCTGCTTTGGATTGGCTACCGATTAGGTCCTGAAATGTTAGTTTGAGCGCTTGTGTTACCTGGAATATGCTTTCCCGCATAATGCGATGAGACAAGCCATGATGCAGTGATTGCCTCCCATGATGGCATATTGCCCGGGGTCTGAAGTCTGTCTTCTAGGCGAGTCGGCCAGGAACGTTTGCCAGAGTGTAACATCTCACCCCCCCCTGCGGACCACCCCCCCACGGACCACTCCACACCACACCACTCTCATTCAGATGAAGCCATCTACAACCACCACAGTTGCTAAATACACTAAGGTCGTGGTGTTCTAACCATAATACAGCTCCCAGAATCCGATTCCGACCCTAAATCTTCACCAGGGACCTCTTGTGGGACCTCTTCGCCTGCAGTGGAGTCCTTATAGACCCTCCTGTTCCTTAGCTCCATTTTGGCCTCCCTTATGTTAGCCATTGTGACGAATCGTTCCCCTGGTGTTGGTTTGACTGCTTTTCGAGTAGTATTAGCCTTTTTAGCCACTTGAGCCTCAAGCAGCTCACATTTGGCCCGTAGATTTATAATGGTAGCAGCCTGAATATCCATAGCCTTGCCAGCCTTTCGCACCAATAAGCGCTCAGAAGGCCCCCCAAAGGAAGGGTCCTTTCTTTCGAGCTTTTGAGCACTTTCCCGCAAAGCCCGGCTTCCAGAGGGTGTTGTGACAATGGTTTTAGCTACTATCTCGAGAAAATCTGGTGTTGTGGCTCGTTCGGAAGCCTTAGGGTCCCTCTGGCGTGCCCTGGCCACCCCCTTGTCCTCCAGAATCACATATTTCGACTTCAACGTCTCTGCTCTGTTGCGAGGAACAATCCTAGTCTTTTTCCAGGCAATTCTGATGTTAAGGAGCGTCATTATGTCCTTCCGGGTCTGCTCATAGCACTCCAAAACCTCCTCCTTAGATGGCCTGAGTCCCAGATGGCCGCTGAGCGTCTCCTGGAGTAAGGTCTTTAACCTCTTCTTTACCAAATTGAAGACTCCCATATCTAACATCTGGACTACATGGGAACAGTGAGGTTCATAAAAGATCAACCATACTTTGTTTCTTAAGCAGGTGGCTAGGAACTCGTCATTCGTGTGGGAGTCGTGGCCATCACACACCAAAACCACCCATGTGTTGCCATGGACCTCCCGAATGTGAGGAATAAAGATACGTTGAAGCCATTCTAACACAATGGGATTCGAGGTCCATCTATTGGGCGACGTAATAAACCTCCAGTCAGTGAATTTGCCCTTATTTTGGTTGCTAAATCACTGGGCTTGTACGTTAACCCCCTTGAGAATCACCAGCAGCGGCAAGGTCTCACCAGATCCGCTCACACACTCTAGGGCAGTTATCCATTCACCCTTCTCGACCCCTTTCTTCATAGCCACGTTGCCGGAGGCCTCGGAGACCACCCAATGGGAGTCCCCAACCCCCTGGGCGATTCCCATTTTGTCGACGTTGTACCAGCGTGCTGGCATGAGGTTAACCATGTCAGGGGCGTCACACCGATCGAAAAAAATGTTGATATTTGCCGCTGTAGTACCATTCATTCGGTTATAGTCGATAACACGAGACTTCATTATCTTGACTTCTGGGTTTCGAGACAGGAACTTGGATGCCCAATTTTCCCCTAATTCTCGAGCATCCCCGGTGGCATGGAGCATCCGCTGGGCCATGAAACGGAACTTAGAGACCGCCGGAGAATACCCTAGCCGTGCTTGCCCCAGGGCCCAGCTTGCCAGCTTATATTCGAGATACGGTGAGAGAGCCTGTTGGAGAGCGCTGGTCTCATTCCGCGTTGGGGTGCCAGAGATTCGTCGGTTGACGTACGAGCGACTGATTTGCCATTTGAGGGCTGACGAGCGGACTGGAGCTCCGTGTTGGATGGCCAAAATGGCGGCTTCAGCTTTTATTTGACGGTCGTAAAATGACATCATGAGATTCAGCAGTGGATAAGGATTCAAATAGTGTGCTTTGTGAAAAAAAAGATGCAAAAGTGATGGTGTAGATGGTGGATCACCATAATCCTGGTGGTTGGTGAATTACGCGTTTGTGGGTCAGAACGCGCTGGTCCGCGGGGGGGTGGTCCGCAGGGGGGTGGGAGATGTTACCCCGTTGTTTGATACCAGATCGCTCAGACCCTCATACTCTTTCCACCCAAGTTTTTCACCAGACGACACGAAGGCGTCTTCTAATCGGGTTGAAGTGCACGTCCCCCGGGTGATATGAATGGGGCCATCGCGACCATGAGTATTTCTGGGATCCTTCCCATGGTACGTTTCAGTCTGTGGAAGAGTCAGATATTGTACGAATTATATACTGATCTGCTCCATATAGAGGGGGTGAACGACCTTCTTCATGTATGGAAGTAACTCCTCGGCAGACCAGCCAGGTGTGTGCCAGGAATCGTAATCAGATTGCTGTGCTCGATTGTACATAGAGTCTGCACAGCGGGAACGCGCAGGCTGAAACGGACAATGTTTGTGCTCCACGTCCTGACTCTCGAGCTTTGAATGGCAAAGTGCGAGCGCTGTAAGTGGTATTGTGCCAGCGAGTTCTTCGTCTGTAATCGCTGCAGTTTCTCCAGGTCAAAGGGATATCTCGAACATGGCTCGTTATGTCTTCACACGAGAGACCACAATATAAATCAACCCAGAGCTGAACTCCTTGTGGATATGTCCATGCTGGCCTCGTCACAAGTCAGTGAGTTATGCACAGCTGAAAGGAGGGCGAACGCGACTTGTCCCATGTGTGTTGGTGCACGTGCTATGACAGCGAGAATGACAAGGGACCATGCAGTGAGTTGGAGGCTTCCAATGGCACCATCGAGAAGATCTAACAGAGCCTTCCGAGGCACCAAAACCAGGTCATCATTGTTCTCGAGACCCTTTGTTATCGAGGGTTGTGACTCGGTGCGGAGTCGAAAAGAGTATGCATCGCCACTGCACAAGCGCGAAGCCTTTTATCGTCACCAGATCACCCCGCGCATGCTCGTCGACACCAACAGCTGTGACACCGCAACCCCGGATTTTTCTCCCATGCAGAATGTTTCGACGTCCAAACGTGTAGGTGGGCGTACAAGAAGCAACGCGAACTTGCACGTCGCATGAGCACGTACCGGGGAGAGGCGACCCCTACCCATCTACCCTTCCCAGAGGATTCAGACACCAGGTGCATTGAGACCGACAGGCCCCTTGCCTCAGACATGCCAGACATCAAATACACTGCCGAGGACGACGCTATCATTGACCAGTGGGTGCGTGAGAACGTCGCCTCTACTTGGCATTCCCTGGGAACCTGCAAAATGTTGCCTCTAGAGTGGAAAGGCGTGGTTGCCGCGAACATGAACGTCCACGGTGTCACTGGGGTCAAGGTTGCTGATCTTAGCATCTGCCCTGCAAACCTTGCTGCACATACCAGCCACACGGCCATGATCATCGGTGAGAAGGCTGCAGATATTCTGATTAAGGAGTTGGGTTTGGTCCTCTGAGGGTTACTGTGGTACTCAGACTCTCATGGGGGAGTTATGGCGGTATATCATCTTGTCTGGACCATCACGCACCGAGGATGAGGATGTCACTTCGATGCAGTATGTAATACGGAGCTAGCTGCTCATGCGCAATGGCTCATCATGTCATACAAGGCATTGGAATTAGAATCAGACTGGAAGATACAGAGATAAGTACCTGGTAATAGAGATATTGAGGGTTGTGCCTCTTCGAGAGATGGCGTCTCTCTAGTTGGATGCTCGACCCAACGGTACCCAACCAGCCATAATTGGGCCATGCAACTCTAAGTACTGCGTGGAGCTCTTTAAGATATACAGTGCCATCCCTTTGTTGTTCCACCCCTATTTCAGCCTCTGGCTTCAGCCTTACTGTAGTGATTTCCAAGAGAGCCAGACCTGAAGCGCGCCCTCCAAGCTCTGCACCAGCCCAAAGAAAATAGTAACAAAAAAACGAGTATAGCAATCCAGAACGTGTACCATTGAACCCCGTTGCGGCGATCGTACCACCACTGAGATAGGTTCTGTGGTCTCGATTCGTCGAGTGCCTGCTTCAAAATGACCAGTCGATTATGCCAGAAGTTGAAGCTCTCGTATCTCCTCTCATGTGTGCGCAGACTTCCACAATCGAGGAGTGAAGGGTCAAGGTCGTGCGCTTTCATCTGAGAGCGAAGCCAGTTCTGAGAATGGGTGTCGTTCTGAGGGAATAACAGCGATAACGTCCGGAGTGTTTCTTCGACGAAGCCGACAGGAAATACTGAGCGCTGTGTGCTAGGCAATGTCAGTTCTACCCGTAGGACTTGGACGATCCACGGACCTTTTCTGATACCTCAGGAAGGCCACGCAGTGGAAGATGGAGATGGTTCGATCGTCATCCACCAGCCGTAAGTGGTCCGCAAGGTTCTTGGTCCATGATATCTTCATCCCACCGATCTTTCCCAAGTTCAGGGCAGTGAAGATCTTCCCGAGCTGGGAGTTGTCTGGCTGTAACTTAGTCCCCACGCCGTAGAACTTCTCAGTAAATTGTCTTATGTTCCGCAGTCCCAGCGGATGGTATTCGGACCCTGAGTTTCATGGGGCGGTTCCCCAATGTCCATCATCAACGTCAATCTGCTACAGAGGTCCAACGACAAGTCGACAATCTTGATGTATGAACTCGACTGGTGACTGAATTTGCTGGCGACTTCGTCATAAACACGGTGTCGATCCTTGTCTTGCTGCATGATGGATACAACGTCGATCACATCGGCGTGGGTCGATACAGAGACATGTCTCCCTCCATCGTGGAGGAATTGGTAGCACTGCGAAGAGTAATATGAGAAATAGGAGTGCATGCATCGAGCGTCTTCTCTGCTAGGGCTGGCAGGACCCCATAGTGTGGCAAGAAGCCTGTCTCTCACCGCTTCACTGATGGTCCCAGTCAAAGGGGAGTCCAGTGCCACCGTCATGGTATGGTCGTGTCTTGTGGAAGAAATGAAGAGCACGGCATCAAGACCTGGAGTCAAGATGGGAAGATATCAAGCAAGCTCTGTGATGCCTGCAGGCCTCCTGCATGCACAAGGGGCAGTACACGCCACCAAGGCCGACTCGAGCAAGCTGACAGGTAGCACTGCCTCGTGCAACTCAGCTACAGGGGTCGTCGATGCGCCTCCCCCCTCATCGGATAAGCGGGGTTTCTTGTGGTCGCTGACATTGTCGATTGATCTTGCTTTCTCCAGCTTCCCTCAATTCTCCCCCATCAGTCAATTTACGGGGACACGTCCATAGGCAATGCCCTGCCGTAGGTCGCCCATCGACCAGAGGCCATCACATCATGCAGATGATCCGGAGGACACAGACTGACCGCTGGCCCTATGCTGCATCATCGACCGGACCATACCGCGGACTGCTGGTGCGAAAATATCTGTGCTGGGATGCAAATGGACCTGCGCGAGATATTTTCACGAGCCAGATCGCCGGTAAGATCAAAAACTGTCTCGAAAACTGTCTACCCGAGTCAAACTCGTTCATCGGCTTCTCCTTGTTCATGGTCGGCAAGGTCCCGCAGAAGACCAAGCCTACAATAATGCTCGTATCTGGCGACAAAGCGCGTCGAAGGCAGCCTTCCAGATGATTAAGACGAGGACCATCATGGCTGAGCACCCGGGTTTCGAGATCGGTCACTGCTCTTTAGCGGCAGAGTACGAGGACCTTCAGCAACTAGCAGGCGAGGACAGCTCTTCTATGGGCGCAGACTTCAGTCTTCCCAACAAGAGTCTACAGTTCCCGTGGAGTCGCCCTGGAACACTGCAGAGGTACCTGACGGATGGAGATGACCCATATACTCCGGCCAAAGCCCACATCGAGCGTCATTTGGCACTCTCCTCAGCCCAGGATGCACTGAATTGGCTGTCCTCTGAGGCTTGTGTCTTACAACCTCCATCATGGTCGAAACCCATGAAAATCTATTTTCACACTCCATCGGGCCATCATATGGGCTCGGCAACATGTGGAGGACTCCTCAGCTACGAAGGTAGTTACTACTATCTCACGGCGGCCCATGCAGTCCACCCGGCAGGCTCTCACAGCCCTGAAATCAAGTTACCTGAACCCCAAAGCGATCCGTCGAGTGATTCTGACGATTTCGAAATGACTGGCGTGGAGGACTGGGGCGACGATACAGATGAAAGCTCTGAGGCATTGACTACGCTCACAAGCCCTGGAAGCAGGACGTCGTCCGAGGATTCAGAAAACGAGGACAGCCAGCTGGGTAAATCGGACTCGCTACGATCATCTGAATTGAGCATCCAGGAAGCCGGATCTGATCGGACGATTATGGAACCTACATCAACGCCTCCGGTTGACTTCATTGACGACACAGTGCCCGATATTTGTGAGCGTGTCGGGCGGGTGGCTGCTTTTCACCAAGAGCTGGACTTCGTCCTGGTTAAGATGACGTCTGTCACGGCTGAGTTGGCAGACTCACACGAGTTCTTTCAGAATGCGATTGCTATGGAGAGGCTGGTTACCGATTATCCGGCTTCTATGATCGAGGACGACTTGAGCGACACTTCCATCATGGTCAAAACAACCCACCAGCCCGAGATAATAGGCCATCGATCTCAAACGCCGGTATATACCAGATTACCGGGAACCGAGAGCTTTCAGCTACTTTAAAGCGCCCGGCTCTACACGCCGCTTCGTGCTGGCGATTGCGGCAGCTGGGCTTACAGTGTGAAATCGGGAAAGCTTATTGGATTTGTCGTAGCCGGCAGTCCCAAGACCGGCCTGTGTTTTATCAGTCCAGCGAGACCTGCCCTGGAGAAGATGGCGTCGTTTCCCAGGAAGGGCTTCGGTAGAGCGAGCCTCCATTTCGAAGCCCGGCCAAGGGTCAATGAAGACAAGTCCAAATGGCATCTCCCACCGGAGTATTCACCCTTCGCCATAAAGTTGGAGGATGATGCTTTCACCGTGGCAAGCAGCACACGACCTCCTAGTGTATTCAGCTCCAGCTTCACTCACGACACCGCGTCCTCGTACAGAGGGTTCTCCAGAGAATTCTCAACGACAGGTTCGACCTACAATCATGAACCTCGAGTATCACCGACTCGGCAAGCCTTTCGAGATCCACCGACTTACCCAACAGCCGAAACCGATTTCTGGAGGAACCAGTGCGACCTTCTGCGACAAGACCTCAAGAAGTTGGCGCAGGCCGTTGATGAGAGAGATGAACAAATCAAGCAGTTGATAGCGCCTGTCCTACAAAAGGGGAGTGTTGATGGCGGCGGCGGATCGCATGCGCGGCAGTTCACGGATCAGCTGCACGATGAGAAGACTACGGCGACATTGTCTGAAGATAGGTTACACCATGCCACTACCTCAGGCGCGAGATTAGAAGACGCCAATAGGAAACCTTTGAGCATGAGTCATTCGCGGGGTGGTGTGCCTCCGTCTGCGAAGATCAAGGGTCGCAAGAACCAACGCGGCTTCCCGTCGTCATGGGGGTTTGACAAGGGTCAGATGGCCATGAAGAAGCGGGTAATGACGGTGTTCGACGGCCTTCACCCTCTGGCCAAGGATGACATGATGCTCTCGACGGAGCACGAGGTTCGTGTCCAGCTGTCGGACGGCAAGTCCTACGTCACGGACCTGGACGTCAACACTCTCCAACGCGCCCAGGGCTTCCACGATGCGACGGAGCAGGAGAAGGGCATCTGGATCTCAGACAAACCCGCAGAGTTTCAGACCGGAGCACCCGAACTCGGTGTTGCCGCTGTGAGGGTACCACAGACATTCCTGAGGGTCCCATCCAGGCTGTCTTCTCCAGCAGCAGAAGTCAAGGAGCGTGATGCAGTGCTTCTACAGATCAATGACATGATCACTGACACAAGAGCCGGGTATATGGGCAAGGGGCGATCTTCGTCAGGTGGTGATGTCCCCAGGGATATACAAGCGCTGCAGGAACGTATCAAGTTGTTAGAGGCTGAAAACCGTCAGCTGAGAGAACAAGGACTTGAAATCAAAACGCACCTCGACCCTAGTAGCAAATCCCCGCTGGAGTCAGGGACTCAAAATCGGGACGTGAACCGGATGAAGGAAAGACCTGAGGAATATCCCACTCAATCAAGTCAAAGTGCTGCACGGCACAGTCGGTCTCAACCGGCTGGGCCGGATCAAATGAAGGGTATAGTCTGGGACCAGTCCACAGAGACGTTCTCTAAGCCCGAACCTGTCCACGAACGAGAGTTGAATCAGGGGACATATTATGGCACCCCAATTCCATACAAGGCTCCCCCGGGTTCAATTTCCACGGGGTCATCATATGGTACCATCCCGATTCCATACACAACCGCCCCGAGTCCACATTCTACGGCGTCGCCATCTTGATTCACGAGGAGTTCCAGCGAGCACGCCCCAGTGGACTACCTATATCCACCACTAGCACAAAGCCAAAAGTCAACAGGGTTGAGTTCTCGGAGGATAGCCGCGCCACACAGGCTGACAGGATCGGGTACTTCACACTCACAGGGCAGGAGAGTCATACACCCTGTACAGGAGGAAGTCGACGAGGAAGTAGGCGATGAAAAGCCCCAGGACTCGACGTTGGGTTACAATACTGCGGAAGAGAGGGAAGATGTGTTCCAGAGGGCCAGACTTCGTATTTTCGGCCCAGCAGATTGAGAGATAGTATCGATGATGTGGAGGATATGATTGACTAGGACCAAGATTCAACAGCAACTACTCTTTGCAACATCATCTTTATCTTGCTTGACACCCGGTCAACAGCTTCCACCAAGCAAGCTTTGTCGTGACCCAGTCGCACCCCTGGACACCCCGGGTCAGTGCCTATTTGTCCTTTGAACACCCCTGAAAACCCAGAGCAGTAGCAACAACGAAGGGCAACAACAAGAAATAACAACTCGACTGTTCTTCGGCCTCTAAAGGATAGCCTCTTTGACACGCCTAAACGCGCGATCCCACAAGGCCAGTATACAAATAGGACCAAATCCCTCCTTTACCCTCCTTAGATGTCGACCTACAGCCACAGCACAAACGTCACTCACGTCCTCGCAAGCAACATAACCCCGTAAGCCAGACTTTCTCCTGTGCGCATCGATCCAGGAGTACTTCAGAAGCCGACAAGATGGCACGCAGCGGATACGACATGAGCGGCCTGCCGAAGCCCAACCCCAAGCCCAACCAAGAGAGCACGACACCGCCCTCGGGGTAGTTACCAAGGGGGAACTGACTGACTATCTACCTGCGAAACCATGCAGCTGGGTTGCCGATGGGCAAGGCCCGGATTACTCCAGGCATCAGGCAAGGGAGAGCTCTTATAGAATAAGACTCGCCAAATTCAACCATAATTCCCTTCAACATCGTACTGCGAATTGGCCCTAAGCCCATTTGAATATCGAAAAGGTTACGAATCAACTGCATGGGGACCTAGACAGAGGACTGTATTTCAATTACGAATGTTCAGATAATTCTACCGTATGTATGGAGTATGTAACAAGTGACAATACCAAGAACCTCCTCGCCTCTCACCCCAGCTGATATCACAACCAAGGTTCCCTTCTAGTAAGGGATCCCATTAGTCATGAGCTGGAACTGGTCGTAGACCATGGTGCTGTAAGACCCGGCGCTCTTCTTGACCAGGTCGCGCACAAACTCGGCGGCCTCGCGCTCGTTGCGCTCGAGCACGAAGCGCTGGCGAAAGTGCGTCACCGTCTCGGGCTTGAAGCACGGCAGGCCACTGCCCATCATCAGCAGCACCATCTGGCTGAGCTTGTCGGCGTAGGGCCGGCAGGCGAGGAAGGCCTTGACGCACAGCTCCTCGAACCACTTGAAGGCCTGGTGGTCTGTGCTGCCTCCCATGACCAGCAGCATCTCGTTGGTGAGCTTGAAGGGGGCGCGCTCGAACTTGACGCCGCCCGGCGCGATGTCGAAGCAGAACCCGAAGTCGATGTGTAGGATGTGGCCAGCGTCGTCAATCATGATGTTGCCGTTGTGGCGGTCCTTGAACTGCAGTATGAATGAGATGATGCTGTATGCCGCCATGCTCTTGACGAAATTGTTGCGCGCGTGCTGGAAGCGAAGCGAGTCTTCGTTGCCGTACTTGCTGATGAAATACTCGTAGAGCCCGTTGACGGCTTCGCGACCAACCATGTCTCGCGAGATGGAGTTGGGCAGGACGTCGATGACACCACAACCAGGGGCAGTTGCAGTAACGCGGTACGGGAACACATATACATCGAGTCCAACGTTGTGGAAAATGCCGCGAAATGCGGCAATCATCTGCAACGCGAGCACGTCCTGCCGACAGTCATCTCCTACCTTGAAGATGGCGCTCTGCCAAACCTCAATCATAGTATCAGCAGGCTGCTCGCCGGTCTTGTTCATTTCTTGGGCCACATCTTCCGTCTCTTCCACGCCACCTTTAGCCTTCTTGATCCGGAAGGTTGCCATGAACGGTGCCTTTGCATGGGACTGAAGTGGCTTGCCCGACTTCCTATCAATACCGATGACCACGCCGTCGGGGTTACTCGGAAGGTAGACGCCGACCTCGACTTGGATCTTTCGCAGCTCCTCTTCAATCTTCTGCTTCTTTTCCTCCTTTGGACGCTTGATCAGCGGCTTCAGCTTGCCGGATATATCTGTAACCTCGTCGAAGAACGCGAATTCTCTCTCGAAGAAGCTCTTGTCTTCACCTGAGAAGCTGCTGACCATCTTTGCCATCACCTTATCAAGAGCAGGCTTGATCTCGTCAGGCTGGTTCACTATTAGCCGGGGAAACAAAAGGCATACACACGCTGACTTACGATAGTAGCATCATCATCCTTGTATGAGTTTGCCTTCATATTCCAGATGATTTGGTGTGCAAACAACTGAGAGAACTGAGCTGTTTCAACGATGTATCGTTCAACATAGCCGAGTGCGTCAAAACGGAGACTCTGTACGATTTGAGGCACGTAGAAAAAAGTGACATCCACAGGGTGATGCTCCAGCGATCTCATAGCGTACTGAATGAGGAAGGGGTGATTCCGGTACGCTGGTAAGAAGTAGGTGACAGCGGTAACGGGGTTGACAGGTGTCCAGAATAGCAGGTACTAGAGGAGTTTAGCAACGTTTGCCATGACAGCACAGATGACATTACCTTTAGCTGGAATCGCACATCCTGTGGCAGTTCGTCACCAAGCAAGATCGGCAGGGCTTCAGGCTCACAAATCGCCTTCGCCGGGAAATTCAACAAAAGCCAGCGGACATCGGCGTGTACGCTGGGAATTGAGAACCTATTCACAAGCTCAATAGCCAACGAGGGTGATTCAGCCCAAGCCACGCGGATGAGTGGTTTTAGAGTAGCCTTGAAAGTCAGCGGGGGAAAGACCGCAGTTATTCGACAGAATACATACCTCCAGTGTTGCTATACCATGGCGCGTCATGATCGCTGGTCGCTGATTGTGGGGATCGCGCATCGGATGGACCCAAACGTTCAACCTGGCTTGTTCGCTTTCGAGCAGGATCTCGAGCAGCGCCTCCTTCTGGACTAGAGTCTTAAAACTACCCACAGCATGGGCAGCTACGTGAGACACGGCCTTCAGTCCGGTCATGACATCTCCAATGAGCTGAACCTCGGTCTTCAACTGCAGAATGTTGCTACCAAAAGACCACTTTGGGGCATATTTGAACCAGCTCAATCCAGCGGAAAGGATCTTGTCCTTGAGACGCCACTGGGACATCGTCCCGGCAGCTCCACTGACGCGCAGGACCCTCAAGCTGAACAGAATAATTCGTAGACGGAGCTCTCTAGCCATGGGATGGGAAATCGCGCGCTTGAGAGCATCAAGTGTCAAATCAAGCATGCGGAGAAATACCCGTTGGGTATCGGGGCTTCCCAACCGAGTCGCATTGAAATGGCTGCTGAAGAACTGCATGAGACGAGTATGCGGAGCGAGTAGGTTGTGGATCATCTGTCGTCGCTTCGCAAGACCCTCGTTGTCACTGGGAGCGAACTCTTCCCTCAAGAAGAATGGATCCGGGTGCCTAGATTGATTAGTATAGATAGGATAAGCCCCTGGCCAGAAGCAACTTACATGAAAGCCGGGTTGAAGAGACCGAGTCTCCTTTGAATGGTAATCTCCCATTGTTGAGCGATCTCGGCGAGTATGCGAGACTCCATCCTCGGATTCTCGTTCATGACACCCAACCAAAGAGACACTCCAAACTTAATGGATTGCTTGGTGAATATTCTGAACGGTATGCTAACAAGATAGTGGGTGATGGCACTCTCGTCCTTCACGCTGCGACATAGTAATGCTGCTGCGCGTCTGAGTATGTCTCTCACATCGCTGAGAGGCGTGACCTTCTTTCCGGTAAGTCGAGACTCAACGTGAGCCAGGGCAGACACAGCATTGGCACGATTCGATGGCGCGGACTTGACGAATGAATCTCTTCTAACAATTGGCATAGCGTTAACCAAGTCCATGCCATGGCTCGGCAATGCTTCGCCATATCGGTACTCCTGGCGAGTGGTGTATTGAGCAACGAAGTCGGACGCGGTATTGATAGTGGTCTCGCCAACAGGGTCCAGCGAAGTCAATCTCTGATCAGTAGACGGAATGATTGAACCCATCTCCATCGCAAATGATCGCCCAAGAGACATGTGTCCATATGCACCTTCGTCGTCGAACTCGGACAGGTACGTCTGGAGCAGCCCTTTCACATCGGCGGGGGCGAGGTTGATTACAAGCGAGACCCATACCTTGGCTCGCTTGTATAAGTTGTTGAGGGTAGCTTTTCTGAAAGCATAGTCATCTGAAAGCTCGAGGGTGACGTTGCCTAGTTTGGAAGTGAAAACTGATCGCGGTTCGTACATCTCCGTTTCGGCTTCAAGGCAGCTCAACCACATGAGTGATAGCAGTTCCAAAAGCGCGAAGAGCGATGACTTCTGGCAGAGAGCTGAGGGAACATCCCGAATGAACTTGTCAGCACAAATGAACGCGGCTTGCTGTACGCGCTGGATTCGATGACAGCAGCTGCATAATATTGCTGCAAGCTGTGAAGCAGCATAGTGCGCAGAGAATATTGGGAGCTTGGCCTCGAATATTTTAGCCATGTACCGCTCCATGACAGCTGTCGTGATACCTTCCATGACGCTGCGAACGTCTTCTTTGCGCATGCTGGGCTCCAGGAAGTAAGATAAAGCCTTGGTACAGTCACCAGAGTCGGCCCGTAGACCCTCGACCAAGTGCGCTGCCTGCAAGAACATGACTTTCCTGTAGCTCAATCCCCTGACATCAGATGCCTTGGACGGTATGAGAGTCGAAAGTTGCTTCTTCTGCTTGGCCTCTCGATCGGGAGTGTTCGCTCGGCGAAGAACAGTGTTGAGCTCGATATCGCTCTCAATCTGTTCCCCTCGCTGCTCCGCGACTAGGGGCGGCGAATGGATCGCCATAATGCGCAACTCGTTGATGTACTTCTTGCCCCTATCGGTCGATGGAGTAAAACCGTGTACGACAATGTTAAACCAAGCGTCGCGGATCAGACTATGGCTGTCATCGTCCTGGCCAGGGAGTTCAGAAGCGAAATCATGCGTCGACATCAAAATCGAAAGTGGCTGGAGGAGTTGAGCGATTTCACGCGCTGCAAACTCGACATCAGACTCTTTCATGTGATGAGATTGATGCACATCGCCCTTGGAAATCAACTCTTCCAGTATGTACTCGAGGTAGATATCGAACAGAGGCGAACCACGCTTGACATTTGCTGAGATATGATTTCGAGCTTTTGTGACCTTGTCCGAATTAGATTTTGGACAACCAATACTGCAATGTGAGACTTACAGCTTCGAGGACCACGGTGTTATCGTCGGCTAAGGCTGTATGAGAAATTCTCGAGTACAGTCGAAGTAGGGATCGGAGCTCGAGCTGCCCTCCACTCAAAGACAAGACACTCGCTCCCACGACGATTTGTGAGTCGACAGCCTGGTTCACCTTGGTCAATTTCTGCAGAAGCATAGACTGCGCAAGCGCCGTAATCTTCTCATCATTGCACGTCTTTGCAATGCTGCAGATGGCCAGGACGATGTTTGAATAGATCACCGTGGTGTCCTCCTCGCCCTCAACCTGCAACGAGATGGAACTCCCCGTAGACTGCCGTCCGTGGTAGATGTTGGACAGGCCAGTTCCATCAGGCACCATGTCGCCGTTTGTACCATTGGTCCCATTGGTCCCATTCTGGTCGGTGCTTGGGCTAAGCACATTGCCCAAGGTATACAGAGTCGAGATGACGGCATCGTGCGAAAGCGTATTCAAAGAGAATGCCAGGCATTTCGATGCTATCGCGACAGTGTGACTCGAAGGTGAAGTTTGAACAATGAACCGAGGGAGAAGACGGATCACTATAGGGGCGAAAGTTGGTGACAATCTGGACAGAATAGCCATCGAGCGGAGCACAGCAGAGGCCAAAGTCTCGTCGAACATCTGGGTCGTATTGTCCAATGTTTCTTGCAGCCAGCCCATGAGAAGATCCGGATCAGCCGCATCCTCGTTCAGCACAGAACAGTTCAGGAAGCTGATAATGGCAGAAGCCTTTACATCACATGCCAGTCGTTGCTGGGAGACAGAGCCCAGTTGAAGATAGTCATCGCCGGCCTCGAGACGTTCCATCTCTTCCTGGGCAATGCTGGCGTACATTTCGATCGATCGAAAGTCGGCATCCGGGCTATTGGGAGAGCCCGGTCTCAAAAGACCCTCTCGAGACATCAGCATATCAAGGACGTGAGAAGTCTTCAAGACCTTGACATCGCCAATTAGAAGCGACGTTGCAGAGACCAACAACCACATGAAGCTTCGCTGTAGTAACATGGGCCCAAGAGGTCGTCCTTGGTGTGCGTAATGTCGAAGGCATCTCTTCCACTCCTTGGCAGTACGGTCCGTAACATCAGCGTTGCGTATGACAGATAATGCACCATCGACGGCAGTGAGGAAGGGGACGGAAAGCAGGTTACGGAGTCTCTGGATGAGAGCCAGTCTACCGCCAGTCCTCCAGAAATCAGTTTGAGCTGAGGCAGCATCCAAGAACCCCAGCAGGGAAATGGCTATTGTCACGGTCCGGATAGCATCTTCGAGACTTGGTTCCACATATTCCTCAGTCTTAGGTTGGACTATCCCCTGTATGGCTGTTCGTACAGCAGCCAAGAAGTTCCAGATGTTGTCGGACACAGTCTCGTGCAGGCTATCGTATCTGTTTCCCAGAGAGAGAAGCGCGGCAGTAAGGCTCAGAGCCAGTGCTTCATTCGGCGAAGGCTCGATCTTGTTGAAGGTGGGCGAAGGAACGAAGGTCTGCGCGTGGGATTCGTGGACGTATGGGATCAGCTGGTTGACTAGCTTCTGGGCACTTTGGCTGCTCTGGACCAGGGGCGCGGCTTTACATAGGGCGATGAGGACTTCGAATTCTCGTATGCTCTACGAAAAAGTCAGCACTTGGAGTCGGCCACGCGAGCTGGTCAACATTACCATGGGAACCCGAGCTAGAGACGAGTGGTGGCCCCTCGCAGATCCATTGGGGGTGTCCTTGCCCTTTCCGTAGCTGGTCGTAGCTCTACATAAACGGTCGAGATCGGATCTATCGAAGGCCGTAGTCGAGCTCGAAGCAGAAAGCGCGGCAATCTTCTGCAGAGCTTGTTGGCGAATGTTGCGTGCCATGGTTGGCGTATGGCGGGTGATGCGCGTGCCTCGGTAAAGGGGCGAGCACTATTTACAACCGAAGAGCCAACACTCAAACAGACTTGCTGGCTATCATATGAAACAAAGTGCGCTACTGCCGTACACCCACACTATGTCGAGTCTGGCTCGAGGTCCAGATGTGAAGATGCGACCAGTTGGAAATGTGATGCTGGATCATGGCCTGGGGATGATGATGCGCCAGCGTTCAGCCAGAAAGTTGGCGGGCCCCTGTTCACAGTACCGACCCAGGTAGCGTGCTTACCTAAGTCGCTGCGGCAAGAAGGAGCTACCCCTGCAAGCACTCCAGTGGCCTGGAGCTGCCTGACTGCCTCGCTGGCAGCACTGCTGGAGCTTCCATGTCAGCTGTCAAACCCGCAACAAGGCTGCGAGCTGAACGCGCGTGAAGCTGCTATTCCCAACTTCAATCATCAACCCCATCCACCACAGCCTCCCCTTCCAAACGCACCACGCACCATCGTCTCGACTGCATCAGAGCTCTACGGACCTTCTTACGTACCCAGCAATCCAAAGAGCAACACACACACGGCCAAGATGGCCATGTTCAGCCAGAACCCGATCATGAACGGGCCCAACTACTCGTTTGCCGAAGCTCCCAAAGCTGCAATGGATGGCCTGCGAGAACACCGTTTCAACCCGTGAGCCACCCCATCGTTCCACCACCCAAGCTCCAACTAGGTCTTGCAATGCGGTCGCTAACACTCTACTTCCGATGTACAGCTACACCGACAACGGCGGCTCGACACTGGCTATTGCCGGCGACGGCTTTGCCATCATGGCCGGCGACACCCGACTGACGTCTGGCTACAGCATCAACACGCGATACGCACCGAAAGTCTTCAAGATCGGCGGCACGACGTCGTCGCAGGACGACGCCAACATCCTGCTCTCGGTAGTCGGGTTCGCGGCCGACGGCGAGGCGCTGCAGGAGCGCCTGGACTCGGTCTGCAAGATGTACCGGTACCGGCACGGCAAGCCGATGAGCGTCAACGCGTGCGCCAAGCGCCTGTCGACCATCCTCTACCAGAAGCGCTTCTTCCCCTACTACGTGTACGCCATCCTGGGCGGGCTGGACGAGGAGGGCAAGGGCGCCGTCTACTCGTACGACCCCGTCGGCAGCTACGAGCGCGAGCAGTGCCGCGCCGGCGGCGCCGCCGCCAGCCTGATCATGCCCTTCCTCGACAACCAGGTCAACTTCAAGAACCAGTACGTCCCCGGCAGCGGCATCGGCCACGAGCTCCAGGAGCGCGACCGTGTGCCCCTGCCCCGCGACGAGGTCGAGATCCTCGTCAAGGACGCCTTCGACTCGGCGGTGGAGCGGCATATCGAGGTTGGTGACGGCCTGCAGATGATGATCATCACCAAGGACGGTATTGAGGAGAAGGTCCTACCGTTGAAGAAGGATTAAGTACAGTGCGGTGGGTCAACGCCGGCACTGGGAAGCGAAGCGACTTTGTACTATAGTAGCATAGATGGTAATGGAGTCTTCTGCACGGCTTTGAAAGTCACAAACTCAACTGGCGCATTTCTGAATGCGGTCTGACGTCTGCGCATCATGATGCTTCTGGTATTGGAAGGTAAGTAACTCCACTACAGGGGAACTGGAAGGTGGCACTCGTCTATAAGTATGGCCTCATTGTTGAGAGCAACGAAGCTCAACGAACAATTCCAACTCATCGACGACTGATGGACCAGGGAAACCAACCTGTCTAATCTTTAGCGGTTCTCAGAATCTGTTAAGCACAGGTCATAGACAATGCTATTTATATCCCGTAGAGCTCGCTTGTTCAATACATGTGCCAGGTCCAGCGAGAAGTTGATCTGTCTTATACAAATAGGGGCCCTGATCACCCATGGCCCCAAGAGCGTATCTAATACCTACCAACTTGACGAGAAAACGCCCAAGACAGACTTACACTTGATTCCACCCCATGGTCTGATTACCCTTCTGCAATTCCTCAAGAGCAGAGCAGGTAAAGCTCTCTTTGCAACTGCCTCCCTTGCACCGGCCCCTCGCGCATCAAAACAGAACACTCAAGCAACTCTGGCCCAGAAAGACAACACAAAACCGCCGGATACGCACCCACGTTGAGCAAGTCCATCCACACCAAACCCGCATCTCTGGCTGCGATCTCACTTGCCTGTCTGTACCTCACGCCACTACCAAATTCGACCATAACCAGTCATGGCACAAAGTCACCAATAAAGCCCACGCTCGCCAGCGACAGATTCCTACTTATTGCTACGGCCGAGTGTGGCAGGAACCACATATGTAGGATCGTCTATACGTCCAGTAGACCAAGGAAGAATAGGAGGAAAGGGAGAAATCCAAGGCCAGACCGTTGACCACCATGATGGAGGACAAGAACGGAAAGGGGAAGTGCAGTATGACGTTGAAGATGGCGGTGATGTTTCCCAACCGGGTACCGGCCGGAGCGCGACTTCCTATGGGCTGCGGCCGGTTAACTGGATGTCCAGCCAGCCCGCAACAACCTACCGGCTACCACCAAGCAGCTGGTAGGCGGGGCCGGACCAGACCACATACTCAGTGTGCATGTCACGTCGATGAGGGCCGATTCCGTGTCCTCCTTTGACAGTCTGGCAGTGGGTGTCGGGCTGGCTTACGTTGCTCTCGAAGTTGATCGTCTTGCTCTCCCAACGTTGCTGTGTGCGTCAGCTACCTAGTACAGATGGAGGAGACAACGCACGCCGCGCTCATCAACTCTCGACTACAGTTGTCCTATGAGTCGGAGTCTCGTCTTTATAGTTGCTTGATGTGCCTTTCCTCTTGTTGAACTGAACCTGCAACCTCGGAGTTTGAGGATTCGGGCATGCGATGAAGCCCTAGTCGTGACGAGCCATCCACAAATCCTTCCACAAATACAAGCTTCGGGAGACCAATCACTCGCAAAAGGTTATCTGGTCGCAGTACGACAGATGCATGCACTTACGGCTAGGATTGACGACATGAGTGCCGCTATGATCTCAGGACGGAAGCATGGCGAGATCCGGCCCTCAAGCTAAGCGGTGTCATTAGTTCACGATCACAGCTATGATTAAGCGCGTAATGTTGCCGAGCTATGTCGACTGTCGGCCGATAGGAGATGCGATAATTTGCGATTTATCATCGGTGATGGCGTCGCGAGCCAGGCACACCAAATGCGGCCCGGTCGGGGGGCTCGGAAGCCAGCTTGCCTCCCCGCCATGGTGTTGCCGCGACGAGTGCCGCGACGTAAAGATGCTCTGGTGATCTGCTGTAGGCCGCATCCACTGCCGAGCTGTAGTAATTCCAAAGAGAGTTTGTATGTGCAAACATCAAGGTAGCAGCACAAAACGAGACATCTCGACTCGTTTCTTGTCTGTTCTGTGATAACGACAGCCGCGCGACCACCCGGACAGGCAGGTTGTACAGCTCGCAGTAGTCCTGCTGCGGCCGATCGTGCAGTTGGTTCTACTCGGCTTGGGCGACCATTCTTAGTCTCGCCGTCAAGGAAAGGGGTGCTAGTTCTCCCCGTCATAGTTGGCTAGTTCGAGGTTACAGGTAACGGTCGTTAGCTCTGGCCCGGCTTACACCTAGAATTGGCAAGGACGGGGTTGTGTGACTACGTCAGCCCGCTCTGTAGCCAAGCACCTGGGCAGGGGAAGGTCTTCCATGGTGTTTCTGAAGAAGCCACCGACCCACCTCGTCATTGACGAGTCTCCGCGGTCCAATGCCGAGCGCACACCGGTGCCGCATGAGGACTGTCCAATGGCGTGCCGAGAACGCCATGTGACAGCGAGACGTAATTAGCTTTGCTATATCAAGTCGAGGCGGGAAGATAGGAGGATGCGAGTCGGGTAGCATTGTCCGTCTGGCAGGGCAAGGTGCCCTGGCTAGTAGCGCAGCCGAATAAATCCAGACCAAGAGAGTTTGAACATGCCTATCTCACCTGGTGAGCTACCTGGTATTGACGTATCCGAATGAGGACATGTGGTCAGGGGTAACTCGGAACGGGCCAGTCACGAATTGTTGACCACGTTCGGATGCTGGAATGTCAGATGACTCTACGTTGTACGCTGGCTGCACCAGCCCCGGGTAGCAAGAAGTCGGGATATTATCCACATGGTGGATGCGGAAGCACGAACGGGCGGAGTGGCAAGCCGCAGGCTCGCCACCATGGGCTCAGGCTCAGACGTCGCTGTAGCCGATGCTCATGTGATCCTGAGGTGTCCAGTGGCCCATGCGAGGCCGTTGTGTCGAGTAAAGAGGCCGCCGACCTGGGGGGGAGGAGTTTTGGACATCCTCACGAGCGATCTCAATGGATATCTGGGACGAAATGGAGTCCCGTAAGCTTGCGGACAGTTGCGGGCGAAAATCGATTCTTATCCCGTCCATGTCGTCGAACAAGTCGCGTCCGTATTCTGTGTCTGTTGAGATGACTCGGCGAGGAAGTTCGGGCAGAGCGAGATGCCTGCAGTGAAGGCAGGTTCTGGACGTCAAATTCGGCGGACGGGATGGAGTGGGAGAATCTAGACGCGCAACTGCCCAGGCCCGGGTGGCAAAAGAGCGAAAGAGCCACCTTTAAATGGGTAACTGTAACAGTGGAGGCTGACAGGGCAGAGACATGCAGTGAGGCCCCAGTGAGGCTGAGTCTGCCGTGTAACACTGAGGCCCCGGTCCCGAGCGAAGGAAAGGAACGAGTTCGGCAGATAGACCGAGCGCAGAGATAACGGTACCGGTACCTTATATTCCGCAGGGCCAGCAGGGAGAAAGGGAAAGGTCGGGGAGTTTCGAGTCTGAACTGCTTCCAGACCCCCGTACTATCCATGGATTGGAATAAATATAGCTGCGTCGGAGGAAAGCCTCCGGCGCTCGCGCTCCGTTTCTGAGTTTGCAGGCCCTCGACAACTTTGAAGAGAAACCACCACGGCCAAGGCGTGGCATACTCCTTGAATACCACCATAACGGTCAACATTAAAGCTGTGGGAGGTGTGTGAACAAAATCGAAAGCGAACCACCATTCGCCGGTGCCTGCCATGTTGTGGTAGACTTGAAGCTACCGTACGAGCGGCCTGCAGGCTCGGCAGGCGAGATGTACAGTACGCCAGACATGATTGCAGGGCTTGCCAATGTCCAGTGTCCAATGCACGGGTTTTGTTTGGTCAGTTATCCCCAGATTTCTGATCAGTGAGTTGATCGACGCGCCTGACATCGAATGGGGGTACCACGGCGTATTGGTCCACAGGACCACAAAGCCAAAAGGCTGGTACATGTATCATTGCCGGAAGGCGCCACAGGGGCTGAGTAGACTGTGGCACTAATGGCTAAGCTGCATGTGCAGGTGGCTAGTGTGTACTGGGCTGTCTGGTATCCATGATTGTTGCATGTGCCCACTGCCCACTGACGGCACGGTCTTGACAGTCTTTTGACGATCATCTCCTCAAGCTCACAACTTTTACCTTCGGAACCACCTCCCAAGCCAATCATGGGTTGTGTTCATGCCCTTGCCCGAGTCAGCTTGTGCCTTGTGCGGGAGGCCTCGTGCTATTCCGACGCCGGCGGGAACCTCTGACCGAACACCGAATGAGACGACATGCATTCAATGCTGATGGCTGGTTGTTGAACCCTTGGTTTGTGCCCCAGCTTCAGTCAAGCGACGCAGGCGTGGCAGGGGCACGTCTCCGGGTCGGGCCAGCAATTGCATACTTAGGTACCTAGGTAAACCTCCAGTCACCATTACATGTACATTTTGATGTCGCTATATTGGTACCGCAGTACATCACTGTAGTCCTCGCCTGCTATCACCCTGACAGCCTGACGCCACTGACGGGCCTGCGGGCTTGCGGGCTTGCGGTACGCTCTCAATGGATCAATGGAAGCAACCTTGGAACTTCGGAAGCCCAGTCGAGACAGGGCGCTACCACTGACCACCTGCAGTGACCACTGACCAGATTCCAACGCTGACATCATAACCAATTACGATGGGACGGGAGACTCAGGAGTCAGGGATCCCCCATCTTCCGTCTCCACACCAGCAATGGGAAACCGTCATTTTCCCGATTTCTGGATTTCAAATCCCCCCAAAGCCGTAGAAAATCGATTGCGGCTCTCCCCGGACCTGGACCCCCATTTCATCATTCGTCGGCTAAGGGCAACTGGCGCGTCGATCAGGTTCACAGATCTCCATGGCCCATACTGCCATAATCCACCGTGGAACAGTGGGTTGCGACTTGCGAAATGCATACCAACAGCGACAAAGCGTCGATTTTGGTACTAGCCATTCCCCAGCATCTCTATTCCTTTTTCTGCAGGCTCCAACTGGTCAAGGGTTGCTTGTGTCAGGTCTGGGCTGTTCAGCCGCAGCCATTTGCTTCTCCGTGGCGTGTTGCGTGTGGTGCAATCAGTCAGTGGTGAGTAGTGTACGTGTACGCGATACGCGGGTCGTCTGGTGCTAGAGAGTCGCCTTTCAACTGGGAAAACGGCGAAGAGATGCCTCGAAATTGCCCATGATGCCCGAGAGCAGCACCACTTCCCGCTCCGCTCCGCTCGACGATAGCGCATCCTCCGCGGTCCCTGGATTGATCTATTGATCTATTGATCTATTTATCTAGCCCCTGGGCGTGCAGTCACCACCATGGGAGAGAGCTGTCGACTTTTTGCGTTGGCCGTGTCACAGATCGCTTGTGACAGGATCCACAACACCAACTCTGACAAGTCTACAAGGCGGGAGATGACAGGTCTCGAAGGCCTGCCCAGACACTTTGTGGCTGAGCAGCTACCTCGGGGACTGGGGCTTCACTCTGTCAGTCTGTGTGCCCACAGTAGAGGGATGGATCGCAAGACTCGTGGGACCCCTTGGACCCCCAAACCGAGGAATCCAAGGGTCTGGTGGCAAAAACGGCGCCAGCAAAGCAGCGCGGGTCGAATTCGCAATTCCCATCCCTCCCAATCCCCGTTCCGTTACCTGGCACTGGCATTTTGTCTAAGCCCATTGGCTGGCCTGCTATCCCTCGTCCTTTCCTGGCTCGTCCGACGACGTGCAAGACCACCCGCTGATACCGTCCTCCCCGGTTGCTGGCCGGGACAATCCTGCATCGCTTCTATCTCTGCCTCTTTCGTCTGCCTACCCCGGCCGCCCCCCAGGCGGGCCCTACTAGACTTCGCGGCCCATCAGTCCCATGCCCTTGCATACCAGCTGCTGGGCGAGCTGGACGGACTAGTAACTTTTTTAGCCACCGCAACGCCGCGAGTCGTCATCTATCTGGACGTATTCTACTTGTCTCATCATGTTACTTTCCCTTCTCATGCCCATGCCCATGCCCATACTGCATAACGTACCCAAAGAAAAGGCAAAGATTGTCGTTACATTATGACCGCTATTGCTTGATCATCCTAGCCGGGACTGCCAGAAACCCACGCCGGGCCCCATGGGCAAGCAAATTATCGACACCACCTAATATTCTTGTCGATATTCCCACCCAGTGTCACAAATTTCTCGACTAAGCCAATACTTTCTCTCCTTCGAACACCCTTGACCTGCGGGCTTCTACCAGGCCTTCTTTGAGCTCTATTCTACCAGCCCATGCCGTTGTCCGGATCGGAAACAAGATCCATGCCATAACTTTACTATACATAGGCGTCTTCGGCATCTTCACACGAGATTCAGCTCCTTGCCCAGGCACGACGGACAGATACATCACCACTCCTTTTCCACCACTCCTTTTTCTCATCACCCCAGCTCATCGACCCAGATACCTGTTACCACCCCTGCCTCGGATCACGTTCTCGCCTTCGGATTGGTTGCTGTAGGAGGTAGATCATCATCCTGCGGACGCTCAATTGTGATTTTGGTGTTCCACTAGAAGGGCATGCGAGAAACGACGTCGGCAGTCCTGCGTACCGAATAGCTTCCTTGCCGACAGCCGCCTAGATCCTGGTAAGGCTCTTGTCGACAAGTGCTCAGCCTTCATTGCTTTGCGCCACGCCCATTCGGCAAGACCGTCAGTTAACTCCCTAGTCTCGAATAACCCTGATAGGGTCAAAGGGCCAGAGGAGTAGGATTCATCAGTTTGGCAGCACAAATACCAGTGCTCCAGCCCTCACAAGCTGTCAGAGGCTCAAAAGGACAACTCCCTCGCTTTCTCTCGTATCCTAAGGCACGCCACGATATCCTGTACGCTCAAATGGGAGATGATCCATCGTCCTCAGCTTCGGCCATCGAGTATACAACCCCCGAAACTCTCGGCAGCGCCTACCCAGACATGGCCCTGAGTGACAGGCAGTCTCCATTACCACCGGGCCCTAGTCCCGCAAACAGTTCCGCCTTTCAAGCCCAGTACCAGCAACTTTACGGCCCGTCCCCCAATGCCTACTCCAGCCAGATCGATATGTCTCATACCCAAGGGTCGGGCCGGCAAGGACCTTACAATATGAGCGCAATGGCCAATGCCCTTCCCCAGTCTGGATATAGACCTGGCTACACCACTGGGCAGCAACAGCAACAGCAACAGCCACGATATAACCATGGCGCGGCTCCCAACATGATGCCACAAGTGGCACATTATCCCGGGCAGTCGGTCATGCCTCAGCCGCTAGGAGGACAACAGTACTATATGGCTCAACATCCGCAGATGCCGCAGTACTACAATGCCCAGTTATCGCCGAACTCGCAGCATCAATCATCGCAACAATCCGGTCTGCCTCCGCGACACAACATGAACATGGGCTATTACACCAACGCGGTCTTGGTGAACCAGTCTCAACAGCAGCTTCCCACTGGTTATTACTACCCTCCGTCAGGCCAATTCTCAGCCCCAAACTCCGCTGTACATGGCCAAATGGCACCTACGCAATTTCTGATGCCAGATGGTACACCCGGAGGTCCACGAGGTTTATCTCCTTCTCAGGGAAGTGATCAAGCCGATGGAGTAGCGCACTTTGGTCAGATCGACGGTAAGGCCAGCACTCATGGAATTTGAATAGGCAGTTGTAGTTGACCTTCTCGCTAGGTATGGCAGACAACCGCTCGAACGTCGTCCGAGGTCCGCCGCGCAAACCTCGGCAAAGTGGTCAGTGGCATCTTAACCTGATTTCCCTGCGAATCTGTACGTGCTAATGTTGAATAGGTCACGCAATCTGGATCGGCAACCTACCTCCGCAGACCGAATTGATGAGCCTCGTCCATCACGTATGCAAAGAAGCTGCTGGGCTCGAATCGCTCTTTCTCATTTCGAAGAGCAATTGCGCTTTTGCCAATTTCAAGGACGAGCCGAGTTGCGTTGCGGCTCAGCAAAAACTCCACGATTCGAAATTCCAATCAGTCCGGCTCGTTAGCCGGCTACGAAAGAGCACAGTGGAGGGCGTCACTGGCCAGACTGCTCCAACTGGTCCAGCAGCAACCTCTCCAGGGGGGCAGCCTGCTTCATCGGGATCCCCGTCGAGCCCACAATCAAAGGTGTTGAATTCTTCGTTCTCTGTTACGGGGGTCCCGTCCGAGCCGAAGAATACCTCGATCGCCGAGACGAATAACCAGAGAGACAAATTCTTCATTCTGAAAAGTCTGACAGTAGAGGACCTAGAGTTGAGTATTCGAAATGGGGTGTGGGCTACGCAGTCACATAACGAGGTTGCGCTGAATAACGCATTCAAGGTAAGTGAATTTCACGAAAATTATCGGCTAATATACTGACGAGAAATTGCGACAGGCAGCTGATAATGTGTACCTTGTATTCTCGGCCAACAAGTCTGGAGAGTATTTCGGTTACGCGAGGATGGTGTCCCGCATCAACGACGATCCGGCCGCTGCGATCGAATTTGCCCCCAAAGCACAAGTCACGAGCAACCTGGACCTGCCCAAAGCGATCCCCACCGAAGCTACCGAGGCCTGCCCGAAGGGACGGATCATCGACGATTCGGCGCGAGGCACTATATTCTGGGAGGTGGAGAGAGATGAGGTGGACGGAATACCTGAGGCAGACGAATCAGAGGATGATGACAGCGCCAGGAGCGCGCCAGAGGACGAGGGAGGCTCCAAAGCATGGGGCAAACCATTCAAACTGGAATGGTTGTCGACTACGAGGCTGCCGTTCTATCGGACCCGCGGCCTTCGCAACCCGTGGAACTCCAACCGGGAAGTCAAGATTGCACGCGACGGCACGGAACTGGAGCCGTCGGTCGGCAGGAGACTAATTGGATTATTCAATCGCATCCAAACTCCAGCGCCGTTGGTGATGCCCGGTATGCGCCCTGGCGTGCCCGGCGTACCCGGCATATCGATGGCGGCCGGATTCCCTCCCCCAATGGCTCCGCCGTACCACCAATAACACACGGGGGTTTGGAAACATGACACGAACACCGTTCGCACATGCTCGTCAAGCCTACCGTGGAAGAAGTAAAGGTGGCAGACCCCGTCGAGCTAGACTCGGCCAGCTACGTTGACCGTAGCGCATGTGGTCCTAACCGGCATCGCACCTTGTCGGGTACCCTTTTAGCTCGGGATCACCGCGTGGCCTGCGCCGATAATGTAGATAGTGCTCAACCGCTGCGCCTAGGGCAACCCTGTTAATGAGATGAAGATACACGATTCCATCTGCACGAGCCCAAATCCGTACGGGAATGTCTCTGCGCATCGTGAGCCGTTGTGAACACCAACTGGCGACATGTCGAATGAACGCCAAGCTCATATCGCACGCCCAGATGACCGGCGTTACTGTACGCTATCGATCACCCGTACGCAATATCCCTGTCGTGGTTCCAAGATCTCAGATGACAGCTGTTAGGCTGCTACACAGTTACCCACCGTCAATTGCGAGATCATACATACGTGAGTCTCTCATCATCAAGGGTACAGCCTCTCATCATCAGGGATACTATCGTCATGCTAACGCCATGGTTACAGTGACAAAGCCGACTGTCACCCAACCAGAATTTACCTTTCCACGGCCCAGTACCAGGCGCAGTAGATACGGTAGGTACTGTCTATAATCATGCGCAATCAAGGTCCTATTTTTATCTTCCATCTATCGTGCGTCGGGGCCATTGAACCGTGTCTCCAAGTAACGGGGCAGTGCCCGGGTGACGGGCCGGGGAAAACCAACGGCGGCAGAAATATCGGAATCCGGGGTCCAGCGGTGATGTCATGTCATGTCATTAAGTCGAGTCCCCTGCCAAGCCTGCCGGAGGATGGATTTAGATACGGCGGCATGAGATAGGCCCCGGGAAATAGGCATGTCGCAGTCGGATGCCAAATGTGTTCATGACATGAGATGAGGTTGCAGCTGAATAATGCACACCAGCCACTCACTCGCCACTGCTGGGTGACGCTAGAGACGCAAAGCCTTCACAGCCACCCACGGCTGCTATTCTGGTGGGGCTCCCCAAGATTGTGGCGAATGCCAGAATGACATCTTGAGGTACGTACCTCGTGATCCGCCATGGGACGCACGGGATTTGATTGGCGCTACACTGAACCCTCATGAGTCTCCGTACACCACGCATCTAGCAAACGGTATCTTTGTCGTAATTAGAATAAGCAGACTGGGATAAGCATCAAAAGCAGCGTATAACACCAGAGCTGCTTATTCCTGTGTGCTTATTCCAGTATTTCGAAATTTTCACGGGTGTGTGGAATCTCATGGACATGGCGCGTACGGAGACTTATGAGGGCTGAGTGTACCTGGGAAAACGGACACCTGAAATGCTTCCACCCGCTGCAAGCCACTTCAACTCCAGGCAAGCTTGCGATGATAGCATCTCATCAGTACCTAACCGTTATTGACTATATTCCATGCTGCACAAATGCCGAAGCTTGTCATTCCTCGAGTTCTTTGTCACGCGCAGTTTCCGCTTCGAAATGGTGTCGCGTCCATCTCATTGGTCGGTCGCGTTGCTTGCCAATGCCTGTAGAATGTTCTGGGGAATTCCGAAAACTTCGCGCAGGATCGTGAGATGTCGCGGCGCCGGAAGCGTCATCTGGAAGCCTAAACCACGCAATTCGCACCTTGTAGAAGGGTCTGTAGAGTTCTAGATGGCTGTTTGCTGTTCCAATGCTTATTCACTTGGGTAATTTCTCAGCGCTTCGTGCAGGTGCTAGAATGTGCTTGCCTGCCCAATCCCAAATATTTAACCAGCCCTCGTCATCGTGATGAATGCTTTCCCCTCCATCTCAGATCACACACAACACACAAAGCAGTCCTCCCAACGACTAATAATTGCAATCTCGCACTCGACCTTCTTCCTTACGGATCATCTCACGCACAACTCCAATCTCCAAGCTCAACCTGAAGCCATACAACACCACTCCAACTTCCACTTCTCTCTCCACCATACATAACAAGTACAACACCTCCATCACCATGTCTGTCTTCGGTCGCAACCTCTACTCCATCCCCGCCGCCGAGAACAATTTTGGCAACTTCGGCAGCCTCGTCCGCTTCATCGATGACTGGGACAGGACCGTCAACTCCCCCTCCCAGCAGCAGCAGCAGCCCAGCCGCAACGGCGTGAGCCAGCAGGGTCACCAGCGCCAGCCCCGCCAGCTCGGCCCCGCCTTCGTCCCCAAGTTCGACCTCAAGGAGACCGAGGACAACTTCGAGCTGCACGGCGAGCTCCCGGGCATCGCCAAGCAGAACGTGCACGTCGAGTTCACCGACCCGCAGACCATCGTCGTCCGTGGCCGCGTCGCGCGCTCCTACACCTCCGGCACCCCGCCCGCGGGCCTCGCCCTCGAGGACGTCAAGGATGAGAAGACCGATTCGGAGATGAGCGGCGCCATTGGCGATGAGCCCGTCATGGTCAGCGGCACCGACCACCACGAGCAGGAGCAAGAGCAAGCCCACGACAACACGGACTCGCACCACGCACGCAAGTCGTCGTACCAAGCCACGGTCCAGGACGAAAACGACGACAGTTCCATCACCACGGCCGAGCAGTCCACCCCGTCCACGACCACCACCGAGGTCGCGAAGCCCGAGTCGTCCTCCCCGGCCAAGACTCAGGTGCAGAAGTCCTCCGCGCCTCCCAAGCCACAGGCCAAGTACTGGGTCGCCGAGCGCACCGTCGGCGAGTTCGCGCGCACCTTTGCCTTCCCGTCTCGCGTCGACCACGAGGGCGTCAGCGCCTCGCTCGACAACGGCATCCTCAGCGTCATCGTGCCAAAGGCCAAGAAGCACGAGACCCGCCGCATTGCCATCAACTGAGCGGTCCTCGCGGTTTTCGCTGGCATCTCTACTGCGACTTCACTCACTCACTCCTGAGGTATCAGCATGAGCCACCCTTCTCTCGACATTTGGTTCGCATACGCCTGCCTTGATGCCTGAGATACTTCGCAACAAACTACGCGAAAACACCAAAAAAGATTCACGATCATGATCATCATCCGGGGTCTGCAGCACGGCGTTCACTGGCATTGGCATTGACTTTCGCGCATCTGCATTTGCATCACGACACGGACAAGGACATGGACGGACTGGCGTCGAACTATATCATCATCACCACCACTTGCTTTGCAGCCCAGGGGGTTTCTGAATCCTCTAATATTCTTCATCGCGTTAAGTTGGAGGTGGTAATGAGATCCAAATTGCCTAGGTGCCTAAGGCAGCAGAGACACTCAGGTGTCGGCTGCTGCCGATGGTTGGGGTTGGTGGACAGACAAAATGGAGGTTGGCAGGGAGTGTAGCATAGTTACCCTAATCATAAATTGATTGCACAATACTTGTGGTCTTCTGGCTCTCGTGAATGTTTAAGTGAACTTGGCTCTGTTTTGATTTGACTAGTGTATGCTTCTTGCGGGTGAGCGTTGGGCCGGCCCCCCTTGCCCCTATTCAATCATGGCCGATCCTTGTAGGCCCGATATCCAAGGGGTGCTTCAGTGCCTTACACATAAAAGAATTCATGGCAAGCGCCAAATATGAGTTGGATTGACAGGGTAGGTAGGTCCGGAACTTGTAGGCTTCAGACTCTTGACGTTGCTTCCTCAAGCGCCATGTCGATACACTGAACCCTCATAAGTCTTTGTACACGACCCTCCCAGCAAACCACAGTAAATTCATCAAATCGGAATAAGCATACCGGAATAAGCAGTTGGATCATAATTAGCTATTCCAGATGCTTATTCCAGGGTGCTTATTCCAGTATTTCCAATTATCCCACTGGTTTGCTAGAATTTTGCCAACATGCGCGTACGGGGACTTATGAGGGCTGAGTGTACCTGGGGTATAACACTGTAGAGAATCTAGGAGAGTAGCACTTCTTGAGTCACATGGAAATGCGGGTCACCATATTAAAAAGAGACGCGTGGGAAGGAGGGTTTCTGGTGATTGTGACTGTAGGTGTGCTAGTGATGAACTTCTCAGGATAGATGGTGGTCGACACAACAGTCGCCCAGTCTGCCCATCTGCCAATATGTCGCGTTTCGTCCCTAGATTAATTTAACGACACTTCCCCACGCGCAGAGAAAGGTGTAAATGACGAGAATAAGGACCAGGATCCAGCTATACCCCATGGCGTAGACGGTGTAAACGGCGTAAACGGCGAGGACGATGACCACGATCCAGGCATACCGAAAGATCCCCAGTACCTTGACGCTGAGGGCTCTAGCATGCGCGCAACGACTCCCTTCCAAGCTTCCGACGATGGGAGGAGGGCGCAGATGTTCTTGCCCAGTTGGATGAGAGCAAAAGCTGCAAAAGCGACGGGCGCGATGTAGGGCGCCAGATCGATGAGCACGCGGCCGAGCTGCAGCGCCGTTCAGATGATTGTTCCTGCCACGCTGATAACTCCGCCGAGCAGCCCGAAGATGCTGACCACGACCACCATGGCGGACACGCCGACCCAGCGGAGCGATTCGGCGACTTCGTTGACGTCGTGGCGGAGGCCTTCGTGGTTGAGGATGGCGGCGATGACTTGGTCGGTGAGGTTGGTGAGGGTGGCTTTCGCGGTTGCGAGGTTGGGGATCGTGCTGTTGGTTGTGTTCGCCATGGTCGCTTTTGGATTTACTCGAGTTCTGATTTGGGGCGCTGGGTGTAGAGTGGAGGTGGAAATAGGGAATAGGGAATAGGGAATAGGGAATAGGGAATAGGGAATAGGGAATAGGGAATAGGGAATAGGGAATAGGGAATAGGGAATAGGGAAAAGGGAAATTGAGGCCGTCGTATCCTGGGTCTTAACTGGTGGTGCGAGAGTACGGCTAGTTTGGTTGGGTTGTGCATCAAGACAGTATCGGCGAAGGAAAACGAGAGGTCGATTGTGTCGGCGAGTCGAGATTTCATCCTTCAAGCTCCCGCTCAAGGAGGGAGAAGAACAGTCGAGCGGAATTGAGAAGTGACATAATAACACTATAGGAGGTAACCCGAACAGGCATTGAAAGAGTTCCCATGATTTCATCATCAGTCCGATTACAAGCAGAGGAGGCGTGATGATAGTGAAGATAATGAGGACAGGCACGGTGAGCAGCAGTGCGACGAAGAACACGGTCAACTCCCAGATTCCCTGACGGATCATCTCCTCCCAGTTCGCTTGACGGGTCGCATGGACAATCGCAAGGCCAAGGAGGATCGTATTTTTGACCAAAAGCTTGCTGAACTCCCAGGCTGTGTGACCGGTCGCTTGGGTAATCGCAAGGAAAAGGATGAATGCCGATTTAGCCAGGTAGAGGGCCACGAGCGTATCACGAAGCAGACGGAGGGAGCTGCAATTGGTGGCAGCCATTGCGACGATAATTATGCTTATGGATGGGCGACGAGTATGGAGGGAGTGGGCGGCTTGGTGGTGGTGAATGTTGATGCTGATGTGGAATGTCCGTTAAGTTAAGAAGAAGGGAGAAATTGGTGGACAGTAGACTGATGCGACGTTTTACGTGGAGGCCGGTTTTAGCAAATTATTCCTCGAGCAAATGAGTAACTTATTGGCCATACAGTTTTTAAAGAAGAGATAAATTTGGGTAGAGGTGTGGATTAATAGCGTGGTTGAGAGAGTTAGAGCTGGTTTTTTTGGACTTGGACATTGAGTGGCTTGCCCCATTGGCACCTTGAGGGCATTTTGAGGTTTTACCTTAGTTATTTTGACCAGAGTTCGTCTAGAGGAACGCCATCTCTCGAAGGGGTAACTGTAATTTGAGATTTCATGGGATGCTGATTGGAAGAACTAGGTCGGTATCGCAGCCCTGCAACTTGACATGAGCGTGCCCCCAACTGCTAATCCCACACAGCGGCCATCGACTTGATGAACCCTTGACACCTTTTAGGGTATATCTTTCGAGCTCTATGAGCTGGGAGTTTCGGTCCACAAAATCAGGCGAGAGATGGTAAGGTTAAATGGTGCTGGAAGAGAAGAGTAACGGCCGGAGCAGGCGACAGCGACGCTCTGTTGACTCCACCACCCAACTGTAAGGAAAGTAATGAGCTGCAGACGATTCGGATAAGAAACTCTTCTCAGTTGGTATCATCAAACATTATCTAACTCGCTTCTCTAAGGACATCACATCGTACTCCACACATTGTCTGTCTTCCCACTACCCCTTCCACTCCACCACACCTGATTGAGTAAATCTCATCCGCTCCCCCTTACGGACCATACTCAGGCCAATTAATCGCCGAGACATCCGCGTAGCACTTCGCAGACGCCGCAAACTCATGGCTGGAAATGCTCCCCTCGGGCAGATCAGGCAGCGCCGCACATTCCGGAATAAGGTTGATCGCAACACAGTTCTCCGGGATGCTGTACGTATACAGCGCCGTGGCAGGGTCCTGCACACCGGTGACGTAGCGGACCGTGGTGAAGTTCTGGTTGTAATAGCGCACATACTCGTCACAGGCCACGAACTTTCCAGCACCAAGAGCTGTCAAGTAGACGTAGGGGTCGGGGAAATGCGCCAGAGATACACCCACGGTGCCGCTTCCGGCGTCCACCGTTACGCCGCGCAGCGCGGCCGGGTCGGACGCGTTCTGGTTTGCTACCTGGATGCCCCAGGGGAAGATTGGGGTGCCGCCGTCGGACAGGATGTCGCCCTGGTTGTAGCGGAGTTCCTCAGCAGTGCCTGAACTCAAGTTAGAATCACGTTGGTGCTCGGCGAGATATTGGGCGGGACTTACCGTTCTGGTAGAAGATGCGGCTGTTGTTGGTATCTGAACCTAGAGCGGCATCGTTCAGGCCAGCGCCGACGTGGATTCCTTGGAGCACCAGGCCATTGACGGACGCGGCCATGTCATTTGTGGGATCTGTGGCGTTGGCGACGAGCTTGAAGCCTGTCGACTGGGACGAGGGCGGGTAGTGAGGGACAACCTGGCGGGGAGCAAGAGGTACAGAGGAGGCGAGACTAAGAAGGCCGATCGAGATGACCGTGGTGAACATCGTGAGTAACTTGTGGTGTCTAACGTTATTACGGAGGCAAGTTTGGTTTGAGAGAGTAAGCTGTTCGAATAGCCAAGTGATGTGTGATAAAGGTATTATGAATGATGTCGCTGATGATGGATGACGATGATGATGTTGCGGATACCGAAGAAATGGAGCGGCGTAGATCGTCTTATATACTATAATGTTCGCGTTGACTAGAGGCAGCGTTAGGTGGTTAGTGCTGGGTTAGAGGTAGCAATGAGGCTAAAGATGCAACGTCCGCCTATTGAACGATGGGGTTTCTCGTATTGCTATCATCATCCGCTGGGCGTTAGTAAGCGATGGCAAGCGCGTATAAAATGCATTGGAGATGACCTCAAAAGTACGGAGGCCAGGGATTCTCTTTCCCTTCAACCAGAAGAGGCGATATTAACCGTCAATACGAGCTCTCGAATAGCTCTCTGCGCAGTGGTGGCGCCAGCAGCAGACAGGTGACTGATCGCCTGCAGGAGACTCTGACGCCGGGGTTGCCCGCCTGCGAGCTGCGAGCTGCCGTGCTGATGTTAGGCCGTGATGAAGCTTCAGGCAACACGAGAGAATGCGACCCTGATTACCTCATCCTTTACAAGCTTATCGTCCGTCTCGGCGATGCCGCCGATTGAGACAGGACTACTCTTAGCCAGTTGATCAGTCGCAACCGGTACCATTCGCCTTGGTCGCCTCTTGCAATCATCTTTACGACCTTTGGTAGCATCATCACGCGATGTGGCGGCCATTCTATCGAGAACGATCCCCCCTTGGTTTCGGATACGATGGGCTTCACGGCGATGTATCATGTCGGGGAGCATCGTCTCCTCTCGGAATCAATAGGAAACATGTGCCTTGAAGGCAACTCGATTCATAACCATGAAGTGTAATCATACTTGTACAGGATGCTCGGATTGTTGCTACCCAGTCAATCCGTGCTTCCTCTCGGGTGATGAGAGCGAAGGCAAACCCCTTCTACCCTGTATGTTTCCCCTGATGTAACGCCTGCTATAACCCAGAGAGAACCCCTAATCAAGAGCAAGCCAAATCGAACTTCGGTGTGGCGCTGTCAAGAGGAGTGAGAGCAAATGAGATATCCGATTGTGCGGTGTTCGCGTCCACGACTGCGACGTCAGAGTCAGTAATGGCAGGCTCTTGACTGTACATGAACAGTATATGGGGAATATTGGATCATAGAATAGCAGCATATTGCGACAGGTGTAATGCCAGTGTGAAACAGGCACAAAGGGGTATGAGAAAGCCTGGACTCCACTCACGGGTGTACCAGAACGTGTTACGCTTCCCAAAGAGGGAACAGCCAACGGTTTCCCAATAGTTCTTCGCGTTCTCAACGGATGCAACCGCGTCACGTTGCATAGGTCCCACTAGGTACATGGAACACAAGTGACTGAGTCAGTACCATGTTCACCAAGGCGACACGAACAAGGGGTGGTGGGTAAGAAGAACGAAGGGCTGGAACTCACAGGTGGGCCATCCCGTCTCGGTAACCCAGACGGGCTTGCCCTGGGCCACGCTCTCTGTCGCCGCCACGGCCGAGAAGAAGTTGACGGAGGCTAGCGAGATGGCGTTCGGCTTGGTGTTCTCGAAGTAGGGAAATGAGTTGTGGCCGAGGAAGTCGACGGCGGAGATGACGCCGGTGTTCTCGGGTAGGACCCAGGCAGTCCTGGTACGGGGGGGAGAGTCAGCTGGGGCTCGACGAGAGGTCTCGGACGACTACAGGTAGAGCGAGTCGCAGCCCACAAGAGCCTAGACCACCGGACCGCAGCACCCCTTAATGAAAATACTCACCCAGAGGAACGAGACAGATTGAGCACTCACCAAGTATCGACGTGTATGATCGGCTTCCCCTCCAGAACCGTGCCACGAAGCCAATCTCGCAACCAGCCGATAAAGCCCTCGATCTCGACGCCCGTGGCACCGACCCCCGCATTATTGGCAACGCCCTGCGGACTGCTCCGGTACAAGTCCTCGGACCCGACACTGATCGCCAGCACGCGGTCCGCGAACGCGGCGCCCAGCGAGTTCGCCGCCGCGACGAGCGCGTTCAGCTCGTTCTCGTAGCCCGCGCGGCCACCACTGGCCCACAGACCGACGAGCACCGACGTGTCGGTGTCGATGGCGGCCTGGTAGGCCGAGATGGGGTCCGCGGCCGTGCCGCACTGGATGGAGGTGTAGAGGCGTGCTGATGCGAAGCCCGGGGCGCCGGCGAGGTTCTTGGCGCGGTTAAAGAGGGATTTGAAGTCGTCGTAGCCTCGGCAGGAGCCGTCGTTGTTGGTCGAGCCGTAGTTGAAGCCTTGGATGGCTTGGGCGGCGCTGGGGGCGACTAGGCCGAGCGCGGCGAGGTGCTGGAGTTGCATCTTCGGGTTTGAACCTCAGTCGTGACTGCAATGTTGATAGCGATGTTGAAGGCAAGTGGACGGGGTGTTGAATGATAAATACAATACAGCTAATGATCTTACACTCGAGACGGCGATGATCCTTATGATGCCCAAGAAGTTGAACCAACAAGACAATATGTGTGTGATACAAAGAACTGTCTTAGATGGGCTGTGAGTCAACGGCCTGTGAGGAGCTGCTCTTTACATTTCAATGCTTACGGTCCTCCTGCCTCCTAGTCACGGTCGTTCCTGTAGTGATCTCATAAATAGGCAGTGATTAAGTCGAGCGCGACGTCTCTGAAAACCTGCAATCTGCAGATCGGGACTGATGATGCACGGGGCTCGTATTCCCTCCTCGCCAAGCAGAAGCTAGGATATGCCGGAGGGCAGGTAGGGTCCCGGACTCTCGGCAGGAGACCATCTGGTGCCTTCCATTGGCCAGATCTCGAATCGATGCCCGATTAGGCAACTCCAGCTGCTATAGTTTTCGTGGGTGACCATCAGCGCTGGGAGACCCCCGACTGTCAAGCCAACATGCCGGTGTGCGTCATCCTGCTTCCCCAGACTTTCGCTATCGAACATCGGGATTGCGGAGAACCTCGACGATAATTCTAGTTCTGATGTCTAGAACAGCCTATCCAACTCTTCATACGCACTCCTATCACTGAAATCTGCCGGTGTTCTAGAATGCGTCACAGCCGACACCTCACGGTCACGGTCACAGTGGCTCAATCGCACGTAACCTGGACACAGCCTCTCGTGTCAACATGTGTATGGATGAAATACGAATATCTCACTCAATATGTGCGTTCTAGACCCGACCACGTTGCCCCGGTCGGGTCCCCTATCCTCGGACGTAATAAGACAGCCAGTACGACCGGCCCCCTGGAAAACCGTCACCAACCTGAACCTCCAAATAGTCCATCCCAGACCCAAGACCCAATTCCAGCGACCCAATTCGGGTCGAAATAGAATTCGCTTCTTCGAGTTGCACATGCCCTATTTATGTCTCCCCATCCGAGACTCTGTCAACCTGAATAGGTAACGTACCGAGGCATTCCAAGCGGAACACCACGAACCGCGAACCAGAACCGAAGCTACTACCACCGTCTCCTATCATAATCGTACATCCATCCCAATAATCGCTTATTCCACCACTTCCACCAGATTGCCCACGTAGTACACACTACGCAAGACTGCTCCGCCGGGTCTCAAGCGGACTCACCGTGTGCGGGCTCGCCCGCCGGCCGGGGTTGGATGGATCATCCGGCGTCAGCGGCGACACCAGATCGCTGGCGCGCCCCTCTTTGTGATGATCACCCGGCGGCGCCACGCTGGCCGCCGAGACGAAGCTCATCCGGTGATCCACATCATCGTCGTCGTCGCCATCCTCATCGCTGATCGGCGAAACGGGAATCACGGGCTCCGAATCCCGCTCCGACAGCACGTGCGTCGACGCGTTGCGGTCCGCGCCCACGCTGGTCAGTGTCTCTAGCGACGCTGCGTGCGTCTGCGGCGCTGCGCGGTCTGCACTACTGCTGCTGGCGATGTTGTTGGTGATGATGCTGTTCAAACCGCCCGTGATGCCCGGGTGGTTCGGGTTGATCGAGAGCCGGTTTGCGCGCGATGATGATGACGGCCCGGCGATGTTCTCGGTGAAGCTGGCGTCGATGGGCGAGACGGGCACGTAGGTACTCAGGCGCGGGCTCCGCAGCCCGGCACCGGCACCGGCGGCGCTCTTGGGGCTGCCGCCACCAGAAGCCGAGGCGCGCGGGGATTTCGGGAGGGGTTGGGGCGGCTGTTGCTGTGGTAGTTGTTCACTGCTACCTCCTTGACCGCTCAGACTAAGCCGCTTCTCAAGATCGACCGGGTTCGCGGCGGGCGGTTTACCCTTGCGGCTCAGCGGCCAGTTGGGACCGTAGCTCTGGCGCGCCGACGCGGACAGGTGTTTCTCGCGCGCCGGCGACACGGGGCTGCTCTGCTCATGGATCGTGGACAGCGGACGCAGACGTCCCGCCCCGGCGGCTGTTACTGCTGCCGCCGGTGCCATCGTTCCTGGGCCAGAGGACGTGTCACCCAGCTGTGTCTCTTCCATCTGTCCGCCATTCGCCGCTGCGTCTGCCGCGGCAGCCGTGCGCTGTCGTCGGCGGCGGATGACGAGGAACGCGGCGACGGCGGCGAGGATAATGAGTGCGATGACGCCGCATACGGCGCCGGCGATCGCGCCGACCGAGCTCACCTTCGGCGCATTGGTGGGCGCGGGCTCGACGGCGTCCGTGCTGGACGCGTTGGATGCCGCGGCGTCGTCGGCCGTTGTGGTCGGGATCAGCTCGGGGGGTAGCGGGTACATCTCCCCGAACCCGTGGGTCTCCTGGCATTGCACGTGCGTGAACGTCGCGCCGGGCTCTGTGCTTGTCGTGAAGGCGTACGAGAAGCAGCGTAATGCCGTAGCTGGGCTGTGGGAGAGGTTAGCTGACTCGTCTTCTGCGGTGCGATCATCGACGTGAGACTGAGGGTGAACATTGGTACTGACCAACATAGGGTGTGTGGCCCGCATAGGGCTGCGTCGGGGACGACGCCGTAGTCGACGCAGGTGGTGTAGATCGTCGAGACGCAGTCTGCGCCTCCGGCCACGCAGCAGCCGCGATAGACGCCGACGTTGGTGCACTGGTATCCGAAATCACAGGTAACTAGGTGGTGTTGTCAGTCACTCATCCATCTACATCCCTTCCTTTCCTTTCCCTTCCTTGGTGAGAAGATGATGATCCCACTTACTCGTGCTCATGGACGTGTAACCGCAAGTGTCGACTCCCATGACGAAGTCTGTCGCGCTCGGCGCTGGCGCGGCCGACGTTATATCAATCTGCCTGGCGATGCCCACACGACGATGCGAGTGGGCCGTCTCGGACGGTGGGCTGATGAAAGGCATGTCTCGTTGCCGGGGCTGGTCTTCCTTGGCTTCATCACGCATGATGTGGGGGGGAAGGGAAGTAAGAGCAAGAGAAGAAACAAGAACAAGGTCAAGGGGGACGGGAACGGGTATGGGCAAGGGTCAGGGTCAGGACGAGAGACTATTTGGGGGACTTTCACAATTGGCCGGGCTACGGACGGGAGATCGCGCGTGCTGCGGGCTTCTTTCGAGATGTCATGTCTTCATTGTCTCGAATGCGGCAAATTCGCCGCAAGACTAAGCATTCCAGTCCCCAGCGGCCCCACGCCAGGCTGCTCTTTGTCCGCCGATTGAGGCGGCGTCGAGACAGAAGACAAAGAGAACTCGCATCGCACAAAGGACTATGTACAACAGTTGGTATGAGATTATCTCCTGCGCTTGCCGTTTTCGTCGTTGGCTGATTTGTCAATTTGACATTTCTTGCCTCCCGCTCCTGTGAGCCGCCCGCGCGAATGAACTGACGCTGCTCAGATCGTGGTGAAGACGTCCAAGCTGGACAACTCGGTCCCAGCAGACTGAATTGAATGGTGTTAGCTGTGTTTTATCGCTGAGATATGTATAAAAGATGGATGGATGAGGTGGTGACATACCGAGAACATGGTGTTGGACGAGCAAGACGATCCCAGACCCGCGTTATCCATCCACGCCGGCTCCCAGTAGAATATACCCACGCCGTTACTGACCCCAGCCACGACGGCCGCGACCTTCTGCATGAACGTCGTCTGGCCCGTCGCCGAGAACGGGATGCTAGCAAGGTCGCTCGGGAAGGAATAGGCGGGCGACGGGCACGACGTCGGCCAGTCCGTCTCGGCGACGACGATCTTCTTGCCCCAGGTGCTGGCCATGTTGGTCAGGCTGGTCTTGAGACTCGCGAGCGTGGCCGCCGAGTTGCTGGTGATTGGTCAGTGGTGTGTATGTACATACATTTGTAATAGTAGGGTACGGCGACAAATGATGCGACGTCATCGGGGTCCCGGGTGCGGAAGTGCCTCGCGAAGACTTACTAGAACTGTGGCAAGGGAAGTCAGTAACTAATTCTCCTCTTCGGGAGGCTCATACAGATGACTCTGCGCCATGAGATGAAATGAAGTGTCACGTACTGGATAATATGACACCCCCATCATGTCAAAGTCAGACGTCGCCAACGGACCCTCAGCGAGAACCGAAGTGTACCACCACTTTTGGGTCTCCCAATCCCAACCATTATCAAGGTGAATCATGATCTGCGGCTGGGTGGCCAAGTTGCTGTCCTTGATACCCCATGCCGCCGAGTGGAGGAGGGTCGCAATGTTGTTGAAGTTGTTGTAAGAGCCCGTCGGCAAGAGCAGTCCAGAGCGGATCTCGTTACCGATCGAGATGATCGACGGCGAGATGCCAGCCGCGGCGAACTCGTTGGACACCTCCATCGTGTAGTTGTACAGCGTATAGGCCAAGTCGTCGACGTCCTGAGGCCATCCTGACGGGATCGCCTGGTGGCTGGGGTCGGCCCACGTGTCGCTGAAGTGCAGGTCTAGGTAGACGCCCAGGCCGGCGGCCTTGGCTCGCTTCGCCAGCTTTAGGTTGTAATCGAGGTTGTAGTTGCCATTGGACGGGTTGACCCAGACGCGCTGTCTTACTGTGTTGACGCCGCTGGAGGCGAGGATGCTCTCGAGGGGTGCGACGGCGCCGCTAGTCGTCTTGTATGATTTTCCTGCATTCTCCTCGACGATGACCGAGGACCAGTCTACGCCTTTGTACGTGAGCGCGGCGCGGGCTACTGCCAACGACGACAGGACGAAGAGGCTAGAGAGAAGCATTGTGGTAGAGCGAGTGGAAGGACGTGGATTAGATGTGCCTGTCGTGGACCAACGACTGTGGGCGACATCCTCGAGAACTCGGTGCAGTCTTATGAGATGCATCATCCATACCACTGCGGCTCATGGCCAGCATCGTTACGTACCCAGATTCATGTTTATTGGTGGAAATTGGGGGACGTTGTCGGTGATTAGAGGAACCTCATCTCGTACGGAAGACCCATCCATCGGTGGGCCGTTCGCAAGGACTACCTCCCGTGGGAGGGACGCCGCTACGTTCAGTCAGAGGTCTTGCTGACCCACCTCGTATACAGTGACATGGATTCCCCGTATAGCAATCCTTGACTTAATGTAGTGGTCACGATCCTCCTGCCAATCAACATGAAGCTCTCCCCGGCAGCTAATGAAAAGCGTGTGCGACCAACAACCTGGTCTATGGTCTGTTCCCCATGGGGAACCACGTGCCAAGTCGCCCCTATCCACCGGGTCGCCCTAACTGCCGTAGCGGCCGCGGAGCCTCCGTTCCCCGGGCCAGTGTCGTGGAAGGCGAGAGATGTGGTCAACCTCGGTACCACATACCCCAAAGTTCAACACCGAGAATGATGCGTTGTGCACAGTCTCTCAACGGGGTGGAGACAATACGGGAATCACATGATCATCGTCTGATATGATTTATTCACCGGTGGGCCTTCTGCTTCACTTCCAGACACGAGAAGTGGACTTCACAGGGTTCATGCTAGTTAGGGCGTTTCGAGGCCCCGTCGCGCATGGCGGGAACATCGGCGTGGATCCTCGGGAAGGAGAGGTGGTATTTTAGATGATCTCTCGCGGCCCGAGTAGGAAATTGTGCTTGCTTCATGTTAAAGTCTACGGCTCGGACCCAATTAAAACCTTGCGAGAGAGACATGGTCACAGACGACAGCATAAGGCCAACTACGATATGCAACATTTCGATGCATTACTTCCATACCTCAGGCAGTGGCTGCACATCATACTATCAAAAGAAAATGTGCAGCGGGTCATCTTTTTTCGGGATCCCGTTGAATATTCACACCGGATGCGTACAATGCGCTGCACTTTTTCCAGTGGTATGTGTTCTTTGTCCGCCAGATCGAGCTAACCTAGAAAGATGGCGATCCTTGAGACAAACCATTTGTGCCATTGTCTCCCTTGGACCCGGAATGGACGGTACTCGAACAACTTCCATGTAGCAAATGAATCGTGAGCTGGTGGAGCGCCATGAATTACAATTTCCCGAGTCTACCCGTGTCATCGTATGGGTCAGCCGGGTCATCCGATGAATGGCACCCGGCTGTAGAAGATGTCAAGAAGTATTTCAACAGCAAGAGTACCCTGAAGTTTGAAAAGTTGATTGGCGTGGGAGTGTTCGACAGCGCTCGCGTCTTGGAGACCAACCCCGACTCGAAGCAGACGCGGCGACTGGTGGTCAAGAGAGCAATAGGGAAGAGCGCCGATCGACTAGCAACTTATGAGAACATATTGCGCAACGAGATACAATGGATGAAGGTAGGTTGACATCTTCATACCCAAGGCTGAGGGCAATGTCCATGACTAACGAATGCAGGTAGTCCGTGGCGCTTCCCACATCGTCCGCATGGTCTTCGATCGAGACAGGCCACCTAGCGAAGGTGCACTCCCGGGACCCATGATGATCATGAAATACATCCCACACGGGAGCATACTGAATCTCATTGTGAATCCCAGAGAGTTGGAAGAAACGATACCAAATCGAGTGCTTTGGAGTTTCTTCCTATGCTGTAAGTGATCTTGAATGGTATTCTAACCTTTTCCTCGTGTCGCGACCGACTGCCTGAGGGGCTGACGTATTTCAGTGGTGAAGGCGTGCACCGAGCGACATCTGCCATAGAGATATGCACAAAGGAAACAGTGAGTGACGCCTGCTTAAAGTGATGAGATATACTCATGACGCCGTTGCTTACTCATACGGGTAGTTCTCATTGATGACCTCGCCGCTGAAGAACACGGAAGAATCCCAACGTTGAGGCTGATCGACTTTGGGAGCTGTACAGGGACACTTCCAGGAGGAGGTGCGGCAGCACCTGTCGCGTATGGCACCCAAACTCGCCTCACAATCTACTGTACTCCAAAATGACTGACCATGTCTATCAGTGGATATGACAACGCAGCCGTACGGCTGAACTTGTTCCAGGCAGCACGTGTATGAGCATACCGTTGGCTATGTGTGTGATAGGTGCTACTAGCTTCGCAGATCATAAAACTGTTGATAATAGAAGTGGACTTTGAGTGGGACTCCTCTGGGGATGCCGATGATAAAACCGTCCTATACAAGCCGAAGAGGATTGTGACTGGTTCAAAACGGAAGGACGACGATGACGACGATGATGACGATGACAAACCAGGAGGAAAGAGGACAAAGAAAGACGACGGAACAGCAAGTAGCAAACCGGACCCCAAGACTGGTGAAAACGAGCATGTAGTCATGAAGGACAACGACGACGACGATGACGACGAGGAAGTCACCGACGAAAAGCTGCCACCCGAGATATGGACGAATGTGTCAGGAAGCATCCTGGAGAACAAAGAACCTTCATGTACATATACATGGCCTCCGCGCCTGACTAGTATTGCTCCTGTCTGCAGAACAACATACCAAATACCCCCCCCCCCCATGGTTCGGCCTGTTACGGTACAAGTACATTGTACCTCCACATGTACCTATATATATGGGAGGCCCACCTCCCACCTGAAGCGGCCTTCCTTCTTCCTTCTTCCTTCTTCATAGATCGTTGAATCTAGCTTTATCTATCCATCAGTCCTGACCAGTTGTACTGCAGGCCTGATCGTCACACGGCCTTGTGACAGAATGGAGGCGAGCTACTCCCGGACGACCCGATGGATCCGATGCCCTTCGACCACCTGGATGAGGAGTTGAGAGAGCTGCTCCTCCGGTGTCTTGCCAGCGAGCCGAAATACAGGCCGGGATTGGAGAAATTGTAGAGAACGCTGGAGAATGCTGTCCGCACCAAGACAGCCGCATCGTATGTAGGGAAGCCGAACGGAGCGCAAGAGACGGACGCGGCGATCATGTCGTTCGTCCAGAGTCGGATTCTGAATGCTGCCACTAGGACTGAGGATGAGGACACTAGACGGCGCCCCTTTGTGATGTCGGGGTCTGAGCCGCCCACATAAGTAGTAAATATTGATCCATGCTGGTCTGGCCTGGTTGTGCTGAAAGATCATGAACAGCTGTATCCGTCACCGAAGTCCTCTTTATGTCAAACAGCGTGTATTATGGTTGATCTTGTTGATGAGGTGTATTCTGGTGATCCTGATTGATTGTCTGTATCTGAAGGATCTGCTGTTGTAAGCTACAGGGCCCGAAATTGCCCTGGAGGCCCTGTTGGTGCACTGCCACCTCCCTGAACGCCACTGTGGCTTGCGTGCCATTTGACACTTTAGCCACTGCCGGAGGAGACTTAATTATCGTGGGGTTACATCCACTTGATGTGAACCCAGAGGAGTCAGACCTCAATACGAACTTCAGACAACGTCGCATTCCCCCTCACCTTGGCGACGTTCCGTCCCCTGTACCTTCGAATCATAACCTTCCCCGCAAAAGATCTCGATGCCCTCATCGGTCTCGCCAATCTATCATCTGCAACTGGTCGACCGGTGGCAACGAACTACCTGCCGCTTCCTTGCATCCGAGATACAAACTCTCCCAGAGTCCTCGCAATGCCGTCATGTGCCGTCTGCATTTGGTCGACACACGTTGGCGGAAGCTCGCTTGTCCCCTGCCATGCTTTCCAAACGTGCAGTGCCTCTGGTCGACCGGTAAAACCAACGTTGCCAAGCCACCACGTTCATATGTTCTGTACTGTTCGATCATCGGCGCGCCGTAACTTGGCTGAGGAAGCCGCGCCCCCTCTTGTCTATCAAAGGGGCCCATCTGGGTCTCACGGGGAACCTACTCTCTCGCAAGGGCAACAACGCCGTGGCAGCAACAGGGCTCGTGCTCGTACGCGAGGTATAACGCTCCTCCACGGTGACCCGTGAACCCTGCAGCGCAACCTTGCCAACCCCGTATTCAAATGAAACGCCTGCCGCATACAACTCTGCCTCATAAGGAATGGCTTGCGAGTACTGGGCCGCGCTCCAGACGCCGAAGTCGACGCGCCCGTCGCCCCTGGACCTGGCAAGGGGTTGAGATCAAAAACGGCATAATCGCCTGCAATGACTGTGTATCCCAGGAGAAATGCACTGGAATAAGCAGCGAGTTGCTGCTTATGCCACTGCTTGGCCTACCAGCGACCTGGATATGAGCAGCCGAGTCCGACTGAGGAACTGCATCCATGAAACATCAACATCGCGCGCAAGAATCACATGACCGAAGGCAAGTCTCGCCAGATGTGTGTCCCAAAACCGAAATTTCTCATTCATTAGGCCCCGAGGGCAGTTCTTCCCCTCAGCTTCTCCTCCCCGGCCTGACCAACTAAACAAACGAAAAGAAAAACGAACGAGCGAACGAACGTTGCCAACCCCTAACTTTCTGTTGTGACGTACCCGGCGAAGGGGCAGAGGCCTGCTTCCACAATCTCATCTTGTCATCTGCATCCAACATTGGCAGCAGTGTTGACAGAGGCACTGATGGCGACCGCGATCGGACGGCTTGCGACTCTTGGGGGTAGTCTGCTTCTTGACTTTGCTAGCAGAAGCCTTGCCGGCATTCTTGGCGGAAGCCTGACTGTTCTGCGGTGTTCCTACCGGTCGTCGTCTTCTTTGACATCGTCTCCAGCATCGTCGCCGGCATCGTCATCGGCTAATAGCCACGTATTAGCTCAAACACTGGAGCAGTTGGGGTACATGATAACCCGTACCTTCGGGCGGGCAGATACCCTATTCGGGACTCGTGTAGAAGTAATCGAACTGGTGGCGATGGGCGTGTCGAACTGCACCTCAAGAGCCGGGTTGGCAGCACGCCGAAGAAGAACCTGGTGCGCGAAGAAGTGTTCGTTCATTATCTTCCGGCTTTGAGGTGCCAATGGCGGTAAGGCCATCCGCAGTTGTAGAGAACGGCCCCATTGGCGTTCGTGGTGCTTCCGCATTGCCACCCTTCGTGGTGTTGTCACGCTGATAGTAACGCGTAAGCGCGGCGCGGATATTGGTGATCAGACGTCGCTGGATGTCGTTACACATTCCACCGCGACGTGCAGATCCGGTGAAGGTGTAGCCCATCTCGTGGAGAGAGGCCACGATGGCAGCCAATTGCGCAGGGTTCGGCTTCAATGTCTTCTGGTAAACAATGAGGATGTCCTCAGGACATCCGCGTTCCAGTCCATGAGGGTGCGGTTGGACGACATGATGGGCGCTCTTGGTTCGTCTTGGTCGGCGGTCCTTGACTTGACGACAGTGTCGGGTATTTTAGATTGCACCTGTGTCGAGTTGGTAAGGGATTTTGGGACGCGCCCTTTGCGCGCCCTTTGCGCGCAGAAAGCGAGGTGTGGGAAACCACAATTACCTCGTGAAAAGTCGACGTATCGAATGCTGGGTCGCTTGTCAGTCTCATTCTGGTTAAAGACTGCTGCAGAGATAGAGTGACTTACTTGGATGATATGATTATTGTGGTGAAGATGGTATTGCTGGTACTGTCGGGTTGACAAATTGTGTGATGAAAGAGGAAAATTCTCCTTCCCACGAAAGAGGAAAGAAGACGGGGATATGCCGCTAGAGTTGACCCGTGCGCGTATGTGAGCCCTAGCCCTGCTGGCAAGTATAACCAATCGCCTTAAGTTGGAGACGTCTTTAAGGGAATTCACTGGAGTGCACTGCTAAAGAAATTCACTGTGGTGCACTGTTCCGGGGAGGTAAGACAACAACTGCATATTGCTAGCGGTACGCTAGTGCATATCTCTATTTGACAAAGAAAATCTATCATACTTACATCCGCTAGCCACCGAACTCATGTCTTTAGACTACCTAGTCATAGCCTGTCGAACCTACCTTTCTAGGTTCCGCCAGTGCGGCGCGACGGTGTGGTCGGAGCAGCTGATTCACCGCGAGAGGAAGGTCTACCCCTTGCCGATGATGCTGGTGTCGAACTCGAGCCTCGGGTCGAAGGAGTACCTAGTCTAGAGCTGGGCCCAGCTCCCGGCGTGCCGCGACCTCCGGAACCGAGGGGCGATGGCTTGATTGACTTACCGGGGATGGATGGCTTCAAACCCGCTGCGCTCGGGTTCTTAGAAGTTGGCTTGGAAGCAGCCGGGGCAGTAGATTTCTCCACGCGGTTCAGAGACGACAGGCGAGCCTTGGTGGCTTCAGCGCCCTTTTCCATACTCTGTAGCGTTACGGACAAATGCTCCTTCATTGGGCTCACGCACACCAGCATCAGAGTCCGACAGCCCTGGCTCAGAGACGGGCGGAGGGCACGTGTCAGAGTGGTGTCGTAGGCGGCAGGGGTCCCGTCGCCGAGAGCGGTGATGACGCGGTTCAGGCCGGACAGCGACTGGTTGATGGCGATGCCCTCTTCCCGTGCGAGGCCCGAGGTACCAGCTGAGGCTGTGCGCTCGGAGCCCGCGAGGTCCACGACGGTAAGCAGGCCGGTGTCGACTTTGCCCTTGGTAGCGCCCGTCATCGCCTCCTTGCGAACACGGATGTTGAAGATAAGGTGCGAGCGAGAAGAGCCTGCATTCATCTGAGTTGCGGCCGTCTCGCGGCGCGTGACGACTTCCTCAAGGAGATCCTCGGCGACGCGGAGCGTTTCCAAGTTTTGGAACGTGGCCTGGTCGAGTCGGATCTTCGTTTTCTCCCCGTTGACGAGAGGCTGGAGGAGATCGAAGATGTCGTCTAGGTAGATCTCAAGAACGGAGACCTCAATAGTGACCTTGTAGTCCAAGGCATCGCGGGCCGCCATGTCGAAAATGGTTGCCATCGATCGAGGGATAAGGCCATCCTGGGTCTTCGACATTGTGTACGTCTTGCCAGAGCTAGTCTGGCCATACGAGAAGATACACACCGATCGCCCATCGACTGCCGACATAGCCAGGTCGCTGACTTCGTCATACAAGTCCTCGTTAGTCGCCTCTGGGCCGAACACGCGCTCAAACTCAAAGTTCTTCAAGTCTGTGGCTATTGTGCCGGTGACGGTCTTACGCTCTACGGGAATGCGAAGCTTCGCCCATTTGTCAGAAAAGTCACCGGGCAGATGCTCGCCGAAGTCCACCACGTCTTCTTCGGCGGCATCCACAGCGGCAGGGCGGATCCTGGCGATCACTCTGATGTTTCCCTTGAGGTCACAGACCTGGTTGAAGAGTGCACGAGATCGCGCTCGCTCTAGTCGCAGATCAGAATTCAGCATCTCGTCTAGCTCCTCGCGGGTGTTGAGAGCATCGACGAACTCGGTCTTCAAATTCTCGACCTCGGCCAAGGCATCGTCGAGGTTCTCCCGCAAGCTGTTTCCCTCTTTCTCTGCCTCGGCAAGTCGGCTCTCAAGCGCTTTGATGCGCTCGTCTGCCTCTTCTGAGTCATCGATATCAGCCCAGTCTGGGTCCTCGACAGCAGTCTGCATGGGGACTCCACGCCCAGGGCTCCGGACGAGGGGGTCGTACTCGACTGAAAGACTGATGTTGCTCTTCCTCAGTTGCTGAATATGCGTCTGAAGCTCTAGAGACGCCTCCTCGAGTGCGGGAAACTGTTGTTGGATGTTAGCGACGGCTTGTTCGAGTTTATGCTGAGCCTCCTCGTCCGAAGTGCGTTTCAAGTTTTCCAGGTTGGTGGAAAGGTCATTAAAGTCATTCGTCATGTTGTCGATGATGGAATCGATCTTCTCATTCAATTCGCCCTTGTCCAGGTGCACATTCTTGCTGATCGACTCGTCCAGACTGTGTATGGTGCCGGTCAGACTCTCTAGGTGTCTATTGATCAACTCGCCGAGAGCTTCCAACGCTTTGTCCTCAGGCTTCTGTTGCTCTTGAACTCCAACCAGGGATGTCAAGAGGGACTCGATCTTGTCGAGTCTGCTGTCCATGTTTGAGCCGCTCATTTTCGAAAGAAGGTGAAGAGGATCAAGGTGAAGAAGATCAAGGTGAAGAAGATCAAGGTGAAATTAGGTCGGAATAGCCTTAGTAGTCAATACTAATGCGTTCTGGTTTTTGTTTGGTGGTGATGTTTGAGCAAGAACATTTATGCCGGCTGAACTGAAGCCTTAAGTATAGTTATCTGCACAGCTTGTTTCTTTGATGCCCCTGTCGGCTTTGATACTCAGTTCGCGACACTAAGAAAAGCAAGGCAAAGCACAATCGCTTTTGAGGGCATGACGAAGGAGTCTCCAACCACAATAACCATTATCACCGTCTTTCGCTGAACCTTTCAACCACTGAGCAATTGTCCTCGACATAAAGGGACATCGAGATGAGAACAAAGAACTGGACATCGGGCTTTAGAGACGGCGCCCCTTGAACGGAACAAACCCCTCGCATCATGGTGCAGAATGCGTAGGAATGGACTCGAAGTAACGTGATGTTGAGTTGATGCCATGTAAGCCAAATGGTCGATCGCTAAGAATAAGCTTCACCATCACCAGGAACTGAATTTTCGCGGAGTGATCCACTGCCACATGAACTTTAGCTTGTGTATACGAGTCATCGTCGTTTTCGATAGGTGAAAGTTCAATGGTCAGTAACGAGAGCGACTGTTCATCTCTTGATCAAGTGTCATGCAGTCTGATAGAGGGGCCCAGTGTCGAGTACAATCGGAAAGGGGTACATGAAAAGGTCGAACATTCTCGAGCCTAACACCTCAATGTGGAATAACTGATCAGATACTTGAGACCGATTGCATGGGTTAAGGCTCACCAGGTCACCAAGAAGTGTCTGGGCGGAATGACAGCTGTTCACTACCTCATCTTTGGTGAGCCCACTTTTCACCCACATCAGCGTCATACCCAGCTAGCGAAATAAATGTTGGGGTGTCAACAACCTCCACAACGCCAGTCGCCACCTTCGTATGTGTAGGTGGCTTTTCCTCAAGGATCTCTCTGGATATTACAAGCTCAGGTCGGTGCACAGGGCGTCCTGAAGGCCTATGGTTCGATGACTAGACTCAGAAGGTTTTGGCCACACTGGAGATGGTGTGCTGCATATCGCCTTGCTCACCTCGGCGAACAGCTCCTAAAAATCTTTATTTGGACGATAGAATCCTACAGTATCAACTCCGGATCACTCAGATATAGTCATATCAATACCTAAACTTCGATACGGACCCCACACTATGCTAAATATAAGTAACACATCTAATTGGTCAAAACGCCTCAGCACGTACATTTCACACATAACACACCTAAATGTACATAGTTATACCCGTTATCTTTGCTATCTAGTTCTATGAAAAGAGTGTTGTGTGCATCGTGAAACTAAGTGGGTGGAGAAACGAAACAGATATCCTATTAACATCACGGCCGAGCAATTACATAATCCGTTCCTACAGGAGGTTGTACCCTCTGCGCTCGCAGTTGAGCCAATAGGATGTCGGCCAGCCCGATGTCCTCAGCGGGGTGCCCAGGATTGGCTGTACAGGTGTCAAGATGGTAATAGTTAGCGGTTCCACATGTAGGGGTGTATAGATCCTTCAAGTTCCATACAGTGGGGTCGGGTGAAGTTCTAACAGGTATACATCATTGCAGATGATGATAGTGCCAGGAAGCGTGCCAGGAACAAATGAACCTTGTATGTACATATACAGGGCTTCCACGCCTAATTAGTACTGTAGCTCCCTGCAGAACAACAAGTCTTTTCACCCCCCATATGGTTGGCCTTCTAACAGTTAGAGACACTTGTATGACATGTCCCGGCAATTGAAGGCAGACTGGGAACGGACTTCGTGAGACATAAACTGCCCTACATCAGTAAAGCCGTGGAACTGCTTCGGTACGTGTTTTCGCGCATAGCGGGGCGTAGGCTGAGTTTCGAGTCCCTCCTTCCAGGTGTCCAAGATGGTAATAATTAGCAGGTCCCTATGATGGGGGCTATCAGTCCGTATATGCTGGTAACTGCCAATGGTGTCCAGGATGGTAAACAATAGCACGCCCCCTACCCCTATCTATATATATATATATATCGGTAGGTATCCATGGCCAGGCGTCCCAATTCCGGGCACGTGCCATTAAATCTCACATACAGATAGACCATCTAGTAGACAGGAGACCATGACAATAGACATACAACGTTCTACCGTTCCACGTCCTCCCACCGTGCCGCTTCCTTTCACCGTGCCGCTTCCTTTCACCGTGCCTTATTATCCTTCCACCGTGCCACTTCCTTCTAGTAGAAACATACTTAATATATAACAAGATGTATATATATATATATAAACAACTGGGGTGGTGGAAGACGCTACTATTGTCAGATTTGAGCCAATCGTCAGAGTGAAGTGTGTGTGTGTATTCTGTCTCTCTAGAGTGTCCTTGTGCGACCGTGGCAGTTTTGTGCCAGAGGGGGCTGGATCGGGACGGAACAACTAGGTTCCGTTGTCTATCTGTCAAAGCGCCTTCTAGGCATACCTTTAATCCAACAACTATTCACCATACTGGACACCTGTATCACATAAGGGGGTACTCACCATCGCGTACCCCGAAAAGTTCCAAAATGTTATATATACCATTGCAGGTAATTATAGAGTCAAAAATGGTGCACTTAGGTTTGAATCCTTTCACCGGTGGCCTGTGGGGCTTGCGCCATCTATCTATATCCTACTATGACATCAAAGGGCCACCGAAAGGAAAGCTGAACGTGGCAATACAGACATACCTGTACTTCTGGTGGTATAAATGTCCGGTGTACTGTTCGCAACGTTCAGATCCCTCACATTTCGTTTCAGTACAGAATTTGCCGACATCAGAATTTGCCAGCTAAAGACTGACTATCCAACGACTCAATATGCGCCAGAATCTCATATACGTCCTCCTATCGGTATCCGCAGCCCTCAGCGCGGCAGTGTCGAATCGCGGTGCTATGGAACTTTCGGCCCGCGAAGCCTACCCATTCACGGTACAAGACCTCCATATCGCAGACTGGGAAGTAAAGTCAGACGCAAAAGTCGAAGATCTCGGCATCAACCTCGACACCTATACCACAACGCGGCTCGATGACCTAAAAGGAAAGCTGAAGGGCAAGAAAGAAGCTTCCCTGGTCCTCCTGCCGACCGAAAATAAGCGAAAGATGAAGGTGATGGAGCAGGGTCATCCAGACGCAGACCACCCTAATGTCTTCTTTCAAGTATCCGCGGCAAAGTCAGACGTCGGCGAGCAGCCCTACAACGAGGCGGGAGCGGAGGGTGCCGCCAATCGCATCCGCAACTCGGTCACGGCGTTCCTGGATGGCAGCTTCCTGCCTGCGAATGAGAACGGCTTTGGGAATCAGACGACACTAGAATGGTGCCTTGAAAACGAGATTGGGAAAATCTACTTCTTCAGTATCGAGAACTACATTCAGGGCACGCGGAAGCAGAAAGACAAAGACTACGGTAGCGATCACAAGAAAAATGAGCAGATTGAAGCAAATGTCAACGATGTCATGGAAGCGGAGAACCACGACGGCTGGACCCTAGAGGATGCCGTGGACTACGGTTGCGCAGCAGCCTTTGACGTGTTCAAGAACAAGGCCTTCAGAATCAAGGGCGACGGCGTCAGGGTGCCAAGTCCAGAGGGCTACGATCTAGTCAAGGTAGCCATGGCTCGTGGTCACGACGATCGGGACTGGCGACACGGAAGATTGACCGTAGGGTCCGTTATCGCCGCGGTTGTTGACCCCAAATCCAAAGGGGCCGACCCTGAACACACACTTGACGCCGACTGGCATTACTACGTGTCGGGAGGCAAGGCGTCTAGATACGACATCTTGGAGAAGGCGGTTGCCCAACTGAGGGAGGCACTGTTTGGCTTGAACCGGGATGGTGATGTATCATAGTCGCAGGGCCGCGGCCGCGATGCCGTACAGTCACACGCCAGATGTAACAGGGGGCAGATGACAGAGATGGCGAATAAGAATCGACGATGGACGCGTACAAATATCAAGAGGTCTTAGCGCGCCTCAAGACTAAAGAGGACACCATGATCAAGTAGATGTCCGATGTATCTTATTCAGGAACTGCTTGGTTATGCAAGAATAGAGAGACCCTAGATGGAGTTATAGAGAATGAGACGGATACTCAGACCACTTCACGATATCGTTCTTCTTCATAAATCCATCCTTCAAGTGGAGAGTAGCGTACACCTTGTTGGCGTACACTTTGACATTCTTCCTCTTCTTGCAATTCTCCTCGCTATCAAGGATACTGACCGGGCAGAACTGCCCCGGCTCAGGCATGCTCGGGTCCAGGCTTTCGTATTGGAACTTTTCGCTCCCGGATGACCCGCTCTTCGGCGGCCACAGTGTCCCCAGGCGGTCGAGGTTTTCATCGATACCATCGCTTGCAAGTCAGCACAGCACGGGCTCGGAACCACGAGCGCGACCAATGGAACTTACTAACGATACTCCGTTATGCCTCAAAGAGCGAGGCTTGTGGCTATATATGTAGCAATCCTTCTGTGGCGAGAAGGCTGAACACTCGGTGATCCTTAGGGATCACCGACACTGGGCATGACCTATTCTAAATGAATCCGTCCCTACCTGGGCTTGCTCTAAAAGTGCTTATAGTTCACCGAGGACCTTGTAGTTCCCCGAGAACTGATTGATTGATTGATTGATTGATTGTATTTAACGTGGGGGGTAGCTCCTCAGTAGTGCAAACCACGCCTCCCAGAGCCTCTGTATCGCAGGGTTGTGGAGGTCTCAAGATAATAAGTACAGTCAGTCCCGCTCACGGGCCCATCCCCGTTGTTGCGGCGGTATGACCTTGGGGTCATCCATCTGGTCCTTCAAGAAAAGCTATCTATCAAGTTCCCCGAGAACGATGCATTGCCCGCACACTTGATTGATTGATTGATTGATTGTATTTAACGTGGGGGATCGCTCCTCAGTAGTGCAAACCACGCCTCCCAGAGCCTCTGCATCGCAGGGTTGTGGAGGTATCAAGATAATAAGTACAGTCAGTCCCGCTCGCGAGCCCATCCCCGTTGTTGCGGCTGTATGACTTTGGGGTCATTGCCCGCACACTGTAAAGGCAAGCGCAGTCCTATTGTTGAATGACATGCAAGCCACTGTGGCGTCAGGGAGGTGGCAGTGCACTGATCAGAGGGCCACGTAGCCACCAACAGAGACTTCATAACAACACAATCATCAAAATCAGCACCAAATACACGAATATCAACCATTTCAATCATCTGCGCGCTGTTTGACACCAATCGACGGGCCGCCGCCGACGGGCTCTCGCTCTCAGCGAGCACGACGACCCGACCGGCAAGTTTGGATTGACGTTGCAGGAGTGGTTTCGCGCGGCATGGTAAGCCTTTGATTCGGCAGACGGAAGATGGCTTGAAAATCCAACACCTCGTCTGCCGGCGAGTGTGAGTGGTGCCTATCCAAAGGCTCTGTATTGACCGAGGGTTTGACCAATCAAGCTGGCAGCAGAATCCGGAGGCCAGATGACCATATACCAGGAGGCACTTGATCCAGCCAGAGGATAGCCTCACAGCATTATCAGCTATTGCCTTGAGGTCATTACCCAAACGTGGCGTCTCGTATCTGTGGTCCTCTGGGAGTCAGCCTTCGTTCAAGAACTGCTCTAGTTCACCTGGAGGCCCGTCTAGGTAGAGCTGTCCGCATGCGGAAGTGGACTTGGGTGTTGCTCACGATCGTGTCCTTGCACCATGACCACGAGGGTATCTCCATATCAAGCTCATCCGAGCGCCCACCGATCGTCCCCATAAGACCTTGCGCGCGCGAACAACGCCCTCTACCGCGAACCGGTTTGCGTACGTAGCAGGCTCTCGTGGGTGACTGGGATGCTAAAATTACATCCACCTGGCTCGGTTGACCCCAGTTGGTCAACTTGAAATGATACTTCCCCGACAAAGTAGCAAGTTTCATCGGTAGAGTTCACTTCATTCATCTCTGTGTCACAAGATGGATCTAGTATCGGTTGCTCAACCTTTGGCGGCACCAGACTTGACCAGTATGATATCACCATCCTCGCCACATACTCCTTACCCTCCGCCATGTCCTTACCCTCCGCCATGACCTTACCCTTGGCCTTGATCTCAGCCTCCTCGCCAAGGTCCTTCAATATGTTGAAGTTGCAGACTTAACACTGGATGAAGGTCTTTTCAAAATCGCCGTGAATGACACCGGCGGCCTGCGGGGCTACGGTGTCGTTTCGGATAGTCCACTGTCGAATATCATCGGTACCCGTCGTGTAATTTGCGGGCGCGAAAAGCTGCCGACTGTAGTAACCATCTCATCAGACAAATAATCACAAACCAAGTCGATGGAACTCGAGATGAAAAGAGCTCAAGTCATGGTGCCGAGAGATTATGCAGCTCATGAGAAATTCAACTGCTTTAAAGATGATGTGGGATCAAAGTCACGCAGACCTTGAAAGATTCCAAGGGAGGGAAGATGGTTCTTATAAGAAGGTTCTGTCACACATCGCCATAATCACTTCAGGGGCTAGTCAGGCTGAGCTGGAGGCCAGGGAGCCTCGCAATCAAGGTATGTCACAACAGAAGCTACCCACACTCGACGAAGCGCGTCTGTTGACTCTATGAACCCACATATACCGAGCCCTCTGTACTAAGACTCTATGATGGGAAGAAAAGAGAGGATTCGATAGAGCGCGCCGGCGGCCAAACATGTGACTGGCTCTTATCTACCCAGGGTTCCCCTTCAACTTCGTTTCTGAGCCGGCTCAAAGGAACCGGTGCTTTGGATCGCTGGACGCGGTAATTGGCTCCAAGCCCTATAGAACGTAGTACTGAACGTATGGAGCGGGTAGCGGCAAGTCGACCCTGATGAAGTATGCGTGGGACTCGAGAGGTTAGGAAAGACCTCGAGTCTGGCGTACGAAGGACTGCCTTGTTCATGTGCGAGGGAGGCCATCGACTGCAAAAGACGTATGACGGCTTTGGTAGGTACGTTACGAAGAAGTCCATCCCTAACACCCTGCGGCCTGCGCCTGGAATACTAGGTCTAGTCCCTACTCTGTTGTTCTACGCCAACCTTTGGACAGTGTTAAGTACTTCAATCTGGCTGATCGTTGAATAAGTACTGGTGGCGCGTATGTCGAGTTGCAGATGTCAAGTTCGCGTGAAGATGTGGTCCTTCTACTACTTACTCGTTGGGCCATGTGCGATGACCTGTCAAATGGCCCGCAAGCCACAGTGGCGTTCAGGGAAGTGGCAGTGCACCAACAGGGCCTCTAGGACAATTTCGGGCCCTAGCTTACGACAGCAGATCCTTCAGAAACACACACTCTAATAAGAACCATCAGAATACACGTCATCAACCAGATGAACCATAATACACGCTGTTTGACATGACCCTCTAAGGGCCACTTAGGTAAGCAGAGCTACCCTTGAAGAATGCGGGCGCATGGACCACCGGGATAGGTTCCCGCGATTCGGGGCCAGATTGGGAGAGCTTCCCACGCTAGGCCGGATACATGTAGCGCATGCCATCATGGGTCTAGTGCTTTGGGCAAGTTTAGCGTCCGAGACAGCCACGCAGCCAGTGGACGCTAGCATGTGGCTAGTTCTCGGTTGAGATGAGACAGAATCGTCGAGACATTCATGTTTTCAGTATGGCTTCAGTCGTACAGCAGTACGGTCTCTGTGCCACCTGCCGTCTTCCTTTTGTCGGCAAGGGATGGGTCAGTGTAACCACCATCTACCTAAAACAGCGACAGAACGATCTGGCAAACTGCCGCCGCGCAGGCAAATGGCAAACAGGGGCCACCATCTGTTTCATGCCTGTTCCAAAAGGTAGCAAAGTAGTGGAGATGGTAGGCCGTGAAGGACGTCCCTCATGTTTATTGACGTTGCTCTCTTCCTTTCGAGAAAGCCTGGCGCGGCAATCTCAGTTTGGTTCGTCGTTGATTTCCTTTTAATCAGGAATCAGGAATGCTACCATTGCGCATTTTATTAGAGGTCGCGATGTGGCCTGAAATCGGTCAAGCCTGTGAGTGGCGAGGTTGATGGAGCTGATCGAGAAATTGCACGACAGCGTGACCGAGATAGGGCAGATAGGATGGTGCGGATGGGCCGGGAACGCGGCAAGGTACCTACCTTGTGACCTTGACAAGGCCCTCTTCCCCTGATCCTACAACGGACCGGCATCAGAAGCCCAACTTCATCTTCAAGAAGTGGACATGTCACCTCAATAATCGTCTGTTGCGAATATAAATTTGTACTGTGCATGATCGATTGTTGACTGCCGCTACTGTTGGGACTCTGAAGTTCAATGTTTGGAGTTGGATTCAACGTGAGGTTGGAGGTTGCAGAAAGGCCGAGGTGTGCATTGCGACTGGCGACTGGCAATGCGTGCCGCGTGGCGTGTCAGCCAGCATGCGTGATGGACCCCCGGTACATCTAACATGGACTTCATGATTTGCATCCAACCACAACAATACGTTGCACCGCACAACGGTGTAATGACAGACAGGACAAAGACCTTGCATGAAGATGCTGCACCTGTACCACACCTTGCAGGTTGCAAGTCGCAGCTGTCGCAGCAATACGAGAGGTCCAGAAGGTCCAGATACAGAGTGGCCGCTTTGCCACCTCAGAGTTCGTCTATCTCGCCCTAGATCTGCGTGTTTCCTTAAACCCAACGTGGTAAAGTTTCACGGTGGGGGGTGTTGTGCCGACAAAACCCCATCATCAGATGCATATCGACCGTCGACGAACCAGTGGATGGGGTTTTCGGGTGAATGTGCCGTCTTGCCACAGACCAGAGGGATGATAACAAAGTACCTGTAGTGAGTGGGTTCGCCCATTCCCGTCTGTGATGATTCCCATTGCGCGCACCGCGTCGACTTGTGAGGCATCCAATTTTCTCAAGTGCAGGTGGATGCACCGGACGGGAATACCGAGTCAAAAATCAAAAACCGGCGCCGGACAAGCAGTCCGTCAGAAGGGGAAAAGTTATAAGAGGATCTGTCGCTCAGTGCGGAAAGAGGAGGTAATTCAGAGGCTGGTCATTGGTGCAGGTGAGACGCTAACCCCAACCTTGCCCTGTCTCGCAGTGCGTGCACCAACTGAATCACAGCGCACCCGAAGCACCTGCTCACCTCCCAGTCTCTCCCACCCTTGCTACTCGGAACGCTTGGCCAAAAAGCTTGGCATCGCTTGGCATCAAATTGCCAATGGTGGGGTTGACTGCACGAACTAGCGGGAAGCCTGGCTGTCTGATTCGACGACGGAGAGTGGTCGGCAGGCGGCAAGTCGCGAAGTGCGTCAGATCCTTGCTAAGATTCCCTGGTCACTGGCGCTAGCAGGGTCCTAGCTTGATACTAGCAGGGTACCACTTCACCTAAGTTACGTTAGCGCGGTCCGTTATAGTGAGCTCTGTTGTCAAAAAAGACGGCGGGATGGGAAACCAGTGGGAAACGAGGTGATTCACCCGCGCGGCCGCGCCTTCTGAAGCTGCAGCTGGACAATCAAACAAATACCGGTCACCTGCCGCAGGTACGCACCGTAGCGTTCTTGCCCACTGAGCAATTAATTATTAATTACGTGATCCTTCCCATCTCTTGGTTGTTTGGGCAACTACCTCTACCTCTACCTCTACCTCCTCCTCCTACCTTCCTACCACGAAGCACACCCTTCTTCTTGGACCTCAACCCACCTTGTCCGCCAACTCCAACTGCTCTGCTCCTTCCTCTTCGTCGAGATCAACACCCACCCATCTTCATACCGGCTTAGTCCTGCAGCTTGTCCGCCAACATCTTGTAGTTGAGACACCAGAAACATTCTACCTCTACTCCCACCCGCAAATATCCGACTTCGCATAGTCTATCAAGATGTTCGCCTACAGCACCGGCCTTGTCGCACTCTCTGCGCTGACCCTCGTCTCCGCGCAAGCCAACTCCAACTCGACCTTCAAGATCGACCCCAGCAATGTTACCGCTTCAGACCAAAGTGAGTGCGTGCCACGTCCCTCCTTCAGAAATGGAGGCTAACTGCTCAACAGTCAACTGGTGCATTGCCGAACAGAACAGCTGCAGCACCCTGTGCGGAACAATCGAGGTCAACAACTGCGTTGAGGTTTGTCGCCAGCATGCGGGCAGCTCCACAAACACCACTGACACAACCATAGGACACCCTGGACTTCGAGTGCGAGTGCGAGGGCGGCAACTTCCCCGACATGAACCTATACAAGAACACGATGCCCTGGGTAAGTCATGTCTAGATTCGTCTTGAGCGGTACATTTCACGCACAACTAACATTGCGTGTGCAGAACGTGTGCACCCGCCTCCAGCAGAACTGCATAATACAATTCCAGAACGATGCCGCCGGCCAGAAGAACTGCACTGCGACCTATGGCGATAAGTGCGGGACCGAGGATGTGGCCGACCATGCGGGAGAGGGCTCCGCGTCGACTAGCACTATGAGCGCATCATCCAGTGGAACAGCTGCCGCCACGTCCACCGCTTCAACCACTTCATCGAGTTCCACCGGCGCTGCTGCCATGCCGACCGCCCACATGCAATACTTTGGAAATGGTGCCGCAGCCGTTGCTGTTGGTCTCCTCGCCTATGCCCTCTAGATCTGAGCATAGTGGATATGAGACCGCTTGATTGTCGATTGCTCAGCAAGGCCTACCTGTACGGATCCCCACAGTTTCGTGCCTGGGCATGCAACAGTGTTGCTATGGTGGCCGCCATTCTTTTCTTGTACACTTTGATATCCACTCGCATTCCCCACGATCCATCGACTTGGATCCTGTCATATCCCATGCGACAACACTAATTCACGAGAAGACGATTTGAGAGCATTGATGTTGATGAGTTGACTGGGAGAGAAATGAGAAGAGAAGACGGAGGCGATGGCGGGGATGGTGGCGTATACTTCGCGTTGAGGAATTTCGCCTTGCAGAAAGGTTTGGCAGGACGGCAGACAGATCGTTACGATGACGCGCGCGAGTTGCACGAGAACCTGCGATAGCAAGATAGGGACGGGAACAAGCATCCCGATAATAATAGATGTGAATTCAGGCAGGCCGGAGTGCCGCGCACCTTTGTGCTGTTTCTTTGCATCAGCGCCATGCGACTGCTCTTTGCTCTTTCTTCAGACTCTTCCTTCAGACCAGGCGCACCGCTTAGACGTCTTTATGAACAACCACCGCAGTACAAGGGGACACAACGGCATTGTTCGCGAGGTGCTTTGTCGCCATTGACCGTCATGCTTATAGAACAGCATGGTTATCACATGATCACCTCATTCTACTTTCCACTTTCCATCGATATACGATCTCGCAGTTACGGCCACAAGCAAGTGGCACATACCTCAAGAATTGCGTCAACAAGGTAGGGTTGAAGCAATACCTAGTCAGCGACTGCGAGAGGTAAGAAAATAGAAGAAGCTGGATCTTCTTCCATCCCCTGCTTGGGCTAAAATCATCTGCGCCACCCCCCTCACCGTCAATGGCAAATATATCAGACAGAGACACGGCATTGACCGTGCCTATAAGCACGCGACAATCGTACGGCATCGAACTCGAATGTCTGTTCGCGTACTTGTCGCCTAAGGACGCCGATCCGCACGAGGCCCTCGCCGCCTCGCTGCCGGCACCCCTCCGCATCGACGATGGCCCAGCCGGTGCAAGACAGAGCGCCGTCACCGGCCACGTCCGCAGCACGCTCCGGGCGCACGGCATCCGCTGTGCCGAGCCGACCTCGTCCTATACCCGTGCAGACATCGCCGCCTTCAAGGCGCAGAAGCTGGTCCGGTGGGACATCGGCTACGATTACAGCATCAGAGAGCCCGGCTGGGACGGCGCCGATGACGGATACAGCTGGCTCGGCATCGAGATCCGGTCCCCGCCGCTGTGGGACGGCGAGCGTTCGTACGACGAGGTGAGGTACGTGGTCAACCTGCTGACGGCCAGCTACCGGGTGCGCGTCAACCCCTCCTGCGGGTTCCATGTCCATGTCGGGAACGGGATGCAGTGGTTCTCGGCCCACTCGCTGAAGCGCTTGGGCGCGTTCCTTTGGGCGGCCGACCCGTTGATCTCCCGGCTGCATGCGCCCTGGCGGCGCGTGGGGGAGTATAGCACTAGTATCCGGCTTGCGAGCACGCTGGCGCGCGGCAGTGAGGTTACGGATGCTCATATGGCGGTTAGGCGGGAGGCGAATATAGTGAGGAGGGATGCCTCGAGGCGCGATGAGTTTGATGCCATACCTGTTGTAGAGTGGTTGGACCTGTCGCGGGAGGAGCGCGAGCATGGGGGGATGCAGGGCTGGGAGGAGTATGCGCGACGGAGGGAGGCTGGGCCACGGAGGGAGGCTGGGCCACGGATGGTGCTGCCGCCCCTGAGTGAGGAGGGAGAGATAAGTGAGGAGCTGACTCTTCGGGGCGGACGCGACGACGAAGGGCAGGGTAATGGAGGTGATGACAATGCGGTAGGTTCTGCCACTGAAGACGGAGCAGCGGCTTCTGAGCCTTCGTCCGACTCCCCTGCTGATGAATGGTGGAGGAGCAGCTCCAGTAGCTCGAACAACAGTTCAGATCGACCCTCTCCCCCGCCGGTAGAGCATCCGCGACCGAAGGCGTACAATATGTTCAACGCTCCACGGACTATCCGCCGCTTCGACAATCTGGCCTCGCTCGTAGAGTTCAATGAGTTGGAACGCGCGTTCGAGACGCACCGCGGCGTCGAGGACCTGTTCAGAAATCTGAACGAGAACCGCCTGTCGCCCGAGCGCGGGATTCATGCCCAGGATTTGCAGGACGATCTGCCGCTGGGCCAGAGCCCGAACCTAGATCTCATGGCCGCTGAGGCTCTGGACGACTTGATAAAGGGGTTTGATCGGGAACTGGCCCAGCACGAAGCGGTTAAGGACCTGGCGGCGGAGCTCGCGAGGCTGGAGCGGATCGGGAATGCCATCCAGCGTGAGATGGACAAGAGGGCAGGTCGGGCAACAGAGGGCTCCCCGAATGACGTGGACGACGCGCTCACGGCGTCGCATGGGAGCAGCGACTTCAACCCCCCAGCCTGGCGCACGTTTGAGGACGCCCATGCAAAGGGGTCTGGTAGGCACAACGGTGAGTCGGAGGATTCCGCCGCCTCGACGCCGTTCATGAGCACCACGGTATCTGAACGCGGGGACGACAGTGGTGAGTCGAGCGATTTCGCCCCGCCCGCTTGGCAGGCCCTTGCGGATGCTGCTGATGCCGCCGCGGAAGCTGATGGAGATGGAGATGAGGGGAGTGACGGGTCGGTTCCGGAGGTTAAGGCTGCGGTGAACCGCATGACCTTATCTTCGACCAACTCGTCCCCTTCCTCCTCTTCCTCCCCGTCCGGCGAGCCCCAAAAACTCCCTCCCCACGACCCCTCCCACCTCTCCGCCTCCTACATCGCCAGCATCAGAGCCAACGTCCTACCCCTGCGCGAAGGCGGCCTCCCGCGCATCGCCTGGCTCCCGCGCCACAACACGGCCGCCTACACGCGCGCCGGCACCGCCGCGGGCCTCGCGGCGCTGCTGTCCGTCGACTCGGCCGCCGCCGTCGGGTTCCTATTGCGCGACCACGAGGACGGCAGTACGACGCGGCTCAACTACAACTTCGCCGCTTACGACCCCGAGGTCCTGGACATCCGCGAGGGGGTCGCGGGCAAGCCGACCGTCGAGTTCCGCGAGGCGGGCGGGTCGCTGGATGCGGAGTGGGTTGTTTGCTGGGCGCGGATCTGTGCGGGGATTGTGCGGTGGTCGAGGGATGTGTCGCCGGGGGAGTTTTTGAGGATTTGGGGGCGGATTGAGGCTTGGGAGAGGGGTGTTGCTGGGGGAGGTGAGGTGACGTATGACGTTGTGGATTTGCTTCAGGATCTGGGCTTGTTTTCCGAGGCGGAGTTTGTGAGGATGCGGGAGAGGGTGTCTGGGCCGCCTAGGTAGGTCTGAGTGATGCAGGTAGGTAGGTGATGCTACTTGACTTGGTGATTGAGGACGTAGAGGTAAGTGGTCCTGGACTCGCTGGCGGGAAAGGAGTTGGGAATTGCGGTAAGTGGTCTTGTTTCTTTCGTTTCTAGTTCTATATACTAACAGTATACTTTCCATGAAGACGTTTTCAAAGCAGATTGTCATACGCACGTTGAAGGTAATCTGTATTCTTTGGATTGCGTCGCACAGTGTAATGAACCAGAGCCGCAATCACTCTGCACTTATAAACGATTGCTTCACATCCTTGAAATTGCGCCTGAGAGCCTCGTTGGCCAAATCTGCAGCGTGCTTGTTGAACTTCTCAGGGACGCAGTACCAATTGACGACCACGTCGTGATCTTCCTCAAGACCATCTGCCATCTCCTCGATCCGCTCGTATAAGGAACCGTACTTGACAGGCTGACCGTCGGCCGTGTGCGGGACCTCTTGCTCCCAGTCCCAAGTATCCTGGTGTTTGCAGATGTTGTCGACCATTGCGGCGTTATCCGAGACGATGATGATGCGGAGCGCCAAACTGTCATCTTCATCATCTTCTGAGCTGCTGTCGGAGTCAGCATCGGCAGGAGAAGCGTTTTTGGAGGGAGCTGGAGTCGGTTTGGTCGAGGTCTTGCTCATCTCTTGCTTTGCTGTCTCTCCGGCTCCGCCGTTGTCGGTCTTGTCCAGAAGTTGCCGGCGATCCTTCAAGACGTCGAATCTTACAACAGTGAGGGCCAGAAGCGCAGCATCCAGCGCGGCCTTTTCCTCATCCAATGGCTTGTTCAAGACCCCTTGAGGGGATGCAAAGTTGTATTCCGAGTCCTTTCCGGAGAAGACGCCAGTGCTGCCTCTGTTGTGTAGTGGGCCTACTGTCTGGCCATCATCAACGCAGCCACCTCGAACATGGACAACGATAGAGGATTCAGACTCGATATCGCAACGGTAGATATCGATGTCGTCGGGTCCCGGTGCCCAAGCGTAGTGCATCGGGTGCCTATGGCCGCCGAGTTTGTCAAGCTTGTCGTCCCCAACCAGTCAGGTCAGCTGACACTCCTCGCAGTATCTGAACGCATCCTTCATCTTGGGGTCGTCCGGCAGGAGAGGCTTGGGCGGGTTGTCAAAGTCCCATGCGCCACGCTCTTTTCTCCATGCTGGACCGAGCATCTGCTCGTCCCATTGAGGCACGAAGTACCTCGTGTCGTGCAGGGAGATCATTGGCCCTGCCGGGGTGCGACTGACTTCATCCTGAGAATTGCGGGGATATTTTGCCTGTGCTGGTCGGAAGATTAGCGCCAAGATTCATAGAGGGGCCCGCGTATGATGTGGCATGGGGCATACTCTTCTCAAAGCTCTCGTAGATTTCGGGCGGGACCTGCGAGAAGCTGTCGTCAGAATCCCAGTCTTTCTCGTCGTCGAAATCCCAGTAGGCCGGGTCCGAGGGACCATGATCGCCTCCTAGGTGACGAAAGCGGGTAACGACATCGTCAACAGGGTCGTTGGAATCGTGGTGATCCCATTGGCGTGGCATCTTGGGTTCCGAAAGGAGGTGTTCGTGAGATTCTGAGAGCATTATCCGTGAAACGATAAGTGCAGTATGAGCGTGACAGCGTTGTTGTTTTCAGGAAAAGGTCTATGGACTGTTTGTTGGAGGTAGAATACACTTAGATGCCCTGTGGGTCCCTGTACGACCCGACAGCGTGGCTGATCCCCACATACCGCTTACATATACAGATGGATACTGCTCACAGATTCGTTATTACTGCTGAAGTGGTGGAAAGGTGAACGCAGCTGTGAAATGTGAGGCGGAGAACCTCATTGGATGTTCACCGCAAATCGTTGCACTGTCGGGTCGTTTCCAGGTGGACGAACACCGCCATCAACACCTGCATTGCTCCAGCTGATGACTTTTAGGTGGGCCCTACCGATACGAGTGATAAGATAAGATTAGATCGATTAGATTAGATACATGGAGCAGACAGCGAGAATTCCCTCTCAGTCTCTCGCTTCCTCACATCCATGGATTGTGACCAGCCGTGCCAACTTCCCCAACTCATTTATTATTACAGTAACGGTGATCGCAGCTGGAAACCGATTTTCTAGTGGCACCCAACGTCGTAACCGAGGCCTCACAAGTTACAGCTAGGAACTTACCTAAGCACCCCGGAGCATATGCGCCACATTACATACCGACACAGCGTCATAGTGGCGTCACCAGTGGCGTCACCCGCCTAAGATCAACCACGAGGGACAACCGCCTCATTGGCTGATCTCATCTCAGGAGCGCTCGAGGGAACACCCGAGACCTGGGACCAGGCCCGACACGGGATGCAGCTGAGGAGCAAGTCTTCGTTATACTAGTAAGCTCATCATGCAGATGGACCCTGGCAAGGCAACATTCTAGCAACGCGAACAGGTCCAGGAATCATCGTCATTCCGCTCCGTAAGGTTAGTAGCATCCGGGGAAGCAGGTTGTTAGTTTGTCCGTCGTCTTGGCCGGGTTTTTCGAGTGGCCAGTTGGACTTCCGTCTCCTTGGCCCTTGTTACATGGACCGAACCTTACCTCGAGCCATTGTGGAAGCGTCTGATGATCCCACTCAGGCTCTGCTAGCTTCCCTTGATACCTATCGTTAATCATTGACTTTACCATGCCTTGAACCTGAGGTGAGTAAAACAGGATTTGGGTGATATTCGATGTGTAGAACAAGGGTATAAACCGCTATATCTTGTATGTGCACCAACGAAGCGTGAACGCGGGGAAGTCAAGTTCTACCACTAACCAAAGCCTGTTCTTGGCCCTGCGTCACTATGTACAGACGTGAGGTACCTGACCAGCCCTCGGTCTAATGACTGAAATGTTTCGCCTTCACTATGACCGTGATTGATTGCGTCAAAGAATCGAAATCTGGCCCCTGTCCAACATGAGTACAATTCCGATGGTGACGTATGCTGTGTATGCCTCACAGCAGAAAATGTTCCAAGTATATATAGCCCCTTGCTCCCCTTTGCCATTCGTCGTATATATTCCCCCATAACCCTACTTTTAACTCCATCTTCAGGAAGAACCCATATTCCAAAACTATTGTACATCAACGTTCAACCAGCATATTCCACCATGAGCAACCAGCAAGGCATCACCCGCGACGGGAAGGTATACTCCACGGTGGACAACAACTCAGGAAACAACAACACCCGCGACGCCGAGGTCGCCGATACCACCGTCCACAAGCACCAAGCGCCAACCGTCAAACACCAGACGGTGAAGCCCGAAGAGCACGAGGAGGTCAAGACCAAAGTCGACAAGGACATCCACGAAGACCACTACAAGCACAAGGTGCAGCCCATCTACAAAAAGAAGGAGTTCGGCGAGCAGCACGAGCAGAGAACCGACGCCGTCGAGGAGAAGAACTTTGACGAGCGGGACGACCGGAAGACCAAGAACGTGCAGGCCCGCCAGGCCGGAAAGTTCAAGGACGAGCGCGAGGTCAAGGCTACCAAGAAGACGAAGAGCCACGGTCCCGTTGAGGAGAACGAGCGCGTTCACCAGTAAGGTCCCTCCGTGTGCCACTTTTAGGTTGTAGACCCCCGCTGACGCAGTCGGCCAGACACATCCACGAGACGGTTCAACCTGTAATCCATGAAGAGGTCGTCAAGCCCAAGGTGGTCCACACCACGAAGCCTGTCCACGAGACGCACCACAAGGCGGCGAAATACCACGACACAGAGACACTCCCCGCAGTCACCGCCGAGGAGTTCGAAGCCGCTAAGGGAGCTTCGAAGAAAGATGTTGACGGTTCGGCCATCGGAGAAAAATATGCGCGCAAGGATTCCGGTGTAGCGACGGAGGCAGGCGATTCGGCCAACGCAAAATATGCGCGCAAAGATGCCGGCAAGGCGAAGGATGATACCCAGGAGGAGGTGCACTTCCCAAGCTTGTTGGATAAGTTGCCAGCAGTTTTGAAGCCATCTTCGGCTTAGACCGACCGAGTAGGATAGCAAGGCTTGAAGGGAATTTGTCTGTAACACCAACCACATAGTTAATCACTACTCTGCATTAATCACACTTCTGTCAGCTTTCGGTAGCTAAACGATCTGTCTGTCCAATCTCAATCGATAGCTGTCTCGTAGTCGCTTTTCATCGTATCATATGATAGCTATAGTCGTAAAGGTAAAGCATGCACCGGCCCAAGAGCGAGAATCGTCGGATTCACAACGCCGTCTTCAAATAGCAATGGGCCGGTTGAGGTCCATCTCGTATCCAGCACTGAGCTGCGGAACCTGCTTATACCTATCGCGAAGAATCTGCCGTGTGTTCTGTAGTACCTGAATGAAGCTCTGCTGCCGACCAAAGCGCTTCATAGACTCCAGGAACGCCCAAGACATGGCACCAACGTGCGCCCCAGCGATGGAAGCATCAGCCGAGGTCTGGTCGTCCCGGCACCCAGAGTACATCCACACGTTCTTGTGCTCGGACTTCCAATCTTCCACGAATTCATCCTCCGCTAGGCCGTTCTCGTCCGCAGGAGCTTGCTTGTGCTGCAAGCCTTTGAAGAACGACGTGGCGCCTGCGAGGAGTTGCTTGGCGTCCTGGACTTTGTTCATGTTGAAGCCTCCTTGGATCAGGTCGTATGCTGCGGTCATGAGGTGGACGCCTTGTTTGACGTTGTCGACCATTGAGACGTTGCCTTCTCCGTCAGAGCGGTAGACGTAAGGCAGCTCTATGGCGGACCCAGAGTGGCAGCAGTCAAACAGCACCATCAGAGTGCTGTTGCTGGGCATCCTGGATACGATGGTCTTGTGTAGTGTGTCGCTGTCCAGTTGACCTCTGGCTTCGAAGTCAACAGGTACGATAGTGTCATCGTAGCCGCTGGCGCGATCGCCATCTGGGTCTTTGACTTGACCACCGTGGCCGCTGTAGTGGAGGAAGCAGCAAGTTCCAGGTTCGGAGACTAGCCATTGCATCGCTGCTAGCATGTTGTGTCCATTAGGCCAGAATGGTCCGCGAGGGTCCGTACGCGAGTCGTCACGCATGATGACTTGGTCGCGGGGGTCTGAAGAGTACCCTTGTGCCGAGAGGAACTGATGGACATTGTCCACATCCTGGTGGCAGCCCTGTAAAGCATGCTGGCTGCCGACGTAGTTGATGCCGATGAGGAGAGATTTCCGACGTGGTCCCTGTTGGTGAGAGTATTGAGGTCGAGCGTACTGAGGCTGCTGAAACTGTTGGAAGTGTTGGACAGGCTGCTGGAACTGCTGAGGTTGTTCTTGGTATCCCTGCCGTTGGTATCCCTGTTGTTGGTACCCGCGATCGTCATCGTACTCTTGGCGATGATGATGGTGGTGGCGATGGCCGGACATGATGGGCAATGGTGGATTAGTGAGATCGTAACTGTTATTTTGATTGATAATCGTCTGTTGATTCTTGAAATGCTTCTGTGTAGATGTTGAAGTTGACTGGAATGGGTTGGTGTCTTGTGATCACATGACCACTACCTAGTCCTAGCTGCCGGCACGATGCACGCCGCCACTAATAAGGCGTGACAGAGCTGACAGTCGGTCACATCGGCGTTAGGTGGTTAGGTGGTTAGAATCACCCCAAGCCCCAAATTTGCCACCGCCGGTTAGTTCTCACAGCGAGGGCTACCTAGTCATCAAACATGCCGTGATACCCGGAAAGCGCAGTCTCTCGCCTCAGACCCATCTTTGCTCAACCTTGCAAATTCGAGGATGGGCCAAACTTACCTTAGCTACTTACATAATTCGCCTCGAGAGCTGTAGGTTGCGGCTCGACAATGCCTTCCCTTCTTTCTGCGAGCTGGGCTGCCGAATGGCCTCACCGAGAAGAACAGGCACATCGCGCTTGAGTACCTTGGAGCATTGTCAGACTGCGACGTTCCAGGGGAGCACGAGACGCTCATTGGCGCATGGGGACAAGTAGCTCTGGTCTGTGATGACCACAGGAGCAACGATGGCTTGCACTTTGCACTCGTGCTTCCGCAGACCTAACAGTCATCGAGCGCTCGACACCAGAAGCGATGGCCAAGAGATAGAAGACGTTGTCTTGATGTAGTATGACAGCTGCACAAGATGGCGGACTTCCCTGAGACCGTACCAGCTTGTAGGCAGGCCTGGACATATGAGTACTTAGACGCATGATGCTCAACCTTGCGGGAAACAACTGTAAATCCACACGTCTATTGCGGGAGGAAGATCCACATCCGTGGCGAAAATTGCTCCTGAGTCAGGTCGGAGTTTGGGAAATATGTTCTCAGGCCAAGACGTAGCAGGTCTCATGATACACCCCTGGCATGATTTCCAGCCCAATGGGCAACAGACAGCGACGTAACACCAGGGCAAGCCCATTCTTCACAGGGTCTTTCCTCGAGCGTCAGGCCATCCACGGCTCCCACACTGACCTCCACGAGCTTCGGGAGCATGCTGCAGAAAGCAGCGAGATCGTGCAAGGGCACCCTCTCGTAGAAGCTCGTCCCTTCGACCTCGGACGATGCGACGAACTCCCTATGGCCCAGGCACAGCTTCTCCAGACCCGGGAGCCCATCGGCGATTGATCTGTACATCTCTAGATCGAGGACGTCCAGGAAGTTGGGCGCCACGCTGAGTCGAAGAATTCTCAGTCGGGGCAGGGGGAGGAGCATGTTCATGGCGGCTCTCAAGTCGGTCGGCAGTATCCTCGGCGGGGGACGCTTGCCACATTCGCCACAGTTGTTGAACCAGCCGCCGCCGGCCAATGCCAGTTCGACCAGGTTGTCCAGCCGGCAGCCGGTGTTTGCCGCCGAGACGACGTCGAGGAACATGTTTCCGTAGGTGTCGAGTGGGAACTTGATATTCAGGAGACTCAGCTCCGGATTGTCTAGTCGGCTCAGAAAGACGGCCGGAGATCGCTCTATATCGTTGCTCGTCCAACCGTAAAGGGCCTCAGTCGTGAATGTCGTCAGGTTCAGCCACAACGTTTTGAGCGCGGGTAGATATCTGCCATCCAAGGCCCTGAATGCGTCGGAGTACCACAATCGGTTGAGACCAATGGTCAGGTGCTCCAGCGTTTCCTTCTGAAGTATTTCGAAGCGAAGGGGATACTCTTTGAACTGGAAGTCTTCATGTCTTGCAGCGTGGATTCGGGGGTCGAGCCTCAGGTGCTCGAGGGGTGACTGTTGGATCAGCCTTGAGGGTACGAGGTCGGGCTCACCATCGCGGACGAATAAGTATTTAAGTTTGGAAGTATCTTGGAGTTGGTCGAGGAAATTCCGCACTATACTCTCAGGACGTCGCTGGTGGATGTACTTGATATATATGTGAGTCAGATTCGCACCCGATATCCCGATGAGTGGGGTAAGAAGTTCTTCGACCGCACTGTTGAAGCGCACGCGACGGAGATTGGGTAGGAAGTCTGAGCGCGGCGAGAGCTTTGTTATCTCTTCCCAGAGTTCTTCCCACGTCTTCGTAGTATCCTCATCTGGCTGCTGCTGCTGCTGCTTCTTGTTGGGCTGGAATCGCGGAGGTAGAGGAATAACGCGGGCTATCTCTTTGCTCTCTAGACGCACACTCTGGGTCTTAGAGGTATACAAGTTGAGGCGTTGGATGTCTCCCACTTGGAGCGGCCTACGTCTGGCATCTGGTGGGAGACAACACAGAAAGGGCGACATAGAGCCCACTGTCTTCCACAGCTCGTCAGTCGCGACATTGAAGAAAAACCCGGCAGTGCGCGCAAGTCGAGCAAGATCACAAGGGTCGAGGCACTCGAATATCGAGTACCGAATATCGTCAATTTGCCAGGCGGGATGCATGTTGCCGGTGGCTCAAAAGGTAGGTTGAAATGAGTCAGAGAGGTTCAGAGAGGAATGCCACGATCTTCACGCAGCTACAGCTGTTACCTACACCCTTGCGCCGGGCAGGTGATGGCCCGTGGCTGAGCGACGTGGTTCGTGCGCGCCTCCTCAACCCGTGCTAACATCCCCTATCTTGAACAAGTTGGTACATGCATCAAACAACCGATTAGTGCTTCTGTTCTCGGACGAGAAAGTAGGTAACTTCATTGCTAATTTGATTGATAGTAAGGCTCATGATAAGGGATATGGGAGATGAGCTCAGCTTCTCGATTGTCAAGTCTTAGACGCCGCTTACGAATGCGTACGACAAGAATCGCTGCTTGGAGGGTGCCTGATCGTCGAGACTGACTTGCATGGTTATGTTGGTGGCTAGAACTAGTATATGGTATTCATCAGCCTAGGTCCTTGAACGCCTTGGCACTCTTCGGATTTCCTCTAATTCAATTCGCCGACATGTGCGATCTATTTGTGGGTTTACCTCTCCCCTTGCTCTACCGCTTTCATGTATGAGAGCTTCATACTTCTCTGCTCCTATAGCCCCTATAGTATGTGGAATCGTCCCTCGTCCTCATCCACCTACCACGTTGGATGAAAGAAACGAAAGCGTCTGGGAGGCAGCGACTCGGAGTATGCAAACGCGGCGCAAGTGGATGATTTTAACCATCATGTTTGTAATCCAGATCAGCATCAATCTGAAAGTCAACCTGTACGCCAACGCCGTCGAGCGTGCGTTGGCGAAGTTCGGGTCAGCACGCACGCTACCCGCAGCCTGCTGAGCATCAATTTCGTAAGCGCTCACTTGTCGCTTGCGACATGGTCTCAACCCGCCACTGCAGCCGGCATAGTCCCTACATTCTTGATATCCCGGACCACCGTGTCCATGACCCCTTGTGGAATAGGTCGGGGTCCTAGAAGCTCCTGCTCTGCGTTCCATTCGATAACCTGTTGGCACATACCCTCCAGCGTGTCATGAATCGGCCGGTACCCAAGCCCACCCTCGTCCACGCTCCGCCGAGCAAGCGCATCTGAGGCAATGAGGTGCGCACAAGCGCTGAACACCGCAGGCTGCAATTTTGCAAGGTCGCCCTTCGGCCTCGGCACGATCCACTCCAGCACCAGCATCCGGCTCGCGAGGTCGAACAGCTCGACCACATACGCGAATGCGAGCATGAATCCTGGCTGCAGGTACGTGACTTTGATATGCGGCGTCACGACCGTCCTTTCCAGTAGTCCGTACATATCCTCAAACATGGGCGGCGCACCCGCGTCCTTGATCACGAACGGCCGGCCGGCACACCCGGGCATCTCGTCGCCGCCGCGCACCAGCGCCGCCTCGAACAGCAGGTGCGCGAGCGAGACGTGGCCGCCGGAAACGAAGTTCTGAACGACGTTGGGCATCCAGGTCGGAAAGGTCCCCGCGCGCAGACATACCCCGACCACCTGATCGCCCCGGCTGCTGCCGTAGATGCCGTTCGCGGGCCGGATCGCACCCGTGCGGAGTTTAGGGGTGTTGGCCTCGCAGATGAGGCGCTCCGCCACGGCCTTGGAGTGCGCATAGTTGCTGAAGTACTGCGAATGGGCGCGCAGCGGCTTGTCGAAGTCTGATTCGTCGAAGGCCTGCCATAACTCTTTGGGGTACTGCCGGAATGGGTTGCCCCAGAATTCCACCGGACGGTAGTTGACCGATGCGGATGAGGTCGAGATGAAGACTGATGCACCCGCGGCCTTGGCGGCGTTTAGCACGTTGAGAGCTCCGTCGACGTTGACGCGCTTTATGCGCTCGTAGGTCCGCATCGAGCGTTCCGAGGCAGCGATGATGGCCGCGGTGTGGAACACCGTCAGAGGGAGCTTGGCCACGCTCGGCGGCCACGGGTTGTCGAAAGCCGCTGTCGTGGCGGCGGCGGATGAGATATCAGCCTGCGCGAAGTCGACTTCAGTTGCCGGCCCCGTCATCATATCCGAACGGTCGGGCTTCCGGAAGTCCACGATCCGAATGCTCTCGGGAGGCTCTCCACGGGCCAGGAGGTGCAGTACGATCTCGCCGCCCACACCACCGCTGCCGCCTGTGATGACATAGCGGCGATTGAGCTTGGGCGGCAGTTGTTGAGTCCAGTCGACCGGACTCGACTTGATGCGCTCGTAGGTGTCTCTGATTTCCTCCTCGGTCCAGCGATGCGGCGACACGGAAAGAACCGCGGGTGGGGTCGCTTTCATTACCTGATTGAGCTTCCATACCCATGCGATGCCGATGAGAAGCGTGACCGCGGCGATGGAGGTGAGTTGCTTGCCCGTGAAGCCCATCTTTCTTGTGCTCTGCAGATGGTACACGCAGGACGACCGACCGAAATCTCTCTTTCTGAGAATGACCAGGGACCTTAAGATTGGTTGTGGCTGGTGAACCGGGCAACGTCAAAGCGGGCATGGATCTTGTTTGGTCCCGTCGCCCTGGGTCCGTGGCCGAACACGAATACGAAGGTTGGGAATTGGTTTGAGGACGCATACTTAGCTTTCTATGTCGCGACCATCTTCTGCCTTTATATCAAGTCAATTGAGGCATGTCATGGGAATCTGGGAGACTCATCGATGGCGTTGGTGTCAATAACGCACGCGCGGAACGGAGCATCTACCATGCATTAGTATCAAGAACTCCCGGTAGGGATTCCGTAGGATCAAGTCGCTGCATGTCGGGAGTTACCCTTTCTATACCAACCTAGGTAGTTTAGGTATTGACTTGAGTTTGCCATCTATCAATGTAAACGCGGAAGACCAGACCACTCCACCTACTATTTACTGTTTTCATGAAGGCCAGAGCCGCGTGGGTGGCGAAACCGCCGAGCACAAGTGGGATTACGTCGAGGATGACATCCACTGCGATGAATAGGGTTCAATTATGGAAGAGGGGAAAATGGAGTAGTGGGAGACGAGGAGAAACACTGAGCTGAAGAACAAAAATAAAATAGCGACTGTTGGTCTTGATCCAACGACCTTCAGGTTGTTTGTATATGAGCCTGACGAGCTTCCAACTGCTCCAAGTCGCTTCTGTTTCAGATGCGGAATTTTGGTCTTGTTTGCTACTACACGGCCTTGACCACTGTGACTCATACTCGGACCCGACCCAAGTACCAGCCTCTCCGGAGTGGATGATCTTCCCACGGCAACAGGTCTGCCGGTAAGGATAGGCCTTCATGAAATCTTTATTCGAACCATGCCTGTGGATAACGTCGTCGGGATTAGCTGTACTGACTGGTGCAGCTAGGTCCACGACCATGACATGGTGTTTCCGCAAGACCTGGAAGTTCGACATGCTTTGAGTTTTCCAGATGCAAAAAGAATCACTGTAGAACAACCTGTCAAGAGACTTACCTAGACCAAGGGTTTCTCAATTTCATGACAATCACGCTTTTTCGTATCGGTCGCCTTTGACACATCTTACGCAGGTGGAATAGATGGCTCATCGGACTTGAAATCCGGTTTTTCTGTGATACACCACCAGCATAGGATGATCGCATTCAAGGCGCAGCTATATCCGTCACATTGGTGAAAGAGTCTGCATGAAATGAACTCACAGCCGGACGGCCTACTTCGCAGTGAGTGCCTAGTTATATATCACTTGCTGTGAAGTTCAGGGGTTCAGATAGGGTCAGGATGGGATGGATCAGGTTCGGTGTCTTGGTTATGGATCCATAGGGGATATTCCCACCTAAATACAGCTGTGGGAGCTCTTTGATGGCCGTCTGCTTGACACCAGACAACAGACCTGCCAGACAACGCCCGAATGCTCCCCCTTTCACCCCTTTGGGGTCCCTATTCGCCCCTTTCACCCCCCATACAGCCTGCTGCCAGCTGCAGCACACCTGATAGGCACCAATATTCTCACACTTGCACTCTAAATACTAGGATGCCAACAACGGTATTAAGCAGAACGGTGTCCATAAGTCCCAAATCTCAGGGCGCGGAAGCCTGCATGAGTGTGAATACGGTTCTGGTCAAGCTACTAGTATCTCAGCTGGTCAATGAGTTCATCCAAATTCAAGAATGCACACCGCTCCCGTAACTTCTGCTGCGTTATCGCCACCTTCGCGTTCGGCCCATCAATAGCGGACAACCCCTCGTCCGGACCGCCAACGACAAAGACCGATACCTCACCGTCTGCGGAAAAGGCTGGCGTGAACCCCTGGAACGTGTCGTGGCCCTCCAAGCCGGGCTTCCCCGTGCTGGCGAATGTGGACCATGACCGCGATCCTCGAGACGCCAGGGCGTAATCCTCCGCGGGAGGGTCGAAGTACGGCGTGTAGGGCGTGAGGTTTCCGAATATGTAGGATATCTCGGATCCGTGGACGACGCCGAAGCCGGTCTCGTTGTAGAGGTTCTTGAATATGTCGTCCAGGATGGTTTGGTTCCAGTCATACAGGTAGACGTCGTTTCCTAGCCTGGCTATGTTCTCGGCGAACCACATCGGTTGGCAGGTCATAAGCTTCAGAGAGCAGGAGTCAGTAATCACTCTTTATGAACAATTCAGCGGAAATGGGGAGTGCAGCGCGTACTATGTCCCGCCAAATCCTAGCCGTTCTGTAGAACTCCGACGACTTGTTCGCCGCCTCATTGGCCGGAAAGTCCGCAATCGGGTACAGCGCCAGAAGCTTGTCGACGTTGTCGCTAGTCATAGTAGGAACGTAGGCCTCAACAAAGTCGTGAGTTTGCTGCGCAGTCGTAATGTTAGTGTCGGTGAAATAGGCCAGGTCGTCTTGGCACCAGCCGATCATCGTGGTCACGTTCCCGAACCTCCCTTCCTTGATGAGCTGCGAGGGAGCAGCAGGAACGAAGTCACCGTCAACGACTGGGAGCCAGATATCGCCAATGTTATGTGCGACATCTCCCAAGTACGTGGCCAGCGATGCATTGAGGAGTGTCTCCATGTCGAAGTCCCGTAGGCAACCGATGGTCTCCTCTGAATGCAAGTCGGTCGTGTTGCAGCCGACGTAGTCGACGACGAGCTCCATGGCATCAATACTAAAGTTGCCCGTAATCCCGGGCTCGAGAGCTTGGCTTTCGCAGATCGCTCGCTGGAAAGGTACCGGGCGGTCCGCACCATAAGCCAGGATTTGCATTCCCACAGCCAATCCTGATATAGGTTAGAAAGTGAAGGCTTTTCATCGTATCCCTAAGGGGGATCACCAACCTCCCGAAGACTGCCCAAATATGGTAATCATGTTCGGGTCACCGCCAAAGTGCTCGATATGATCCCTAACCCACTCGATGGCTAGACGTTGATCCCTCAACCCGGCGTTCTCGGAGCCTTCTGTCTCCAGGGCAGCTGACTGCGCGAATCCAAAGACTAGCCTGCACATCAGCACTATTCCGGTACAGAGGTTCACGTCACGTCTCTACTCACAGCCAAGTCGGTAGTTGATGCCCACGTGAATGACTGGCAGGCCATTCTCGACCGACTCAAGGATCAAACCGTCGGGCGCGATTCGCTTCTCGCTGTTCTTCCCTTCGATCTGTACCTCGTGTGTCAGCGACTGATACTTCAGGTAGATAGTTTCGTTCGCTCCGTGGATGCAGCCTGAATAGAACAAGAATCCGAGCTTTGGATTACTACTCACGAAACCTCCACCAAAGATGTACAGCATGACAGGCAATCGATCCTGATCAGAGGTGCCGTTTGGTCGCGCCACATTCAGGTTCAGGCAGTTCTCGGAGATATTCGTAGTATTCGATAACTGGAACGGAGGATCGGCTAGTGTCCTCTCCTGGGGACAAGCCGGACCGTACGATTGTGCATTGACGAAGCTTCCGGGGGTAGGTGTGTAGGGCCTGGGTGGCTTGAACCGATTGGCACCACCAGTATCTTGGCCAAAGGGAATATTGAGAAAAAGCTCGACTCCGTTGCGACTGATGCCCACGTACGTGACATTGTCTTTCACGTCGAGTACGCATTGGTCTGCGGTCGCAACGCAGATGCCGCTGAGCAACGCGGCGAAAAGAGACAAAGACCACATGGTCCTGGTCGTAGAGATTGACAATGCTTCCTTGAGTGGCGATCAGTGTAGTGAGCAGTCTGGATATCCGAATACTTAGATGCTCAGGCTGTATATCTTTCTATATTGCCTGGAGTCGCATGACTCGACGAGCCGGTGTCGGCGAGCTGAATGACTCAGCCAATGTCCTCTCTCCTTTTGCGGGGCTCCCTCCCCTTACCTTAAGCTCCTTCCTTTTGCGGACGCTGAGCCGCAGGGTGACAGACAACAGGCCCATGCGGCTGTCGTCTAAGGTGTGCGGGGAAACATCTTGGCATCGGTTTGCGACGCGTCTCCAATAGGAGACCGTCCCTCCCATGCGGGATACTCCTTAAGACCGGTTGCTCGCGACCACTATCGCGAATTAGGTCCACACCTTATACGAGTATCCTCACACCACGGGGGTATTCTAAGTCCCGTTCTGTTCAGCAGCGCGCAGAGACTGCTAGATGCTGTCTTCACACGAGGTAGGAAGGGTACTGAGCTCGCAGCTAGCTTGAACCATTGAAGTAGAGGGGGTGGACTGTTCAATCTCAACCAGCATTCAGAGTCGGAATACGCAATAATCGCGGCGATTGACTCGACTTGGCCATACCAAACAGAGCAAATGCAGCTGCGCAAAGGTGACGACTGAGGAGGTCTCGGAGGCAAAGAGACGAAGCTGGCATCGTGAAAGGACGAATGAAAGGAAAACCAACAAGTTCGTTGTAAGTGACAAAGAAGGACCACCAACATGCTTGGAATAAAGGCATTGTTCCTCGAACAAGGACCTTGTGGTGTAACGATGACTTGTGATCATCACACGCCCATCCATGTTGGCTCTATATGAGGTCCGGGCAAACCCGTTCAGTTCGTCGAAGATAAGTCCAGCAGAACATCCCAAGCCTCACAATCATCGCAATCCCGAAATTGCTCTATAAAACCCCGAACGTTGATCGTTCTTCGTGCAAGCTTTAGACAGAATGACGACATTGCCAAACATATCCACACCGGCGAAGGTGACCTTCGGCGCAGAGCTGGAGTTCCTGATCCCTACACTCGATCGTGGCGTAGACGATCCGCACGCGCACGTCAAGGAGCTCACCCCAGTCTTGAGAATCCCGAACAGGGCGTATAAAGGTAAGGGCATGGTCAGCAACAAAGTGAATGATCGGGAAGAGTATGTCCTTGAGCGCGTTAGGAAACTGATATCAAAGAACCTCAACATCACGGTAGGCAACGACGCCTCGAGTCTGATGCCGGATGCCGACTTCACTGCTAAAGTCATTGCAGGATACCACCATTGGGCTGTCGACACTGACGGCTCTGTTAATGAGCCGAATATGGAGAAGAACAACTGGGTTGCTGTCGAGGTGCAGAGCCCCGTGGCTTTCGCTTCACCGGAAGCGTTTGACGCCGTCAACCATGTCGCGTCCCTGATATCAGGCGCGTTCCGATGCAGGGTGAATGCTTCCTGTGACGTACACGTGCATGTTGGACAGCGAGAGGAGAGGTTTCCCTTGGAGCTCATTCGCAGGATCGGTGCGCTTTCGTTTGCAGCCGAACCGTTATTGTTCACCCTCCAGAATCCGTCCCGCAGGGCCAACGTTTACTGCCAATCCCTGCGTGAGCGTGGTTATATCGCGCGAGGTAGGGTCGTGAAGTGCCCGCATGATCCGGGTAGGCGAGTCCCGGAGCCAGATACCACCTGCCTTCATTACATCGGTAGAGAGAGAAGGCACGGGGAAGATAAAATTTCGACACGGGAGAAGAACATGGAGGACACGACCATTGCAGCTTTCGGAGCCACACGTCAGGCAGGGCACTTCGAACCGTTCCAAAACCCTCCCTACCCTGCATCAGCGGAATTGGGGCCGACAGTAGAAGCCGAGGTCAGTGACGACGCAACCCTTCGGATCGAGGAGAACTTCCAACCATACACAGCAGCTGGGAACAAGCCCACTCGAACCAGGACAATTCCTCGGATTCAGATGCCAACGTATACCAAGGAGCAGCTCAAAGATTTTGACGCAGAGATCGTGGAGTACAGCGTCACGGGCCTGTCGTTCGAAGTCGATCGGGGTAGTTCCGGGTTCGGTGGCGGTACAATGGCAGAGCATGAATTGGGGGTGTTCGAAGGCACACGTCGGATATTCAATAGCCCCTCGTCGTGTGCCATTGCGCGTTTGCTTCACCCAGGAGGGCGGCCCAGTATCAGCTTTTCCGCCTACACTTGCGGTAAGCTAACGGGGGGCCCTGAGGCTGGGAAACGAACCATTGAATTCCGACTCGCTGAAGGCACCCTCGACGGTGAGTGGATTGCGACGTGGTCCAAGATATGTGTCGGCTTCGTGCGCTTCGCTATGCATGCTTCCGTGGATGAGTATGTCGAGGCGCTGAACAACTGTGACCTAGCGTCCAAGCAGCCGGGTAAGTACGACGTGATCGACTTCATCGACGACATTGGCCTGCCTGCTGAAGCCGAAGTTGCGGAAAAGCGTATCAAAAATCATCTGAAAGCTTGGGGGCTCAAATATGCGGTTTGATGAGTGGTCCCTCTACTGACACCCTCCGAGATACGGACAACTGACATTTTTGAGCGATAGATTCAAGGCAATGACACATACAAGAACACGACCATAGAAGACTAAGTATGCAAGTGAGTTAGTAGTTAATTCCAGATTGCCAGTGTATGAGACTCGATATGCAATTCCATGCACCTTTGCTGAGTAACGCTTCTTGGTCCGGGACAAGCCTTCGCCCGTCTTTGCACCTTGTTCTTTCTTCTTGTTCCGCATCACAATCAAGCCCTGCCGTATGTAGGAGACCGTACTTGCCCTACAAGCGAATTCGAGAGCGCCCAGCGAACGGACCCGATGACCACCGAACGGGTAAGGAGGTATGCATGCCCTCGTGTCCGCATGAGCTTTGGCGATTGGATATGACATGACTGAGGTCATTCACTCAGCTCAGCCCACTAATGAGACTAGTTGAGGGTCTGGCGATCCTTCGCCGTCTCAAATACGGGGCTTGGAGGCTAAAAAAAGCGATGGCCAATCGGCGAGCTCCATCACGACCCCGTAAGGTAGACCGATCGAGCCGGTGGCCCGGCTCGATCAGTGCTAGGGCCTCATCAGTCATGGCGCTGGCCAATGGTCGTCCCCGGGCACGAGCCTTAATCAGCGACCGGCCCACATGGTGCGGCTCGTCGCCTTGCGATCCAGGGGCTCGGGATAAACTCACTGTGCCACTGTCCTGGGCGAAGTCTTCTCATCTCCTCGTGATCGATAGTTCGGTGCTTCGCCCCCTGTCATAAGGCACGTTGGCGGCGCAGGCTAGCTCGCCAACGCCAGATTACTGTCAGACTTACCCCTGTGGCAACGACTAGGCAGCAGCTGAGCAGCTAGCTGCCAGTACATAAAGAGAGGATGTGACCAGCACACTCGGGGAGAGTTTCTGTTCCTTTTCCCGTACCTCGCTCATTAATATCCCTTCCGCCAACAAAAAGTACATACACGCGGAGTCCATTCACTCGTTCTAATACACCACCACTTCAAATCACATCCATCACCTCACTCAAGATGTACGCCCAAGCCGCCCTCGCCGTCCTCGGCCTGGCCTCCACGGCCGCCGCCACCTACCACCCTTCGCAGCTCAACTCCCTGCGCGACCTAAACAACAAGAACGGCCTCGCCGCGCGCCAGGACGATTCCGACTCCAGCAGCAGCGCCACGGGCGACGACGGCATCTCAGACGCGTGCACCACCTCCGCCTACATGGTCCTGGCCTCGATCCCGACCCCCACGGGCGACCTATCCGCGTACCTCTCCTCGTTCGTCGCCACGGCCGACCTGTCCGACGTCACGGACGCGGCCTCCGTGCTGTGCGATGTCACGGCCGGCATGCCGACCTCGCTGTCGTCCGCCTACAGCTCGTACGACATGGCCGCCAGCAGCTGGTACAGCTCCAACAGCGCCGACATCCAGAGCCTCATCAGCTCGTGCGCCGGCGACATGGGCGCTGAGCTGACCATGGCCGTCTCCGCCGTCGAGTCCTACACCTCCAGCGGCTGCTCTGGCTCCGTCGCTGCCATGACCTCGGGCCTTACCTCCTCATCTACCGGCTCGTCGAAGACTTCGGGATCTGGGTCGACTGGTGGTGCTACTGCCACCTCGTCGGGTGCTTCCACCTCTGTCGAGACTGGCGCTGCTTCCCGTCCTACTGGATTGATTGCTGGAGCTGTCGCTGCTGCTGGCTTTTTGGGTGCTGCAGTCATGCTATAAATCAACGAAGCAAGATTGCATTGGCTGTATGTTAACTGCTTCGAGCGATGGCTGGATGATGTAGTTTAGTATACCAGTCAAGTATAATGTACTGCACGTTCAAGTTGTTCTCTTTGAGCCATCATGTCGCTCTTGAACGATTCACACCATAATCTGGGCTGAAGACTGGAGCCTGCAGACATGGTACAAATATCGTCAAACGCTTCACGGAAATAATGAACAGGAGTCCCCTCCTATATTTGTAGATCAATCAACGATTCCATTGCTTATTGACAGCCAGAAATAACCTAGTCGTCCTTAGATTCCAGGTACGGCAATGTTGACTTCTTGACCTCCGGGCTCGATGCTTGACCACCGTGTGTTGTGTTACGAACCAACGAGGCGTACAGGGAATGAGGCCCGCTGGCAGGCCCAACAAGATGGACAGTAACTGGAAGAACCCGGGAGAACGCACGGGCCAAGGAAACGTCTAGATCACGTGATCAAGATATCACGTGATGGATAGCTTGGATAGCAAGGTTATCCAACATATCCACCCCATCAGTGAGGGAGAGATTGGATATATAAGGATGGACATTTCCTAGCTAGACAGATAGACAGTCTTTACCTCAGTGATCAATCTAAGCATCTTAGCCAACCCTAAGGTGGGAGAAATCTCCTGACGACTCGACTATTCAGTGAACCCAGTTCAGACCAAGCCCCAGCATCTGAGTGTCTTCTAGTTGACAGAAGCCTCTATCGTCTTTTGTGTTGACTTACCTCAGAACATAATCCCTATAGAACCCTTTAACCTTATAGGTTAGACGGCTCGTCACATGTTGGTCTTCACTCCACTATTTTCAGCCATTCCTCGCCCTTGTGAGCAAAGCGTCCAAACATGCCGCCTAAAGCCTTCAGATACTGGGCCAACTCCCTTCCGTTGTGTCGACGAGTGCAAAGACCCAGATGTTGTTCATAATGTGGTGTTAGGTTCGAATCCTAATAGCGCTAGTATGGCTCCACCTTTTGTTGTCTCCATCTTCTTTGGCAGGAAAATGCAGTATCCAGAGCAATGTAGCCACAATCGTCCTTCGAGTTGACATCAATGCCATGATCGAATAAGACCTGAACAATCTCGTGCCGGTCATCAATCGGATCTCGGTTGTCGCAAATGTGGTGAAAAGAGTTTTGCCTCTCGTACAGTTGATATTGGCAGAATGGGAAAGGAATAGCTCGAGCAGGGCCAAGCTAGCCTTTCTAGACATCACCACTCTTTGCAAAGGCGTAAGCTGTATCCCACAGATTGTATTCGGATCTGCACCATTGTCGAGCAAACTTGCTGCAACTTTGGTCGCCGGCTGCCCAATGACGCACGAGAATCTCAAAGCTGTAATCCGCTGCTCATCAGATCCATCAATCTCCAAGTACATAAGAACCATGCAATGGATGGTCTCCCAAGCGGAGACTTCGATGTGTCTAGGTATCGTGATGCTGGTGCCTTTTCGGTAATTGTACCATACTTGAGAGATAACCAACGCCCAGTTCGCAGAATCCGTTGGAGGCGTGAGTGTGCAGGAATGGTCATATAGCGATGCAAGGATCTCCCACTGGGTGGCGTCCATACCTAGCATGAAGATTTACCGCAAATGGTCACATCCGCAACTCGCACCCGCCGCTGTGAGGATTCTGGACTTTCTCATGCTCAGTTCCATGTCCAAATGACGATGCTGTAAGAAGATTGCTTCAAGAGGTTGGATTGGTCCCATGTGGACTAGACCATCCACGTAACTGTGTGCTGAATGATCAGCCCCAGCCGCGAGCAGCAGCTGAAGAGCCAGAGCCGGGACGTTCTGATGCACTGCACAATGGATAGGTGCGATGTTTTCGCCCAGCCAGTGATCGTAGGCAGATTGACTCTCTGGCTCGGGCATATGCTCGGGCACATGGGATGGTTCAGCGCCGTGAGCCAGAAGGTCTTTGAGTATTTTCAGGCTGGCATGGGACTCGCAATATGGTACCTCGGGGTCGTACAGCTGGGGTTCTATAGCCCAATTGATCGGATACCACAGACGACGATGGGCGGTTGGCCGGATATCCTTGACTGGCTTCTTGTCGCATTTGTTAGGGTCTGCACCTCCAGCGAGAAGAACATTGACGATCTCGGGTTGAACGTTGCGAATGGCAGTTACGAGTGCGGAAGTGTCCTTGTCCTGGCTCGTACTATAATTTAATCCGGTGAAGAAGTAGTCGGCTGGGCCTCCGGCGTCCAAGTAGAGGTTCAGTATGTGACAATCAGGCCTGCAGCTGCGCTGGTCAGGGCTGATGGGTTGAAATATCTAGATTCAACGATATCTAAGGAAGAAGAGGCAAGGTCGGAAGAGAGAGGGGAAGCTAGGGGTATATATGTACATAAATATGTGGAGGTATTATGTAATACCGTAACACAGTACGTCGACATCTCCAAACTTGCAGGCCCACCAGAGGGAGGTGCAATTGTTGTGACGGGCGTCAATCTTGTAGGCCTCAAGGTTCACCATCTCCCGGATGTGCTTGCACGTCTTCGCGAAACTGAGGATCGAAGGGATGTCGAGAAATGAAGTGACGTTCAGGGTCAGCTCGTTGGGCAGTCGAAATATGTGGTTGCGGTTGGTGCTGTCGTCTAGACCTGCCCAGGTCCACGTCGAGCCTTCCATGGTGTTTGGGGTAATCGGTGAATGTGGACGTGAGATGATGGGAACATCACATGTACGAAGGAAAGTAGTAAGTTGCTCCAATGCCCCGAAGTGGCCATGAGACGTCGGGATCGCCATCGATGACAGTCAGTGAAGCAGGAATGTTGTGGGAGGGAAGATGAAGGTCTAGTGGCGCCTCCAATGCAGAAAGGTGAGAAGTTCCGAGGCAAAAGAAGGCGCTCCGGGAAGGTGCACCAATTTGCATCGCAACTACCAACGGTTGAGGCGTACCTTCCTCGACAGGTACAGCAAGGAGAGACCCACTTCACTTTGCCAGCCCCATACAGGCATCTTCGTCTCTCACATCGGACACATCACCGTCGTACCCATATACAGAGCCTGTTCACTCGAAAGTTAATAGCGATCAGTTGCGTCTACGAGATTCCAACTCAAGTGAGCTGCATGCAACCGATCATGATTGTCAAGCAAGCAGTGGTGCTGGTCATGATGATGAACATGCGTGGCGACTGTCTCGGAAGTAATTGATGATGTATCCCAACAGCTTCACAATCCTAAAGTACAGGTTCGGTCGAGATATCGCTCGAGGTTGTCGTAATGTCGAAAAGCTGTCAAGCCGTCAGCAGAATGGTTCTCGTGGCCCGGCAGTTACCGGATTACGTCGTTGCGTATGATGGGAGCCATTTGATTCGTGTGGTTGTGTGTGGTTCGCAGAGATAATTTTCGCAAGATTCCCGTGTGAGGATTTGTATTCGTATAAGGCTCTCGTGACTTATCGGATAAAGCAGACGAAGGTTTTGCTAGTGGCATTAAGGTTGAAGGAAAAAACGAACAGGGTTTAGCTATAAGCGACTAAAAAAAAGAAAAACCCATCGCTTGTTTGTTCAAGGTTGCGGCAAAGCATGAATTAATTCTACATTATCAATATTATTTTAATCTGCTGGGTTGGGAACACGAAGCTTAAAGTGCAGGCGTTTTCGTGCTCCAAGTGAAATTCCTTGATATACTATCGTGGAATGGTATTTTCTTAGTGGAGGTCCAGCCTCCTGCACGAAGAGCGAGCGTCACCTCGTACACCTGTGGAACCGTGAAGCAGGCCCCCGATGATGTGTAGCTGATTCTACCGGGATCTTTATAAGTGATGTCTTGTTTTAGAATACCATGCCAAGTAATAGATAGTCAATATGCAGGAACGGTCTGGTACTGCATATGCATCAACAAGCTTCCCAATTGAGCCGGTGTTCGCTGTGCCAGACCCAGTAGATTCGACTAAAACGTGGCCACGTACTTCTCCATGACGGATTCGGTACCCAAGTCAGTATCTTCACGCGGTACACCAGCTCAAAGCCCTTGGGAAAGATGGATTCGCATTCCGCTATGTCGGAGTCATTGATAGGCCGACCCCGGGTCCCGCCGTGAAATGTCGAAGCTGGAACGACATGGCGATGATGGCATGAGAATCTCCAAACAGCAAGACTGTGAAATTTTGGGTAGCGATGAAGTACGGAATACCTTAATCTCAAAGCAGCAACAATGAGGGAATCAATGTACGGATGAATAGACAAGCAAAGCAACCAGATAACGACCGAGCTGATACCTACCTAATATCACGACTGAACAGAAAGCTTCAGCTATACTAAAAATAGGCTGATGATTACGCGGCTCAAACAAGGCGAAGTCAATGTTGGTCCCATGGCAGTGGCTTGCGGTCGAATCACGTGGCTTGATCTCACGTCCATTGCCACCCACTTGCATATATGTACTTCCCCGCAAGACGAACCTCGAGTCTTGGCTTCGATATGTCTACTGCTCTCTTCCTCCACTTAACCAATTTTTCGTCCCCTGTAAGCACAGTTGCTTCCCAGGTTTCTGCCTGAATGTCTCACCGTGCTCTTAGCGACACCAGCAACGAGATGGACGTATTCCCGAACGAGATCCTCGACCAGATCGTAAAGATGGATGCACCAAAAGGGTGGAGCCACACTAGCGCTATCAAGATTCGAACCTAACATCACATAATAACACCTTTAAGTGGGTCTTAGCACTCGTTGACATAACGACCACTAGCGGAATATGAGCCGCACTGCGGCTTCGTCTTCGCCTACTAACCAGCGTTGCTTGATTTCTTTAAAGGACAAAACTCATTTCGGCTTATAGTATTACTTCCGCTAAGATTCGGCTTTAAAACCTTAAAGCTTATCGCTAGCTACACATTTCTAGGCGTTTGGACCGTTAAGCTAATAGCGCTACTAGATAAATGCATTAAAAGGGTGAAGCTACATTTGTGGCTCCTCAACCCATTTTCCAGCCACAATGACGGATGGGTCACGGACCAGGATACAAGGTACCTTGGAGCCCAACGGGTACCCATTTGTACCTGATTTGTAACCAACTGGGATGATAGCTACTTCTGGGATGGGGACACCACCCATCCCTTCTTTCAATCAAGCAACTTCCAGAATACAGACCAATAGCCACCTATCGTGACCCTGGTCCTTATTCTGGATACCGCTACCACAAGGCACACATTAGCGCTATTAAGATTCGAACCTAACACCACATATATGTGACACCTTTAACTACGTCTTAGCACTCGTCGACACAACCGTCGCCATCATGAAAACTGAGAGGATACATTGGGCGCAGCCGGTCCTGGATCGTGTTGACACAGCGAATGAGGCGAGAAGACAGGAGAGAAATCTCTGGCTTATCGCCGGTGTCACACATGGCCGGACACAAATCGTACGACGCCTTCTGAACGACTTTGAACATGCAGACACAGACGGGGAGTCGATGGGTGATTTACTGGCGACGTCGAGCTTTTGATTGAGCCATCGGACGAGTCGGCAAAAGACTCTAGCAGAGATTGCGACAGACCATCCGCGTGCACTGTGATTTATATGGCTCTCTCTCTATCTAGGTACTTTGGTCTTTTCATTTCGTTGGAGAGACACCATGTAGGATAGTCTATAGGTTTGGAATGCACGGAGAAATCATTTACGTCAGGTACAGGCCTGATTGTAATCGGTTGGGAATCGCCGGCTACCTTGCAAGGCTTATTTGGACAAAGCAGCTAGTTGACAATATACGAACAAGTCAGCTGCTCTTGGTAGGGAGGTAGTTTTTCTTGATCGGTAAAATGCAGGTGCAATTTAGTTCAGACGCCGTGGTAACTTACTCTAGATGTTTAGGTTGCCCCGAAAATTCGATAGCGCGAAGGCTGAAGCAGATCGAGGTTTCGCCGGTGCCCATATTGGCGCTGAGGTTGAGGGAGAAGATTATTAGGGTTCAGCCACGAGCCGCCAAAAAACAAAGAAAGAAACTGGTCACCAAGGTTGCAGTCAACACTGCGGTGGCACCCTCCAAGGCAAATACAGACCCACGTAACCACCATCTCATCTTGGTTGCCAACGGTAAGGTATGCTCTCAAATCAGCGACCGGGGTTCTACTTACATGATTTAGCTGAGTGCAGAGAATCGCTGACAGCATTGTGAGCAGGTACCTTCCGGTTGTCAAGGCAGGTGCTCCGCTCCACTGCTGCCTCACAGGTGGCTGCCATAACTGCCCATTGTGCAGGTGACCTGCACCCTGGAGATATTTTTACCCAGCTCAGTTCTTGAAGGTTGCCCCAGGATACACGCGATCATGGCCTCAGGCATTCAGCCAATCGGTTCGCCACCCAAGAAAATCACTTCAAGCGATTCTACCTTGGACCCATCTGTGATCGAGCGGCCTCTTCTTGCGATCCGCACCTTCACACCAGACCGCCTCGCGGCACCTCTTCTCTCACCCTGCTCGTCCTGCTTCACGTTCAGAGAAGCCAAGAAAGACCAACCGAGTCCCCACGCCAGTGCTCGCGTCGTCGCGTCGTCGCAGCGTCGCGTCATTCGGTCTTCCTTGCCTCGAGCAAAGCAGCCTTCGTCCACAGTTCACTCCATCACAAGCGACACCAACTGCGCCAGGTACGCATGCTCACCCGAGCAGCGACCGACCATGACTTCCGTCAATCCCGCCGTCGTCGCCTTGGATGATACGCATCACCCCAATGCGCACCTGACGACTCGCAATGCCAACGTCTCACCTTTCCTGAAGTTTCCCCTGGAGGTACGTACCCAACAACAGCAACTGCCCACTGTAATGATCTAATGGTAGACGTTTTATGCAGATTCGCCTCCTGGTCTACAAATATGCCGTCTTTGTTCAGAAGCCCATCAAGCCTCTTCAAGTGAAACGTCGCTCGAACAAGTTCGTCTGGGGTAATCACTCTACCCAAGATGTGTCGCGAGACCATGCACCCCCGCAAAGCGTGCGGGTTTCTACCGAGGAACCATTGGCGATGACGCAACTCTCATTCACATGCCGCCAAATATACAAGGATCTCGAGGCATATCCCGTTTTCTACCGAGTCAACGCTTTCAGTTTTACTGAAGAATGGGACGCCGCTACTTTTGTGGTCGCAATCACGCCCGAACGACGCAGCATGATCCGCAGAATCATTGTCTACTCTGAAGTTAATTTATATGGCGGCCTTGGCAGAACGCTCGAGGAGACATAGATTACGCCTTCTATGCTGATAGCCGTTCGGCAATGTAGCGAGCTGAAGGAACTGAATGTGGTCGCATGGTAGAGGCGGTTTTTTACATTCACGCAATTTTCCGAGGCCCATAAACAAGATGTGACTGATGGAAAGATGAGACGATGCCTGAGTCATGCTCGCCAGAATGATACCCGACATATGTGGAACCTACCATTCTTCAAGCTTTCCTGGCAGTGTGACTCCGATATCAAGATCAATCTTGAGGATCCAATCGAGATTCCATCCACAGTCCCCCATGATTCGTACCTCCGAAACGATAGCGTGTTCAAGTCGCTCGTCGAGGTTGCCGATGCAGTGAAAACACGTCGAAGCCATGTCACCGATCAAGACCAGGACACGTCTATTCTTCGGAAACCCGCCACTGAACTCGAGAGGCGCGAAGTAGCCAGAATCGCTCAGGTCGATCTTCCAGGTGAAAGTCGCATCAGTCTGGAACCATCCAACGGGCGAATCTCTCGAACCAGAAGACAGCATCAGAAAGCACGCGGAGCTGATGGCTTGGGACTATTCTAGGACGAAAAGCCAAAGTTCAACATTGAAGGGCTTTTATTATGGCCCATCAGAGAGGTGCTGAACATCAGATGGAAGGATTTGACAATCGAATCCCAGGTGTAGTGGCAGTGGCCAGGCAATGGTCCCCGACACTCTTGGGAGGCGCTTCATACGATGCTCACTTTACCAATCTTCTGGCAGGTCCAGGATTTTTACAAGCGCACTCTGAACAAGTCGTGGGGATTGGGGTCCGCACTTCTGGACAAACTCGAAAGTCTGCCCCAGCCCAAAGAAGTTGCCAGGGCTGCCGACGGGTTCCTTCATGAAATGCCCAAAGGATTGCGCGCTCGAAAGTGGCAGTCACTCCAATCCAAATTCGAGCGGATGAGTGTGCAATTTCGGCAGGTAGTTGAGAAAGCCGAGAAAGCCGCTGCTGAGCAGGCGATTCTCTTTGCCTAGGCCAGCAAGAAGCAAAAGGGGACTAAAGATGCCAAGGCGAGCAAGTAAGACCAGACTGCTAAGGGTAACCAGGCAGGGGGGCGAGACACGAATGCATTAAAAGGAAAGGCTTGATGTAGGCACTTTCTTCGATGGAGGATGCTACGCGTTTCGGGGAAGTCTGTGATGACTACATTCATCAACCAGTCCGTGCCTTATGACGAGCAACTTGCTATCACTTGCAAACTTTGATTCAGGCATTTCCCGCTGGGGATCCTCGCCAGTAACTGCAATAAATGACTATGTTGTCCAATAAAGAGTCCTGCTATTTGCACCTTGTTATTATTTCTTATTTGCACCTTGTCCCTACACTCCACCTGCCAGCCAGCTGCAATACAGGTCCCTGTCTTCAACATAACTGTATCGATAACTGCGCCGACAACTGTGCCGACAACTGCACTGACATCTGCACCAGCTATTGCATCGACAAGAGCATCGACGAGTGCAGACAAGGTGTAAATAGGGAATTCTAAAAAAAAGGTGTAAACATCAGAATTCGTAATAAAAATACCTCTGACACAGTATTGTGACGACCTATGTTGATTGAATTGTTAATAAATCATAGCTGGGTGCTCGGTATAATGAGGATCATTCTCGCGATAGACTACTCAGATGCTGTCATATGGACACATGGAAGCGAGCACCACCCAGCTCCTCATCACACTGGGCACGAACTCTCCATCCCGGAGCCATGATTACGCCTCGAGTCCCGCGCGATCACAAGGGACAGAGTGGTTGCCAAGTCCTTAACCATTGCCTTAAGCGTTGGCAGAGTTTTGTGTGGAGAGGTGGTAAAGGTTCAAATCTCTGGTATAGTCCTTCAAATACCTACAGTTTTTCTCAGTACTGGCAGGCTCTCGATTGAAGACATCTGTGGACTGCTTTTCTCGCCACCGCCTGGATAATCGCGGCTGTGTTCATGACACCCCCGCGAGATACTTCAGTCGCAAGATGCTGAGCTCGAACGCGTCGATCATGGTTCTCGATTTTGCCTGGAAGGTGAGGCAGCTGGAGAGCGCAGTGACGTTTCCGATGATAGAATAGATCACAGTAGGTAGTCATTGTCGCGAGTGAGAGTTCCAATGCCGGCCAGCCGGGGCCCGGAGAGTCCAGCTGCGCGACAGTTCAGTGTGGCATCATCGTCATGACGCAGTGCGCTGTGGAGCCGGGTTCCGAGCACAAACGGATCGGTAGGAGCCTCCTTCCGTGGATCGCGCCGCGGATCTTGACCAATTCCATATTTATAGAAAGCCAAGGTCGGTGCCTGGTAGGATTGGGGAAGCTGAGGTCGTCTCAACCCATGAACGCTCTGGCCGATTGGTTGTAATGCTTTCGTATAGTCTGTGGGCGACGATGGTGTTCCTAAGGCTACCTCTGTCTTGTATCGCATCGCAGGATCCATTCCCGAGGCAGCCTCGTTCAGGTTTCAAACACCAGGAAAACAATTGCCTGGTATTCCGGGGGGATACTCCAGGCAGCTGCTATGTCGTTCGAAGGAGGGGGAGAACAATGCATAAAGTCCCGCCTCGCCACTCTCGTCGATACTCCAGCACACGATCAAGTCAAACATCTCCCCACCAAGACAGCACCAGCCAGAGCCTTTCAAGTCCACCACCATCACCAAATCATCCTAGCCCACCGACAAGACCACCCACCACCAGCACAGAATGCACTCCTCAACTCTCCTCCTCACGTTCGCCACCAGCGCCCTCGTCAGCGCAGACGACTGGTCCGTACAGCAATTTGGGTCACAGGACTGCACATCGGACGAGAAGGGCTCGAAAGTCTCGTCGAGCACGCCAACTGCCGTTCAGCTCGACGACCAAACCAAAGCCCTGAAGCTCACAGGGGGAGCTGACGTGGACGGCAATAACGCGTGTTTGGCGGCGTACTCGGGCAACCAGGACGGCGACAAATGCGGCGGCGACTTCATGGGCCTCATCTGGGGGGACTGGAATTGCACGGGCAGCGCTACCACCACGACCTACGACATGGGGCCTATCCAGTGCGTGCAGGTGTATGTGACGGAGCCCTCCGAGAGCGCTGCGCCTAAGGCTAGATGAGATGATTGATGTCGGAGCTGGATACACTACGAGGGATATTAATGGTGGCTTCCTATGTTCGATTCGTTTGATTATACGTTAATTGGTTGACCTACTACTTCTATGCCACGGTGCCTCCAACAGGAAGGGGCATGAACCGCTCTCACCCAGTTGCCGCCAGAGTGTGATTGCTCACATGGCACATCTTGACAGTCTCCAAGTCCTCGAACGCCCTCAGCAGCGGGACAATCCGTGCGAAGTCCTCCGAATCGCGGAACCGTAAGTGCGCGGCCAGGCTATCCCATCCGATAGCCAGGACTAGAATGCGACACTTCTTCTCGTTGTACTCGACCTCCCCCATCGCCCATCCGGTGGCGGTCTCACCGCTGAAGCCTTCTGGGTTGGCTGCCCGAAGCAGTTTCAGGAACTCCAGAATGGTCTTCGTCTCGCTCATCATCTTCTCCGGCGTGAGTACGTCACCGCCCCTGAAGTAGAACTCTGCGAACTCGGTCACGTTTGTGACCGCGGCGCCTTTGCCATCGGCGTTATCCAGCACTGTGGGCGGGTATGGCAACAGAGTTGCGTGGTATGGCGTCATATGCCTTGCCATGACTACTCATTCCTATGTATATCAGTAGTCATCCCGATTGAGGGCCTCCCAAGAGATGAGAAGGCAACGCCAGACTATGTTAGAAGACAGGGACCCCAGAGCTTGAGACGACTTTGGGAGTAACGCACGAAGGACCGGACAGAATATGAAGACACTGACCTGACTGAAGAGAAGCGAGGGATGGGGCATGGACAGCCTCGTTGGCTTCAAATGCGTGATGTGAAGAGACAGACGCCCAATCCACCAAGACGAGCAGCTTATTGGCATCTTCATGCAGTCGCGAACTGCGAACGCTGATACATCCCGGTTGCTGGATGAGGGTCTTCTCCGCTTCTGCAATGGGTGCCAAGTCCGCATTGGGCTGTAGAGTGAAGTAGGCGACCTCTGTGACGGGCATGTCGGACATGGCACTTGAGGGCAGAAGCTTGCCGTCGCACCCCGCCTCTGTGTGAGAGGTGGACGAGATCGCTTGGCACACTGACTTGGCTTCAACGGTCGGGTTCGATCCAGAGTATCATTGGCGATTCATCAATAGCAGTACCAGGTGACCAGGCGCAGATAGGTTCGCTGCCCTCGCGATGAAAGGAGACGATAGTCGTCCGAGAATGAGGTCTCAGATGGAAGACTGCCCGAGGCCCACATCTTGTACAATGGGATCCCCTGATAGGAGATGAGATTCGTCACCAGCAAATATATGCGCTATCTGGGTGGTGGGGTGGTCCGTGCCAGAGCCTGTGAGGGCCTGGTATAAGAGGTGATCTGGGCCTACTACCTTAGGGCCTGGCAGCTACCCGGCTGCCAAATCGGGTAATATATGGGGCTAGATATGCGCTATGAGGGGCTAGTAAGGTCCGTGCAGCCCTGGTTGTGCCTTGTGGTAGCGGTATCCAGAATAAGGACCAGGGTCACGATAGGTGGCTATTGGTCTGTATTCTGGAAGTTGCTTGATTGAAAGAAGGGATGGGTGGTGTCCCCATCCCAGAAGTAGCTATCATCCCAGTTGGTTACAAATCAGGTACAAATGGGTACCCGTTGGGCTCCAAGGTACCTTGTATCCTGGTCCGTGACCCATCCGTCATTGTGGCTGGAAAATGGGTTGAGGAGCCACATGGTTTCCAGGCAAAACATATGCGATATTTGATTTATGCGCTATCTGGTGATTTTCCCTATTAAAAATATCCGTCACGAGAAAAATATGCGCTATCCCGTACATATCTCCTATCAGTGTGCCTTTTGGTAGCTTTCCCAAATGCTGACAAATCACAAGTCTTGTTGTAATCTATCAGTGGTCTGTGTGGTGCTTGATTAAAAGGTCGGATGGAAAGGATTCCATCCGAGATGTATCTAAATACCTAAATTACAGTGGTGAGGTACCTGGGGCAACAAAGGGTTGCCAGGCAGCCTTCATCAGGTAACCTCCAACATATCTGGTGGGGTTCCAGAATACTCCATATGGGTCCATGCACTGGATCCACATCAAGGCCACCTACTGTAGGTGGGTCTCTGGGTACGTACCTGGCGACAGTAGCTGGCAGCTGCCAGCCATTTTGCCACTTGTTGCCCAGCTGACTACCCAAGTACAACCTCCAAAGTAAACACTCCCAGGTCGAGACTTGGGCACGCATTGGATCGCCGCCACATCAACGCTCAACATCCGCCTTCTCGTCCGGCAAACTACACATTTCCCTACACCAGTATCTATGAATCTCTGGATACCTGTTGGTGCACTACACTCCTTTTTGATCATCCCTTGGTAACATCTTGAGCTTGGTGTTTTGGTCCCGGCATTCGGGCCCGAAGGAGCAGATCATCAACAACGTGACGTCCAGGTATGCAATTATCTTTCCCTTGGTCAACTGGTCTCCAGACCATTAGCTGTGTACCCAACACTGCACTGATCACGTTGCCTCCCATGCTCGAGCAGATGATGCCTCACTCCTATTCACATCCAATACAAGCTTCCTGCAAACATATACCTGCAGTCCGTTTGCCTTCACTGGAACATCTTGGAGTATCTGCCCATAGCAAAGCATTGGACCTTTATCTACGCTCAAAATACAAAACACATACAACTTGAAAGCAAAGGGTTCTCCAGCTTCGATCCAGCTTCAGGTACTTAAAAGACCAAAATAAGGAATCATTCACTGGTTTTTGTTTCCAGACTGGTTACGATGGAAGTGGTAAGTTGCTCACCAAAGACACCATAATTCTCACTAACCGTTGAAGACAGATCTGCTACCGAATGAACATCGGAATCGTCCACCCATAATTATTGTTTCGCAGCAGGTTGGATCCCGCCTATGCGGCTTTCAGATTCGTTAATGCACACCACATCCAAGAAGCAACCCGTTTGAGCAAGATCTTCACTAGTCACTATGTGCTACCATCAAATCGTCACGTATGTCCAATGCCGACACCGCGTCACATTCCCCGATTACTGCCCTTCATACGGACGATGCTACATCGTCAACACCCCCGAAGTGTCCGTGAATGGAAGCTGCCCAAGTTGCGGGGGTTAGGCACCTCACCATCCTGGACAACTTCCCAACGCGCCTCACTACATGGCCAGGCAGTATGCCGCCACGACGAGTCACCCATCAAGTGCATGGGCGCAAGCATACCACGATGGGTACGCGAGCCATGCGAACCAGGCCGCTCAGACCAAACACCATTTCCTCCCGCCACCAGCACCAGCTCTGGCTCAGCCTGGGTACTGGTACCAACAGGCCCACATTGCGTTGCCGCAGATGCGACGCTCACCAGGTAATAAGGGACTAAATAGATCGATTAATAAATGTTGACGAAGCACAGGTAACCCTTTTCAAGGCTTAGCCCACGGCCCGCATTCATACACAGACGACTCCAGCACCGCCACCCCCGAGACGCCAGACTCTCTCATGTCCGCTGCCGACCGCTCAAGCCAGGACCACGATTCAAGCATAGACGACGCCGAGGGCCGCACCGAGTTTGACTTCCAGATCGACCCTGATGCAGGCGACCCCATCGAGGACAGCCTGACGATCACCAACCACAGCGACTTGATCCTCGGGTCCGAATGGATCGTCCCGACGCGGCAGCAGGCAATGGCTGAAGCCGGCTCTCACATGGGGGAGGCTGAGATCTGGTCGCTGCATGAGGTAGATGGAGTCGAAGAGGGCGTTGTGATCAGGGAGCCAGCTCGCATGACCGGGCTGTGCATGTCTGGTGGTCTATCAGGAAGTTCGCAGTGAAGACGGGCTATGTCAGTTGGAGGTTTGGGATAGATAACCAGAGTTGGAGGCATAGTTAGTTATTTTGGCTCGTTTTCCGTCAGCTAATATATCCATTGATCCGTCCATCTCCATCCATACATGACCTTGCAAGCTAAGCTCATATACGAAGAAGCAGTTGAACAAAGTTTCTCCAACAGCCACTCTGCGAAGCTTATAGCCTAGGCCCATCCCTATCTCCATACGCACCCACGGTAGAGGATATATATACGAGTTTATCAGGTTAGTCTGGTAGCCGGGTTGGTACGGCCTAGCGAATAGCGGAGTATTCCTATTCTATATCCTTAGGCACAGCGGTTCGATTCCTCTAGCGGTTGAAACACATTCCTTTTGCCTTCTCTCTTGGGCCCTTCACACCCCGCGCTTTACCTTTTTCTTTTCTCCATCTTGTAGATCAGTCGAGACACAATTCATTTCTCAAGAATGCGAACAGACTTGTATAGATCCTAGTCGACAAGCAAGGCGTTTGGAGACCACCCAGCTTCCATACAAAGGTGACGCGCTCAGCAAGCGTTCTGTCCTGATCATCAGTTCAGGAAGCTATAATTCCCTGACGCTCACCCATCCCATACCATTTCCATCCCTCAGTTGTTGAACAGCACACTGCATAATGTGAACCAGATGATCCCAGCCAGCCCGGACACCTCCACGTTCACGGTGACCTTTATCACGATAGGCCCAACATTTCAGAGGTGTTCGTCCACCCCTGACCAAGGCAGTGGACGTCCAAGATTGTGGTGACCGGGATAGGTACAGCGAAAAAGCACAAGGGTTGGGCTGATGAACTGCAACTGCTTATCCCAGGGCACTCATGTCGGGTGCCAGATGTTTGGCTTTTTGTTGCTCGGATGCCTGGAGTTCCAACCACTGGACAACCTGCGGGTACTGGGGGCGGACACAAGGGATGTACGCCTTCGCATCAGGCCGTAGGTGCACCCGCTTCTGCTCCCACATAGCCTTGATGAGATCGAGATGCTTGCCTCGATGCACTGCTATCTTAGACGGGGATGCCGATTCAAGCAATCCGCCTTCCTCGATACATTCAGGTCCAATGGATCGACCATAATAAGGAAAAGGGTCGGCGCCATGGTCCACCAACAGACGGATTACGCTGGTGTGGCGAAACATTGTCGTGAAACTCAACAAAGACATACAATGGTCGCCGGGCCTCGAGTTGACGTCGATATCTCCCCCCAGTAGTCTCTCGACGGTGCTGATCTCTCCCCATTGGACAGCCGAGTAGAGCCACTCCAAGTGCATGGGTGAGTCCTGAAGAGCAGCTCCCTGCAGCAACGTTCGAGTTCGGATATAGTCTTTCGACTCTAAAGCATATGTGAGCAGACTAGACAGTTGGGTAAGCGAGAAGCCAAAGTCAAGTAGAAAGTCGAAGCTAGGATCTCGGTCATGGCAGATACTAGAAGGCTTGCGGGTGGGCACAATGCTCTGGTAAGCCCAGACAGAGGCCTTGCCAGCATCTCGCAGTGTGGCACCATGCGTGAGCAAAACACGGCAAGCTCGGGGCTGTCGAAGATCGAAGGAGCGATCGAGAAGGTAATCAATATACCCATCACGCAACGGAACACTTTCTGCTAATAGCAGGAGTCTTTCGAGAGGATCATCGTCGTGTGTCTCGTCGCACAGGTCCGCCGCCCATTCAAGGAGAGAATCGTCCCCCGCGCCCGCGCCGTGTATAGCTTCATCCATGCGAGCTCCAGCTTGCACCAGGATAACCATCTTCGCGATCCGTTCGTCAGTGTCTTCGGCAGTGGACATAAGAGAGCAGAGTGGGGTTATTCCAGAGGATCGTAAGTGAACGTCGGCCCCAGCGGCTATAAGCCTCAACACCATATCGACAGTGCCATCATAGGCGGCATATGAAAGGGGTGTGAGCCCATCGTCGCGACGCTCGTCGACATTGGCGCCCGCCGCCAAGATTCTTTGCAACAGGTCATTCTGTTGAGATATTCCACCGCCACGAGTATAACCGATCGTACGATGACGAGCTATTACGCAAGCGTGAATAGGATGGTTAGATTGCTGCGGGTGGGTAGGCGTGACTATGGCGCCAGCATCATGCAATTGGTTGGCATAGCGATACTGGCCATGTTCGAGCGCAGTATTAATTGGAAGAGTTCCATCAACCTCCGCGTTGATATCGGCGCCAAGCTCGATCAGTGTCCGGATTACCCGATAATTGCTATCCTCCTTGACTGCCACATGCAGGGGAGTCTCATCTTGACCATTGGTAGCATCCACAGACAGAACCAGGTTCCTCACGATGTACTCAACAACCCGTGCTAACCCTCGTGCGGCAGCTTCATGAAGAGCCGTGGTGTGTTCGAACCAGAGGTCATGGTTATCGCGGGTTCTTGAGATATCCACCCAGCCCCGCGCGAGAGGAGCAGAATAGCAGTACTCTGCTTCTTGTGAGCAATCGCAGTCCATAATGGCGACTAGTCCATTCGCACAGCCGGCCGTGGAAATATAACGAGACATGGTGTATCTATCCGTGAGCCGTGGACCAGGAACCAATTCACGGTATCATCGTGGCCGGCCTCGCAGGCCAGGTACAACGGGGACTTCGGGCCCCAGTGTTCCAAGTACTGCTCTAAATGCTCAGTGGCGGAGTCTAGATCTAAGTTGAATTGTGATGCAAGATCGAGAGTACTGATCTGGTCTCTTTTTGCAGCATATGATACAGCAGACGACTGCTTGAAGTCTCGATTGAAGGCGTAGAGCACAGGGTTGATGATATCGTAGAATCGTCGGCTGATGCGCGCAAAGGACGCCAGGTCGCTGGATCCTAGAACACGGCTTTCTGGAGTCGCAGTATCATGTTCGGCGTCGCTCTCGCCCTCGCTCTTGGCGACGATGCGGACGAGCTCTGAAGGCAGGTCTGAAAGTCTCGCCATTTGGGGCAAGCGGTTGCTGCGCTGACAGAATAATTTGCAGTGGGATAAGGCGGGATGAGTTCGCTGTTAAAGTCAGTGACCTGGATGAATCGTTCATGTGCGTAGAGCGGGAAAGAGTTGGGGAGTTCACGCAAACTCTTCCTCTGTGTTCGACAAACGGGCATCACATTGCTTTTGCCTTGTGTCACGTGAGACTCGATGAACGACAGACGCCAGCCAGGTGGCAGATTTCGGTGGCCCCGCCAGCGGCTGGTCACAGGTGATGAGCTTCGGCGACGGCAATCTTCAAACAGCGTTGACTTTCATCAATTTGGGTTTCAACGTTTTTGATGAGGCGTTTTCTTCCTCTTCTTCTTTTTTAAGTTTTCTCGAGATATTAACTGGCGCAACTCTATTCAGCCATGACTCCACCAAAGAAAAGACATAAAAGGCGGAAGATGGTACCCCAACCGAGAGCAGTCAAGGCATCCTCTGCAAGCACCAAACTTATTCGGTATTCGTTCTGCGAAGACTTCGCTACCACTCGTCGCCCGACAGTCTCAGTCAATCAATATCATCTCAACCATGGCAGCTCTCGCCATACTAGCCAAAGAGCTCTTGCTTACCGTTGCGGAAACGACCATCTTGGAGCAGCACGACCTGTGGGCTCTCGCGGTGGTCAGTAGAAGGTTTCACCACGTCTTCGATCCGCTCCTCTACACGTTGAACAAAGATGACAGGCGCTCAGACGCAGTCCACTGGGCCGCATACCGCGGCCGCATCGACATCTTGGAGAAAGCGCACTCACATGGCCTGGACCTTGGCCTCTCTGGGGTTTACAGTCGGATGTACTGGGCTTGCAGGAGTGGCAACACAGCCATAGTGCAGTGGCTACTCGATCACGGTGTGCCGGTCGACGGGCCTAGAGAGAAACGAAGGCTTGAAAACGTGGCAGATTCTATGCTCTCGGCATTGTGTTTTGCCCTGATGGGGAAACACCAGGCCACAATGATCCTGCTCATTTCGCGGGGTGCGTGCCTACGGGTGCTCACAAGAGTTGGAGTGGGAATGGGGCGGCATTTCCTCCATTTGGCGGCAAAGGAAGGTCTAGACGCGGTCGTGGAGTACCGGATAACGACCACCGGAATCCCCGCAAATCTTCAGTGTGAGAGCACGCGCGGGACGCCCTTGCATTTCGCAGTAATGGAAGAAGGAACTGAGAAGATCATTCGAACGCTTCTGAGCCTAGGTGCGGATATGGTCACCAGCCAGGAACTACCTCTAACGGTGGCGATACGTTACCGTCGTTTCGAAAACGCGACTACACTTCTCGAAGCAGGGTCGCCAGTCAGCCCGACCAGTGCGCAAGTACATGGCCTGCCTCCGATGAACGCTTGTGCACGGTTGGGAGGACACTATTCTGCCGGTTCAGAAGACTGGGTCGGAGAAAAAGATAAACTTCTGCGGAAACTGATTGCTGTCGGAGCTGACGTGGAGGCCTCATACCAGGGGGTGACCCCTCTTGGCGAAGCCGTCGCCAGGGGAACTGCCAGTGCCGTCTACGAACTCGTGCGCGCAGGAGGGGCCAGCAGCGTATGTAAGCCGGTGCATGAGGCCAGACTGCCTCTCGAAACATTATTTCAGCACGTCCACAATGACGACGTTTTCATAGATTGATTGATTGATTGTATTTAACGTGGGGGGTAGCTCCTCAGTAGTGCAAACCACGCCTCCCAGAGCCTCTGTATCGCAGGGTTGTGGAGGTCTCAAGAAAATAAGTACAGTCAGTCCCGCTCACGGGCCCATCCCCGTTGTTGCGGCGGTATGACCTTGGGGTCATCCATCTGGTCCTTCAAGAAAAGCTATCTATCGGGGGCAGATTATTGAAAAGAACTTGCTCTTCTCCACGAATTTTGCCCATTCTGTGCTCCTCTCCCCTAAGTATTGTAAACAAGCTGCCCTAGGCCCTGTCCATTTGAAGATCCTTCCCTCGCAAGTACTGTAAATATATATTTTGTATTCCAAGACCCGAGATTGTTCGCTAGTTATCATCGTCTCGCAACCCACTGGCAGGATGGTGAAACAGAGCCTCGAGCTACATAATTACACGATATCCTATCTGTATTATCCTATTAGAGATGAAGCATGGGGCTTCGTTCCAGTAGTTACTTACCGGTGAAGTTCTCTCCAGTGGCATTGCCCGCTTTGCCCGCTTTGCGAGACGCGGCGGTCCTGATCTTCGGCATCTTCGAGGGGTATGTTGCGATGAAGCTATCTCAAGACGTAGGAATACAACACGGTACAACTTCATGTTGGATTCTGGGCTACGTTAGCCCGTCCATAGTCATTCTTCAGGATCACTATCCCCATTTGTGACTCTGTCACATACGGCCAATATAAGGCCACGTATCCTTTCCTTTAGTATCTTGGATATATATAGGGCCACTCTGGCCGCTCCAGAGTTTGTTTGTTTGTTTTGTATTTAACGTGGGGGGTAGCTCCTCAGTAGTGCAAACCACGCCTCCCAGAGCCTCTGCATCGCAGGGTTGTGGAGGTCTCAAGATAATAAGTACAGTCAGTCCCGCTCACGGGCCCCATCCCCGTTGTTGCGGCGGTATGACCTTGGGGTCATCCATCTGGTCCTTCGAGAAAAGCTATCTATAAGGCCGCTCCAGAGTAGTTAAATATCTCTCCTTAATAGAACACTTTGAAATCCCACATCATGGAACTACACAGTGGGCCAATCTTTGCCGGCGACATTCCGACCACATCGCCTTCAATCTATGCCCGTTTCCGGTATCGGGTGGGAGCCGACTTAAAGAAGAATCGCTCACTCCTGTAGGACGTGGAGCGGCAACCCGAGCATGGACCTTGGCGACCCGAGCATGGACCATGGATGCTTCAGATGACTGCCATTTGTGACAATCAGGCCTGCAGCTGCGCTGGTCGGGGCTGATGGGTTGAAATATCTAGATTCAACGATATCTAAGGAAGAAGAGGCAATGTCGGAAGAGAAAGGGGAAGCTAGGGATATATATGTACATAAATATGTGGAGGTATTATGTAATACCGTAACACCATTTCGTCAGCTATCCGCGGATTCTTCGAAAACAAGACGACACTGCCGAGATTATTCTATCTGCTGGATGACCAGACACACAGGCACACAAGGCTCAACGGCCATGGGAAGCAGATCCGGCGAGCGGGGCAGAAATCAAAGGGCTCCATGGTCGCCGCTCGGAGATCTGACCGGCAGTTGACTTTGAGGCAGACCTTGAGCGCCTTGAAAAGTTGCTCGATGACGTCTTGCCTGATACGCAGATTGACTACGTCAATCTGACACGAACCTGCAACAGGCTGTTGGCAAACATTGGAGTTAAGATCGAGTCACGTTTGAAAATCAAGCACTCTGACACCAGTTGCGGTAAGAACGGATACCTTATGCGGCTTGCAATGGTAGAGGTTCTGTTGCGTGAGAATGCGCAACACGCTTCTTCCAAGAATCAGACCAAGTCAACTGTTAGTGGGAAACAAGACGGGCCGCAGCTAGGTCCACAGATGGAGGTGGCGGCCGAAGTTCTTGAGAGGTATCTGTTAAGTGTCAAGACTGCTTCGCCTTAAGCTTAGTCTGGAGATGATACGTGTTGAACAGCGTGTATTATGGTTGATCTGGTTGATAACGTGTATTCTGGTGATTCTGATTTGAGTGTTGTGCCTGTGTGAAAATCCTTCTGTGGGCTAGGTGGCCTAAAAATGCCCTATTGGCCTTGTTGGTACCAGCACTGCCACCTCCCTGAACGCCACGGTGGCTTGTGCGCCATCCAACAATACGATGCTACTGTGGATGCTCGTGTACTGCCCAAGGGCCACGGATGTTCTCGATGAAAGCTTGCCTGGCCTAAGCGCCCTGGTGCCTACAAGGCGGCGTGGGTATTGAAATGGTTAGATTGTTCGAAAGCAGCCATGTGCTGGTGCGGTTGAGAGTAATCGAGGGCGGTTGGCTCGGGTCCTTGGCCGGGCCCGAGATATCGGACTGGTTGGGTCCCCGGCAGTCTGGCTGAGAGGGTGAGCATCTCATGCACTCCCTATTGGTTGTGGGCTTCCTACGTTCATTACGTAGGTTCCAAGACGTCTGATGCCAAGGACAGCACTGGTGATTATGAATCTCGACGGAACAGCTCGCACGCAGCATGCGCCAACACTTGCACAAAGGAAACCCAGTCAGGTTCATTCCTTGCCGTATATTTCCAGCAGCAGTGTTACGTCTACAAATCATCGTTTGCTGTGGATGGCCCGGCCGCTTTATTCCGCTTCTCTCAATCCACACATAAATATATGCAAGCTGAACAATTGAGCTCTGCTTGCTTGACATGGCCACCTGGGTATAGTACACTCTCATGATTCGCGAACGCAGTCCTTCACCATGTCTTCCAGCCTCGAAAAGGACGCTGCTTTCGAGACCTCATTCAAAGGCTTCTTGCGCCGGCAACGCACAACCCCCACCCGTCTACCCACCAGCCTGCGCATGACGGGCCAAACCGTAATCATCACAGGAAGCAACTCAGACATCGGCCTAGCCGTCTGCCGTCAACTACTGAACCCCGACGTCTCCCACCTGGTTATGCGTGTGCGCTCCCAGGCCAAAGGCGATGCAGCAGCGAGTCAGCCCCGAGAGGCATTCCCGGGCTCGCAAGTATCCGTTTAGATCCATGATATAAAATCGTACGATTATATCCGCCAGTTCGCCGAACAGCAGCATGCCTCTATGCCACGCACTGACGTCGCTACCCTCACCGCAGGGCTCGTGGTGTCGTCGTACACGACTGCCACGGGGTAGCGTTCACGAGCGTTTGCTGCAGGTCAACTACCTGGCAACGGCACTTCTGGCCCTGCTTCTCATCCCCATTCTAGAGTCAAGAAAGGGCCCGGGTGCCCCTCTCGATTGTGATAAGAGCCATTTCGCTTGGTAGACTAATGTCTTGCAAGTCGACCAATATAGGGAGTACGTCTTACTGGTGGTCCTACTGACCAGCACGGCAGGCAATTACATGCAGGGCCAGGATTCGATTCCCCGCACGCCATCATCCTCTAGGCAACAAGATCATGTGAGTTATATCAGTTTAGTATAAAAACACCCACCAACTTCAAAGTGTGCTTGCCCTCTCGCATCTTCGCATGCTAGCGAAAGCAACAAAGTCATGGGTCGAAAACTCAGCAGGCCACGAGTTGCACTCTCCTACATTCTCTACGCACCAACCGAAGCAGCGATCATCATCCCCCCTGTCATGCGAGGCCATCGCTATGTTCACCAGCAACTGGTCAGACAGAGCATCCTCAAAGTCAAGCCCTTCTGGGTGAAGCCGCTCCGGCCTCAACGACGTCCACGAGCGCTGACCGCGCCTCTGCCACCTCACCATCCGGGGCTGCTAGTTGAGACATGGGACTGGACAACAAACCGCATCGCACCCCAAAGCACATGCGCGCAGGAACACTGCCTCCTCGTCACGCGGGTGCCGCTAGACATCCGAGTCATGATTTATCGTGAGGTGCTGGAGGGACAATTCTTTCACCGAAGCTCCGGCACCAACCACGCGCCCCCGAGGAAGTACAAATGCCTTCGTCCCTGGCAGTACATGGACGGCGTCCACGGATCATGCCACGGATCGCAGCAACGCATGCAGCTGCTTTCGCTGCCCTCGACGTGCCGCTTGATGTAAGCAAGCCCCCTCCGCCTTGGTCCGGATGAGCCCCAGCACGCAGAGTACCTATAGGATTTTGACATTCTTGCCCCATAGCTACACCGAGACCATCACTCGCCTCTACGCCGCGAACAAGTTCGACTTCACACAGTCCTTCTGCCTCCTGAACTTCCTCAACGCGCTCCCAAGCGCACGCTATGCTGACATCAGGCACTTGCAGTACTTCATCGGCATCGGCAGAGGCCTGGTATCGGGCGGTGCGCCCCAGATGCGCGACTGAGCCAGCCTGTGCGGCTTCTTCGCCGCGACCTTCGGCCCGCAGCTGGAGCTGGACCTGAACCTATCATTCCACGGCAGATCCTCGACGCTCATCCGTGAGACCGGAGACGCCGAAACAGCCGATATGGGATGGCTGTCTCCGCCGTGGGGGCTGTCGAGGAAGCTCCGCCTAAGGCTCTGCATCCCGTCAGATGACTCGGGGGCGTGCCGTTCCGGGCAGGAACCGCCGAGGGAGCCGATGAGCGTGGTGATTGCCTTTGAGGTGAGAAGGCGGGTGCGGGAGCCGATCAGTGAGCGCGATGAGGTGTTGGCGGATGTGCATGGGATGATCCAGTCCGCGTTGGCGAACTGGAGGCCGTACGGGAGACTCGTCCAGTAGTGTCCGGCATGCTGAGTGAGCTCTCATTGACATCGCCATATCATCACGCTCGCATGACAGTCGACAAACGCCAAGCAGATGAGTGGTAATGAAACAGACGAAGTCAGCGAAACAAGTCAAGACATACATATGGCTTGGCGATTACTGCATCACGTCAAATTGCGGCAGGACTGGGCCGGTCGTCTTGTCATAGTTCGATAGCTGGTGACTCCATAAATGACTTTGTTGATGTAAGTGAAGAAGGAAGAAAACTATGAAGCTAGCTAGGAGACAGGAGCCGGTATATATAGGGGTTGACCCGTGGGGCTGTGGGGTTGTCATCTAGTGCCGTGACACGTCTTCAGGTTGGCGGCCGAATACACCATATCCTACCTACCCTACTTCGCCTGTACAGGCGCCATTGCGATCTCTACCAGAATCATGAAAAGATATGGCCACACATCCACAATGTGTGGTGTAGTATGCCAAACAAGCGCTGAAGCTACCTGTATTGTGATAACTCAGTAACCTAATACACAGAAAACCAAAGACCGAGCCCATAACGCCGTGCTATATTTATTGATATGCATCCGGGACTTAACCAGACAAACCTGACAGTAGCAACGAATTCCTAGCGGTGACCGTCATTCCCGACCTTCTCCTGATGTCCTCCACCGCAAACATGAATTCTTCCGTGCCTCTTTTCTTTGCCTTGGCTGGCAGAGGCTTCGCGTCCGTGATCTTGAGCCACTCGCCATTAAAGGCGTTGATGAGCCAGTTATTCAATTCTGAAGCGTGTTAGCACCAGTCGGATGGCCTCGGAAGAGGGGGTGGGACTAACTATCATAGACAATTCGGTTCGCATTGTGAAAATAGATCCCGTGGTTGCTGTCTGGGAACATGTGTAGGTCGTAATTCTCTACTCCCGCCAAATCAAGCTTGTCCAGCAGAGTGAGTGTGTTCTGCATGTGCACGTTGTCATCGGCCACGCCGTGCATGATCAGGAACCGCACGTTATTTGCTAGTGCAGTGACGTTGCTGATGGCGGTGTCGTCGTAGCCGTCCTTGTTCTGCTGCGGCGTGAGCATGTATCGCTCCGTGTAGATGCTGTCGTAGAACCGCCAGTCAGTTACGGGCGCCACAGCCATGCCGTAGCGGAAGGTCTGGCCTGCGTCTTGCTCGAGCGTCTTCAAGGTCTGGAAGCCCCCGTATGACCAGCCCCATATCGCGATACGGGTTTCGTCCGTATACGACTTTGCGGCCCAGATCTTTGCTGCTGCGATTTGGTCGTATGCTTCCCATTTACCTAGGTTCTTACGCACAATCACGCGCTCCTTGCGCCCAATAAAGCCGGTACCCCGTCCATCGACTGTCACGACGATGTAGCCGAGGCTAGCGGCGATATAAGATTGGAAATCGACGCTGAATCTCTTCTCGACAGATTGAGACCCTGGACCGGAGTACTGTTGGAATAGGACGGGGTACCGCTTCTTCGGGTTGAAGTGTGGAGGGCGACGTTCGAGGTAGTTGAGCTGGACATCATCGACAGTAATTGTCCCGTATTCCAAGAGAGGAAGCTCATGTTTCTTGGCCTTGTCTGCCAAGTCCTTATTTTCTTCAATTACATGCTCATAAGATTCGGCATTGCTTGGTGTGCTCATAACCTTCTGCGTCGGCACGTTGGGCCCCTTGCAGGTGATGAGGGCATATCCGGCTTTGCTTGAGAATGATGCATCGTAGTAGCCCTCCTTGCTCGTATCTGTGATCGCCTTCAAATCCGACCCGTCGAACTTGACGCTGTAAACATGCCGTTGGATCGATGATTCTTTCGTCGCGACGAAATATGCCAAATTGTTCTTTAGGTCGACTGCCGATGGTGCGCCCACAACTTCCCAATCTCCAGAGGTCAGCATGACGGGCTCGTCAGCGTCCAAAGGACTATAGTAGGCCATGTGGTCCCAGTTCCCAGATATGATTGTATCGATATAGCCATCGTCTGGCCTCCCGTTGGTAGGGTCAGCAGGGATGTATGTAGTATCATGAGATATTTCGAACCAGCCACCATCAATCTTGCCTACATCAACAGTCCTGATGGTCTTGCCGGTACGTGCGATGACATCGACGAGGATGACTCGCATGATGTCACTAACGCGGTTGGTCTCCTTGATGAGGACCTTGCTCCCAGCCCACGTGATGTCGGTGATCAAGAGGTCTTCGGGCTCGAAACCGCCGTCGATCTCAACAGAGAAGACATCGCCTTTGACCATATCGTAGAAGAGCAGATCGACGAATGGGTTGGGCGAGCCAGCTTTCGGATATTTGAGTTGTTGCACTTCGGGGTAGCTCTCTTGTCCTGCTGGAGGCTCATCGCCACTGGGTCTTTCGATGAAAAACTCGATTGGATACTCGGGAACGGATGTCTCGTTTGTCCTGAGAAACGCCATGAAATCACCGGTGCCGGACCACCACGTCGCGCTGTTATCACCAAAGACCTCCTCCTCGTACACCCAATCCGGGATACCGTAGAAATACTCCGGGCCACCGTCTTTGGTGATCTGCACTACATTGTTGCTTTCGAGCTTTCGCACGTATAGGTTGTTGGCGAGGGTATAGGCAACAGCGTTACTCTTGGGGCTCCATTGAGCAAGCTGCACTCTGAGATCGGAATTGTTGGGGTCCAAAGGCTCGGCGGTTTGGGTGTCCACATCAAATATCCAGTATTTCCCTGTGAATGAGTGTCTCCAGATAGACTTCGTGTCGGTCGCAATGAGCACTTTCTTCAAGTCGGGGCTAGGCCAGACCTGTTCTGGTGTCAACTGCTTCCCACCAACATTGAACCAGGCGTTCTTCATCAGCGTCTGGGACGAAGCTACCGATCGCCTAGCGTCGGTATGCTCTCCATTCTGACTGCGGACATCTTCCACGACTAGGTAGTCCTTCCCGCGGGCCGCCCGTTCCAGCAGCAAGCCGTCTTCTCCATTGGCGCCTTCAATCCAACTTATCTCGTGGCTTTCCGCCCGCCAGTAACCAGCCATCACCTGATCTATGGTGAGCTTCTTGCCATGACCGCGGGAATTTGTTGCGGCGGGGTCGTGTTCTTTCTCGGAGGCATGTTGGTATGATTTTGACGAGACGTAAGTCACCAGCCCAACCAGCCAGACTGCCACGAAGACGCCCGCCAGAATCAATATTATCCGTTTCAGTTTTCTGTCCATCCCGACTCTCCTCTGGCTGGCAGCCGAGGCCAAGAAGGCACCTCGCTCGTCATCGTCAGAGCCATCTTTGAGGGGGTCCTCGTTGTTGAAGTCGGACAGGTTGCCGTTGGGTTTTTCCCTCTCGCCGAGTCGCTCGAAGACTAGGCTCGTCGTCGAGACGGAGGAAAGAGAGTCGTGGGACAGTCGTTGGGGAGCTGCGAGCAAGTCAGAAGAGCTTGAATATATCCTGGCACGCCCAGCGCCTGACTGCATCGGTACTCACCCATCGTCATGTCACGCTGGGCAGTTCGAAGTTATTCCCCAATGAGCGAGTGAAAGGATGTCGCGTCGCCGGACCTAGTCAACCATTGGAAAAGAGCCACACTATTGAAGCTCGAATCGCGCCAGCTGGACTCGATTGATACTGATACACAAGCAAGACCAAGTCAGAGAATCATCAAACACGCCAAGGCCGAAGCTGGCGGGGCACATGGATGTGTCGGAGGTTGTGGCGTAAGTTGCACTGTGGCTTGCGGAAGCATCAGCCACAGCCGAGCCGGAGGTAAGCCGAACCGGAGGTAACCTCAACGGGCGGCCGGGCTTTTCCACAATTCTCAGCATCAGAGCTCTCAAGCTGACGCCGTATATGTCACACGCGAAAATCCAAATCTCCCTATCATCATGGTAATTTTCGATCTCGCTGTTCAGAGGTATTCCATTGAGCGAATATCGTGCGCCAAACCAGACCCGATCCGACATGTCAGTGACAACCTACATGAGGCCCTGTCGTAGGTATGTCGATGTGCTATCAAGACGCCTGCTATGAAAGTTATAGCATAAGGAACGGCCCAAAGCAGGCGACTGATGATTAGTCGAGGAATGATGGATACGGGCGTCAGCTCCCGATGCTATCCTCCAGGATGATACTCTCCGTGATGGCGCTCGTAGGGCCTACTATCAGTAGTACCTTGGTACTACCCCTTACTTCAACACCAGGCTGGCTGTTAGCCCTGAATCGCCACTGCATTAGCGATCAGCCACACGAGCAAGGGACCAACAGTTCTGCCTTGTATGTTGGCAGACTGAGGTTACACAACAGCAGCGGTTGGTTCGAGTTTTACAGCTCACGGTCCCTCTTCCCTCATGTTGGCCCTCATGTTGGGTAACATGGCTTCGGGGGTTATATGAGCCTCTCGCCTCTGCTGCCGCCCGTTTCTACATACTCCGTTCCTATGACCAGCCTGTCGACGTTCCGATATCTTCGTCTTTGGCCTTGCACGTTCTCACTCCAATACCCACAGCCGCTGAGTGATGGCATTTCCCGGAGCACCGCAACTTATCTTTGGCTGTGGCGGGCTCGGCAATGAATTTGTCGGCGAAGATTCGGTAACAGAGCTATTGCAAACGCTCAAGCAGTTCGGCGTGAGCCGGCTCGACACAGCTACGCTCTATCCGCCGACAGACATTGGAGCTTCGCAACGTCTGCTTGGGCGAACGGGGGCAGCAAGGTTGGGATTCACCATTGATACCAAGGTTCTGGTCAGCTTATCCGGTCTGAAAGGGACCCTCGAGCCCGAGAAGATCGACAAATATGTTGCAGAAAGCAATGAAGTCCTACGGTTTGAGGATGGTCAGCGCATCAACGTGCTGCACGCCCATGCCCCGGACGTCGTCACGCCGTTGGAGGAGCAAGCAGCAGGGTTCGACAAACAGTACAAGAAGGGTCTCTTTGACAAAGTGAACACTTCCATTTTTTCCCGGGAGAAATATTCTGGAGGTGAATCTGAGACTGACCACGAACTGCAGCTTGGTCTTTCCAATTTCCCTCTGGACATGCTCTCCGAGTTCATAGACATCTGCGACCGTGAGGGGTACGTCAAGCCCGCAGTTTATCAAGGACTCTATAAAATCATCGACCGCCGACACGAGGGACCTCTACTCGACTTCGTGCACAAACAGGGTATGCAGTTCGTGGCGCACAGTCCGCTGGCCAGTGGCTTCCTGCACGGCAGACTAACGACGGGCGATGTCGAGGGCACGCGTTTCGCGGAGGGCAACATAATGTCCATGGATGCTCGGCGGTATGACACAGACAAACACCACGACATTATCCGCTCACTCGACAAGGTGCTTGAGCCACACGGCATCACCAAGACTGATGCCGCGCTGCGCTGGCTCGCATACCACTCCCAGCTGACACCTCAAGATGGGATCATCTTCGGCTCCAGCAAGCTCGCTCAAGCCAAGCAGAATGTGGCCGCCATTGGCGAGGGTCCACTTCCGGCTGATGTGTTGGTGGCACTAGACAGCGCCTGCGATACCATGGCATCGCACCGTACTGGCAGCTATAGCGAGGAAAATATGAATAGTTGGCGCACAATGACTGCCAGCTAGGTAGGTAGTCATGAAGCACAGGCGGTGCTGAACAGATATAATCATATATTTCGCATCTCAACGCAGTCTTCTATCTCTGCCCTGATCATATCCCTCTGCCATGTAGTCCTCTACGTAACCACTTGATAATAAGCCCCGATTTAGTAGGTCGAGGATCACAGAGTCTGTCAAGCAGCGCGTTGATGGTCCGTATGGCCCCATTTGGTGCCATGGGTCTGCCCGAGCAGCGGTAGCTGCGTATTTATAAAGCTGCTATTTATAGGTCGAGCTGATGCTACGTATCTCTTCTATGAGATGCGTGACCTGGGATGATGGTAAGAAACCCGTAGTGTCTGCCTTAAGACCAATTGGCTAGGTGTAAATGGCCATAGTAGTTCACATGTGTGCACCAGGACATGGTTGCTAATGACACGTTTGCTGGAGGACACAATCAGGTCATCCCAGTGCGAATAATCACCTCATCGTTCCTAGCTAAAATGCGCTGAATCATGGACAGCGGGTCTGCTCTAGTACCTTCCTTGCCATCGGGTTGTACTCCAAGGAGCACGCAGTGTCCCCTGAGGACAGCCCTTGGCTAGAAAATTAAGGCCAACCAGTGAACCCAGCAGTTCACGGTACAGGAGCTCCATTGTGACTATTATCACGAGAGCTTATCATGACGCCTCTAGCCGCGCCAACTCTCGAACTAGGCCCGCGTGCCACCAGAAGAGAGAATATCTGCCGGCGGCATCCGTCGCGAAAGTCCTCGCAGAGCATGAGCAAGGAAAGATTGCAGAGCCCCAGCCGTCTCCCTAGGCACGATTTGTGGATTATAATCCAAGTCAACGCGTAGGCCACCATCCTCGGTCTCCAGAAACGTCAATTGCACTGGGAACAAGCTGCCGGTGGCCGTCACCCTGTCGCTCGCCGCTCGAACCTGCACGTCTGGACCCAGGGACACAGAGCGCTCGAGAGAGTCGGACTGCCAGTCATACACGATCATGACGTCTAGCATGTTTCTGTCCCTGTCGTGGCCATCGTCGTTGGTGGACGCCACCGCGGACTGTATCTGCTTGTAAGGCAGCTGATTGCCAACGCAGAGGCTGATTTCAGACGCGACAGATTCCAGCAGCGCGTCAGCACTAGTCAAGTTCTCGTCATTGAGAAACAGCCGAACAGGCAGCCGATCGACGAAGAGGCCCAGCATGCTTGCTGTTGCCGGCTCGTCCCGGTTCATGTACGGCAGTGCGAGGACTATGTCTGAGGAGCCGGATACACCGCGTAGGGCAAGTGCTGTGGCGGCTATTGCTATGCGCTGAGATGGTCGGTACACAACCTCTGGGTGAGCGTCGGCGAGCGAGGCTTCGTAATGCGGTATTTGCATAGAAGTAGTTGACCCCGGAAAGCCGATCAGCTGTCTCCGTGAAGGGCCTTGGAGCTGTGTTATAGGTCGCATCCCCAGGAGGTGTTTCTTCCAGAACTCGATGCGTCCTTGGTTATGTGGCAGCGGTTTAGAAACTTTCTGCGACTGCAACCACTGTGCCCAGTCCATGTATGTGCCTTCAGTGTCATAACCACCACTTTTGGTTGATCGGGAGTGCTTGTCTTTATCATTTGAAGTGGTGCTATGGCCAATGGTCTCTCTGTACCTTTGGCTCACCCACTGAAGCATCACCGCCAACGAAGCCTTGTCCGTGATGATATGATGTGTGACCATGGTCACTTGTACCGTCGGCGTTCCGCTCGCGTCTTTTCTCTTCCAGATAATCACCCCCAAGAGCTGGTCGCCGGCTAGGTCGAAAGGTTTGTCCACCATGCCCTGAAGGCTCTGAAGGTTCAATTCGTCCTCATCATAGCGGAAAGGTGACTGGGTAGCTGCACTGATACGCCGCACGGGGCGACCTTCGGTAACTATGTAGCGTGTTCGCACACAAGGGCGGAAAAGGCGCTGATGAGACCATCGATGTCGACCGGGCCACTAGTGACGAACTGGGTGACCGTATTGAATGCCGACTTGGTCTCAGAAATGGAATGCGCGTTGAAGAACTCTTCCTCCAAGTACGAAAGTGGCATTGTTGCAGAAGAGTCGACCTCAGAAACGTGCTGAGCAATAGCACTGCTCCTGATCGATGACAGATAAGAAGTGAAGGCACTGTTGTCCTCGGAGCCAGTGGAGGAAATGGTCGCGGCATGTCGGTCAACTGCACTCGCCAGACGCCCGAGGACCGTCTCGCGGAGGAGCAGAGCTACGGGCACTTGGTGGCCAAGAGACGAAGCGAGTTCCCACCGAGGGCAATAAAATCGTCGTCTCTGTGGATTCTCGCAGTGTCGTCCAAGCCGAGCAAACTCATCCATACCTCCGCGACGAGCTTTTCCGTGGAGGACAGCACATCACCCCCAGTGCTATCTTCGTAGTTAGCGCTGAATTGAGATTCGCGCCGTCGCTGAGCGTCAATCGCCAGCGGCTTCATCTTCTCACGGTCCAGTTTCATATTAGCTGTCTTGGGTAGCGCGGACACGGCCAGTATTTGCGATGGGCGCGCGTAACTCGGGAGGAGTACGGCGAGTTTCGCACGCAAGGCCTCCACATCGACATCTTCGGGCGTCACCATACCCATCAACCGGAAGTTTGTGTCTGCTGAGTCACTACTGCCGCGTTCAATGACCAGGACCGCCGCTTTATGGACGTTCCCTGTGCCTGCAGAGAGAAGAGCGCCTTCAACCTCTTCAAGCTCCACGCGAAACCCACGGACTTTGACTTGATTGTCAACGCGGCCCACGTACGGCAGATTCATGTCCTTGTCCCAGAACCCGAGATCCCCAGTGCGGTACATGGTGCTCTCAGTCAGCTTCGACAAAAAGGGGTTTGGGAGGAACGAAGACTGAGATGCCTGCTGGTAAGTGTCACGCCAGTACCCGAGGGTCAGCTGCACTCCCGAGATGCAGATCTCGCCTGTGATGCCTTGAGGTACAAGGCACTGGCGGTGGTCTAGTACGTAGATCTTCATTCCTGGTACAGGCCTACCTATGCTGACCTGACTGCCAGGAGTGAGACGAAATCCTGTCACGCATCCGCACTATGGAATCTGGATTAGCAAGGGTTTTTTCTGATGATCCCCATAGAGGGCCGTATCCCCACCGTCCTATATACTAATAAAGGAAGTTGGGGAAGAACGTATACCTCACTCGGCCCGTAAATATTCATCAAACTCTGCACTTTGCTTGACCACATATTCCCTAGCGCTGGCGGAACAGCTTCGCCAGCCAGCGCAACCGTATCCAAGTCTGGGTAGTCGTCGGGTGCGAAAGCCGATAGAAGTGAAGGTGTCGCAAAAGTGGCATTGGCATGCTTCAGATGCTCGTAGGGGTCATCGGGATCTTTCAGCACGAGTGTCGCACCATAGCAGAGAGCGCTAGCAATTTCGACAAGAGGATCAAGTTGACCACGCGTCTGAATGACATTCTACTCAAGCGGTATAGGTAGGTCAAGGCCAATATGTATTGGCTTCCTTAGCCCTTGTATAGACACAGCGGAAGAAACTTTATTGTAATTCATATAGAGTACACTGTACGGCCTTGACATTTTCAGCCTTGAATCCCATCAAATCTGAACGTCTTCGTAGACCATCTGACAGCAAAGGGGGGCTACTGTGACAATCAGGCCTGCAGCTGCGCTGGTCAGGGCTGATGGGTTGAAATATCTAGATTCAACGATATCTAAGGAAGAAGAGGCAATGTCGGAAGAGAAAGGGGAAGCTAGGGATATATATGTACATAAATATGTGGAGGTATTATGTAATACCATAACACGTGGTCGCTTGCGAGAATAGCCAACAGAGCGTCACATTGTCGGGCGACACTGAAGCCGTCCAAAAGGCGTACAAAACGCTGAATACCGAGCGGCCGGGTGTTTTCACCCGATTGCTACGCGTCGAGAAAGCATTCCACTCCCGTAAGGCCGGACAACCCAAGATTGGCGATCTATGGTGAGATACTGATGATGATCAAACAGACCACATGTTGGAATATGGATCTCTATATGAAGCCAACCTTGAGCCGTACGTGTCCAAGCTTGACAGCAAACCTGAGATACCGTTCTACTCTTCCGTCTTGGGAAAGCGGTTGGCGCCAAACTGCAGCCTCGGGCCTGCTTATTGGCGTAAGAACATGGAATGCCCGGTTTTATTCAACTCGGCGCTTCGCTCTGCTCTGCAGCACGAGACGGCACCTATTGTTCTAATAGAGATCGGCCCCCATCCATCGCTGAGTGGACCAGTCCGCCAGGTAGTTGGCGATATGGCTCGTTCGAACATCCATGTAGGTACGATCTCACGAGACAGGGGCTGCGATGAGAGTATGCTCCACCTTGTTGGGAAGCTCTTCCAGCACAACGTGCGTATGGACTACTCTGTTGTGTGCCCGCCAGGCAGGTTCATCACGAATCTCCCGAACTACCCCTGGAAACAGGATACAACATTCTGGTCAGAGTCGCGCCTCGCGCATGATTGGAGGTTCCGCAAGTATCCGCCCCATGAGCTCCTTGGAACCAGAGTTTGATTGATTGATTTATTTATCGTGGGTGCAGTCCCTCAACAGGGCAAACCACGCCTCCCAGAGTCATTGCATCGCAAGGTTGTAGAGGTGTCAGTCTAGATACATTCAAATCCGCGCACGAGCCCATCCTCGCTGTAGCGGTACCAACCTGGAGTGTCCAGATGGTTTTAATCAATACTCAAGCATGATTCTGTCAGAAAAACCTCCTGTCCAGTAACAAAGCGACCCAGTGGACCTCAGTCCTCTGGTGTACACATCGTTCCAGTAGCCGTTCGATATATGTCGCATTGGTGGATGAAACAGGTGTTTGTTATCTGCTGGCGAGGGAAATCACAAGGGGAAAAACCTCGCAGGAATGGGTGTTACCATCCCCCACCCCCTAACGGGACACACCCCCCACCGGGACAGCCAAACCCCACAACCACCACCAAAAGTCCCCTACCTCACTTACACGGATTACAGCCCCCTTTGAGGCTATCTATACGCTCTTTAGATGGTTAGAGAGCCCTTTTCTTGGTATTTAGCCGGATATAGACTAGTGAGATTTCAGCCATCGGCATCGGTGATTAGGAGCCTCTGTGCCCCGTCCCTAAATGCAAATTTGCTATAGAATTCTCTCTCTGAGCCCCTGACCCTTATGCCACCATAGCATCGTGAAGCCAGCCACAATGCCTTCGCCCACGTACACTGAAGATAATGTGACGGATGCCTGGCTAGATGTGATAGATAACGGCATGTCTGTGAGAAAAGCCGCCCAAAAACACGGCATCCCTAAGTAAATGCTGTCAGCACGCATCAACGACAGAGTCACCCGAGCCGAGGCCCAGGTTAGCAAGCAGAGACTCTCCCCTCAACAAGAGAGTAAGGTGGCTCAATGTATATTGCGCCAGGAATCCCTAGGGCTTGCCCCTTCTCACACAGCCGTGCGGGAGATTATTGTACAACTGCTGAAAAAGGGGGGGGATTTTGTACCACTGGGCCCGAATTATATGGAGGGCTATAAACGCCGTAACCCTACCATCCAGACTAAAATCGGTAAGCGGATGGAATCCGCTCGGTTTAAGGGGTTCACCCCTAAGTCTGTCAACTGGTTTTTCGACATATTGGGGGATTATCAATAGGTAAAGCCAGAAAATACGTACAATGTCGATAAGGGCGGCATCATGTCGGGTTTTGGTTAGTCTTTTAACCCCCTATTCACCCCTATCCTGTCAGTTAACTAGCTAACCCCTATAGGCATCGATTCCCTAGTCTTAGGAAGTTCTAAAACTATGAAAGCCTTCCTAAAAAGTCCCCAGGGGCGTGACTGGACCTCCTTTATCGAAGCCATCTCAGCCACAAGAAAAGTTCTCAAACCAGGCATAATTTTCAAAAGAAAAGATCTCCAGGCCCAATGGTTCATCGAAGAATTCCGCAAAATCGCGGGTTGGTACTACATAACGTCAGATAACGGCTGGACCAGTAACGAGATTGCGTGCCTATGGTTGGACCACGTTTTCCTACCCCAGGTGGATGCTGTACGAGGGGAGGACCAGGCAGAGCCGATCCTTTTGATACTAGATGGCCATGGTAGCCATACTTCCGTACGTTATTTATTTTTTAGGGGTTGTTTAATTAGTTAACTAACTGTATAACTAACAGGACGAGTTCATGTTGCGGTGTTATTTTGCCAATATCGTGCTTTGTTTTTTCTCAGCCCATACCAGCCACGGCATGCAACCACTAGATAACGGACCATATAACGCGCTCAAAGCCTACTACCAGAGATTTCTTTCGCAGTTAAATTCTCTCACAGATGCCTCGCCCGTGGATAAGATCAACTTTATCCGCTGTTATTCTGAGGCTAGAGACAAGGCTTTTTTTAAGCTGAATATCCTCTCGGGCTTCTGAGTGACGGGGTGCTACCCAGTTAGCCGCAGGAAGTGTTTGAAACACCCGGAAATCCAGGAGGATAAAAGAAAGACCCCAGAGCCAGAGGAAATTGAAGACTCGGAGCCAGAAGACCAGCGGACCCCTACCACAAGCCGACAGATCATAAATTTCGTAAAGAACCGCTCCCCAGCCACTCGGCTGAAATTCAGGAAGATCTCTCACGCCTTCGAGAACCAGGAAACAGAGCTGGCCCTAAAAGATCATAAGATCAAGACCCTGGAGGCTGAACTAGAGCGGCTACGGCCCAAGAAGAGGAAGAAGGTCCCAAATCCGAACCGGAAGTTCATAAATATGACCGAGATATTGACCCAGGGGGGTGACCTGTTAAGGGCCGTGGTTATAGAGTCTTCAGAGTCAGAAACAGAGCCAGAGGTTGTTAAAGATAAGGGTGAGGAGGAGGAAGAGGTTGAGGAGGCTGAGGAGGGTGAAGAAGCCCCTGTTGCAGAGCCCCAGGTGACGAGAAGCGGTCGGTCAATTAGGGCGCCAGCTAGATACGTGGATTGAGGAGCCTCAACACCACAGAATGATAATTTTGTTGATTTCTTTGGGCATCTACAGACTCGATTGCGTGTAAGTGAGTAAGGGGGTATTTTGGTGGTGATGGTGGGGTTTGGCTGTCCCGGTGGGGGGTGTGTCCCGTTAGGGGGTGGGGCATGGTATAGAGACAAGCTGCTTGGCTATCGGGCTCTGTGATAATGGGGCCTCTCCACTGTCGTGTGCTGGTTGTCGACTCGCACAAGCCGGGTCAGAAAGGAGGCCATAGCAGGATTCGAACCCACTTGTTCTCGTCGCCCACCGCACAAACGAGAACACAACCAGGCGCATTTGACCATTGCGCCATACGGCCTGGAACCAGAGTAATCGGCACGAGCGTACCCTCGTGGAGGGCGATGCTCAGCTTGGAAAACGTGCCTTGGCTCAAGGGGCACGAGGTCGACGGGAAGATTGTGCTTCCTGGTGCTGCATACATCGCTATGATCGGAGAGGCACTTCGACAGTTGGACAGTGAGGGGACATTTAGCCTGAGGAATGTTCGTCTGACGGCTGCCAGAGTGATTCAGTTTGGTCAAACCACCGAACTCCACACGAGCCTAAAGCCAGTCGAGATCGAAAACTCCCCGTGGTACACATTCACCATCAGCTCCTTTGATGGCACGAGGTGGATCAGTAATTGTTCCGGCGAAGCAAGAGCATCATCAGACGACTTGGTCTCCTTGGCATCTGCAGCTCCATCTCGTCATTCGTTCCCGCGAAAGGTAGACGAGGCCAGCTGGTTTGGCACCATGAAACTTATCGGGCTCAACCTGACCGGCGCATTCAGGGGGATGAAATCCATTTCTGCTGCAACGATGGCCAATGAAGCCCCTGCCACAGTGCCATCGCCAGACGAGCTGCTGAGGAGGGAAAGCTATGCCCTGCACCCTTCCTCTATCGATAAATGCTTCCAAGTATTATTCATTGCAGCCGGATGCGGCCTTGGTCGTAATATGAATACACTCTCTATTCCGACCTTCATCGAGGAGATAGTGGTGTCGCGAAGTATGACCGACTTGCACGTTGTGGGTGAAGTCGGCACATTGGTGAACGGTTGTCTCACAGGGAATTTGACTGTGCACGACGGCGGTCAGCAAGTTCTCTACCTGAAAGGTTTCAAGTCATCTACAGTGACGGCCGATGCAGGAGCAGCCACGCAACCCATAATCACGCAGTTTCAATGGAGTCCAAGCAGTGATTTCGTCAACCTCGGCGATTGTATGCATCCACGGCAAGAGATCCCAAGCCCCTGGCCGTTATTGGAGGAGCTTATCACCCTGTGTGTCATCGACCACCAGAAGCGGATCAAACTGGACGATGCAGTGCCGCCGTATCTCTCACTGTTCGCCAATTGGATGCAACTCCACACCGACAAGTACATATCAGGGGCAAACGTGTTCGTCTCCAATGGTCTTCATTTACAAGAGTTCAGAGGAGAGAGCAGACTGGCCAGGATTGAAGAGATAGTGGGCGATTTATCCACATCCTCGTGGTCCCCGTACTCCACTGCCATATACCGTCTGTTCAAAGAGGCCCCCGACATCTTTGCCGGCGAGGTTAATCCGCTTGGCATCCTTCTCGAGGGCGGCTTGCTCACCCGACTCTACAATGCGAGTGACGCACTCGAATTCTCTAGAGCACTTTACCTGATCCGCAACAAGAACCCACGGCTGAGAGTCCTGGAAGTCGGTTCAGGAACCGGCGGGACAACGGCAAAGGTGTTATAGGCATTGACGTCGGACTATGATTGATTGATTGATTGTATTTAACGTGGGGGGTAGCTCCTCAGTAGTGCAAACCACGCCTCCCAGAGCCTCTGTATCGCAGGGTTGTGGAGGTCTCAAGAAAATAAGTACAGTCAGTCCCGCTCACGGGCCCATCCCCATTGTTGCGGCGGTATGACCTTGGGGTCATCCATCTGGTCCTTCAAGAATAGCTATCTATTGGGGCAGATTGTTGAAAAGAACTTGCTCTTCTCCACGAATTTTGCCCATTCTGTGCTCCTCTCTCCTAAGTATTATAAACAAGCTGTCCTAGGCGAGTACCTAGGCAGTAATTCGTTTTTCCCCAGCCTCTTATAAAAGAAAATGTGTTGTGGTGTTTTCTTCTCACCACAGCTGCAGTGATCATTCGAGTCTGTATGCCCAAAGCGTTCATGGTATCTGGCAAAGTCGCCATGTCCAGATCTGGCCGCTAGAAGTCTGTGTAAAGTACTCCTCTTAAAAGATATAAGGTCTCTTTCAGTTACTGTATGTGAGTATACTTCTTGATACCTAGATTCTGATTAGTCTTTTTACCATTAGTTGAACTCTTTCTTGCCCTTTCTTTTGAGATCTTTCTTGACCCAAGAGATTATAGGAAGGTTTGTTGTGTCTGTTTCTAGTGTGGCATCCTTTTTTGCTAGTGTGTCGGCAGCTTCGTTGCCATCAATATCTCTGTGTCCAGGAATCCACTTGACGGTCACTCCAGGAGTGTGCTGTGGCAAGTTCTTGAAATCGTAGAAAAATGTTCTATGATGTCTCGGGTGGAGTCCTATTGAGCCCATCTACCACTGACGTGTTGTCCAGGCAGACATATAGCTGTTTTCCGTGTCCAATTGCCCTGGCTGCTGCAAGACCTTGGAGAGCACCATGGACTTCAGCATCTACTATTTCTGTTTAGAGAAGTCTGCCCTTTCCCTGGTATACTTCTTGTGTAGTGCCGCCTTTCCTGATGGTATAACCCCATCCAGTGCGGGTTGTGCCTTGGTCGTCCAACTGTGATCCATCTGAATAGATGACAAGGTCAGTGTTCACGTTTCTCTCCTGTAGCCATTGCTTGAAGAGCTCTGTTTCTTTGTCTTTGTCTTTGCGGATTGGGGGCTTCTTCCATGATGGCCTGGTAAGTGTTGGTCTCTGGAAACTGCGCTGTTATAAAGAGCTATAGGTACTTAATAGGCCACTATTACACCGCTTTCTTGCTGTCTGTTCAGGGCGCAGTGGCTTCTCTTAGTATCATGTCAAGTTCAAACATCAGGACGCCGTCCTTGACTGCTCGTACGGCTGGAGCAAGACTCCGACACACTTCATCCACTGTCAGAAGACTCTAGCACGGTATATGATTTGGCCAAGGGCCCCGGCATCCCGGCCGGAGCTCGGAGCCAGGCTCGAGTATCTAGACGAACTCATGACTTCCCCACGGGAGTACATGGACCTACTCGTGGCTATCGACTTCTACGGCAGTATCTGCCCTCCTTACTAAGGGCACATTTACTCTTTCTTTTTATTATGGCATCTGGGGCTTAAATTTTTTTTATTTTCTTTAATATCTCATAGGGTGTGTGAGAATCATTGTGGTATGCCGCGGCACTTACTGTAGCTCTAAGAGCACTGAACTTGGCAGTGCGCCCTGAAACTAATATTTGGGACCTCAGCCGATACTTCCCCTCACCTGGAGGAGGGGGGACACGGTCTGATCCGCCGCTTAAGTGTGGTGGCTGTCTACGGACTTGACGTGCTAGATGGGCAGTGTATGTACATAGAAGACCTAGCCTAGCATGCCTGAGCGGCCTCTTGGAGCCCCTGGTTGACGCCGCTTCGCGGCAGCCCCCCCCCGGCGTTAAATGCTACAACAACGACAAATGCTTTGGGTTGCTCAGTGTAACGGCAGTGCATTCCCACGCTCCAATACTATGCACCTCGCGAACATTGGTTAATGTAGTTATGTGCTACGGACGAGTAATGCAGGAGCAAGGCATCCGGAAAGTGGTATCATAGGCAAGACATGTCGACAGCTTGGTTGAACTTGTTTCCGTAGGTAACCAGGGCCCTGGGACGTCCGTCTGCTTCGTAGGTGAATCGATAATGCCCAATGACGAAGCCTGTCCAAGCTCAACAATCGTTGAATGTGTTGAAGGCATAACCCCATTGGTTATCATCCTGATCCTGCTCCTATCCTCGTTATGTCCAGTCGAGTCCACGTGCAAGTGTGCAGCCAATTTGCGTTCCTCAACTAAAGCATCCGTCGATGTATGACTCGATCTTGGTGGATACAGCCGCGAAAATCCAGGCTGCGGCAACGTCTCGATCAACCACAGAGGCTTCTGGAATAGATAGCACGTGCCTTCCTGGCGTACCATATTGACAGTCCCGAGGATCCCGATGGTGAGAAATAGTAGGATGCGCGGATGGAAGAGGTAAGATGTTATCTGCCGCGCAACACCGCGACCGGTCCGCGCTTGTCATCGCGCGAAAAACCCTCTTCTCCCAGGCGCGAGGAATGACCACACGAGCTTGATGATGATATCAATAGGTCTGGTGGCTGGTGGCTCGCTCTCGGGATGCGTGACCGAGGTGTAGAAAGAATCCGTATCGGATCGTTCGCTTGGAGAATCATCATCCCGGTTCGTTGGAACCATCACCCACTTGTCGTCTGGCATGTTTGCGGGGATTCGAGATGGTTGGGGTGTTGCTGCCTTGCTTGATGTTGTGTGAATTTCAGGAATGGTCTGTATTAGATGAGGAATAAGGGTACCTTAGCTGAAAGGTGTACTTTCCTACTTAATAGGTGGAAAAGGAACGTCTGGGAGCTACCAGGTGATTCCACAAGATGACACATATTCTGCTCACAACAAGGCTAAATACGCCACTGAGCACATATTCTGACATGTTGTCATGGTAAGGGGATTGGCGATGGGTGGCAGAGTAGAAAGTGTGAGCCCAGTAGCGACTCAATCGGACCTACTCAAAGTTTATTATCGACCAGTCTCTGATTAATGGCGACATAACCGATCCAGTTGAAAGTACCTGCATGTAGAATCGGAGGATGACCGTGGCAACACCAAACCTTACCTTAGACAAGGCAATTGTCGGTACGCCACAGGCGATAGAGTATGAACTTTATCTAGATCAAGCCACGAAGCTGAACGCAAAGAAGTTCCTAAGTGGCTGGGCTTCCACTGTCGGTCTATGCGTACCACAGAGACCGGAGTCTGAACGTGGCTATCGGGATCGTGTGTTGACTATCCAAACATTTCTACAATGATGCTACAAGTGACACCCCAAGTCCAAATGCACATAACTATACCGCTACATCAACCATTATATATCTACCATCTACATGCCAAAGCAGCAAGCTCAAGATAGCCGCTTATCAGTTCAGGTGCCTCCCACGGTATTATCTCCCGGCAACTCAGATGATCACATATTCCAGTTGTAATTTTCCGTTTCCGCAGGATCTATTATATTCCCCGCCTAGCGAGCGGCATCCGCACAACTACAAAAGGCGAAGTTAGTCGTCAATACTCCAAGGGTTTTACTGCGAGGATGACCGCGAGTCTGAAGACATTGAAAGGTGGAAGATGGAGCGGTAGTACGGGGTCTCTGGGCGCACTGCTCCTCCCAAGGCCCAACCAGACTCCAGTACTGTCTGGGTTCAAGAATGATTGCAAGGTAACAAGGGAGATTAGAAATGAATTCAAACTCCGCATCTTACTCACCTCATCTGAACTCGAACGGTCTGACGTGTCCTGTCATTCTGCGCCCTCCGCCGCGGCGGACTCTCGATGAGATCGTCATCCTCTCCATCGATCGTATCGATGGCCTGGGCGGCAACTCTATTGTTCGGGGTGGTAACCAGCGGTGTAGGCGCTAGGCCTCCAGGAGCCATTGGAGGAAAAACGCCGGTGAAAGGTGTCGGGACGACAGAGGCCGGCAGTTGTGTGGACAGTGGCTGCGTTGCACATTAGCTTGGCCGGCCAGATCCAAAGACGATAGATCTGGAAGAATACTGAGGAGGACGGGAAACGGGGACCGCGGTTCGTCCGAGAGAACCAGTTTGCGTTTCTAGAGGGTGTATGTTTTCATACGTACAGTTAGTGGTCGAGGAATTGCCGATATGGCAGCTTCCCTAGGGAAATTTGGACCTCTATCTCTTTGTTTCTGGGACCGATGGGGAGCGACAATAGCGTTAAATCCACTCGCATGGACTGCTGTGTTCAGTACCCCGACAGCAGTCTCAAAGTCGTTCCAGCTAACCGGCCTCACTGCTTTGTGCTGCTTCTTTTCGTTCAAAAGATTCTGCAGTCGCGCAATCACGTTACCGAATGCCGTATCTAATGGCGCCATCATCCTGTTGTGGTCGTCGATGGTCATCCTATTGTTATCTCGATGAAGTCGACTTTCTATAAGAATGTCGATGCGCCACCTTGCGTCTGGTGTATGAAACATCTTGCATTAGTAGCCGCATCCTGCGTTTCCAAGAAAAAGAAAAGGGGGTGAAAAAGGAAAGAAAAAGAAGATGCGAGAGGCATCTGGCAAAATCGCTTACTACCGAGCAGTTAGTGCAGGCCAAGAGGAGATACCAGTCGAGTTATTCTAGCATTGGAGGTTTCAGTACGTACCACTCATCCACGTAGCTCGCTGCCCATAAAAATACCTCATGCAATGTAGTTCTGCCATCTGCGACGGTATGACTTGCTAGAAGTCAAGACTTAGTACAAGGTAACATCCCAACGATTTAGGAAATGACTAGACCTACAAAGATCCCTTGCCAACTGCGCAGGAAACTTGTAACTGGCAGAATATAAAATTTCCAGGCCCGGCCGTGTTCCTTGTTCGGCGCCGAATCGGTTTGACTGCGCTATCAGAGAATCTTCGAGAGCTTGAGCATCGTGTATCAATAGGTTTTCTGCATCTCTCTGGGTGCTCCAAGCTCTTGCCACTATATGGGCATGTGTCAGCAGAATAACGCGTCCAGGTAAGGGGTTTGACGAGAAGCGCGGAGTATTGATGCACATATTGGCAAACACCTCATTAGGCACCCGAATAGAAAGGTCTGCTCTTATGATTCGACCAGGAAGCGGATGAGGACGGTTAAGGGTCACTTTGAAGTACACATACTGGCAGTGTTGCGTGGGTCTGACCGTACGGTGTCTTGCATCGTACGGAACCGCACAGGAAACCATTTCAAAGACCACTCCAAAGACCGCCGAAACAAATCAACCCTTCCAATTCCCACTATGCCCGTCAAATCGGCACCGTAGAACTCTTCATAAAGGTCCGCAATCCAATCTGTATCGGCGTCGCACGGGTCGAACCTTGCTTGTAGCCTTTTCCCGATGGTGATGGTAGCGTCAAAGTCCAGCATTAGGTCAGCTGCATCCTGATTTCCAAGGATAACGGACCGCAGTGCGTTACTGTTGTTGCTTTTATGAGCGTTTGTGACGAATACGAGATTGCTGCCCAGTATATCGCTAATGTCATGGAGAACATCATCATTGCTCTTGCCGCTAATGTTCTTCAGGTAGAAGAGATAATCCTTCTCGAGGGTTTGTGCAATCCCAAGGGGCGGTTGTGTAAAGAACGAGGCATTTTCTTGTCTGGTACACCAACGGGAGTCGGGGCGTTGGCTGGGCCGCGATATCTGATCCTGGGTGAATAGTCTGGCCATCGCTTGCTTAGTAGGGCAACCAGGCCTTCTGGAATGAATGATTGGTACGATTTTTTGGGGTAAGAAATTCACAGCTAGGGCTAAGCGTTGCGCATAATGTATCGAGTGGATGGGACTCTTCAGAGTGAAACGCGACGACAATGGGCGGATCCCTACGCGTTGACTCTTTGTTTGACCAAACGACGGTTGCGGCTTGCCTGGCTGGCTAGCTCAGGTCCCAGTCCAGCGATTGTCTCATGCTTTGACAAGTGATATCACGCTGACACTGTACTTGGAATAAAGTACAGAAAGTGTGGTAGACTGGGCCGGCTGCCGATTATGATATCCCACAGCGTCGTGGTGCCTCGCTGTTTCGGTGCAATTTTGCGGGTCGATTAATTCCTGCCGCCGGGATGGCCCCCAGATCACGAACCGTAGAAGTAATGTCGCAATGCCCCAGTGCACATAGATAGCTCATATATCATCTGAAACCAGGGACTGTGCAGCCGCAGCACTGGCGATATAGTGCGGGCTGTCAACCCCGACAGCATCCAGTTCTAGCTGTAAACCTCGACGAGCAAGAGACTGTGCCATCGTAGAATCACCAAGCTTAGCAGCAAGGTCTGCCGCAGCCAAGTATCTGCGTGTAGAGAGTTAGTCAGAGTAACAAGCCGAAAGATGAGGTATATTCTCTCGTCGGTCGGTGTTTGACGAATGCTCACATAGTAGCGAGCTCTCGTCCGGCCAGGCCCTCAGCTTCGTACGCCGCGATAAGCGTATTCATCATAACGAGCTCCACGTCGGCATCGGCATCTGTAACGGCTGTCTGGCCATCACGTGCGGCCTTTGCCTCCGCAAAGACGCCAAGGTCACGCTGCAAGTCTGCCCGTCTGGACTCGCTCTTCGCTGTGATACTGGACCCGCCGCCGCACAACGAACATGCGCACGTGAAACCGTAGCCCTCTTCTAAGTGCTCTCGGCGCGCCTCGCCCCCAGCGAGCTGGTCATCAAGATATGAGATGGTGATCTCATCACCGCATGGGATGGGCCTCAGGGCATGGACGACGAATTGACCAATTCCCGTATGGAAGTTTCCCTGCGAGTTCGGCACACAGGAGTGATTGATCCTTGCGACCGTCTCAAACACAGCTCGGGTGCCTGCGTCATCAGATAGACCGAAGTTGTTGTTTCGGAAGATGTTGAGAGTGTTGAGGTTGACGGCGTGGCGCTCAACACGCGGCAATGACAGCAGTGCCGCTTCCAGGTTGCTCAAGATGGATCGGCGCTTGACGGGGTTGGGCGAGAGAGCCAACAACTTCTGGTGGTCGCGGGACGTGAGCTGCCGGGCTGCTCTGAGGATGCTGGGCTTGTGGTTGTCGATTGAGATGAGTGAGGATTCTGCCAGGAGTCGCGAACCTCGGGGAATCAGAGCCTTGGCAAAAACACCAAAGCCCTTTGCGCCCGCGTGACGCACTTCAATCATGCGATTTCGGATTCACAGATGCACGTCTGCGTCACGATGAGTTGGCAAATAAGTTACCGCAGTAATAAGTATAAGGTAGAGGAGGAAGGATCGCGCAAAATCATGAGTGAGCGAGAGCGTGTCATTTGACATTTGACGCTAGCCTCGAAACATGAACGTCGGATACCGGCACTACCCCTGGAAATGCATATATCGAGTATATGCGTGGAAGAGAGACCATATTAGAAATAGGGGTGATCCATCAGACCCATACAAGGAGAGGAGACATACATGGAATGCATGGCAAACATTGGTACGTGATTGAGTTATATGTATTTTTGGTGTCGGGTTGATTTATCAAGCGTGTGACACTGTTTGGAGAGTGGTATCTAGTACAATGAGTTGTAAGGGTAAAAAAGAAGTAAAACTGACCATCTTGTGAGTAATGGCAGACCATAAAATACCTATAAAGGTGTCCAATCCTCAAACCTAGAATGGTTTCCAGTGGTAGACACAATAAGGATTAACCCTTACTTGAAGAAAACAGGTCATCATGCCAGGCTCTAGCTCATCTAGCTCCTCGGATTCCGAGGGCTCCTACACAACGAGGATGCTTGCCCGGGCCAAGCATGAAAAGCAAAAGCTCGAGGAAACCGCTCGCTCAAGTTTCCCGTCGCTATCGCGGTTTCTGAAAGACGAACCCCCATCTTCGTCCACGGGCTCATTGTCGCTGACGCACTCGAATACCAATGGAGATGATGCAGGGAGTACTGATATCGTCCAGAGATCATTATTGGCACCATCCGCGAAGCCCTCCTCGTGGCCAGTCAGATCTTCTAGTCTTGCGCCTATGCTGAGGCGAAACCCGGAGGATGCACCGCATACGACCGACTACGGTACTATAGATCCAAAGGAACCGAGGACATGCGCAGGTAGACTGCGAGAACTGTGGTCTTCAATACCCATATGCTGTGGAAGGAAGAGTGACGAAGGTCCGGACTGAGTGAGTTCATATTCATGCCACGATTTTAAATCGAGTGGCTGAGGCAGAGAAGTGTCGCTTCGAACAACAAAGACAGAAGGTAACAACGGTATGAGCACCTGGAGGCTGGGGGAATATAAACAGGTTGCGATAGACAAAGCCTGTAGATCCCAACGGTACATAGTATTCGATTAGGTTCATCTACCAATCTAGACCATGATCGTCACTCTCCTGAACGAGATCTCCGCACCCAATAACAAACCGCGCAGGGGCCAGCTTTAGCCAGGCACAAATGCCATATTCAACCGGAGGACATCTCGCATGTTTCCGAATTGTACCGCGGATTGCCTCCGCACTCCCCAAATTATCCGTCACGAATAGATTGCTCGGAACGTGCCTCTCCTCATGCTGACAGCTAACCCCGAATCTTTTGGGTTTTATATACTCGATACGACCCTACGCCATGGCGGCGGCCCGGATCGTCGGGTACGGCCAAGTGTCAAGATGGGCCAGGTCCGGCATGGTTACTTAAGGGTATGGATTGCTCCTAAGGCGGTTCAGCAAAGGCAATCTTTCTTCACAACACACCGAAAAGACCACAATGATATCCTCAATCCTACTCACAGGCCTGCTGGCCGCCGCCAGCACCGCCTCCGCCTCGACCATCCCCACGAAGCGCAGCACAGGCGTGATCCAGTGCCCAATAATCCTCAATGGGCTCGTAGCGACAACCAAGACGCCGACCGACTTCGACTCGTACGCGACGAGCCCGTTCAACCCGGACTACATCCGCGGCTCCGAGGCGTTCAGCACGACGCTGAAATTCCCCAACGTCACCAACTCGCGCTTCGACAACGCCACCTACAAGGCCGTCGAGGTCACCATCGACGACGCGTCCATCTTCCAGGAGCAGAACGGGTTTAGAAGGGCCGGGCTGCAGATCCAGGGCGACACGAACACGGACGGGCCGGGGACGACGGGCGTGCGCACTCTGCATTGGAGCGTCAAGCAGGATGCGGAGCGCGCGCTAAATCTTACGCATGAGTACTTGGTATTAATCGCCCTGTAATGATGATGAACTTACGATTTGATGAGTTTGAATGAGAGGCCGATGCTGACCGGAGATGTCACTGCAGAATGTCTGGCACGAGACCTCGGACTACAGTGCCAACCAGTTCAACTTCGAGGCGGGCACCATCATTGGCACGTCTGGCAGCGACAAAAACAACTTCAAGATCCTGAACCGGCAGAACACCCTGGTGTGGTCGACGACCATCGATGCGTCGGCGTGGCAGAACTTTGCCGTCACGCTTGATTTCGACAAGAAGTGAGTGCATCAGAGTTTTTTATTAAGACAAAGGCATTTTGGTGTGTGCAGGTTTGGTAAGTCGTACATACTGACATTGGAACCCAGCACGCTTCAAGTCTACTACTCCACCAGAGACGAGCCCCTCGCGGCCGTCACCACGGCCCTGGCCAACGACAACAGTGGCGACGGCCAGTACCAAATCGGTATCCTGAAGAAGCCGACTGGCACCTCCGATGTCGTAAATTCGGGTTACCAAGAGACGGGCATTGATGAGGGTCAGATCTACGGCGGGTTGTTCCTCGAGGACAGCGCGAGTGGATGTATCTCCTTGTAGATCTGAATGTTCTGATAGTGGCAAGTTGCAAGAACTGGAATGTGGCATCTAGGTCGGGGAACGAGCCAAGCTGGTGTCACTGAAGTAGTTACAAAGAGTCGCCTTGATGCATGTTCTTTATACAATTCTCAATATATATACGTTATATTATCTGCAGAGCAGCATTCTTCAATTTTGGTGTATGCTTCTCTGGTTATGAATATGAAGAAGGAATAGACATACCACCCATATGTACAGCTCTATCTATCTGTACGAAAATGACTCACCAATATTACTACGCAGTCTTATGTGCTTCTCCTCTCGTTCGTGCTGCTCATCACCTACTAGCCGAAAGTCAGCACTTTGTGCCACACCCGCCTGACTCACCTCAGCTGACCAGTGCCCTTCTTCCGGCTAAGTCCACGACCCTGGGCCACAGAACCGGGAGCCGGGACAGGAGCCGGGAGGCGATATTGCGACTGCTGAGCCTGGTACTGCTGGTGCTGCGAATACCGCACCTCCCGCTCGCTCTCGTCCCGCGACAAGCGGCGCGTACCACTAGGCAAACACCTACGGTCATCAAGCGGCTCCGGCTGCGCCCTCGCATTCCGCTCAACCTCGGCCAGCACCCGCCGCTGCGACCACTCGGGGGCGTAGAACGAGTAGCCAGCCGGATCGCGGATCGCCCCGGGGCCCAGGTGCAGCGAGTCGTTCCTCTGCACCCCGACGCCGCCGAAATCATCGGGCAGGTCCGCCACGGCGTCGGCTTCGGTCTGCGAGAACGCCGGGAAGGGCTCGAGGTCCGTCTCAAGCTCCACGGGAGCGTCCGAATGCGCGGGGATACCCGCAGAATGCATCGGGGTCTCGAGCTCGGCACAGGTCGGGATGTTGGTATCGACCCTCAGCTCGGGCGCGCCTTGGCGGCGGTGCGGGCCCGTCCACTTGGGCTCGAACAGCCCTGAGGCGCGAGGCTCGCTCGGACTCCCGAGGAAGAGCTCGTCGCTGGTCTTCTTCACGGGGCTCTTGTAAGTCTTAGTGGTGCTCTGCCCAGGCCATTCAATGCCCCTGGCCGGCCGATACGGCGTCACCGCAGGAATATCCCGCGCGGGCCTCTGCCACGAGTACTCGGGTGCGTAGTCCACGACGGGCGACTTGCACACGCTCTTCACCTCGAAGCTCGGCAGCGGTCGAAGACCGGCCTTCACCAAATGCTCGCGGATACTTCGCTGGATATGCTGCTGTGCGCGATCCACGAACGAGCCGCGCTTCTGGCGCGGATGGTCTGAGGTCCAGGCCCCGCGCGAGGGACTGGCATCGCGTCTCGCTGGGGTGGGTGGGGCCTGGCTTGTGGAAGAGCCTCTGGAAGGGATGCTGCCGCGGCCGCGACCGCGAACTGGGGTCATTGCTTGGGTGGACGAGACCAACTCGATGCCGACACCGTATGGGGATGCGGCTGCGGAATGCGGTGTCTGGCGGTTGCTGCGCTGGCTGATCCGCGAGGACTGAACGCCGCTCCTGGCCAGGGGCTTTGAGTCGTTGGGGGTGAACGAATACGTCGCGCTGGTGTAGTTGCTGCGCAGGTCGTCGTCGCTGCCGCCATCGTCGCGCATAGGCGCCCCGTAGAGGTTGAGGTTCTGTTGCTTTGTGCTGCTCTGCCTGCTCTGGCTCGGCTCCGGCGCTGGGGGCTGGTAGGCCGTATGTGTCGAAACTGGTCGCTCTGAGCTGGATTGCTGGGACGGCTCCCGGTAGACGGGCTTCTGAGGCTTGAATCCGCCGTAACTCGTGCGCTTCGCCAAGGGCTCGCCAGCTGCTGAGCCGGGACGCATCACGGACGGGTGACGCTGCCGCTTGGACGAGTCGTCACCATACTCGCTCCGCCCCTGAGGAGGAGCTGCGGGGCCAGGACGAAGCATGGCAGGGTGCTGTGTTTGTCGGGATGGCTCGCCGCCCTGCTTATCCCCATTCTGGGTCGGTCGTCCGGATCCCGGCTTCATGCTCGCAGGATGCCGGGACCCGGAGAGGCCTGTAGCCGGTCTGAGCTGCGCAGGACTGCCGGCTTCCAGCTGAGCCAAAGTAGCCTCATCGCGAGGGCGACGTAGTTTCTTCACTCGATGATCGCTCTTCGGCTCGACGTGCTCACCGTGAGAGCTAACCGTCTCGTCAACACCGAATGCGGTGCTGGGAACGTCCATCTCACGATCACGGCGCTGCTTCAACGCACGAGTAGCAAGCAGCCCCGGAGGCGGCTTCTTATCGTAGACGATGGCAACAGTGCTGCCGTTGCTGCTGTCGACCTCCCAATTACGCCGGTCGTTGATGTCGATAGCCGAGCCCTCGGCGTCGGAGTGGTTGCTGACGCTGGCAACGTCACCAAAATAGTCCGGGCGGTGTCCTAGTGCCTCGAGTCGGACCATGCTCTCGCGTCTTCTGTTGAAAGCCATGTTGTCAGTTTGATATAACCTGCAAGGTAGGAATTGGAGTTGCAGGTAAAAAAAAAGTCTGGATGGTTGTGATCACTTGTGGTACCAGACTTGAAGTGATCCTCTCTTGAGATGAGGATTGGTGGTCAACGGTACGCAGAACGAGTTGCAGGTTATATCTGCCGCGTTGGAACCTTTGTCTGCTGGCTAGAACGGCCCTTGACAATGCTGATTGTCGGTTGTCCACAGCGCCCTCATCAAGGCTCTTTCAATCTGCTTTGTGCCTTGTAACCAGCGAACAAAGCTTCGCCGATTCTGTCAAAGAACCATGACAATATGCCATTGTCATGAAGGATTTTCTTTCGTCCACTAGAAATGGTGCTGCAGGCGAGAGCTCGACGTATACAAGAAGAAACTGATGAGATGGTCGCATCCGAAGCGAAGAGGTCGAAGGCAAGATGTAGGACACCGTAGGCATGGCGAACGAAGTACGATCTGATAGACACAGTCAGCTTCTATCTCTTGCCAAGGAAAGAATATCATGATCTTGCCATAGCCTTGGTTCCCCGGGTATCCTCTTGGACTGCTATAAACTGGGGGAATGTGAGAAGTCGCGGCGCAATCAAAATGATAGGAGGCATCAGCTAACGTCGACATCCTCCGCCAAATTATTGATGGGGAATATGATATTCAATGTACTCATTTGTTCCATTGACCATCTACTTTATGGGACCCTGAAATTCAGTTCCGGGAGTATGCAAGGGGAAATGCTGCAAGCCCCAGCCTAATGCAAGTGTCTCTACATCCATGGTCGCGTGAGTCCCCAAGTTCGCCTGATTCGCCGTTCATATGAGTCCTTCGCCGGATCGTGTCGTCGTCAAACATGCCCTGCAATCTTGATATCGATTATCCATACCAAGGATATCCTCAATGCTTCGTGGCGGTGATCATGTGATCGTCAGGCGACATCGGCAAAGTGCTTGTCGCGGAGGCAGTATTTTGCCACCGTTACTGCGTGTAATAATATTTTCATAAATGTAAAGAGCAAAGCTGGCCTCAAGCCACATATCGGTAAGCTGGTGAACCGTCGGCAAACTCACTTCGCTCTATGTATTCTCGTTGTAGCAGTGCCTCAACTTGGCCTTTGATCAGGGACACCTCGGGCTTAAAGCGACCGGCCAGGACCTGGAGGACCTCGGTGATAAGCTGGGTGTGACCGAGCTCCTTACGTTGCCTGCAATCGTCCATTAGTAGTCACACTACATTGGCAGAGATGGAAACATACTTCATAATACGGACGATAGTCGCATCGGTCACGTACTTCCGACTCTTCAGATTCTTCTCGTCGGTCTCCTTGCGCTCGTCGTCGTTCTCCACCTTGTTTGCTGCGTTGACCGATGGCACCTTGATCTTGATGGTCTTGCCCACGAACTCGCGGTTGAAGGTAAAGCGGTCGCCGGGTTTGACAGCTGACTTGGTTTGCGCCTCCCGGAGAAGCACACGGCAGGCCTTGATCACCGAGAGTGACGTCAACACATTGATGAGATCTGGTTGCGGAATATTGGTTGCAGCCTGGATATCCTCGAAAGACAGCCACTGGTCCTTCTCCAGATCATTGAAAAGCATGAGCACAATCATGCCGTAAGTGCCCACGTTGATCTCGTAGCGCCGTTCCCGGCTGAGTGGCCCAGTCGTCTTGCCGGGAATCTTCGGAAACACGCACTTGATATCGGCTGAACCGGCGCTACCAATCCAGTTGAGGACTCGACCGTTGCGGTTCTTGGTATAGAACTCGAAGAAGCTATCCTGTAATTTCAGTATCTCGTGCGGGTAGGATGCTTCGACGCGATCCTCATCTGCAGGACCGGAAAAGCGACCCAGGACCTCTCTGGGCCAGTTGTTGATGCCGAGAACCGAAATGCTCAAGTCGATCTGCTTCTCATCCACCTCTCCCAGGCCACGGACGTGAACACGGTACTCATCTGTTGTCTCTCGGGAAACGCTCATGTCCTTGAACATCCCCTCGAACTTGGAAGTGAAATTGTTGCCAAGCTCTCTCTTCATGCGAGAGATCATCTCTTGCTCAACTTCTTGGCTCTCAGACCGGGCGTGTAGCAACCGGCGTGCGAGATGCTTCTGGTAGTACTGTTCAAACTTGTCCCTCTCCGAGAGGTAGCGAAGGAGTGTGATGGCCTTGTCAAGGACAACATCGACTTCGGCTTCCGTCTTGCTCTTTATGCCGCGCTTCAGGTTGTCGTCAATGAAAAGTGAGACATACTCTGCCGCCCGCTCGAACCGATTGATGAAGTCCGAGAAGCTGGTGGTCAGTGTTGTCTGGAGGACAAGATCTTCTCCGAAGCACTTGGTCCATAACCGATCAAACTTGTCCTTGAGTACCAGAACATCCTCTACCCACTTGACTGCCGCCGCTGTCTGCTGAGCCGAGGCATTTAAAGTCTTTGCTTTAGGTTTATCGGCACCGTCAGCTGCCTCGTCAGCGTCGGCCTGTTGAGCAACGCTGAAATCGATGCTCTTCAACGTCTGCTCAATTTCGGTACCCAACTCCGTAATCCGGAGGGATAGGGCATTGCGCAATGCAACCTTCTGCGGGTCTACACGGGAGACAAGCGAATACAAGATGCTAAGATCCTCGATTCTATCGTTGTCGATCATAGCACGAATGCCGCTGCCTTCGAGGTTCAGGAAGTCTGCCAGATGTCTCGAGATCAGTTCTTCGTCAATCACCTGCGCGATCTTGGGCCCAGTCAGATTGGATATGGTTGTCTGGCAGCGGGCTGCCTCCTCATTAAGGCGACGTCTGGTACAACGGAGCCAGACGCTAGCATCTCCCTCGCGAATCAGCCTCTCGCCTTCAGCCTTGTAAAAGACGTGGCTAGCACGGACGTAAACAGGTTCGAATGTGGTCATATATATCCGCTCCTCCTCGTGCTCCTGGTCTGTCTCAAAGAGACCCTCCAGCATGGATATGCAACTACGCAAAAGTGCCTTGTCGATGACGTCGCCCTCTCTCTCCATATTGACCTGGTCTATGATGGTGGCATTGAGGATGTCGAAGACCTGGTACTTGGGTTCGGTGTCGCCCAGAGTCGACCGTAAAATGTTGTCGCGGAACAGACCAATCGTGGTGGCGTATATAGAGGGTCGGCTGTGGTCCTGGGTGTAGCCACGATCGAGATACATGAGGATGTCGGCGATCATGTTCATGGACATGTTATGGCTCTCCCAGGAACTTCGCACACCCTTGAGGAACTTCTCGCCCATGGCACGACGCTCGACCACACTCGTACCGGGAGCCTCGTCCAGAGTGATGCTGATGAGGTTCTTGGTGATAAGAGCCCAGATGGGGGGCATGACTTGCTCGGCGAACCATTGTTCCTCGAAATCCTTGACCCGGTCGTAGAGCTTTTGACCTGCCTTCTTAAGGACGATCTTGTAGGAGTACCGATAGAGTTGTTCGAAGGAGAGGTTGCCGGCATTCTTGTTGTGGATATCGCGAAGCGCCTGGCGAAGCTTCTCCCAACACTGCTCGAATTCATCCGCATTGCCGGGTTGGACCATTGGCTGTCGCAAAGGTGGGTTAGCATTGCGAGCGAAGACAGAAGCAAGCCACGAGTGGCCAGGACGCATAGTGGTGAATGACTTGAGCATACGCCGCAGCATGAACGCCAGATAGTAAAGAGATGTGTAGAACGGCTAGAGCCTTGCTGCAGGCTGGCTCATGAGAGGTGATGGAAGCCGAAAGGGAGAGGCGCAAGATGAATGACCGACTCGCAGGGCAAACCACGACCAGGCCAGTTACACCGGGGGATGCAGCACATGTGATATGGAGGTGCCATTGACTGGGGGCAGGAGATGATGAAGCTGGGAAGGGTACTTGGAGATGCGACATACCCGTCTCGGAGGGCGGATGCGAGCACCGCGCCCTACGGAACCTCCACGCCCAGTGATCATCTTCGTAGATCAGCAGCTTGGAGCTGACAATGCTGCAGAAGACGGTCCGTTGGATGAGAGGGTAACACTAACGTCCAGGCGTAAAGGAGCGTCAAGTCCAGGTTTTACAAGCCGAACGAGATGTGGAGGTGGGAGGTGTACATGATGTTTGGAGGATAAAGGAAAAGAGGAAGAGACAGTGGCAAGCCCTGGAATGATCAGGAACCCTATCAATAATGCATTCCCACGATAATAGTGTCAAATGGTCAGCGTGAGGGTTCTCGACTTCGGCAGCTTGCCTCAGGTGTAAAAAGAGTGAAGATGCGGCTACGCAGGTCGCATCATGTGGCTCACAGCGTGAATGTGAATATGAGGCTCGGCATGGTATTTCGACATGGAAGGACAGCCCTCAGGATACTTACTTAGTACATCCGCCTTGCCTTGGCACTCCAGCCTCGCCCCAACGCGTTGGAGCTTTAACCCCTCTGGGTTAGGCCTGATGTGTCTGATTGGCTCACCTGTACTACCCCTCCATACCCCACTACCAGCCGAGAGCTCAAGCTCCATCGTCAGCCACCCAGGCAAAAAACAGCCCCATATCTTTGTGGCAAATGCATACCTTATGTCATTATTTCTAGCTTAACTCCGAAAACCATTGAGCTGCAACCTCATACCATATCGGTGTTCGCATCGTTCGCCGCAACGACATCAAACTACGAGATATGACCACCATTATTCTGACTCTACCTTGGTAGATAAACGATGGCCTCTAAAATATCCACAAGGTTTCTCTCTTCCGCTCTTCGACCAACGCGAATCATCTCTCCCTCTACATCGCATCCATACCCTCGATTGCCACGAACTCTGCAGCCTGCCTTCCGTCGCTCTGCCCACTCCATCCCGAAGCCTCCTCATCCCGCACCACCCGCTTCGAATTCTGCCCAGCCGCCGGCATCCGACGCGAAACCACGGAAGCTTCTCGAGCCTCATTATGAGCTGACATTCACCTGCGTGCCCTGCGGCGAGCGCTCTTCCCACACCATATCGAAGCAGGGTTATCACAAGGGGTCCGTCCTCATCACCTGCCCGTCATGTCGGAATCGCCACATCATCAGCGACAATCTGAACATCTTCGGCGACCGCAAGATCACAGTTGAGGATATCATGCGGGAAAAAGGCCAGCTGGTCAAGCGAGGAACCCTGGGCGAGGATGGGGACGTCGAATTCTGGGAAGACGGCACTGTGACCGAACGCGGTACTAGTGCTGCCGGGAATGCCACAGGAACGGCGACGAAGGCCATAAACGAGCCTGGTCCCCAAGCTGAGACGGAGGAGGCCACCAAGATGCGAGACGCAAGAGACCCCTCCTCTCAAGCAACAGAATCTACGCCGGCTACGGGCTCGACACCTTTGAGTAACGCAGAAGCTCGCCCTACAGTAGACAGCACTCTGCGCCCAAACACTGTCCCATCCACACGTCGCCAATACTCCACAGCTGTGTCGCGGGACGATCAACAAACGGGGGATGGACATGTTGGGGGATTCAATTATCATCCCATCATAGAAGAGTCATCCAGTCAGAATCTGCTGCGTGAAATGATGGAAGACTCCGGTCGCACCAACCTGCACCATGTTCTCGCAGACCTGCGGGACTCTCTACGCGATGGCACCCCTTTGCCAAAACGAGTAAAGCAGGAACCACCAAAGCCCCGAGAGCGGCCAGTTTCAATGTCCAGTATGTTCAGGAGGGTCACGGGCGAGCGTGAACGAATGGGAAAGAACCAAAGAGAACTCCTGAAGTCCGGCTGGAGGAGCGAGCGTCGTCGCGAACTGCCGCTATCTGTTTTAACCAGAGTGCCGCGAGAGGAAATGGTCAAGCATGTCAAGCATGCCAAGCCGTTGATCGCCAAGTCGTACGAAACGACGCCTGGGGATCCTACCGTCTTCCGCAAGCATGCCGTCAAGCCTGCGTCTGAGGTAATCCGCAAGCTTGCCGTCAAGCCTGCACCTCCGAGAGTCAGGTTAGTCCCCGACCGTGAGCCTTCAGTTATGAAGGAGCCCCAAGTCCGCATGGCATATTCAAAAGAGCGCTTCAATGGCGTCCGCCTCTACGCCCTCAACTCTGCCGACAACAGGCCGCGAGCCCTCCAAGCCCGCCCTGGTGTCATCGGCCGGCGGCCCGCAGCCCTGTCGAGGCGTGAGGGCGAGGGGGAGGTCCAGCCCATAGCGCGCCCGAGGAACGATGTTTTCCGGAAACCCAAGCAGACGGCCCGGTCGAAGCGGCTTGATGCCTTCGGAAAGGCGACTGCGGACCTGTGGGGCAATGAGAACTTGTCTAACAGTCTGCGCAAAATGATCGAGCATGCATCGGGCGCGAAATCTCTCCAGCCTCTGGCGCGTGCTTCGTTCTGAGTAATGTCATGATATCTGTATCATAGTGTAGTATATCTATAGACCGCATACCCGATTCAAAAGATACATCACGAATTCACTAGTCGAAACATCCACGCTGCTGGTGAATTGATCATTGCGTAACATTAACTCCAACTCCGTACTCGTCCAGATTTTTTCTTCATGCCACTCAGGGTATCTATTCCATTCTCACTGTTTCATATCAACTCTGCTCTTAAAATGGACTACCCGCAACCCCAGCCAGCTCCAACTCAGTACTCCCGTCTCCTGTCCCGATTCTCGACCCCCTTCTCCTTCCTCCGCTTGACCTTCTTCTCGAGCCGACCCTTCTTCCACTTGCCGAAGCGCTCCGGCGCGGCCACGGCCTCGATCTTGCGCTTGCGCGACCGACCCTCGCGACGCCGCTTAGCACGGTCCCGGACGGCCATCAGCTCCATCATGTACTCGTTGGTGCCAAACTTCTTCTGCAGCGCGTCCATGGTCTCGGTAGCCTTCGTCTTGAGACCCTCATGGCGCGTCTTGAAGACCTCGTCGAGCGAGAAGGGCGACGGGATTGACGGATCAGTGAGGTGGTGTAGGGGTGCTAAGACCGTTCGAATGGAGGGCTGCAGGGAAGCCTTGGGCAGCGAGCCGGCGAGCGCGGCGAGGAGGTCCAAGGCAGCCATCTTGGGTATCAGCGCGCTGGCTTTGGGGCGGGTTTCCTCAACCAGAATATCTGAGAGCCAGGTGAAGAGGGTGTGAAGAGTGATTTTGGGGGTATGTTCTGCGTCATCAGCGTCGATGCCGCCCCACTCGTCGTCACCTTCCTCGTCTTCCCCTCCATCTTCGGCGTCGTCTGCCTCGTCTGTTTCTACATCTTCGGACCCGGCATCCACGAACTTGCTGAGCATCAGAATGATCCGACTTGCTTCGGCTGCCAATGACTCATCCAATTCAGATGGATCTCGCATCGCCTGCTTCGGTTGAACGTCGATGTCGGAAGTGGCAGATTTACTCTTCCTTCCCTCCTTCCTTCTCCACCGCAAGACAGTTTGTGGATTCAGGATCGTTACAAAATCGATGATTAGTCTCTCGACCATAGCCGCATCAAGCTCAAGACCGTGCGATCCAGAGATAGTCTGGACATGATCGACATGCTTGTTATTATCGTAGAAGTCAGCAAGATATGTGCTGATCACACGCACTGCCATTAGCTTCACAGTCGTGTCCGCATGGGTAAGAGGCTGGGGAATGAGCCGCCATAACTCGCCATGTGCTAACGTCGTTGCCGGATGCTTCTCTATGAGAATCAATACGGTGCTCAATACAGTATTAACCAGTTCGATGTCCCTCGAAAACGTCACATAATCGGTGAGAATGTTGACCATCGCATCGAGCAGAAGGTCCAGATCTTTTTTGTCTCTGGACGCAGGTTCCTTGGCTTCGAAATACAACGTGAAGGCTTGGATCGCAAGCCGCAACACAGGTGCGTTGTCATCCTGTTGAAGCCAGTTTCGTGTGAGGGTCAGGAACTTGGACGCTCGTTCCTTGTCGGCTTTGCGGAAGATTTCTTTGATCAGTTCACTAGCTGCCAGGCGACATTTCTCGCTGTCGTCGTTCGCCAACACAAAGACCAAGGGGATGAAGCAGTTCGTGGCAGCTTCCTGGACGAAGTCATCAGCCGACTTCATCAGTAGTAGGTGGATAACCTCCATAACCGAAAGCCGTCCTCCCTCCCTCTCGTATTTCAGATTTGCAACAACAAAGCTCAGCTGCTTGGCCCATCTGTTCTTCTTCTGTGGATAGTCGCGAAGAAATTGGAAGAAAGCTCCTCGGGCCAGGTCCCTCGTGTTTTTGTCGTCGTTGGTGATCATGACAGTGCCGACGTAGTCTAGAGTGTCGTAAACCGTAGCAGTCTCAACCTTACGGTCAAGCACTGACCGCAAGAAGTTGAACGTAATATGGCGATGGAGAGGCTCAGTCAGGTCATCTTTCAGTTTGCCTAGAAGCATATCGACCGCTGCATCTTTGACCACCACATCACACCTGTCCCTGATGATGACGGACATGAGCTTGACAGCAGTCTGCGCAATATCTGTCTCGATGGACGTCGATGTGGAAATGCTCTTTGTGGCTTCTTTCGCGGAGACCTTGTAGAGCTTCGTCGCATCATCAGTCTTGAAAGGGACCTTGACAAGAACAATCAAGAGCTTGAAGGTAGCTATTCTGACTTCCTCCTCTCCGCTAATGACTGCGTCGCCGAGTATAGGAATGAACCCGGTGATGTTGCCTGCGTTTCTCAAGCTATCATGCTTCTTCATCACGGCTCGGAGAACGTCAACGGCAAACCGGACAAGCTTGTACGTGTGCTTGCTTGTCGAGCTTCGGTCGCCACTCTTCTTCGCACCCTTTTGAATCAGATATCGTCTCAGTTTCGGGTCAAGCCTCGTTTCTGCTTGGGGCTTTTCGCTCTCGTACACTTTTTGTATGACCTCGTAGCAGAAAACCAAGGTGTCGCGACTCTCAGCAGCAGAATTGCCTAGCAGGCCGGAAGATATCCGCGTCAGCAAGTCGTCGATTTTGTGTACCAGACGTAGATTAAGCTTCTCCATTAGTAATGTCTGTAGCGGTCGAACGAGTTCAATCAGATGGCTGATTGATGCAGTTCGAGCGATTAGCTCCATTGAATCCTGGCTCTTGCTGCTCTTGACTTCTTTCATCTTGCTCACGTACTCCTCGGCATCCTTCTCTAGACCTGTGGCCCCAAATATGTCGTCCATGATGACCGCAACGATGTTCTCGAGGCAGTAATCAAGGTCCCCAGGCTGGAATTGGGGGATGACAGCGACCAGAATGGTATGCATCGTGTAAGACAGCACATGAAGTTGGTAGCCTGTCACCAGTGCCCCTCTCAGTTCGTTCAGAACGAACCCAAAATAAGAGGGCCCTAGGAGTGAAGTCATTTTGGCCAAGGTATCCCGTGCCATTTCTCGTGCATCCCAATCTTTACTCCGGAGAATGTGACACATATCTGTCAGCACCCCTGGGAGTTTCTGATTCAAAGAGTCGGCAGGAAGTAGCTTCAATACCTTCACGACGATGATGCCGACGGGCACACGGGAGCTGACTGTCGTTTCGTCCTTGTCGTGGGTGTACTTGAAAAGCGGTGGCAAGATGTGAGTAAGGACATCTTCGTTGAACTTCTCTTCCGTAGGCATTGTGTTTGGCAGGCGATGCTTTTGAGGGATCTTCGCAGCTGGTACATCATCGATCTCCATGGCATCTTGACGTTTTTCATCCGAAGCTGCGGAGAGGGAGTCCACGAATTTCCCGACCAGTCTGATCAATTGCTTCTGTGCATCCGGTTTCGATTCGACGTAGCTGATGTATCTGCGAAGTATTGCGCGATATTGCGGCCATTCCAAGGAGATAGCCAAGTCAGAGATGGTTGTCGCTGCTTGGGCTCCCACTCCGTGATCATCACTACCTTCTTCACGATTGAAGATGAAATGTTCGAGGAGAGGCACAAAGAAGTGAGCCAGATTCCGGCTGCTCAATGGTGAGCGGTAATTGGCCTTGGATAGAAGCTGCAAAGCTCGCATCTGGTTCGCAGTAGCAGGGCTCAGAATGTTACTGAAAAAACTTGGGTCTGAATCCTTCTCGGTTGCGTCGGGGCTTAGTTGCACTAGATCAGAGACTGGGGTCCATGTTGGCATCCTCGAGACGAGGTAGCCGAGGACTCTGACTGTCTCCCGCCTTACTGTCTCAGACGACTCCTTGGCGTTCGAATGAATGGCTGGCATGAGGATGCTTGAGAGCATTCCCTGGAACTTCTCCGCTTCCTCTCCAGTGGCAGAAGCAGCAGCGTCAATGAATCTGCAAATAACATCAGCCGAATTGGCAGACAGAACGCCGTAATCCTCATCTTGCTTGATGTAGAACACCATGTTATGTATCAACGGCTCCCAGTCTCGGGCAGTGAAAGCAATCTCCCGTGGTTGCGAGATCGCGGTGAAAGCTGCCAGTCTTCTCTCGTAATCGGGCTCGTCGATACGATTGTCTTTGTAGGCGTTGAGATCAGCGCAAAGAGTAGGCACCTCGAGGACGCCTGACTGGTCACGAAGCAGCACGATAAGGACATTTGACAAAGCTTGCCGGCTAGTGTTGTCCTTGAAAAAGCCGTAAAGCGACGATATAGTCGAATAAATGCGCTCCTTCAACACCGGGTCGAGGACTACCCCATCCAAGCCCAGAAATCGTTCCAGCATGGAGAGTATGATACTCTTGATCTTCGGGTTGACCCGTCTTGAGGGTTGATCGAGAAGAAAGACAGATACGTCTATAAGATCTGGGACGTGACTGGATTGCTGGACGATTGGAGACAGCTCAACAACAGTTTCGACACAAGCCATGAGAAGATCCTTTTCGATCTCGACCTCGGATTTGAGGACACGGGCGATCGTTTCTAGAACGAGGTTGACGTTGGGATCCAGTAGATCTTCTTTGATGAGTTCATTGAACTCTGACTCGGAGGCAGGCTGCTGGGACAGCTTCACCAGGTTGCGGACGATACTCAACGCAAAGATTCTCACTTCATCTTTCGTCTTCTCGAATGCTAGACACTCCATCAATTTCCTGATAGTCCTGTCATCGATAGCCAGAAAGAGTGCAGTTTTCGGGAGCTGAGAAAAGGTTGAGAGTAGCAAAAGAGTGCCTGATATGCCTTGTGTGTTTTCGACGGCCAGTTTCTCGAGGCGTGGGCTCACGACTTCTCGAATGAAGACGTCTTTGAAAGGAGTCCATTCAAAACCGGGTGCGTTTCGCAGGAGCGAGAGCAAACACTTGAGTGCCGTACCACGAACTACCCGATGTAGTGAAATCTGTGCTGGAACTTCGGCATCCTCGTCATCGGAGGTTTGTTGCAGCATCCGACAAGACGACACGAGACAGTAGACTACCGCATTGAGGATCCTGTCTGCATAATCGAGAACGCCAGTCCCAAGCTCATTGATCATGGATTCCATCATGTTCAAAAACCCGACTTGTTTGCGAACAGTCATGATCTGGGTTTCGAACGCGTTTTCGCAGATAGTCTCGTTTTCAACTACGCGAACGCCGCGGAGGTTCCCAAGCGCAATGTCTAGGAACGTGCCCATGTCTTCGACACTGAGTTGCCTCAAAACCGCCAGCCTGGTTGCTTGCAGACCATGACGGCCGCTTGCGACCCCCTTCTTGGAGATGGTCCTGCCATACAATAATCGTAGCAGTACAGGCATTAACTCAGATCGGTGCTCGGGTTGAATCTGGTTATCGCCTTGAAATAGCACCGTGAGTTCATTTCTGAATCTCGCTTCGTCCAGCAAATATTCCAGATTCTCTTGGTAAGGCTTGATACCTTCCTGTTTCCACGTTGAAATGGCCTTGAGACAAGACTTCTGTATATCAACATCGCCATTCGCAAGCAGCCCTAGTAGAGCATCGTAGACCTGCCGACTTTGGTAGAGAACCTTCGGGTTCGAGAATTGGGCGAATACTCCAAGAAGAGTCTTCTTGTCGAAGAGAGACCACGACGAACCAGAAATTCCTTCAGACGTTTCATCTTGAGTCCCTTGAATATCTTGTTCCTCCGAATCGACACTCCAGGACAAGAAATATGGCACCAGTTTCCGAGACCTCTTCTCCGCAAGCTCTGGTGCGGCAGAGAATACTTTGAGTGCCTGTGAGCGTGCATTGGGGGGCGTCGCAGGCACTAGGTCTTGGATCTCTTCGAATGTTCGCAGCATGATGTCCGTGGAACTGGCTATCACTAATTCCGTGTCCTCTGCTTGCTTGAGCAGGCCCATGAGATTGCAACATTCGAAGTCAGTCTGGCCAGCATTTGCAGCGGTTGTGGGTTGGGTATGAGAGCCTTCCCACCGCTTCGAGGGAACGTCTATCCACTTGAATGCTAGATCAGATACCACTTCCTCTCCCGATTTGGTTTGGCCGATCTGCTGCAAAGCCTCTACGGCTGAGTCCCAGGTAGGCGTCAAGCGTACAGTCGTCATACCAAAGAGGAAAGGCGGGATCGCTTGGAGAAGCCAGGAGGCTTCACTCAGACGTGCGTAGTTCGCCGCAAGGTTTCGAATGTGCATAGACAAAGCCCTGACATTCTGAAGGGTCAATGGGGTCTCCTCAATCTGGAGCATGCTTGCTAGACAACCCAGCTCGTCCGGTGCCGAGTCTAGCTTGCTCAACAGTCGCAGAGCAGCTAAGCGATGATGGTGTGAAGGGGCGGATAGGCTCTCAATGAGACACCGAAGAAATGGATCCTCCTCCCTTTCGCCTCCAGCACTGTCGTCGCCTTGATATTGCGGACTCTGCTTCACATTCAGCTGGTCTTCGTAAGCGAGCATGGTTTCCAGAAACCCAGTCAGATGGCAATAACGGGGGGTGGCCGCTTTCAGTAGGGGAGCAAGGGAGGTATCAATTTCCCCAGACGCTTTACTCATTCGTAGGTAAGCTGAGAAACCTTGGCTGACAATGAAGCGGGCTTCTTCGGTAACTAGGGACTGCGATGGCCTTAGAGCGAGCTTGAGCTTTCTAAGCAACAAGTCTGCAATAGGTTTGATGATAGAGGGGTGGATCGTGGTCGACTCTAGCAGACGAAGTAGAGCAGAATACTTCGGTAGGCACCTGTCGCGCCAGGTCTTCGGGTCTTCGTCACAGGCGATTGTCGCACCTGGCTCGGGAAAGGGGGACACCTCTAACCGCTCGAACTTGGCGACTATCTGGTCTTGCCATGATCGCGGCAACGAGAAGTCATCTGCATCGTTAACTGATGGGAGACCGCCGGAGTTGATCATTCGAGGCAGAAATACACTGAGCATATCTTGGTTGCATCCTTCCGACCAGTGCATAGCAACGAACCTAATTGTGGCATCAGCTTCATATCATAACAGCTGAGTCATTGAATCTCACTTCTGGAACGATTTGAGAAAGAGACTGCGAAACCTGGTGGAGTCAAGGTCGGAGAAGTATGAACAAAACGGGATAAACCACTCCATCAGTGGTTCGCGGGTAATAACATCAATGAAGCTTGTGATGTAAGGGATCACAGAGTCCATCGGCGCTTGTTTCCATATGATAGCTATATTGGCAATGAGCTGCTGCCAAACAACTGAAGCCTGGACGCTTCTCAGCGTCTTTGGATCTTTGGATATAGCTTGCAAGGAATGCGATAGACAGCTGAGGACTAGTGGCCAGTCATCTATTCGACTACCTTTTCGAACACCGGATATTGTTCCCAGGCACCTGATATAAAAACAGTCTCGTAACAGGTAGTCGGCGCGATGTTCCTCTTTGGCCGCCGTGTCCGCGATCGCTTTTGGTATGGGACCGAAAGTCTCTGCTGTCGTATGATGAACAATGCTCACCAGAACACCGCACACTAGATCAGACCAAGTGACAGGCTCCACGGAAATGCACTCGTCGTTGGGCATAGAGGCCACGAGCGCTTTAATAACCTCGGGGCCCGTCGTATGTACACCGTAACCTTGGCCTTTCACAGCTTCGGCGAACATGGTCATCAGTCCATGATAATATAAACCGAAGTTCTTACTATCTCTCGTGGTTGTAAGATCACGCCGAGCATGTTCGATGACTCGGGGAAGGGCACTGTCGCGGTGCGCCGGTGCCGCAGCCTTCTTCACAAGAAAGCTCAGAGCTTCAGCAGCGAACCTGGATATGTGGGGAGGATTCCGAGACTTCCCCAGCAGAGGCGCAACGGCATCGTAAGTCGGGCGGAGGTCGGGAACCAGAAGCTTCGACAGGTACTTGAAGAGGAAAGCCAGGCAAGCAAAGGTCCACTCCACAACAGCAGCATCTTGAGGCTGGCTCGCAATGTCGACGATCAAAGACAAGGCGCGAGGGTAATGCTTCTCGAAGCGAGTGCCTAGATCATGGGCGAATGCAGTCAAAAGGTCCAGGATGGACTCTAGCGACTCGAGATCCTGTACAGAGATGTATTTCGCCAGCAGTTCCATAATATGGTCCTGGAAGTGGAGGATTTGGGGAAGGCTGTCGCAATACTTCAGCACTTCCCTCCTGAAAGAGGTGAAATTCTTGGAGTAATCGAGGTCGGTCCATTTGTCCAGCCCGTTCTTCAGATAGGAGGTGGTAGATTCGAGGTCTTCGGCGTCGAGGTCGTGTCGCCGTACTTTTCGCAGAGGATCGAGGGAATGGAGCTTGGAGATCTTGCTCGAGAATGACTCCCACCGGTGGTTCTTTTGGTGAGGAGTGCTCGGCTTGCCCTTGCGGGACTTGACGATCCGTCCCGACTGTGTTGAAGGCATCGTGACAGCCAAAGTGCGCCTTGCGCCGCCGTCTTACAAGGGGAAACTCGGTATGGAGGTTGTAAATGATCTCTCTTGTGCAACTCGATAAAAGTTACAGCTCAACTTTTTGAATGGGTCCCGCCTTCAATGCACTAAGATAAGCCGATAACTGTTATCAGATAAGTAGGTCCATTTCATCTTATCGCCGATCGGCATCTGGAGATTTCTTTACTTCCTCCCCACGATTCACGAAGACTCCAGCTTTCACGCCCTGCGTCATCTGGAGAGGTGAGTTTTGCGTGAACATGGCAGCCAAAATGTGAGTATAACATTCTTCTGAGCTACCTGCCCTTCATCCGTTAACAGTCAATCCCAGCATCGTGTTCGGCAGCCTCAATGGCAAGCTTGAATCTGCATTCCAGAAGCTTGCCAAACTGAACGAGAAGCAGAACTTCGCCTTTGCCATTGTCGCCTGTAACCTCCTCGACGTCGACCAGGATGCGCAGACAATATCCCGACTCCTTGGTGGCGAAATCAATGTGCCCATCTCTACCTACTTCACCGTTGGCACCAACCCCTTGCCCGACCCAATCGTCAAGCGCATCGAGCAGGGCGAAGACGTAAGACTATACCCCTTGTGCCCACCATCCACCTATCGCTTTCCCATAAGCTGACTTGGTCGTATATAGATATGCGAGAACCTCCATTTCCTCGGAAAGCGAAGCATCACCAAGACTTCAGACGGCATACGAATTGTCGCACTAGGTGGAGTTCTTGACACCACCATCGTTGGTGGGCTATCGCAGGAGCAACACCTTCCGTTACATACGTCCGACGACGCGAAGGCTCTGCGGGGCGCCAACACTGCCGACATCCTCCTGACTACGTCATGGCCTTCAGCTGTTTGGAGCGGCTCGAACACGCCCCTCGCACCCGAGCAACAAGCCTCAATAACGAGTTCGGATGAGATAGCCGAGTTATGCGCCGCTCTCAAGCCCCGTTACCACTTCTCGACATCGCTTACCGATCTATTCTACGAGCGCGAGCCTTTCTTCCATCAGCAGGCTAATCCGAATGACGACAGCAAAGCCATCACTCGATTCATCTCAGTTGCACCCTTCGGCAACCTGACCAAAGCCAAAGCGTTATACGCGTTCAGCCTCAATCCGGCGGAACCTATCACTTCGATACCGGTGGGTACTACTGTGTCACCATTCCTCTCCAAGTTGAGTAGCAGAAAGCGCGGCGCCCCTGATGCTAAGGACCATTACGGACGCTTCGCTGACGCGCGGGATCATCACGGGGGAGGTCGTAACAAGCGATCTCGGCGACCACGGTCACCTCCTCCCGGACCGGGCCAGTGCTTCTTCTGCCTTAGTAACTCACGGGTAGACACGCATATGATCTGTTCGATTGGAGACGATGCATACGTGACCACCGCCAAGGGACCACTACCGAGCCCTCCCCATTTCGGTTCCTCGGGTCTCCCCTTCCCCGGTCACCAACTGATAATTCCTCTCGGCCACGAACCCACCTTCAAGTCGATGGGCCAAGAAGCCGAAAAAACATACAAAGAGATGAACCGTTTCAGGGACTCCTTGCAGGCAATGGTTGCATCTCAATCGAAACACGAGCTTGGCGCCGTCACGTGGGAGATCAATCGGGCGGATAACATACATCTTCATTGGCAATTCTTGCCTGCCCCTCTAGATCTCATTCGTAAAGGCCTTGTAGAGGCAGCTTTCAAGGTTGAGGCTGAGAACAATCAGTATTCATCCTTCCGAGAGGCTGATCTTGGCTCGGGTGTCGATGAGCAAATCGATTTCTTCCGCCTATGGATTTGGTCGGATGATAGCGACACCGGCATTCAAGACAAGGAACTCGTCATGCAGCTTGACAACAACTTTCGCTTTGACCTTCAGTTTGGCCGAAAAGTCATGGCTAAGCTTCTCGGCCTCGAGAATCGGTTGCACTGGCGGGACGTCGTTCAGGACACCGCAGAAGAGACCCGAGATGCCGAGAAGCTTAAAAAAGCTTTCAGGCCATGGGATTTCACTCTGTAGGGTCGGGATTCTACTCCCCATAATCGCTCTACTCGGTTCGGTGTTGTTGGCTGGAAAAGTATGATACCCTTCTCTTTACTTCCATCTGCATCTCCGGGATTAGGCCCTAGCCTCATGCTCCTTATTGGGGTGGGCGAGGCCTAGGTATGGACTCGTCTGTCTTAGGCGCCACGACGATCTACCCCTATCTCGTCACGTTATCGCGGTGAACTTTGCCGTTATATTCTAGCATCTATGATTTATCTCGGTAGGCTACCTCAACCTAGATAGTCAACAGCAGCTGCATTCCACAAGTCTTGTATGTCAAGCGTGACACCCAAAATCATTGTGAGGATTTTACTGCAATAGCGAGTTTTGACTTGGGGTTTTCATACTTTCAGGCCTCCTTCGAACAGATCTCATCCTCTTTCAGTATGTTTGCTTCATCTCGAAACACATTCCGCAAACGTCGTTGGTGCCACCAGGCCAAAGCACATACTATACCCACAACACCCACCGCCGTGCTCCCAGTGACTGTCCACCACTGCCTTGCCGCCAGTATATCATCAGCGGTATTGTCGCTCAGGATGATATAGGCGTCCGGGCTCCTCAGGCTCGTCCAGTACGTCGCCGGAACCTACGTAGCACGTCAGCATACAGCTCACACCGAACCGTGCTTGGTGTTTGTCTCACTTTGCAGGCGCAACTGCGATAGACACCCAGCAGCTGCATCATGGTACCACCAACGGCAGCGAACACGGCGAAGAACCCCACAAACACCTGTCCGTACCAGCAGACGCGCTCCGCCACGGGACTCGCCTCGTACCAGCGCGTGCCGTGCTTGATCTTCAGGCTCGACGCGTACGTCCACAGCATCATCTCGCACACCTGGCTGACGGCGTAGACAAGGTACGTGAGACTGCGGCAGGACAGCCCGGCCCGCGGCGTGTTGTACGAGGTGAGGAAGGCGAGCAGACATGGCGCGAGGAGCAGGAGTAGCGAGCCTACGGCGATGTAGCAGCAATCCTGAGTGTTTAACGCTAGCGCTTCGCGCAGTTCGGTGGGTGCGATCCAGCTGTTATCTTGGCGGTCGTCGTCGGGTGCGGAGGCCGTGTAATCGTTGATCGCCTCCTGGACCCACTGGCGCTTGTTCAGGCCCCTTTTCCACAGCTTTACGGTTTTGAATCGGCCTTCGAAGGCTGTCTCAAAGGGATTGTATTCCTCGATCTGCTTCATGAATATGGAGATTGGTTTGTATGCTTTCAACTTCTGTAGCTGCTGCGCCCAGAAGGTTGTTTCGTACCTGTCCGGCAGGGCGAGGTTTCCACCGTCGTAGACGAGCCCTTCGAGGGTGCTGGGACTGTTGGATGCGAGCATGGCGCAGGCGATTATTGCGAGATATGGGATCACCATCCACCCTGGAATTTGTGTCAGTATTTTCAGGCAAGTGCTACCAACTATAAGTGGGAAGGCAAGTATCACGACTTACACATGCCGAATGCAAGCGCATGGGCAGTATCGTTATCTCCAAGGTTGTTTTCGCTGTCCACGACGGTGTACACGAAGCTACCGACGAAGAACAGGATTGGTGCCCCTATTGTCGACCCAAAACTGAACAATCAATGAGCGCCATTCATTCCCCTCCATTAGGTCGACTTACCTCGCTTGTGAGTTGAGCAATGCGGTGAGCTTTGTCGGCAAAGACACCACCTCCACACCCGATCTTCCCCCTGCCCTCTCCGTCTCGTAGTCATCTACCATGACCATGATGCGCTTCCATATACTATTGTGCACTAGTCGATGGCCGGGAACCAGCTTTCTGTTACCATTCTCCGGATCGTCAACTACACCATCACGACATCCATCCGCCCCGATGTCCTCACTTCTCTCCAATGTCGCCATGCGAATATTGCCTGCCACAACCGCCAACAACAACTGCGCACGCAACCTCATCGGCAGCGCCGTTGACGGAGCCACAGACATGAACTCGAGCACCTTGCGGTCCAACGCATACTCATAAACCGCACTCAACAGCATGGGTCCCGCAAATGCGAAACAGATGGCCAGCCAGACCACAGTATCGACTGTCACCATCACGAGCGCGCCCAGCAGGCGAACCCAGTACGAACAGAACCCCACCACGGTCCGGGGCCTTGCCTTAAACACCACATCCGGAATTCGCAACTTGCGCGTCCGCGGGACATTGGTGCAGAACGCGAGGCTCGGCACGATGAACTGCACCAGGGGCCCAACCCACTGCCCCCTAACATTCGAGCGCGAGATCTCCCAGCCGGGACACTGGGCCGCGCACCAGGTGTACGGCACCTTAATTGCAGGCGCGCCCGTCGTGGAGCCTTGGAATCTTGCGCCACAGGCAAAGTCGTCCTCGTTCTGGATGGACGAGGTGAGCGTGTCGATGGAGACACCTGGCGCTACGAAGGACGGCGAGGCGTAGGAGAGGTTGCCCTCTTCTGGGATCGTGAGCGAGTCGTTCAGGGCTAGGAGGCAGCAGTGCGTGAAGTTCTGTCCGCCTAGACTGGGGGGTCGCGAACTGGGGACTTGGTGGGAGAGGCCCGCGAGCTGGGGGACGAAGTCGCCTATGCTTGGGTATGCCATGGCGAGCGCTTGACAACGTGTTGCTATAGCGTTTGGCAGTATGGTCTTTCTAGTCAGTATCCGCTGCTTCGAGTGTGGTCATTATTTCTACGGGGAATTCTGTCCCTTTCGTAGTTGACGTTGGAACACTCGGAGGTAGTCATTGCGGCGTGGTGGATGCTCAGTCAAACCCGACCCCAAAAGCCAGAATACGGACCCGAGCATCGCATGGCGCTATAGGACGCATGTCTCACGATACACAGGCCATGATAGGACGCCTTCAAGCCCAGCTTGAAGATTCTTGGGTAACGCTCTTATCTCCGCGCTATTGGCGTTTTGAAGAACGTCACCTTATCTCGTAGCTGCTTGTCCTGGCGCGGTAGTACAGCTTCTTCAGCCCTCTGCCCAAGATCTCGGTGGCTGCTTGTGCGACATGAAGACCACTATTGAAAGATCAGAGAAGGTGATGGGTCTCCGTCAATATCTGGTGACACATACGTGTTACGTTACGTGGGTGAAATACGTCAGTAGCGCCACCAACAACACCACCGTTGTCATCAGCATCGTCATCGTCATGAACCGCATTATGGACAGTGTCACCTCAACATCATCCTGTCACACCTCGGACTTAATTTCGGAGAGAAACGTGTTAATGGGTGTAGAGCTTCCTAATCACAAGGGCCGTTGGGATATCAGAGCCGCAAGCAGTGCCTGTATTACTGCTGGGTACATCGGTGGAGGAGGAGGAGGCATAATATGCAGTGCAGTCGGGAATACCAGTCGTGTAGTAGTATCGTCGTCGCGCGGAAATAAGGAAAAGCGCAACTGGCGCGCAGGGTCGAGCAGCCTTCCGGGGGGCCGTAGGCAATATATACACAAGACAGGTGGCAGCTGTGCGTGAAGTCACTTGACGCGGTGCGAAGGTGTCCAAGTGCCTTCTAGTGACTTCAGAAAACCGCGACGGCCTCAGTCCAGAAGTTAACTGGCACAAAAGAAGAAGGCCATTTGGGATATAGGGCCCCAGAGACTAGAGAGAGTGATGCCGTACCGGTTGCCATTCTTCGACAGCTCATGGCCAGCCTCTCGGATGGCGGTAGCAACAGTCTTGTCATCGACTGCCGGCTAGTTGCAGGCGCAAGCCCTACCAATTCAGCTGCCCAGCTGCCCAGCTGCCCTCTTAGTGAACATCGTCCTGTGCTGAACTTACAGGACTCTGTTGCATAGATCAAGCCCCGCCAAAGTGCCACGGGTAGGCGACGTGTGGTGCGGACTGGCATCCGGGAGCGTCCGCGCCGTCCTTCTCACAGCAGCCCTACTGCTTGTAAGCCTCGTCGACCTCGGGACCGCGATGCTCATGCATGACCTGGTCACGAACGGGATACTCCACTACGCGCAGCCCATGGCCGGACCCCCTTCCTTGCCGGAGGAACCGCCCACATCGGCGTCGTTCTTATCGTCGGGACCGGCGACCCACCACTCAGGAACGACGGGCGGGTGTTGGGTTGTCACGCTTCTATCCTATCGGCAAGCGAGTCACGAGCAAGAGCCTGGTTACCAATTCCGCGGTGTTGGTAAGTTGTCGACGAGCTTGGAACAAGGACTGAGAATCGGATGGAGGCTGCGCCTCGTCAGTCTCTTCGACCTCCTCTTCGGTCTTCTCGTTCTCGGTGCCCTTGGCTTTACCCTTGTTGCCGGTAGGCTGCTTGCTGGGGCGGCGATAGGCACGCAGTGCAGTAAGGTCCTCCTCGCTAAGATCGCCAGTTTCGATCTTCCTCGACGGTTTAGCAACTTGTGTCAGTGAAAGAGACACGCGAGATCGGTAAGGTCTACCAAATGCAACAGGAGAACGTACCCTCGGTACCCATGAATATTGCGCAGATGGCTTAGTAGGGTATTGAAGTTTCGTAGTCCCTCTGGCAGGTTATACATCGCCAGGGCATGGACGAGGTCTTGTGTCGCATGTAGGATGAACCGGGCCTCGATGGAACTTGGAGTTGTGGGAGCTTATGTCATGCTTGCCGGCCTCGCAGGTTCTTCCGCAAAGATTGCAATGGTACCGATCGGCCACGATGTCGCCGTCGGACACTTTTTCGGTAGCATTCTGGCCAGGCTTACTGGGCTTCTTTTTCGCGGAGAGCTTCTCGCGCGCCATGGTGCATGCCTGTCTGGTGGTGTGTCAGCAGATCAAACAAATAGCTTCGGAATCGGCAGCAGCCGGCGTTCGCGGGAGCTTTTTTGAATCCCAACGGTGCTTTATTATGCGTACCTTGATCTTGGTGCGATTGAGCTGTTCTCGTGGTGTCAAATTGCTGATACCTAGTAGTGTTGCGTTTGGGGCATGTGATGATGATCGGGGTGGTGTGAGACCGTGGATATAATTCCAAGGAAAAAACGGGTCAACCCTGAGCCCTTGGGTGAATTGAGAAAGGTCGGGCACACTTTAGATGGGCAAGAAATCATCGCACAGGCGTTGCTGCGAGACCAAAATAAGGGTGTCGTAAACTCTCTGTTGCCCCATCATGACCCGCCGCACGAAAACGATTAGAGCAAAACTGAGATACATGCTAATCTTGTTCGTTGCAGGCTATACATGAAAGATATCAGCTGTAATTTCACCTCAGCTACTACTTGAACAATACAATCCGTGTGGTCGAACGACTCGAACATCATAGCGATGTTCGGGAGGCCTTCTACATGGGGCAACGAGGATCCATCACCACCGTGTGGCAGTGCACACATGTCTTTATGCCATTTAGTTACAGTTGTGCTTCATTGAAAGCTCCTGCTTGCATATTCCTTTCGCTGTACCGTGAGAAATAGCAGGCACCCAGGCTTGATTGGCTCTGTGGTAGTAGTTCTTCTATAGATGGAACATCCGCTTCAAGTGACAAGAAAGAGACAGGGTCTTGGCCTAGCTCAAGCAGAGTCGGGTTTGGGTTATAGGAGATGATGTCATGAGGTGTAACACTTGCTATCACGTTAACGGTACCATCTTTCAATTCGTCGGTGAAGTTTCCAGTCTTACCTGGCAGTAGGTATGCAAGTGTGGGCAGTACATAACTACAGTTAAGCGATGATTGTCAAATGATGTTGCCCTTAGAGTGTCATCCATGGGAGATCTGCCCAACGCGTCTTACTGACAATAACCGGCAATACCACAGACTTCTTCATTTTCACCTAGCAAGCCGGCAACTTTATTACCTAGGATAACCTGGAGTTCTCCAGTGCCGTCAATCACGGCCAGTATAGCAACTACACCCAATCTGGACAAGGGTTCTTCGCCCTTCTTACATGGAACTACAACCCGGCAATCTGTCATGGAGCACTCGTACGGTCAACTCGAGATAAATCGCGTACACGTCCCCTATCCGGTTACAGATCGAGTGCTGATTATGTGCGAGAAGTCGGGAAAAGGTTCATAAGTTGCGGACCTTTAGAAAAAATAACGTCAACCCATAGCAAAAAAATGGCTACATTTACGATTTCCAGTCCGCTAAGACTCGAGTGGTTTTAAGGCGCAACGCTGTATAATCTCCTTTATAGAGTATCATATAATTGACAGTGTACTGACTCCGTCGGAGCTTAATTCGCTGATAAAGCACGCCGAAGCATTTACCCCATCTTGTACGATGATGGATGCAGACATGTCTTATCGAGTACCTCCCATTCAAATTCTACGAGCTCTACACCCCATCACGACAATGCGAAACAAGCAAATTCAAAGTGGAGAATATGACAGCCTGAATGAAACCCATTGAAGACAATAGGTTTCGCGCAACTCACATTGTTCCCGCTGCCCTAACGTTAGAGATGGTATATTGTAGATAGCCATTGTCAGGCAGCTGCTTCAGGCGGATCAGTATTCTATTTATTCGAGCAATATGAACATTCCTCTCCTGTCGCTCTTCTTCCACCAGGACCGAATTCACCCGGTGTCCTGATGCAGTCATACAACCACTCATAATTCAACCATCGAACAAGCTCTTCAAAAGGAGTCATGGCTACCTACCAACCTCCTAACCAGTGTGCTACCGCTGTAAGTAAAGAGTCATGGGACTTTACTTATTTATTTTCACCCCGCTGACAGCTTCGTGTAGGCCAGGACGTACACAGGCATCAGCGCCAACTACAGTGGCGACTTGGGAATTCAAGCGAACATTCCGCAGAGTCTCGAGGACGAAGGGAACACAGCGCTTTGGATCATGGGCCTACCTTCCTACACCTCCCACACCACCATGCTAGCGGCCATCAGGAGCAAAGGTCCTATCAAGTCTTTGCACATCAATGGCCCAACCGACGAACACCCTAACACTTCGGCCGCCAAGTCAATCTTCTTCGAGCATCGACATGCAGCGAAGCTAAAGGCTGAGGCTACCAGAGGAGAGTACAAGTTCGGAGACGCCAAGCCCAACATCTTCTGGAACCGATACGGCAGCAGAGAAGATCCCGCAGCGGGCCGCAGCCGGGTCTTGCGCATCGAAGGCGCCGAAGCGCTCATCACACGGCAGAACTTGGAGGCGCTCTGGTCTACCAGCATGTGGTGGGACGTCGATTATGTTCACGACATCGGTTACATTGGTGGTGGACGTGCAGTCGTATGGTATTACTTTGGTAGCTGGCGCTGCCAGGCAGCCAAAGCTAAGGGTATCACTGAAGGCGCCTACGGATGCTTGGTCTCTGTTGTATACGGCAGAGATCCTTGCGCTGTGCCGCGAAGAGTGAACTAGTAGTTACCTCGAAGAACGGGTGAACACGAGCGTATCAAGGACTAGTCCCATGAATATAAGGGTTACCGAGTTTCCCTAGGCGGAACTCTACGACATATGGACGCGTTGCAATTGGGTTAAGGGGCCAGATTACGACATCCACGAACCCGCCCCTCGCATATAGGCTCACGAATGGCATATAGATTGACAAGGTGCTCACCACAGACATATTTGAGCTTTTTCCCTGTGCCGGGCCATCTATTCACGGGCAGAGGCCTCAAAATCCGTATGTTTGCTGCCGCCATAAAGTTTTCAGGTGTTGGGGCTGATTTCCCACTGACCCGTTTCAGTGGTAGCAAGAAGGGGCAGCAAATAGAATAAGACGTTCAATTCATCAGCTTCAACAGAATGCCACATTTCAGCACGTGGTCGGTAGAGCAGTAATTAATCGTCTGTATGGGGAGGCAAGCCCTGGATATTCGGTGGTGTGATGGCGATAGTGGATTCATAGGAAATATTTTACGACCGAAATCATGCGGCCAGTGAGAATGCACACTGGACCTTTTCTATTACGCAGTTGATTTCATTAGTCTCTTGTGCCACTGGTCATTCTCCGGATCACGTGGTGATGCCTGAGGTTTGGATGCCAATGTGGTGATGATGCAAGGAGGCCAGACAAGCCCCCAAGACGGGTGAATCAGTCTTACCACGTAAGACGTGGATCACCTGGTCTCCCGGTCTCTTTGTTTGGGTGCCAGATTGGCGGTATCTGTATCAGTCTGTCAACGCTAACTCACTGCTTGTCATTCGGTCTCTTTGGCCCTACCTCAACACCGTGGTCTTCGTTCTTCTGAACCGTCGGACGCACACTGTGATTCACTGGGCGGCTATTGAACCTGCCTCATTCACAGCTATATAAATACTCACAAGTGGAATATTCTCCGATAGCATATTCACGGTTGACGTGGACAACATGCAGTTTCTTTGTGGTACTCTTTTTCCCCCTCTCGTCTGATAATTGCGGGATCATGTGGCAATGCTGCAAGTGGCTCATGCTCGGTCCCAAGCTTACCAGTGACACCATTTGCTACGTGACAAACTTCATTTCGCTACCGACTGAAGTTCAGCTAATGGGGCATGTAAGGGCATAAATATTGCTTGCCTCCCCACCTCTGAGGCGTTTCAGATCCATCTCGACAGCCTCGAACACTACACCGCCTCCAACTTAGACATAATAACACCTCACGATCAAATCAGCGAGATGGCACTTCTTCTGGGAGCACAATGGTGAGTATCACGTCTGACAGGACATACCCAGGGTCTGGGACCTCTACGAGCGATTCGTCTCTTCTCACCACGCCAAGAAGTCCCGCCCTGTTCCACTGACCCAGGACCCGACCTACTCCTCGAAAGACGTCAGCATCATCGTGCCCACCATCGACACCGATGACGCCTTTGCCGACTGCCTTCGCCTGTGGCTCCAGCACAAGCCTCGCGAGATCATCATCGTCACTGTGGAGCGCGATTTCAAGAATGTCCAGCAGCTGGTCGAGCCAGTCGAGGACGCCTCGGCAAAGATTACTGTGCTGATGGCACCTGAGGCTAACAAGCGACGACAGCTCCAGTGTGGCATCGATGCTGCCACTGGAGAGATCCTGGCTCTTGTTGATGATGATGTCTTCTGGCCGAGCGAGGAGAACACACTGATGCCTCATCTGCTCGCCCCTTTCGAGGACCCTGAGGTTGGAGCTACATGCGGTCTGCAGAGGTAAGTCTAAGTCCTTTACTACTAGACGATCCATGGTTACGAGAGTCATATACTTATAATCCCCAACCGCAGTGCAGAAATTCCCCTTGAGCGCCAGAACCCCCACACCATCACCTCCTACGAGGCAGCCGCCATGCACGCCCTAAACGGCCAGAATAACATCCAAGCCATGCGCTACGCAGCCGACGGCGGATGCTGGTTTCTCTCGGGCCGCACCGTCTTTGCGAGCGCCGTGATCTTCAAAGTGCCCGACTTCGCCCACGCCTTCACACACGAGTTCTCCGGCGGCCGGCTGCGCAACACCGGAGACGTCTTCCTGTCCCACTGGGTCCAGGAGCATGGCTGGAAGCTGTGCATACAGAACGCGCCGGAGGCCGAGGTCACAACGGAGGTCATGCCTGACAGCCGCTATGTCAAGCAGATGTTGCGCTGGCAGCGGGACGGCATTCACTATTTCATGCGGGCTGTGTCTGCCAATCCTGGGTTCTGGCTCTGTGGAAGTAGGTGTCCTCCTATGCATGTCTAGAACGAGGCGAATCAATCCCCGGAACTGACATTGGTGGCCAGGAAACATCCCTACTCGACCCGCAAGATGGTCGATTACCTGCTCAAGCCGATCTGGTCCTGGGTCTACATCCTGACCTGGATGTGGACCATGTACAACTGTCACTGGATGGCGTGAGTACCCTCCCATCCGCGCACAAGCTCCATCAACCATTCTCGAAACAGCCACTGACGCTCCCTTTTCCCACAGGGTTCTCTACGCAGCCCACTTCATCTACTTCCGAGCCGCGACCTACGGAGGTCTTGCCAGAAAGTACCCCTACCTCGGACACAAAGTCTGGGGCGCGTTTCCGACTCGACCATTGCTATCCGGTGCTCGAAATCTTCGCCTGGTGCACCCTGGCTGACCATGGCTGGATGACCCGCCACGACGACGACATCGAGGTTCACAATGGCGAGGAGGTCCAGAGTGAAGGTGTGGCGGAAAAGGGGGCGAGGGCTGGGACTGGGGCGGATTAGGTGGCAGGACTAGACTGATATGTTTTACTGCGACGGGTTTTCCTTCCAGACGTGTAGATTTCCTAAATCACACCTCATTATTCCAAAAAAAAAAAAAAAACCTCATCTTTTAGATCCATCCACTTGCATGTAGTGGTCTACTTTCAACACGTTAAACTCTCAACCATTTTTTATTGCATCTTTTGTCGTCATCTCCACCTCGGTGGTGTGGTGTGGACTCTCGAACGTATCGACGACAGCATCCCTGAACTTTCTCGCGGAGACCTTCTGCTCGAACAAGAGATCCAGCTCCGCATATGTGCGTCCCTTAGGCTCGGGCAGACGGAAGAAAGTCCATATCAGGCAGAGAAGAGCAAGGCCAGCCCAGAAGAAGCCGGCTTTGCCTTTCCAGTTCCAAGCATCCGGGTTCAACATCTGCGGTAAGTCATGAGTAGGTGATATTGCTGCACTCGTAGCAGAGGTGAAGTACTTACGTAAGGGGTAATGACCCCATTGGTGATACCCTGTACATTATACAGATTCCTCGCCAAGACAATCGTCTTCGTCCTGAGTCGACTACTCGGCATCTCCGCCACGATACTGTAAGCTACTGTACCGATCGTAATATCGTAGCATAACGTGAACAGTAGGAGTAGGCTCCCAGTAGCGTAAGAGGTACCCTTGGAGGGGGAGATATTGACGAAGCCAATTGTTATCAGCACAACGAACATGGCGCTTAGGCCAGAGAGGTAGATTGTGCGGCGGCCAAGGTAGGTCATGGCGAACCAGGAAATTGCTACACCGATCATAGCGACGGCGTAGAGGGAGATGGAGAAGTCGAAGGAGATGCTTGTGGGGAGGCCGGCTTGCTCGAAGAAACTGCAAAAGCTGTCAGCCATCCAGTGTGCCATGCTCTTGCTGGAACAATGCTTACTATGCGGCGTATCCCATGAACGACGCACCACTTGCTGCCTGAATGACCCAAGTAAAGCACGTGATCTCCGTCCTGCGCAAATGAACGCCGCGGAAGCAGTCGATGTAGCTGGTGCCTGCAGAGACCTCCTTCTCAATCTCATTGGTGTACCGCATCATTGAGAGCGTGTGATCAAGCTCAGTATTGGAGCTCTGCGAGAGTCGTCGTAGAGACGTCTTCGCTTCACCGTGGCGGCCTTTGCGGACGAGCCACCATGGCGATCTGGTGAAAGCAACGTCAGCGATGTAACTAATCCTGCGGAAACGTCATGGATCACGAACTCTGGTGCAAGCGCAATGCCCACGATGAGTGGTACCGGCCACATCCACTGCAGCGCAAATGGTATCCTATACGCCCATTGATCCGTCCTTTTCAGCATCGCTCGCAGCACGCCAGAAGCGAGGAGCTGGCCCAGCCCCCACATCATGTTCACATACGTCGTCAGATACCCCCTGAGCGCGACAGGACAGACCTCGGCAGCATACGCCGTAGTCAAGGTCTGGAATACACCCCATGGTATACCGAGCAAGATCTGGCCGACCTGGATGGTCTCGATATTTTGAGCGAAGAACGGGATAAAGATCAGTCCGCACAGCAGCACAAGCGTGCCAACCATGGTCTTTCTGAATCCGAATTTATCACACACAATGCCATTTACAAAGAGGCCTAGTATCTCACCCACCCGTGCACCATTGGAGAGGCCAGCCTGCCATGGAGCAGGGATGCCGTACTTGCCCTTGCTATCGAGCACTCCGTACTTCTCCGCGAATGCCGGGAAGGCGAAGAAGGACTGGACGAGTACGAGATCGTAGCCCTCCATGGCAATGGCTGTGGAGAAGAAGATAGACCAGAGGATTGCTTTGGGGTAGAGTTTGATGGCTTGACGGAGTGGCATGGCATGTTCGGCCTGAGTGGCCGCTTTGGCTTCGATAGTGATAAGGTCGAACTTGGGATCGGAGTGCGACAGCGCCTGTACCGCAGCGCTGTTTGAAGCGTCGATGTAGAGGGTTGCTTCACGGTCGCTTGAGGTGCGCTGGTCCTTTGGATTTGTGTCCGCCATGGTTCGTTACGCAAAGAGAAGAAAGACGGATGGGAACTGCCGAAAGCGCGAAAGGACATGGGTAGCTGAACGACAAGAGATACGTACCTCACAGGGCATAAGGGCATACCGCTACGCGGGGTCATTGGATGAACAGGAGGAGAAGCACGCCATCTGCGTGGGGATTGCGCTACTCGACGCTGCTGGCTAGGACCAGGGGTCCCGTACAGATGGAGCGAGGTGCAGTCGAGAGGGCCCATTGTTATATACAATTTCCCGACAAGTTACGAAAGCTTCCTGTTTCTAGTGTCCTAGCATAAGAAGCTCGCAACGAGGTTGAAGTAAGATCAATGTATAACAATCTTATCCTAACCTCCTCCTCTTCTAACGCCACACTAATCAAGTAAATCCGCCAGTTCAGCCTCAAGAGCAGCTCGGACCGCAGGATCAAGCTCAGGCTCAGGCTCAGCAACCCACCCCCAGTGTTTTTCGTCAGTACCTTCGAGCCTCTCGGCAACTTCACCAAATCCCGGGTCTTCCTTATCCTGGCGGACGAACAGGTCCGCATATATATCCTGGAACTCTGGGTGCATGTCCTGCCCCAATTGCTGCTCCTTGGTCTTGTCCCTGATGAATTTTTTCTGATATCCTTGGACTTGCACATGACTGCAATGTCCTTGCCTTCCCACTCGATGGTTGCGCCATACATCATCTTATACATTATTGCAGTGAGTGCCTGTTGGCAGATTAAAGTTAGTAATTACTCCTTTGAGATGTTTTGCCGAGAAAAATGGAGTCATAATGCGTGTCTCGGGAGTAAAAGCTCTTGACACAGGCTAGAAGAAAGTTCGCGCCCAGGTCATGGCCAAATGGGGTAATAAGAGACTCAAAATTGTACATACCCATCTCATGCTTGACCTGGGAAGTGGTTGGGGGGCTGCGGCAAAGTTTTTCTTCAGGTAATACCTGTTGGTAAAGATTATTTCTTCTGTTCATGCAAAGGGTCTTGTTAGCAAAGGTTCAGCCATACAGGCCTCCTGGACGTATCTTACCGAAAGAACAAAATTGGGAGGAAGCAGGGTATGGGAGTGGTTCAGACGCCTTATGTTCCTTGGTAGTGGAGGCAAAACCGGCAAAGAAGGGTGTTCCGTACGACTTCGTCACAGAGAAACGTTGGTCGAAACCCCAATTCTGCGGTCGAAGCTCACGGACGGCCTAGCCCTTTTGATCGATATGGTCTGCGATCCTCCACACTCGTACGATGCCGGCCTTCATGCTTTTCTTACACACTTCATGGGGGCGGCTGTGCTGATAGCTCAGACTATGGAAACCTGGCATTTCACGCACATAACGGAAAACGGTCTGGCCGCCTTCCTCCTTCGTTTTAGATGCGATAATCCCAAGGATCTCATCTTGTCACGGCACTAAGTAGCAACCCCATAGCTTTAAAGATCCAACCTTTATATATACTAGATCTTATTACCTAGCTGGCTTTATAGGTTTTCATTTACGTGTATTAATAAAGTTATTTTTATGGTTACTTGTCGCCGAATTGTAATAGTTGAATATATTATTTCGTTTTTAACTTAATTAATATTAGTTCAAAAACTTTTTAATTTCGCTTTAATTTCGTTTTACTTTCGATTCCGTCCCGATATTACTCTTTTAAACGCTTTGGCTCGGGTATCTTACTTTACTGGCTTTTTATAGCTAGTTTTCGGTTTTTTATTATTATCTTAATATCGTTACTATCTTATTATATTTAGGTATTAAATTAACTTTAAAAGCATTTGGGTTTTAAGTTATAGCGACGCATTTTTAATGCCGTTTATTTACATTTCGTTCTTTTTTACTGCTAGCCCGACCTTTTTGCTATTATTAAACGTTATATTGAATAAGTTAAAAATTTTACTTAAATATTAAGCCTAAAAGTAACAAAATTATCATAATTTTATTTAGCTTAAAATTTAAACTTTTGAGTATCAAAATCTTCGATAGTTATTACAGGATTTTTAAACTTCGCATTTAACTAGACTGAATTATTACAGCTTAAAATTTTCCGAAATAATACCAAGCCCTTTTCTTTAAAAAACTTATAATAACTTTATTATAACCGTCACGGCGAGCGTACTGAGGAGCTGAGACATGGCCGGCAGCAAGCAGCTATCACTCTATTGACGAGAATTTCAAGACTAGAGAGGAAAGGAAGAGAGAGAGAGAGGTAGGTACAGTGGGAGGTTGCCCCTTTAAGGGGATCCTCTGGTCAGATCCTTCCCCTATTGGGAAGTATCTGCTTGTCATGTGGGAAGGTCTGTGCAGGCCGTCACAATAACTTAACTTGCTTAAAATTATGCGGATGTTTATAAGCTTTAGTATTGAATTTAATTTTTTAAGCCGAAACAAGCTTGTTTATACTATAATTTATTAACTTTTCATAAGCTTTAAATTAAAATCTTTTAATTTATGTCATGGTCTGGTACAGGTAGCCTATGTGGTGAGCCCTGAAGCCCGGACATAAGTATATGCACCACCATTGAATTTCAAGCCGCCACGCTTGATATTCGACATCCTTTTGAGAGGAACAGCCGTGGCATGGTAGTTATAGTGAGCGTTCCGTCACAATTTAAGTTAATTCACTTTATAAATAGGTTTATAACATTATCGCTTCAATTTCGATTATTATAATAGAGGTGATAAATTGGCGGCTTACTAAAAGTAAGACTTTAAGTTGTTAATTTTTATCGGCAACAAAAAGAGTATTAGTTTTAAATAAAAGAAACATATTAATTAACATACTTATTACTTTACTAAAATAATATTTATTAAAGCTCTTTTTTATGCCTTTATCAACTGCAATTTTTTTACACTTCTTTAAAATAGGTTTTATTCACGTTTAAAATAACGTTAATTAAATAGCAAAAAAACTTACTTCAAACACTATTAAAATCACGCTCTACAAAAAGAGAATTAAATATTTTATTGTTGGAACAGGCTTGAACGATCATCATAATACTCGAGTATTGGGTCAAGGTCATGATGTTGCTGATGGTTGGATTGGGAGGTCTAGCTGGACTCGCAGGTCTGGCTAAGTGACCTCACAATCCGGTATCTAATCTCTTATCTAATCATACATGTGGGTTTGGTATAGATGGTTTGAATGTGGAATCGCATAGATCCAACATTATAAAATAAAAAGATTTTAACGACTTAATCGTATATTTAACACTATTTATATTACTATAAACGTGATAATTTAAAGCTTATAAGATTTTAAAAGTTTCAAGACCGTTTATTTTATATTTTTCAATATTATGTTCTATTTTTAACAATACAATAACGCTTTTAAAGCTGTCACGGGGCAAGCAGAAGGTTTGGACGAAGATGCCCAGCAATGACCTCTGTTGAACAAAAATACTTTGGTGAGGAGGGGAAGAAAGATCTGCAGCACCAGTGTCAGATTTGAGCCAATCGTGAGGTTGAAGTGTGTGTGTGTATTCTGTGTGTCTGGAGTGTCCTTGTGCGACCGTGGCAGTTTTGTGCCAGAGGGGGCTGGATCGGGACGGAACAACTAGGTTCCGGTGTCTACCTATCAAGGTGCCCTCTGTGCTCACCTTTAATCCAACAATCAGCTCAATCTGGTGGTGGGATTGATCCCAAATCCCAACCCACAATTATCTAGCTATCTGTGCGGCGGCAACGTGTCTGCCCTACCAACCACCTGATGGATAGTTGATCCATCACAAAAGCTATGAATAAAAAATAAATAAATACTTTTATTAAAAATGTATATAAAAAGATATAACACGCTTTTTTATTAATTATAACTTATTTTAAGCGTGTTATTCTTACTAACTCGGTTTACTTATATTATAAACTTATTAATAACTTTATAAGAAAATCTCTTATTTTAAACGTTTAAAAAGTAATAAAAAGCTCGTTTTTACTTTATAAAACAACTAAAACAGCTTCATTTACGACGTTTAATAACATGAACTTATAAACTTTAATAAACTTAATATCTTTGAAATCATTATTACTGTAAATAAAAAAGCCCGTCGTTATTATTATAGTAATTTAAGTTATTATATTATGAGTTATTATGTTAAAATAGCGTTTGAAAAGCATTAAAAAGTTAAAGCCGATATATAGGGAAAAAGCTAAAAAGGCTTGTTTTTGAAAAATAATCGCTTTCAAAAGCATTTATTTAAACGTTAGTTTCAGATATTGGATCACAGATATGGTGCCCTTAGATGCAGTACCCACTAGGGGGCTGTCAAGGGAACAGTGGATTCACCATGGCATGGTGTAGTATGGTATTTAGCTGTAGATTAGCCCTGCCGAGCATACTTGAGAATGACAACAACATTTGCAGCGACCGCTCACACCTCCAAGGCTTGTGACCCTTCTAGAATCTCACATTTACCTATATTAATAAAGTTATTTTCATAGTCACTTGCAGCCGAACTGTAATATATCTAGAAAGGCTTCGTATAGCCTATTGGTAACCTCGATATCGTGCTCGTACTGCTCGACAACCTTCTTGCCCTTCTCGCCATCCTTCTTAGTTACTTTACACTCTAGTACCGTAACTCCAAACTTTTCTGGTTTGTGCACCCCGTTATAGAATTTGTAATATGTGCCTGCATCATCCAGATAGACCGGAGATCCGATAGTGACTTCAGTGTCGTCAATTGTAACCTTGGAGACCGCAACGGAGGGTACTGGCGCGAGAGCAAGGGAGAAGAGGGCAATTTCAATCTATGAAATCATAGTGATCTGTTGCGTGTGTCGACTATATTGCAAAACAAAATGGAAGTGGGACTGGCGTTGATGAATGATGAATGGTAAATGCTGACCAGTAAGACTACTCGATAACACGACGCTAGAGGTAGGTCAACGCCCTATACGTATAAAAATCCAGCAAGACGACAAGTAGTCTTCCTCTCGGATGATGCCATCCACGCAGTGGCCTGGCAGTGGCGTATGGAAGCCTGCAAGGCCTTGCTCGTCCATCGCTTGACTCTTTTTCTCGAATTTGTGACCAAAGCCCAAGGATGAAAACTCGGTAGCCTGGTAACACGAAATAATCAGTGGCAAAGCCGGGGACCGTGGGAAATTTTGCAGCCTGGCAACACAAAATTCGGATTGTGGTAGTAGTGTTGCGCCCCACACGCTCTTTCAATATTGGATCTCGGTTGCCTGATTACCATCCTTCCTGTGACACCAGAAATACAGGGTCTCGTACTGTGATACCCAGGCCAGTGCAAACTTAACCCATTCTCTTCGCCTCCTCAGAGCGCGAAAATCCATCCTCTTCACCGTCAAGTGCATCTAGAAGCCGAAGGAAGGGCCTTCGTCACATCAAGGTCGGATCGCGCATGCGGGGATGCAGGGTACACTGACCCTCCAAAAGTCTCCAGGCATCCACCACGCTAGTTTCAAAATGCGTCTACGCACTCGCAACCCCCTTCCTTTTTCACCTTTTATTTACTCAATACCAAAACGATGGATTTACAAAAGGTTGGTACAATTCTGACCGCAAATTACGGGCCAAATCAGGAATTTACTTTCAAAGCTCGTGCAGCTATTGTGGCTGCCACGGCGGCAGGCACAAGGCGCGACGATGTCGCGAGCGCGTTCCATCTGGATCGGCCTCAAACCGTGACCGACATTATCAACATTGCTAGAGAGCATAACACCACGGTCTCTCGACCTCAAGAGGGAGCCACAAGGACTCTAAACAAGCGCGTAAAAGCTCAGCTAATTAAAATGGCACAAAAGTACCCCAAGGCCACCTACAGAGAGCTCAAGGAGAGCAGGGTCCTCAGCTCCTATACCACTATCAAGTGCGTTCTTCGCGCTCACGGGCTTCGCAAGTGGAAGGCGGCGAAACGAATCGAGCTTACGGAAGATGACGCACAAGAGAGGCTCGCTTTTTGCAATAAATACGACTCACCAGTGGCTCTGGAGGAGCTGATGCAAACGCTCTTCTCAGACGAAGTCACGGTCCAGAATTCATCTGATAATCCGGGCGATTGGGTCATCCGCCTCTCTTCTAAACGTTACATGCAGGATCTCGTGAACCCTCAGAGCCATGGGAGACCCCGTATCTCCATTATGTGTTGGGTCTTGATCTGGTTATGTGGCAGAGAAGGTGGCCTTGGCAAAATCATCTTCTGCGAGCCCAATAAGGATGCTCCTCGCAGAGGAGTATCTTCAGCTTCATATCAAGACGTCCTTGAGGAAGGGCTCCTTCCGTTCTATGAGGCTGGGGATCCTTTTATGCAAGATAACGCTCGCATCCATTGATTTGGAGGCACTCCAGAGTGACTAGAGGAGCACGGCATCTGGACGATCGACTGGCCTGCTCACAGCCCTGATTTGAACCCGATCGAGCATATTTGGGCACTTCTAAAGAAGCAGATACAGAGAATTGAGCCTGGTTTCACTGATTTGAAGGCTAATATTGCCCACAAGGCATATACCAGACAGTTAATCGAAAGGGCGTGGTCAGAGATCGATCCTGAGGATGTACGCGTTCTCGTCAAATCTCTCGGCAACCGAATCGCCGCAGTGAAAAGGGCAGGTGGTTGGTACACACACTATTGAATGGCTTATACAATGCAGTTTTTTTTATATTATTACAGTGAGAGATGGGTGTGTGGTGAATGCTGAAAGCTGGAGGGTGTGTGGTGAATGCTGAAAGTTGGAGGGTGTAGGCGTGTAGGGCTGCTCGAAAAGTGGGCTCGGAGACTTCTGGTCGGGGAGTGTAACATAGTAGATTACCGAGGATGCCTGTCACAGCGGCGAAGAAGGAGTGGACTAGAATCCTGTGGGTGGTTAGCACAACAGATTGCTTGAGCGCGACGCATGCCCTTTTCCCTTTTCCAACCAGGTTGCAGGCAATACTCGTCTGGGTCTAATGTTATCACACCCAGTCGAGTAAGCCACTCCCGGGCACCCGAACAGGGCAAGGGGGATTTCGCCTGAAGCGAGCAGTACCCAAGGCATTGAATGATGGCCAGTCCGATGCGCGAGTCGAAGAGGTCAATGTCGTTGCCGCTGTATTCTTCTCCATTATATCACAGCGCCCCGACGGGAGACTACTCGTACTGGATATGGGCGGACAGGAGACCAGGTCTCGAGCGCCCCAGATAAGGGGAAGCATGTGACGCGTTAGGAGCTCGAAGGACGATTATTGGCCAATGAATGTAGGTAATATCACGCTTTTGGATCCTGGCATTGTCCAATGCTTGCGACGTACCCGACCCCCAAACACAAGTCTTATGAAGCCCCAATGCCACCTCCCCCGACAGAGACCTCAGAACTTCTTATAACCCACACCCTTGACAAAAGTCTGCTGCCAAGGCCCCTGCGCAGTCCCCTCAGCGAGCTCAGTGTAGAACTCTCCATGTGCCGGTCCGTCAATAGCCATAAACGCAGGCGAGCCATCCGCGTTCCTCTCATCGGCATAGTAGAACCTGCCACGAATAGTCAATCACCAACCCCAAAAAACAACAACCCCCCAACCACCCAACACCGGACACCGAGGATAACCGCAACACTTACTTGAACCCATCCTCCCTATAAGCAATAGCGGCACACTGGATAACATGCGCACTAGCAGACTTGCCCACGCCCAGATCCATCAATCCGACGAACGGCACCTCGTTGCAGCAGTTGCCGGTATAGATGAAAGTCCGCGACGCGGATTTCGGAAGCGCCTTGAACGCGCGTGCCGCCTGCTGCGCCGCGGCGAACAGACTGGTCGTGTTGACGGCGAGGTCGCGGGTGAAGTCGTGCAACGCGACGCCCAGCGGGTCTTTCTCGTCGTGGGGTTTTACGCTTGCCGCTGTTCCAGCCACGATGTTAATCAACGGACAACCCTCTTATCGACCCTTGTACCCAGCGTGAAGATAGGTAGATGTATTAGGTAGATAAATAGAGAGCAACCGTACCATTATAAACAACAACATGCGGCGCCCCAATCTCCGACCCGACCTTGTCGAAGAGCGCGGCAAGGGACTCGGGGTCCGTGAAGTCAGCCCGGATCTGCAGCTGGTCGGGCGTACTGTCCTCTTCCCTCAGGCTCCTGGCCGCGATTGCGACTCTGTAGCCCTTCGATGCAAAGGCGCGGCTGACGTGCTGCCCGACGTTGGCGCCCGCGCCGAGGATGAGTGCGACTGGAGCTCCGGAAGGCATGTTGTTGGATGGGGGTGTGATATGATAGGGGGCGGAGATATCGGCGTTAGGTGTGTGTTCAGGGGGAAGGGGGATGGGGACTTGATGTGGTTTGCTTCGCAGTAGGCTTTCCCAACACACGTCGAGGAATAGATATATATATGCCTCCCCGAGAGCATCGGTCCCCCGCCCGTCCCCGCCTTGGGTAGTAGCCAGGCATCAACGTGATGAGCCATGACATGCAGATACTCCGTAGATTGAGGGTATGTGTAAGCTGATTGCCTAGATCCACACGGAAGGCTTCCACCGCTCCGCGCAGATGTGTAAGCAACCCACGGACGCCGGCCGGCCGGCCGATCCCAGAACTGCCATCATGGCTTTCCTGAGTCATCAGCGGCAAGATCTCTCTGTTCGTTTATTGGTGAGTTCCCAATCCTGGCCGAGACGACACCTACAGTAAGCGCGATAGAGTATAGTATATAGTAGAGGCTGATGCTGGTGTAGTTGTAAACTTGTAGAGACTGTCTTCATCGATTTTGTAGACAAAGACCCGCCTAGCAGCCGCGATATCAACGGAGCGCATGCCTCCCCAACTGCCTAGACACCACATTGAGGATCGACACTTAAGTCGGTACCTATGCACGTACATACCGTATCTACATCTAAAGGACGGATCAACGTAGAGGGGACCTCAGACTTACGGCATGGCCGGGGTGCCGCATGTGGTGAAGCGACTCGATTGGCTATTCGTGGCGCCGTGTACCGGCGTCTGCTGCCAATTCCCAGCACACGCATATTCACCGGGCACGATGAGATCGTCGTGGTACGGTCCTTAACGCTCCCTGCCACAAGCAATATGCTCTCAGTATTGCGACAGCTACCTACTCATCTATTTGATCTACTTAGCTGCATACCAGCAACTCCCTCAGTATCAAATCAACCCAATCCTCCCACTCAACTCGCTTGGACATTGTTCGCATAGCCCATGCCCCAGTTGAGCCAGTCGGTAAAGAACACGCCCTGCATCTTGATCACCCCCTTCTGGCAGTCCGAGAACGTCTGGGCGTAGACGTCGTTGATGCTGTTGGCATTCGCGTGGTCCGCCACATACAAGCTCGACGCAACCAGCAAACTCGCCGTAGACGCGGCCTTTGCAAAAGCATGAGACGGGCCCTTTGATGCCTCCTGGTGGGTTTCCTTCAGCAATCGCAGCTGTTCTTCCGTGTCGATCTTCATGTCCTTGCTCCGTGCCTTCTTGGAGGCCTTTGAGAAATCGCCTATAATTGTAATCGCCTTGCTGGCGAGAGCCTTGACTGTGGTGGTTCGTACAAGTTCCAGAAGTGGTAGTAGGATGTTGAAGGCCAAAGGGTTCGAAGCTTCTTTCTTGACGTAAATGCTCAGCAGGTCAAGAACTCTATGCTTGAAGACGACGATTGACTCCTTGGCATCCTTCTTGTCCTTCTTCTGATTCGTGCTCTTGGCCCTCTGCTTGAAGACTTCGACAAGTTTACTGTCTAGCTCCATCATATCCGAGTCCGACATGTCTGAATCATCATCAGATGACTCGGCGTCTTCGTCTTTGTCGAGACGATGGCTCCCGAGCACTTTACCCAGAGCATCTTCGAGGTTTGCAAGTTCCTGAGCTTCCGCCTCATACTGCTCGTTCTTGTCCTCGTCCTCATCCTCGTCATCATTGTCGTCGTCATCCCCTTCGGTCTCGCCGTCTGCCTCATTCAGTGTGACGAATTCAACGTCGGAGCCGATCTCGGATATCTCATCCTCGTCGTCGTCTTCTTCTCCACTGGAAGCTGACCCTTCATCATCGTCCATCTCTACATCCTCCTCGTCGAGGTTTTCAAATAGAGCTTGGAAGCCCTTGGAGTTCTCCTCTGCTACGAGAGGTTCGGTGAGGAGTACGAGAGCCTCAGACGAAACCTGCGGTGTGAATGCCTCGAAAACTTGCTCACTAATCTGCCGCATCATAGGAGACTGACGGGAGACCAGAGCAAGTAGTATTTCTACTAACAGCTCCGACAGACCATCTTCCTTGCTTTTCATCTTCTCAGAACATCCCCGTAGATCTTGCAGGATGCTAATTGCATCTGGGGCACCGTCGTACAGCTGCAGAAGGGTGGTTGCATACAACAGAGCGATGCTGAGGGACGCCTCTGCCTGCGAAGCCTCCGATTTCTTGCGGGGCTTGAGTAACTTCTTCATGGCCTTCAAAGCAGCTATTTGCTCATCCACAAGCTCGCCACTCATGGACACAGCGGAAGGTTCGACCGAGATGACAGCACTGCAGAGGTACTCTGTGTTTTCTCGCTGTTTGGTGACCTTTGCAAATGCCGACGCGAGCCGTCTACGGAACACTTCGCGCGTCTTGTCCGATAGTTCTGGAGTGGATTCCCTTTGAATGGAGTACGCACACGCCGCCAGCTCCTTGACCCCGACCTCCAAGGCGCTTTTACTATCAGCGTTATCGGTGTCGTTGGGGGATTCCTTTGCCTGTGTGGCCAATTTGAAGACATAATCAGCGTAAGCTTGTCTAAACTTCTCAACATCGCCGGAAGCCCTGCACGTTCTAGGTCAGTAACATTGCATCAAGTAGGAAAGGGGAGCACTCACTCATCCATGGCAGTGACCGGGCCACGAAGTAGCTTGAGGACCTTCTTCGAATTAGTCGGAGTGGCCCATTGAAGCAGGTTCTCGATGGTCTTGGTATTGGTCCGCTGATCGAAGTCGTATGTGCCAGATTTGCCGATAAGCTCCTTGATGACAGGTATCAAGAGCTCTGGGAAAGCCTCCACGACCTTCTCCATTGATTGCAGGCTCTTCAAGGCTGCCCGGTGAAGATACCTGTCCTCGATGGCAGCTTGGTTCATGAGACATTTCATGAAATTCCGGGCGAAAAGTTCCCTGACCAACTTCTCATTCGGTGCGAGTCCGTGAAGGAACTTTTGGAATATCATGAAGCCACGAAATTTCTGACCATCAGAAGCGGTCTTAGAGAAGAGTCCATCTGTAACGCATTAGACTTGGAGTGACATGTGTTGGATGCTGATAGGCACTCACCATCAATGACAGCAGTCCAGAAGAGTTTGAACTGGTCTTTGGCTTGCTTCTTCTGTGCCAAGAAGGTCTCAAGAATGATGTCCCACACAAAGTGCACTTGTGCTGTCCAATTACTCTGCTTCTGCTTCATTTTTGCCGACGCCTGGTCTTCTCCGGTGTCTTGAGCGACATTCTCTTTCAGCACTCGAGCGATTTCGGGCAGGACGCCAGGGCTCAACGGATCTTCCCAGGGCGTCGTGGGCGCTTTCATGCCAGTATAGCAACTCCGAGCCCGCAGCCAAATGCCGACACCTTCGGCTGTCTTGCCGAGTCCAATATCGGCCAGCTTCTCCAGAGTCTCCTCGGCCCCAGCCTGTCCCATCTGCGGCACAGATTCCAATATAACCCAACCGCAGTGCGACCGCATCCAGACCTTCTTGTTGGCCATCTGCAGGAGTAGGTCCAGAACTTTCGGCCATCTTGTCTCGTCGCCAAACAGGATCTCCGATCCGACGAAACATTGCAGGCCAAATAGCCGCCCGAAATAGAAGTCCCTCTCTTCTTGGCCAGGAAGGTTGCCGCCAGCACTGGTATTCTCGATCAAGATGCCCAGCACCTTGTCGAAGGTCAGGGCGGGAAATTTGGACTCGTTGAGGTTGTTCGATCCAAATAGCTGCCTCAATATTTCCGTCAGCACCATGCTGAACCCAAGGCGGGAAGCATTGCGTGAGCTGGCAAGTCCACGGAACAATCGCTTGTCCAGATGCCTCTCAAGAACGGTTTCTGACCCAGCGAGCAGGGCAGTTATAAGGGCGTCGGCGGCGGCGATCCGCTCGTCACCGTCGGCGCTCCCAAGCAGGTCGTATATCCTGGCCTCGCGCTTTCGGTTCTCGGTATTGGATTCCTCGGCGAAGGGGGTCTTTTCGAGGTCGAGAGGGGTTGCATCACCGCCATTGGTAGTCGGATTCTCTGTCTTGCGGCGTTTCTGGTTTGGCTGGGCGCCATTGGAGGCAGGCTTGGTGGCGCCACGCTTTCGCTTTCCACCCATTGCGAAGGTTAATGTCGGTTTTCGTAGATCAAGCCTGGGGTGTTATACCATGTACGAAGGGATCAGTCTATGTGCATCAAACGCAAGATTATGAGGAGTTTATGGCTGAATTGAGGGTATCTGGCATCGAGTCGCAGTAGCGATTGAATTGTAGAGGGGCCCGCGACAAAGTCTCTGGAGCTTTTTTTTGCGACCAGGATGATTGTGCAATCTGTCACCACTCAAGCTCTCATTGGAATAGGTAGGCGGTCAGAATAGAGCTCCACCAATGCTGCTCCTTGCCCCACCTTACCTACAGCGAGTCGACATTACTGTGTGCCGGGACAAATGTGAAAGCACTGCACTGAAAGGGGAACACTGGACTACACCGGCTGCGAATAATAATGGCTAAGATATGGCATGTATTCTACACGAGCACCGGTAAGTCGAATCTGCGAGGTTACGAATTGGACATCTCGTAGCCATATTGGCTACATGGTCTCGGGCATCTGAGTGACATGCCAGCCGTTCTACCTAGGTACGATGAACGTCCCGCCGAAGCCATCGAAAGTGCGCTTCATCGTTCCAGCATCGTATCATAACAGCCCGTTGGGCTACAACCAAGTTGATATCTCGGTCAACCAAGCAGATTCGCATGCTTCTTTCAGTCGATTGATGATTTCTCCTCCGCATCCACGATCAGGTTATGCCGAAGCTGCGCAACACCGTCCGGGGTAAGCAGGCCCAGTTCCAAGACACAGGCCTCGACCGAACCGTACTTCTCTCGAATTGCCTTCAGAAAGCCAAGCATCGACTCCCGCCTAGTTTTGGTCAGCTTTGCGGTTCTTGTCACCAAGTCTCATGACTGCAGACATCGAGAGGAACAGCTTACCGAGCACCAACCATGGCCCTTGCGCCGTCAGGATTGTCGCGGAACCCGGGCAAATTCAGGAGGTTGACAAGGATCTCGGCCTGTATCGACTTCAGCCCTAGATTCGTGAGGCCGTACTCGTGCGCGACTATCTCGTCGTCCACGCCGCATAGCGACAGGATGAAGGCGCATATGATACCCGTCCTGTCCTTGCCTGCCGAACAGTGAATGAGCAGCGGGGTCGGGTCAGGGCCGGAGGTGAGATGGGCCAGGATGGTTGCGAAGGGGCGTGCTGTATTATCCGCAGACGTTCCAGCCTCGAGGATGCCCATGTATGCTCGCACGAAGCCCTGAATGTGGTCTGTTAGCACTGGGACAAGTACATGTATCGGATGGCTGCAGTGAGGTACCTCTTCACCATCTCCGAAGTTGGCGTCTCGCAGGGCCTGCGTTTCCGCCGTGTAGTCCTGATCGCGAAAGACAGGAACGGAAACCCTTTCGGCACCGGGCCATTCCTTGGCTGGATGGGGATTTCCACGTTCGCGAGACATATCCAAATCCAGTGCCGAGCGCAGGTCGTACACGTGTGTGATCCCGAGCGCTTGGAGCATTGCGATGGCCTCTTCGGCGACCTTGGACGGCTCGGCTGAGCGGAATATCAGACCCTGTCGCACTACCTTGCCGGGCTGCGAGGCCACGGGGTAGCCACCGGCATCACGGAAGTTGTCGAGCTTCGGTATGTCGATGAATGGGGGGCTTGGGAGTGTGTCGTCCATGCTCCTGATTCGGGCACGAAGGGCTGGCGTACAGATAACAAGGGATCGACTACTTAGTATGTAAGCATGTGTTTGGGCAGGTAGTCGGGGTAGTGTATGATGAGAATGAGGCTGAGTAGAACCAACAGATAAGCAGGAACTTGTTTCTCTTGGCGTTTCAATCACGCAGTGAATAAACAAGCAACTCGAAAGATGGCGATCGCACTCGACTTAAGTATTTGCCTTTCAGTCGTGGATGTCGCAGTTGGCTCAGAGCATAGCACTGCGAATTGTGTTGTGTCATTGTCTTGTGCGCCGGATTGGGGAGCTCTTCGACCTACCAACAGCCAGCGACCAACGAGCGGAGAATTCCAAGCAGGTTGGACAGTCACTCAGTCAGAGGTCAAACGCGACAGTCACACAACGGTGTTGGTGTTGACTAGACACCAACATCAGAGTCGGCATTGTCAGCTGCCTACGTACACACAGCAGCATCCTCTCAATAACGACTTGAGGAAGATAAGATGGACTTGACAATCACAACCGGGTTGGACTCTGACCCCAAGCTGCATTCCCCGTGCGAACTCGGCAGAATTCCGGTCACCAAAATAGAGATGCAAATGCATACGACTGAATTCGACTCAAAATATGCACATTTGAAGATGAAGCAGCCGCTCAACACTGCATCCGCATCACCACCAATCCCGCACCCAGGACTCGTCTCGCTCCACTTGGTCTCATAATTGAGGCCACACGGCCAGAAGTGGCCGCGACCACTGGTGATCGCCGCGTCGGCGCCGTCAAACGACCGCAGCAGCGGCATCGCCCTCGCCCAGTCGCTGCCCGCAGCCAGCGCGTCGAACGCCGCCGTGGTGCCCCGCCGAGTGTGCGCGATCTCGTGCATCGCCGTGCGCTGCGTCATGTACGCCCTCCGACCCGAACAGAACGGCGGGTCGCCGTTGTAGCCCGCCTCGGTTGCCGGCAACCCCGCGGCGCGTAGAGCACGCGGGTCGTCTTGGGGGCGTCCGAGAAGCTGGCGTAATGCGCCACGGCGAGCATCATCGCCGTCTCGGTCTTGATATGCGCGTCCGACTGGTCTGACGTCGGGTTGGTAGCCGTCTCGAGCGACCACAAGTTTGATAGGACGCGAACTGATGTCGAGTGGCGGATCGCTACCATTACATAGGGCGCCACACATTGTTGAGACTTAAGATGGCGAGACATGGACGACCTTGGGCGCATGGTATGTAGGTTCGGCGTCCAATTGGCGGCGGTGTCAAGGTCTTGGCTTGCTGCAACACAACTGAAACCCTGCGAGTCCCACGATAAACGACCACGATTGTCCCCTGCATGTGTCAGTCCGGGACCATATCCAGCCATGGTGCATCATGAAACGAAACATCAGCCAAATCAACCTTGAGAGCCACCGTCCTCGGGCTCAGAATCTTCAATCCCCCCCGCTAACCGACAGGCATTTCCAACAGTATCGTCTCAAGTGCCCCAGCATCAAACACCAAGATGAGATGGAAGTGCAGGCTCGCAGAAACCTAGTCCGCCACAAGACCTATATGCCAAGCTCGCCCCCAAGATCTACCGCAAGCAAAACGTTGTTGAGCTCTTCATACTTGTGACTCATAGTCGTGATTTATATTTTGAAACTGTACGATGGAGCCCAACAAAGCCAAAACCTACGAGCCGGTCCCAACAATGGAAGACCGAGAAGAACTCTTGTCCAGCACAGAAGTAGACGACTCGCTCATGGGCGACGAAGAGAAGCAGCAATGGCGCACATCACCACAAGAGTCGAGGCGGAAGAGAGACACGCTCAGATCGAACCGGTGGCTCATCAGCGCCGTTCTCCAATGCGTCATCGTCGCGCTGTTGGTGCTTATACTGGTCCGGCAGGATTACAGCCGAAAAAAGCCGTCAGAAACACCACAGGTGGGAAGCGTGGTGAACGGGAATGGCCCGGCGCGTGAGTTACTAGCTCAACAATGACCTACCTATCCAGTAGCTTTGATGACTGACGAAAGCGTCAATAGTTGACACCACGATCCGAAAGTGGGATGCGGATGCCAGATTTGTTCCTACCAACGCCTCCGAGTTCTTTGGTTACGCGGTCCTCGAACAATGGAAGACGCTATTCCCAGGTATGTTCCCTCACCTAGGCCCCTGACGCGTCTGAATTCCATTTTTTGATGATTCATCCTCGCGGATAGCCGGTACAGGCTGGGGCACCGACGTCGAGACGTTCTCGACGACCACCATGACCCACCAACTGCACTGCCTCTTCATGATGGCGCGTATATACGCCGGATTCAGGCAAGGCACTCCCGAGATCCTGCCCAAGGACCACGAATCCCATTACCTGCACTGCGTCGACTATCTGAGGCAGGGAATCATGTGTTCAGGAGATCTGGCGACCGAGCCGCACAAGCCTAACGACTCGGATGACAATGGTCCTCTAGACGGAAGCTGGGGCGGCCTACACGTGTGTAAAGACTATCGTCAGGTCACGACGTTCTTGGGAAAGGAGATCAAAGATGGGGCCAGGGTCGTACTTCCAATCGATGACTAAATACTTCTGTAGATTGTAGATCAATTCAGAACAAGGTGTACTGTCTTGCGATCAACGCACAGGCATCTATGACAGGCACATTTGCCTCAGAAAGGCACCCCAATCGCGCCATCTAGCACAGGAGATCTGTTATGAACCCTCTCCTAGCCTTCCCCCTATCCCAAAAGCTGTAGCTAAGCTCGGGGGCTATCGAACTCCCTCAGCTCCTTCTCAAACGCGTCGTAGTCGGCAGTTTCCTCGGCGGCCTCGAAATCGAACATCAAGCAATCCCCACGCCTGGTGAAGAACTGGTCCTTGTGCACATCGCCCGAGAGAAACCCCACCCCATGCAAGGCCCACAGAGTATTCTTGCAATTGTCCTGGTCGTCCTTGGTCGCCTTCCGGCCGTCGAGAAGCTCCAGGAGGAAACCAATGACGCTCTTATCCTGTGTCGTGATTGCCCTGAACCTGAACTCAGGGCCTATGCCCCTTCCCCTCGATGGCCTTGTAGGCGTTGCCTTCGTTCTCGAGGCAGTCCTCGTCCTTTGGTACCTTGGCCAGGACCGTGCCGAAATAATGGGCGTTGGTTTTCCACGCCCCGTTCGTCTTGCCTGCCTCGTACTTTTGGATCTCCTGGTAATACTCCTGTATGCCTGCCTCGACTTTGGGTTTCTGGCGCCATTCGATTTCGTTCCGACTGAAAGAGTATCGGGGACCCATAGGGCCGCAGCAGTCGTGCCATATGGTAGCGACCGGCCCTGGGGTAGCTGGGTTAGCAATATGTGCTCCTGGCTCGCATAAATCGCACGCCGCGACGCCGTGGCTTCTTACAGTGACAAGACCGCTTTGAGGGGCGCAGATAAGGCTCAGGAGGCCTAATACGCTGATGAAGACGGTGGCGTGAAGATACATCCTCGGAAATCGGCTGTGAGACGGCGTTACGGGGAGTATCAAGCTGGACTCGACAAGGCTATAGATACAACGTCACTTTCACGCGGAAATTCAAGCTCTAGATTCAACTCACTCACCCCATCGCTAAAGGGCATAATGGCAATGCTTTCATATCGCCGGGCACAAGTAACAGCTGGATACGGCCATATGAAGAAGAGCTACGGTAAAAAATACTCTGTGGACCGGCGTGATCTTCGGTGGCCTGGCGTGACCCTTCGCGGACCGGCGTGACCGGGCCGTCCCGAAGTTATAAGAATAAACGGATTGAGGATGTTAGTGTAGAAGGATTTCTGTCGAAGTACGAACAACATGACGGGTTAGTTAGTCGTGTTCCATCCGCCGGGACCAAATAAGCCGATGCCCGTCTGCCCTAAAGACTCCATTCTTGTGCAACATAATAGGACTTTAAATACAGATCGCATTTTTAGGTGGTGATATTAATAGCTACGAAAATCAAACCAAGGAAGCCCCTCTTGATATTTAGCGGGTGTATATGGTCTTGTCAGGTCATGACTCACTTAGGTGCAAAAGTCACATGTCGAGCTGTGAGTCCCAGTGCAGAACTACTCTATTGATAAATGTAGACTTTCTTAATACAGAACATAGAGAACACTATGACGACACTGAGCATGTCGTCGAGCAGTGGTTTTGTGTTCGGAAAATCGAACCACTTAGGTACGCGGTGCCGCAGGTGGGAGTGGCAGGGTTGTGGCAGCCAACACCCTGGTGCGGATGAGGTCGACCCGGGTCCGGAGTGCCGAGGTCAGAGCGCGACTGGCGGAGATGGCCTTCAGCTCCCTGGCCGCGTTGAAGTTGCCGGTGAGGTAAGCGTTGCGATGACCTCTATACATCTGGGTCCGGTGCTCGACCCGCCTCTCGACCTCGTCCTCCACGAGCTGGCGGAACGCGGCGACGGTCTCGGCCTCGGTGATGGCGGGCACGGTGATCGCAGGGACGGCCGTGGTGGTAGGGCCGGCCGCTCTGAGAAGGGTGTTGAAAGCGGCCATCTGGTCTGCGTGCGCGACACCGGCCTTTCGCAAAGTGTTCAGCTCCACGTGCCATTGTGTTTCGATGCGCGCCTGTTCGGCGGTGTATTCGGCCGTTACTCCCGTTGCTCCTGCAGGCTCCAGCAAGCAAATCTTGGGTGAGGAACAAGTTGAAAAGATGCTCACCCAGGGTTGAGCCCTCCACACGGTCCTATCGGTGAAAAGCGAAGAGGCCTTGCTTCTCCACGTTGTGCGAGCCCATCGGGTACACCGAGACAAAAAGCGTGCTGATTCGCCGAGCGTGGTTTCAATGCGGGCGTCATCGCTATACTGAATCTTGATCTTCCACCCCTCTCGGACAATCCAGCGTGTCAAGAAGTTGTCGTCGTCGGGGTTCAGCGGACCGTACCGACCGAAGAGGAACATTTCGTTATGGAATTCGTGTATTAAAGCCGGATCGGTAAGGATGTTACTACGGTAAAGCGACGTCCGCCCGGAGATGACGAAGACCCCGCCGTCGATAGCGTTCGTGGCCCTGATCTCGAAGTTGTGGCGCTCGAGGTATGTTACTCCCAGCAAGTTCCAGAACGATTCTATACTGAAGCCGGTAGGCTGTCTTCGTACTCTCTTGTTGATCCCGACCGCGCCCACCCTCGCGTCTTCGAAAGGGGCGATGGCAGTGGGCAGGAATCGGTTCGTAGGCCAAAAGACATGGTCGTCAACCAACGCAACTACCTGGGTGACAAGCTTTCTGTCCCGGATGAGCTCTAAGGCGTGGCTGACCTGACTACGCTTACTTGCTATAGCAGTCTGGTCAACGATGATGGTCGTCCCAGGGTGTGCTGCCCTCAAGGGCGCTATGGTTGTCTCGGTGGCATCCACATTCGTCTGTCCTACAGTGATGATTATGAGGTTGCCGGGATTGTTCTCTAGAACTGTCCGACAGCACTCCAAGAAATCAGGCCCTTCCGGGTCGACTGTAGGAATGATGACCGTGACAGCAGTTGGGGTAACCGTCGGGGTCCTTGGGACGGGGCTCGGCTTGTAGAGAAGCCACCCAATGATATTGCCGAAGAAGCGAGTGTACCGAAACAAGAACAGCGATACGAAGAGCGTATTTGCGGCTAGGAACGCCTTCAAAGCGGTAATCGTGGAATCGTAAGACATTGCCGAGATGTGTGGTCTGGGCCGATAGTAAATTCTACCAAGATATCGAGCTAGATCGTACGTGCCTTTGGAATAGGTATTGCATCTGTTTCCTCAAGTCAAGGACGCCCGGATACCTCGACAATAATAATGGCTTTCGTCTATCGAGGTTGAAAGAGGCTCCATGTCTCTTTGTTGCGATGCCAGCCAGCATCTACACATCAGAAGAAAGCATACGTCCGGTTGCGTGTTGCTGCCATCCAGGGACAAAGGGGCGAAGCCGTTCGTGTGTACATTGAGATACCAGATTTGTCTTTGAACATTTGCATTGATTCTTTGTACCGAAGCAAGAAGAAGTACTCTTCTAGGGCTACACCACAGTTTAAAAGCATCTCATCCTCCAATGGTATGTTGAGGTTGGGTCGTTTTGATGGTAAATGAGGATCACTGTACAGATTGGGAGGCGAATAGATGTCACACCACGAAAAGAGACAACAGTCCCTCGAGTATACCGATGTAAAACAATTCTAGCGCCATTGGTGCATGTTAACCACATGTTATCTTGAGGGCAATTCGCATGCTTCGCTCGTGGACGCGACTCAGCAACCAGCCATACCAGCCACCTGTGTCTTTAGAAATGCAACCCGCGGCCAACCCGATTCTCTGAAGTATTACTTCGCTTCGATGTAGAGGGGAAAAAACGCGCTACCCCTATGTCGCCCGTCTAATCAGGGTCACAATTATGCAGGGTGGACAGCACAATAGCCCGAAACGAAGCTGTTTCCGCTGGGTGACTGTGGTGTCGCGAGCAGTTTGCCACAATTGAGTTGTAACTTATCCAGCATTATTATATTCAACTAATTATATTTGCCCCCCTAGTCATGTCCAACTGTGTTTTCACCTCCTCGTAAAGAAGCCTCTGAGATCAATTAAACATAGCTTGGTCCGTACCCGGTACCTTCACCTCTTTGAACATCCGCATGCTGAACATCGCCGTATGGGGATCCTGTCAGGAAGGTGCCCACCAGCGCAGGCAGCGGAGTTTCCTTCAATATAGTCTGAATACGCCCAGCGGCCTCGAGAAATCGGTCCTGAACCCCGTCGTATCCATTAATGACGAGCTTCTTGTCACGTTTCACAAAATTTCCATCCACTAGGACGTGTTCAATATCACCCACGCTCGCATGAAGGATCACCGCTGCAATGGGATCCGTCCAGCCCAAGAGTGCAGGGGAGCGGCCATCCCAGACTACAATGTCTGCTTTAGCATTCGGTGCAATGATTCCCAAGTCGTTTCTGCCGAGGGCTAGTCCTCCCTGTCTGGTTGCCAAGAGGAATGCCTGATTGACAGACATTGGGTTGCTATTGGGAATTTCCCAACGGTCGACGACAGTATCCTTGTACAGGCGTTCTCGGACTCGTTGAAGCCACATTCGCGCCTGCGTGAGGATGTCTGTGGAGAAGGTGAAATGTGTATCAATACCCAGGGAAGCCTGATCTAGGATAAGATGGCTGCTTGGATGCAAGTGGCCGTAATGCATCTCGGACTCCGCTGTAATAGAGACATGCTGGTTTTTACTGCGCAATAATTGAGCGCCCCTTGCGGTGAGGAAGGACGAATGGGAGATCACGATAGGTATGCTGGAATTCAGGATCCCAACACGGTTCAGCTCTTCCGGGGTGTTTCCAACTAGAGAGATCAGCTAGCACCGTGGAACATGTGTTGTATCCGCACTTACTGAGCCAAGGCCCTTCGACTTGGTGAGTCGTGAGAACGGCAACATCACTCTCTCTAACGCGTCGTTAGTCCATGATGTGATTCATCCAGGATGGTTGTTCTCTCTTACTTAGCAATATCCACGACTGCTTGAGTAAGGGATTGAGGGCTAGTCGCGAAACCATCGTAGGAGATGCACAATGTCGAGAGGTTCGATGACGCCGCCGCAGCCAACTCACGCCAATGCGCAATCTGTTGTGGGACCTGGAAGTCGGTGGAGGTGTTCTGGAATGTGTAGGCAAAGAAGATCCTGGCGCCGCTATCGACAGAGGCCTCCCAGCCTGCGGTAGCATGCTCTCGGGTCCTTGTGTGGTGGGCATGGTCGAGTATCGACGTTACCCCGGCAGCGAGTGCCTCATGGATGCCCGCGAGTTGGCTGATATAGATATCATCAGGGGTAAACATCGGGAGTGCCACGAACGCACTATATCGATATCCGTACTCACTTAGTGATGTATTGGATCCCATTGTCTTGAAGACCGTCTGCCATCCGTGGCGGTGCGTGTCAATGAAGCCTGGAGTGATGATCTTGTTGGTGCAGTCAACCAGCTCGGCGTCAACTGGGACGTCATCCGGCAGTGCAACATCAGAGATGGACGTGATATGGTCGTTTTCGATGAGCAGCGATCCATTACGTATGATTTTAAAAAGCCCGGATGCCTCATCGAACGCAACAATTATTAGAAATAAAACTATTTATAAATAAATAAAACCCTATGTGGGAACAGGCTTGAACGATCAATCATAATACTCGAGTATTGGGTCAAGGTCATGATGTTGCTGATGGGTTGGATTGGGAGGTCTAGCTGGACTCGCAGGTCTGGCTAAGTGACCTCACAATCCGGTATCTAATCTCTTATCTAATCATACATGTGGGTTTGGTATTGATGGTTTGAATGTGGAATCGCATGGACCCAACAGCAGGTATATATAAGGGTTAACCCGTAGGGCTATAAGGTTACCATTTAGTGCCGTAACGCAAAGCGGGTATAATTCCTAGTCTTATAAGTAGCATATGATTAAATATCAATAAGTGAATAACATACCGAAGTTGTTTCCACCGCCTCGCAAGGTCACCCAATGATCCGGGTTCTCTTTCTCGTTCGCATTAATGACATCGCCCGAGGCGATTGCAATCTCGAAGTTAACGACGTTGTCGCAAATTAATCCTTCTCGTGATGCATAGAAGGACAGGCCACCTGATTAACTATCGGTTACCCCTGAATTAACCAAAACAACGACAAGCGCCAGGATCCAAGATGATAACTTGCCTTGGGGGCCAGACCCCCTATACCGCCGATCGTCGACTTGCCCCCAGTAACACCCAGCCCGAGGGGCTCGAGATACTCGTAGACAGACCCCCAGCGCTTCCCTGCCGCGAACTGGATAGCACCGTCTTGGGGCTTGAGGCCCTTGAGATCTCGAAGATCAACGGTGATGCCATCCTGGCCATTGGCGCAACCAGGCAGTGGTTGTTGCCCGGCGGAGCGAATGGCAAACTTGACCTCATTGTCGAATGAATCGATCGTCTGAATGAAAACGGCCACCTCTTGGCTTGACTTGGGAAGGAAGATGCAAGCGGGGTTCAAGTCGCTCTCAAAGCCGGAGAGGTAGCTACCATTGAGGGTCTGGTATTCCTCTGTGGCCTCGGGAGTGACCAGACGAGCTTGCGGAAGAGCCCGTTTGAGGGCCGAGATGGCATCGAATACCTTGAGACTCATGGTTCGAGATGAAATTTCCAGCGACGGCAGGGAAAAGAGAAGAGCTGTGGCCGATCAGTTGGTCCAAAATTCACAGGGGTTTTACAGTTGAGCGACAAAAGTCCCATACGGTGATTGTCCCCAGTCACGGTGCCTTAGGTTTGGGGGTGATAAAGTGATGTCAGAATATGATCTAGCAGCACCTGTCATCTAACCAGGTGGAAGAGGAGGCTGTTGGTCAGAGCAGTCGCAGTGCGTTGCAGCCAAGGAATTTAGAAATGTGCGGGAGCTCGGCGAGCTCGTGTTTGTGTCCCAACAGCCTCACAGTCTCACTGCAGGTGAACCAACCCGCATAAGGTACCTGACGTAAATAAAGTTACATGAAGTATCTTGGAAGTATTTCGACTTCCCAGTCCCTCGTGCCACCCTAAATCTCCCTTGATGCACCGCAAGTAAGGGCATCAATCGCATCAGAAATTTGACATAGATTGATTGATTGATTGATTGATTGTATTTAACGTGGGGGGTAGCTCCTCAGTAGTGCAAACCACGCCTCCCAGAGCCTCTGTATCGCAGGGTTGTGGAGGTCTCAAGATAATAAGTACAGTTAGTCCCGCTCACGGGCCCATCCCCGTTGTTGCGGCGGTATGACCTTGGGGTCATCCATCTGGTCCTAGAAATTTGACATAGCCGACGGGGCCTCGCGCGTCTGACAACCCTTGTAGGTTGTATCATTTGCACAAACTACCTACTGCTATTTCAATCAAGAGGGTTCGATAAACTCTTCCGTGAATTGAGCCAGATTCGCGCAAGAAGCTGTTGCCCTAGAATGTTGAAACATGCTGCTCAATGAAGAGAGTCCAGTCCTCAACCTCAGCATCGTCCCTCATCACAGCACGATCATAGCCTAATTGATCTTCGGTTCTCTCGCGATTGCCCGGCAAGGTCTTTCGCTTGCTAGCGACTTCGTAGTCACACAAGTGGAGGGCTTCCGCTGGTATCATGAGCAGGCATGCCGTCCTCAAGCTTTCCGGAACTTCTTTTCCAAAAACATTTTTAGTATCTCGTCGACCATGTCATGAATGGTAGCTTACATTGTGCAGGTCGCAGGTGCTTTCATTGGGATGCGTTTCTCCGGCATTCGTTTTTCCCAGGGCTGTGCTGATAACTTACCACCCAGAGTTTGGAGAGATTCCGGATCTCGGGCGCGTTCCAGCCCGGGCGTATGGGTCAGCCTATTGTCATCTGTGGCGTCCATTTTTTCAGCTCGAAGAAGCGGCAGATTGGCTGAGCGGTCGAAAATGGCCGTCTCAGAGAGCGTTCTTCGTGAATTTGCGCATCTACCAAGTGGGAGGGCACCCTGGTGATCAATGAGGTTAGGTATGAGATTTCTGCGCGTGCCTCTGCGATGAACGAACATTGCGGAACTTACCTGTCACACACAAGCAGCGCCTGGTGAGCTGGCACCTGGGCCTGAAGTTGACGAGGTACAGAGGAGGCCGCATCCTAGGTGGAATCCAACTTGACGCATGTGATTGTGTGCGGTTCGTGGAGAAGATCTTCGTGAGGTTCCCGTGCGAGAATCGTCCTCATATAGGGCTATCTTAACTCATCGGAGAAAGACGAAGGTTTCGCTGGAGCCAGATTGGCGTTGAGGTTGCGGGAGAAGACGAACAGAGTTCAGCCATGAACCGCCAAAAAAGATTCGGCAATTTGCTCAAGGTTACGGCAGAGCCCGAATTGATTCTACATCATCGATACCATCTCAATCTGCTGGGTTGGGAACACGAAGTCACCCTGGCCCGGGTCCGACCACCCAAGGACCTCTAATACCCCAGCCTGGTGGCAACTGCGCCACACCATTTGCTCATACTCCAAGTACACCAACCAGACCAGTGTTGTTAAATATATCCCTCATCATGGTGTTCGAAATCATCTCCATGATTCAGGAGACTGTGCCTTCGCAAAAGGGCATTCAATTCCAAGTCCCTGCTACCAAAGGTATGTCCTCGTTACACCATATATTGTAGATGGCCTCATCCTTTTCAGATAGGCCGTCTTTAAAAGCCGAAACCCGATGTCCCGAAGCTGGAGATCGTTGCCCATACAGCAAGAAAATCTGGCAGTGAGTCCTCCAGTGCGTAGAGCTGGGTACCATGCATGTAGGTGCCCTTCGGCCGAGATCCGGTTTGCCAGGAGCGAGAAAGTACACCGCAATGCGAAGATATCATCTTACGACGTGATCTCGACGCTTGTTTAAAAGTGGGAAGTATTTCCTTCAATGAACAATTCACAGTCCTGGATTGCGGCCCCCTCCCTTTTCTGAGCTCGGTCATAGCTTGATCGGGTCTCAAAATGCTTATGGATCTTCAGAAAACACTCCCATTCGGTGGCGGATATGGGTTTGCCCTGGCCGACTGACACAGTACTTGTAATGCTGGTGACCTGTGTATCATCCTCAAGACTACCGAAAGACCTGTTTATCCACGTCAGTTAAGTTGCATGATATATCAAGGAGCCAGATCGTTGCTTACGATGCGCATGTTTCCGGCGCCTTGAAAGTAAGTACTTCTCGCACGGGACTCGTTGTTAATGCCTTGCTAACCTCTCCGATTGGCGAGCGGTGGTGGGGAGCAAATCCTGGCGGCGGTAGGAGGCGTCGTTGACCGTTGCTGTCGACACAGTGGAACCTGCCAAGTGGCTTGTAAGAGTCCACGCAGATGGCAGAGTCTGAGAAGCGCTTGTCGGAGACGGCTTCCTCTGCAGTTCGGCATCCCATCTGGGGCTTAGTGGCCGAAGCAAGGTCGACATTGCTCGCCACGGATTCCCACCAGTTTTTGTTTTCATAGCTTGGGTGCAGGCTACGTGATCATTAGCTCGGTTTACGAACAGTGGGTGAGTATTCATCGCGGTACGCACCTGAAGGTTTCGCTGCAGTTGGTGATTGTAACCGTAGTGTCCGCCATGGTGATCCGAGGTAGAGATGGCTCAGGACGCTGTTGACGGTAGCGCTCGATGTGTATGACGACCTTGCTGAGTGGCAGGGCAGCCAAGTCGTGGTAGTGCTTTGCGGAGCTACGAGGTGCGAAGCGGAATGTAGGCTTGAAGAAGCAGTTCAGGCCTCGATTCTCGGGGTTATTGAGGTGCTGAGCGGTTCTGGGAAACGAGAGGCAGGGCACGAAGACGTGATCCTTGCGGTGACGGTGTGTCTGTGTTGGCGTGGATCGGGTGGAGTGGTGGTGTTCAGGAACCAAGGTGGGTAGAGATTGGAAAAGTTTGCTCTCTGGGTATTAAAGTGGTTGGTAAATGGTATGGTTGATCTCGTGGAAAGTTAACCCCGTAGAGAATCGAGACGGGGGTTTAAATGGTGCGGAGCGGGTTCTGATATTGGTGAGTTCGGAGAAAGGGTTGTGGAAACCTTGAAGGGGGCTAGGAAAAATCAAGATTATTTCGCAAATACTCAGTTTCTGAAAATCAGGGCTTAGACCTAATAGTTTTTTCGCCATCTTTTATAGTTGAATGAGGTATCGTGGTGGTGGCTTTATCCGGCACGATAGAACGTTGCCTATAACCAGAGGGCATAGACATCTCCCAGCGAGGTCAACCGTAACCAAGAATGTAAATTGGGCTGCTTATCATCTAGCCGAACAAGATATGTACAGCACTGGAGAAAGCTGTCTGTCCTCATCTTACGCATCCATTCTACAACCGATTTAACGTCAATTCATAGTTGATGGCCGACGCAGAAGTGTGTTCCGTGCGGATAGCGTATACAAGCCAGACGTTTCACCATGCCAGCGTGCACATAATCAATGCTGGCAGGTCTGACTACAAGACTGAGCTCATTGGAGCCCTGGCTTTCATGCGAACCAGATAGGACGAAAGGGAAGCCAGTTGCATATTGCCTTATGATCTAAACTATGTCCTGCCCTTGACCCGAACCCCCGGGACCTGCAAAACCTTAACCTAATGAAGCCTGCGACACACAGTTCTCCCATATCACAGTACCCCTTTCCAATATAGCACACCATTATCATGTGCCTGCCGCCAAAGAAGAGTATAGCATTCCAACCGTAGTCCGCACTACACGAACGGTTTATGTGTCCTGCATCTCATGGCTCTAGCTGGTTGCAAGCATGGCTCGTCTCGGAACGCTGTGAGCTGTTGTGCGGGAGTCAGTAAAAGTACCTACCTCTCAAGGAAGGTTCAAGGGCGCTCCACCAGCCACATACCTGCCTATGCAATTACATGTGCTCGTGGTGAGCAACATTCCATGCCTCATAGCTGTAGCTTTAGGATTTGTTTCGTCGTCGTTCCCGGGTTGCTTGCAGTCCGAATCACGTGTATGCATATGTATCTAGTCATTTGCGGCAAGACAGGAAACGCCGCGTCCAGCGGAATGTCTCGAGAAAGGCTCTCACCGTCTTGGAATTGGGACGCGTGCTCTTTCACGAAGAGTAGCCAGTTCTCGATTCCTATCAATCCAGTCCCAGCTAGCGATCAATACTGAAAGCCACGAGTGTGGATCCAATGGCGTACATCAGCATTCAAGACTGAGTCCGTGCTTGCCAACAAGCTTCTTCTCGTGCATCTGTGAGAGACCGCCGTACATGTGTGAAAGGTGGTCGACAAGAGTACTGCGTCAGATAAGTTACGAAGGTCCCGGTAGGATGAGCTGATGTGCTCCAAGAGAACATTCCACTCCATCAGGCCACTGCTGACTGATCCGATATCGCTTTCCTTTCGTCTTGTCGCTGGTCTAGAATATCGGTTCCATCGAAAATCTTGTCGAGTGCTTGGCCGATCGCCTTGATTTCGTCGGCGGTCAGAGCAAAGGTCTGGTTGGTACTGGTTGAGGTGATTGTTGCCGTAGCCATGATGACATCCGGATTGCAGCATCGTGCGGACGGCTTCAGTAGGTCCTCGCTGTACGGCGAAGATCAGTGGGGCTCACCCGTACTTGTTCTTGGTGAAGTTGTATTCCATGAACTCTTGCTCCCTTAGCGATTGAGGTGATATTCTCTTATCATGTTGGCACTGGCGATACGACAGGGCCAGTGAAGGGCACTTGGGTACGTCGTATCGTGCTTCGAACCCGTCAATCACCATGCACGTCCAAGGTCCGCTACGATAACTTGGGGTTCTAGAGGTTCTCGAACTAATACCTCTCTAAGGTCCATATAAAGTAACACCGCATGTTGGGGACCGCTCTATCGAGTGAGAATGTAGGATATGGGCGATACTCTCTTCAGAACGAAGACTTTGGAGATGATCGGTGACGGTGTGCTGCGGATCTCGGAGAGCGTTGGGTACTGATATAGGTTCTGAAGATGTGAAGACGAGTAACGAAGCTCAGCAAGGTGTGTAGGAAGGGTTGCCTGGTTGTCATTAGGTGGTGAGGTGATGAGGAATGGGTTGCTACGAGCGCGGCTGGAGCAGAGAGGTGACTGTGGCCTCCAGAGTCGCTGCTTTGGTGACGGAGTTTTGAAAGAATCCAGGTGCACAGTTATTACCGAGGTGGGTTGGTGTCGAATGATCGATATGGAAGATGGCTGGAGGATCACGAATGTGGTGTGTGAGGAAGAAGGACTGAAGAGGCCCTGAAGGTGGGGAGGAATAGTTGGGATCACCTCGCAAGCGCTCAGTTTATTTAAACCGGGCCCTGATGTCGGTATCGATAGATAAGACAGTGTTTCTAGGTAAGCTTGGTTTCTCAAGGGAGATATTCTGGTGGTGGTGTTGTTGTTGTTGTTGTTGTTGTTGTTGTCCGGGACGGCGGAAGCTTGGCCATGACAAGAACCCACAAGTATATCGCAACAAGATCAACCAAAAACAGTCCGGCAAGTCAGGCTCCCAATGATCTAGGACTCCCAGAGTTGTGCTTTAATTCGAGGCGCGAGGAAACCATGATGGAATGGGGGTGAGTAGTATATCGTGTTCTATATAGAGTCTATAGCCATGAGCAGCATGATTCCATGGGTGCTATCGAAGCCGCTATATCCAGACGTGCTTCTCTCGAATAAGCAACACACACAGTATACTGCTTCACAAGCCGCCAGAGAAGAAGCTCTATGGCGGGCTCTCTCACCAGGTGACTGACTATATGCAGTTCACACGACACTGGCCAAGGGGACGATGTTGTCTCTATTATAACCGGTCGGTCTAGACACAGTCAGACGTCTTTATCTGTTCGAAAGACGCGGTCTTTCAAGAGAAACTCGAAGTCCAAACAGCCAAGTTTGAATACTCAAAAAATGCTTTCAGAGTCCAGACACAGTCAGACGGTAGGTATTCATTCATAGCTCAGCAACGTCGAGCAAACCATATTGAAGCCACAAACGTCTGATTAGGGACAAGCACTGCACATTAACTCCAAACACACTTAACCATGTCCAATACCACAAGGTGCCGAGCCGCGTCCAATGCCATCAAACTACCCAAGAGGCCAGATCAAGAGTTGAAGTTGAAGTCCAAAACCCAGCAGCCAATGAGTGCTCACCAAGCCCCTCCACAAGCCCCAGCCAATCACATCCATCCCCGACTCCCCCCACAACCTCGAAAAAGACCCAAAGCGGGGAGAGGGTGGGCAAAGTCTCAGTCTCAAAAGAAAAGGACGAGTGGAGCTGTCATTTACCGGTTGCTGCTCGAACAATGTTTCAGAACGCATTGCTCATCCAGCAAAGCCGCACATAGAAAGTTGCACATGGGTAACTTCACGGGGCTCCAATTGACAGTCTTGCAAGAAGCTTCTATTTACTGCATACTAGAAGATCCCTCCAGTACGGGTACGCACATACCCGGACAGAGAACCTACCTATGAGAGCTCGTGGGGGAGGTGCACGATAGCGGGGTTCCCGCCTTGATGCAGCCCTGGTGAGCTGCAGCAAGCTTGAGCTGTGCAGGTCTGGTGAGAGCTGAACGGGACCGAAGGTGGCGTGACAACAGCCTCAGAAGGATGGAGCTCCAGACTGCAGGATCACCCGCAGAGTTGCAGAGTGCAGAGTGCAGAAAGGGCTAATGCCAACCATCAGTACATAACCGCAGTAGCTACTCAACTACTGCTCGTAATAGTTGCATGAGGAAAGCTTGGATAGCTGACAGTACCGCGAGGGGTTATCGGCGGGATTGGGTCAATCAGAAACACGGACGGACGCATAATCGGGAGTTCGCGGATGACGATGCTATTGGTGATACGCCCAGGCTGTGTGCTTCGGCATGGGGCGGGCCTGGCGGTATCCAAGGAACTTGTGGTGCAGGATTCGGCGATGATGAGGGGCCGGGGACCAAACACCGATAGTACGCAGCTGAAAGAACACTCCATCTGTCGATTTCAGTCTCAGAAACGACAAGGCTCGTCAGAGTGATATCATCTGACGTCTGGTACGAGCCATTGATAGCAGCAGACCAAGTAGCGAACGAAGGCATCATAACCCGGTAGCGATATCACGGTCGTGGCCTTCATCAGCATGGTGAGGTGTCGTAGGACTTAAAAATCTCCGACCCTGTCCTTGTGTGGGGTCGACGAAGCTCTCCCCAGTCCAATGCCCCCCCAAAGTCCATTCAAGGTATGGGGATCGTGTGGCGATGCTGATCGTTTGGTAGGCTTCCCCGATTTATCCGAGGATCCATCGACAGGCTATTGTTTCAAGAGTGAGGAGGCTTTCCGGGCGACGACGAGTCCTCAGACGGCTGTACTTTGGGGGTTCATGCCAGTTCATGCCGAGCAGGCGGGCTGGTGGATGAATGGGACGGGCATTCGAGGCAAACAGGCAGATAAGCCGGCCTGGTTGCTGGGCTGATTGGGCCTGTTGCAGTGATACCGATGAGGACATGAGGTGAAGATGACAATTCTCCCCGGTTCTAGACGTCCAATAGACGAATCCGAATATTGCAGGATTGTCCTGGATGCGGGCCGCAGGATGCGCGATGCGGACCCTGATAAAAATAAGCCTACACCTTACTCTTCCTGACGAACTCCTTCGAGAATCGAGCGACCCTTCAACACAATAGTGACAACACACAGACAAAGGATTCGTTCTGTAGGAGCGTGCAGTGGCCGATCGTATCTGGGGGAGACCGGACTCCATACAGCAAGAAGGATTTCCCAATGCGACGTCGATGCCAAGCTCCCCTGCCGCCGCGTTGGTGTTGCAGTACTGTTGGTGATGTTCTGAGGGATTGTTCTGTGGTACTGTGGTAGGGTAGAGCCGGTCCGGTCGAAGGCTCGAAGCCCTTGCCGCCGAAACCCATGCAGTGCTACCGTGGTATCACTGTGTGGCTCCGACGATAGCTTCTGTTTGGCCGCCGCCTGCAGCCTGCATATGCAGTCGACCCGTGACATCGCGACAGACCAGCGACAGACCAGGGTCCAGATGCAGGTCAGCGTCAGCCCTGATGTTTACAATCGAGCGAGGGCGCGGTCGCCATTGTTTACTTTCGGGCCTTCCCTTCGGTATCCCTCAGTTCAGATGCGTCCGGCTTTTACTTGCCTCCCCGAGTTCCCTCGCTGCTGCATCGTCTCAAACACCGCCATGCAAAGGGCGAGTTCGGATCACACGCACCTGTTTGATCGGGGTCACAGCCAGCGCCGTGATGATGGAAACTTGGGGGCAAGCTCCGACTCCAGAGTCCAGAGTTCAACGGTGTACGCCCGGTGTTGGTTGGGAACATTGAAGCCAAGTTTGGTCCGGTCTCCAAGTCACGCCATTGTAGCTGTTAGTAGTTACTCAGCCCTGATTGCGTCTTTGCTGGCGCGAAACAAACTCCGGGATCTCCCAGCCAGCACCAAACCACCCAGCCAGCCAGCCCAGACCAAGTCAGGCCAAGTTGGCTGTCGGGTCGGGCTGTCAGCTATTGGACAGTTGGGTCGGCTTTGTGACGGCTGAGGTGGCATAACCAACAATCGCCCCGTGCTCGGTCGTGGTCGCATGTGGCAGCGAAACATCGAAACTATCGAAACTAGAAAGGCGGCAGAAGTATCGAAGTGTCAATTCTGGAATGCCATTGGACCCGAGCTTCTAATAAACCTCAAGACGGCTTCGACTCTGCCACTGGTCGTGAAGGCTTGCATTGGCTTGACGCAGGCGGTCAGCAAGTCGCAAGAGCTACTGCGAGGGGTAGATTGGAAAGCAGCAGTGGCCCGCCCTCGCCCGCCCAAACCGGTAAACAATCAACACTGCATCGAGATCTCAACTTTGGGATCTTGTTTTTAGCCCATTCGCAGCAAGTCACATCTCATCTCGCATGCATATGGACAAAAGACCATGGGCTCGCCTGGTCGGTGCCATGGTGTGCATAGCCGCTCCCACGAATCCACCATAGTCCATAGTCGTGACTACATACCTGCGTCGCGTGTTCCGTTCTGGGGAATGCGGCGAGCACGGTTGGAGATGGTCGCGTCTAGTCGTGACCAAGGCCCGCGAATGACGTCGGCCGCGACCCGGCAGATCGGGCCTCTTCCTGAGTGATCGAGAATATCTCAAGACCTAGTAGCCCGCACCGCGCGCTATCCCTTCGCCTATTTATGTCTCGTGTCTCGGAACCCATAAAAGGGATACCGTCTGCTGTCAATGAAAAACGACCGGCTCTCTCCTTGCGTTCGCCAGGCTTCCTTTTTTGGCGTAGCAGACGGTGCCATGTTAGCTGTCAATCTTCATTTATTTTTCATCCGGGCCGCGTGGGGTTTTGTACTTTTGGGACCAAGAATTTTCCTCTCTCCCTGCCTGACCACGTGTCCAGCCAATAGTGCGTGTTCTTAACGGCCGTTGGCTAAGGTCATGGTCATGGTCATGGTCTGGTCATAAACCTCCTATATTTTCTCCGAATGAGGCTCGGCTCTCGAAGTGATGAAGGAGCTGGTGGCAGAATGTGCACGGAGCTCATCGTTTTTTAAATTGAACGACGGGGCCTGCGCCTGGAGCTCCAATCACCTCGAGACACAACGCACAGTATTCTGCGGATGGCTGTCGATCGACGAGAGCTGTCCGAGCAAATGGAGACAGACCGTTGGTAGTCAATTCCACCTTGAACAAACGCTGTCGCTGCCCAATAAGACAGTGCTGCTAAGAAGCGTTTACATGGGCATCGCAAATTGCTAAACTTCCCGCATCGCGATACTGGTAGCCTGTTCAATTGGTGTTGCAACTTGCATGTTGCACGTCTCTCGGTTGATGAACCTCCCAGGGCCCGAGAGCGACGCGGCAACAGCAGACGCGCGACTTCGGGAGGAACAGGTCGGTTTGTGAAGCCCTTGAAAGTCGACACGGCCAAGTTCAAACCCTGCACTGGCCCTGGCAATAGCCTGCTGGGGATCGGCTCTGTATCACAGCAACCAGCGAAAAAGCAAAAAGCCCGGAAATCCTCCTGCCAGGGCGACTGGGTCAAGCCACCTATCTGAGAGCATTGTCTTGTCAGAACTCAGCACGCACTGAGCAGCAGTTCGTACAGTGACGCTGCGAATATCGGCCTGTCTCGTCAAAACTCAACACTGAGTAGCAGTTCGTACAGTGACGTTCCCGTATCGGCCTGTCTCGACGGAGTAGATTATGAAACCATTATTGAAGGGATGGAGAAAATCTGGGGTATTGATATTGGTTGAAGTGGGTTTGTCAACTTTTTCCTTTGCAGAAAGTTTCGAAGTGCCGGCACGCCGGTACCGCTAACCCATCTCACGAGAGTTGGCCCTGTAGTCAGACGGCAGAAGGCCTGTAGAGGAGCTCGGGTCACTTCGTTGCACGGTCTCTTCATCTCAGAATCGTTGGGAACGGCACCCACTTGATACGTCGAGAAAGGGGTCTGTCTTGCTCTTGAGTTCGGATGAGACATGATCCTCGTGGCTGGCTGAAAAGAACACTGTAGAAAACGTGGGTAGTCAAGGGCAGTAATTTTGGGCAGAGACAGCTCATTCCCGTAGCTGAGCGGCTTGGTCCAGGCCACATCATCTCCATTGCAGAGACTCGACTCCGGCCCGCGCCTTTGAGTTCTAGCCTCGACCTCGTCCAGCGCTGCTGCAAGAGCATCAGATCTGCCAAGCTGGAATGGCAGCGATATTCAAGATAATTAACCATCTCCAAACTCTGGCACCTGTTCTGCTACCGTGCTACGGGCTGGCGGCCGGACGGTGGTCGGCGGATGACGCCTCCGAATGAGTCCGAAACACTCGCTCGCGCACCGTTTCCATGGGCCGTGCCAGGGCTCCGGGTCAAAGGCCAAAACGGATTACGATGAGAGCAGATCAGTGATTCATTTGACCGGCAAGGAATCAAGCCTGGCAAGCTGACGTCCCAAAGAGGAAGGGGTTCTTCATACTTGGCTGTCGTAACATGCACGGTGCGATGTAGCCGCTCTTGTAACTTGCCAATTGAACACGGAGCTTGACGATGCTTGGAGGGCCGGCTGTGACAGTCAGATGTCTGATACTGTAGGGTCCGCAGGTGAGATCCGCATAAGCAGCCTCCCAGTAGCCAAGACGTGTGATTGGATATCACATACGGCAAGCCTTGCGTCGTGCTCGCTGCTCCGATACTGGCGAGCTGGATGGATATCTGTTATTACCTACCTACCTAGAGGTACTGATAATCATCATAGATCTAGTATGTTTCGAGACGGCTTGCTTGAGGTTCGCAGTCATAAAACACGTGCTGATCACAAACTGGAATATGTGACGGATGGCCTCGCCAGGAGATGGCAAGGCTACAAAATTGGAAGCAATTCCAGGGTCGCGGGTCTTCTGTATGAACCTGTCTGGTAACGGATATCCCGAACGCCTTGGGTGATGAGCTGTCTCACTCACGCGTCCCCCCTTTGCATGTGGACTGCCGGCCAACTGATTGAATGCTCAGTGACTGTTTACATAGCTGTCTGTCCAGCATGAAGTCAACAATTTCAACAGCCTTGCGATCATGGTGATGTATTTGCAGTCTTTGAGATCGTGATCTCTGAACAAAACTGCCAATTTTATTATTACCTTCCTGGTCAGCAAGCTTCAGGCACTGCCCATGCAGGCTGTAGGCTGTCGGTAACAAATGCAGGTGGGTCGGGTCTTCTTCACCTTCACCGCCTGGACTCCGACGACAATGATGTCAACTGGTAACCAGGGCATGACAGCCCGCTTAAACCAAAGCCAATGCCGATACACTGTGGGAGGGCCCAATTGGGACGCAGCGCCCTCCACTTCCATCACAAATGTCGCTAGCGCCTCCACCCCGCCAACGACCCCTGTGCCTGGCGGTTACAGGCTTACAACACCAAGAGAGCGCACGCTAATTGGCGCAACACCCGGGCACGCCTGGGATACGGCTGGGATACTGCTGGGTTACGGCTGGACTAGCGCTGGGTCAGCCTGGCACCTGGTCAGCACCGGTATCATGCCGCTTCCAGCGATTGCAGCGGGAAGCCCAGGGCAGCTCAGCAGCGCTGCTCCCCACCCACGGTGCCCACCTGAATTGCCCTGGCGACGACTACCCTCCCTCGCTGCCTCGCAACGGCGGTTCCAAGTGTGAAACTCCACCACGCCTGGCACGGCTGCAGAACAAAAAGCACCTCTCCCCTCCACCTTCCAGTGTCTTTCACTCTTGTTCTGTAGCCGAGCTGACCAGCCGCCCACGACGACGACTTTGTCTCCAGCATAATACCGGTGCCGCTTCTCTCGACAATCTAATAGCCGTCTTTGGGTAGACGTGTTCAGCATAGCGAAGCGTTCTCTGTGGTATCGATCGTCTTGCGTCTTGCATCGTGCAGGAAAGACTACGCCAGGTACCTCGTGCACTCACCAACTTGGACCGACAACCAGACAGACACCTCGTCTGATCAATTTCGAGTCGACATCTCCCGATTGACAACCGACCGACCGACTTTCGGATGTTCACAGGAAAGCGGCAACGGCACATCTACGACGCCTCCTCTACCTCTACCTCGGCCATCACCACCATTCCTTCCCTGACTATCAGCCCCCACCGGTCCACGACCCGGCAGTCAGTCACGATCCGCCCATCGCACATATCTAATCCACGTCTGCACATACTTCCACTTCACGGCACCTGGTAGCTGCAAGTTGAGGACCTGGGAAACCTTGAATCTTCAATTTCGATATCGAACTGGTGGATCCCTCACACCAATTCCAGTACCCCGTGCCGAGTCCGACCCAACTCCAACCTCCAGCAACGCCGGCCTCCCTACGCCTTCTTCAACTCTTATGTCTAAGGTTTATTGAACAACTGAACATTCAATCAAGAGACTGGCAAGAGCTTGGCATAGATCCCCGTCCGTCCAATATCCACGGAAATAGGAGGATATCATTCATTAGTCGTGACAACAGCCTCCATTCGTTTAACACCCACGTGGTCGATTGTATCCTAAACAGCCATTGAGGAGTAGGGTTATTATCATACAACCTCGGGATCGAACCATCACAGTACGCAAACATGGACGCATCATCTCCGCTGGCTGCGATGCACCCGGCACCTCCTCCGTCATGGGGCCGCCCGTCGCATGCCCATTTCACCAGCAACCCATTCGCAGGGCCCATGAGCATCCGGGAACAGCTGCAGCGGTCGAAGCCTGACTACTTTAACCTTAAGTCGGTTCGTGGTTCGTCTCCGACTGCAAGTCTCGCTGCAGACCTCTCGCAGAACTTCCGTATAGATAATGACGCAAGGTATGCCTTCATAGCCTTAGAACCCAACGTCAATCCGGTGCATGTGCTAACTAGAGCAGCCCCCCTTTCCCCACGCCGCGGCGAGCGCTGTTCACTTCCAACATGATGGGAAACTTCGAGGACCGAGGTAAGCCTTGCCAGGAATGTTCTCCACACCCTTGCTTGTAGCTGACTTGGTTCATAGAGTACATCACGACGCCGCCTCTGCCTGCGACGTCGTCTCCAGTTCCCATGCACGATGCCATGGATATCTCTCCGTTGCCTCAGAAGGATGCCTTTGGCACCACAATCGAGATCACATCACCCACCCCCATATCTTCCCCTGAAGACGAGATGATGATGGAATCTCCCATCCCCAACTCCATGCCGCGCCACTTCTCACTAACTCTTGAGCCGTCAAAGCCTTTGATTGAGTAAGCCTTCAGTGTCCCAACTCTTTGACTTGCAGGCTCCAGTACTAATAAAGAGGTTAGCAGCCGCAGAAGAACGGCACTGCGACGTCCGTCTCTGACTCGCGCCAAGGGTCACTCGACAAGTGCCCTGCACACTCGCTTGCACCCTGAGAGTCAGATCTCATCTTTCCGGTTCGGGTCTGAGTGTCGCTTTGGTGGTGCATCTGCATCAATGGCCCCCAGCGAGTTATTCCAGGACTCCCCGCCACAAAGACCACAGACTGCCAATAGCCCCTCGGAGCAAGGCTCTGTTCGCCCGAAGCCTCAGTTCGCGAGTCTGACAGGAACCCGGGATATTCGGAATGGTTCGCCAGTTGCGTTGTACTCACGCCGTCCTTCAAACCCTTTCATCCGACCGCGTCGGCAATACCGCCGGTCCTTGAGCATGTTCGAGAGCCCTGCTGATATCATGAAGGCGAAAGCTACCGAGGCTTGCACACAGCACTCCCTGCAACCCGTTACGGACGTGGAAGAGGCCAAGGGCCCTGTTCTGCCCCATTTCTTCCCTGAAGGTCAAAGTGACAGCATTCCAAGAGTCTCTAGAGCTACATTCCTTGACATCATTGATGGCAAGTACAATGAGCACTACACGCAGAAGATTGTGATCGATTGCCGTTTCGAATACGAATATGAGGGCGGACATATCGACGGTGCCATCAACTACAACGACAAGGAGCTTCTGACAAGACACCTCTTTGATACGCCAATGGATGGCAACACCCTCTTGATCTTCCACTGCGAGTACTCTGCTCACCGTGCACCGATGATGGCTCGTCATGTCCGATCTGAAGACCGCACTGCCAATGCGGAGTTCTACCCGAGACTGACGTACCCAGAAGTGTACATCCTGGAAGGCGGCTACAGTGAATTCTTCGACCAGCACCGCGATCGCTGCTATCCCCAAGCCTATGTGGAGATGGGTGCCGAAGAACATGCGTTCACGTGTGAGCGTGAGCTGGGCAAACTCCAACAAAAGCGAAAGGGCTTGGGTCGAGCCAAGACCTTTGCTTTCGGCCACCGAGAGTCAATGGTCGACGCATCTCCCACGGCTCCTGGTAGGCTCATGGGCCACCAGTCTCCTGATATGATGATTGGCAATTCGCCGATTCTCGGAAACAACCGGTCTCCTGCGCGGCGTTTGGCGTCATACTAAACTGCTTTGGATCCTTCTGGACTTGGTCTGTCCATGATATAAGTTAATGACTAATCATCTGGTCTCTGACACGAGCTCGACTATCGGCTTGCCTCGCTGGAAGTATCAGGGATCAGGCATATACGCCCTCTTTCGCTGCCCCAGTGGCACTGCGATACTACCTGCACTAATCTTCAACTTGGTGCTTTCACATCTGTTCCCGATACCTTCGCGCTTCGGCCTGACACATCTTTCTTTTTCCTAATTATACCCATTCTCTTCCGCATTAGACAGGCATTGGCATAGCATACCGGTCGTTCGCATTGCCCTGAGCTATTTGTTGGATCTGGCATTCGACTTGCTCGGCGCCTCTTTCTACGATTCGTCACCATGTTTCATAGCAGCATGGCGCGTGCTTCCTGCGATTCAGCCTATCTCTTCTTTCAACTGTCAACAACCTGCGACCTGCCTTTTTTGGGCTATTCCCACCAGCATCAAACTGTTGGTTCAACCATCAGCCACGCGAGGGCTCTGGTATCTCTTCGAGGAGTAGTACACCCACCATTACAACAAATTCGACGCCACGACACTGCTTTGGTGGCCTCAATGTACTAAACTACAACCGTGATCGACGCCGACCGAACACGACTTTCCTTGTATGATACAAATACACCACAACCTCACTCGCGCCCAACTATATACGTCGCTCCCTTGCTTGGGAAGGAACGGTACCACATGCGTACGTTTTACGCAAAAGGCAACAGGACGACGATGATGTGGGGTATATATGAAGTGAGGGGATGATGGCTTGGAGACATGTACGCCTTGCGTTCACGATCTTGGGCCAGCCATATTAAAGAGCAGATTGAACAGATTCAGAAAGGGGGTGTTTGGAACGGAAGGGTCGACCCTGCTCTCTTCACTTCGCTGAAGTGGCGGATGGCGTCTGGGCTCATTGGGTTCCTCCAAACTGCACCTCCGCCTACTTTTGTCACTGGCGTGGGAGTCATTGGTTTGATAATCCCGCCATCCCTTGTACATTAGTTTTTCTGCTCTCTCAGTCTGGTCTCGGGCTCGCTCGTGCCATGCGATGAAACACTCGCACTACGGCCGGATTGAATCGGATGAAAACATTCCGTCTGATCTCCGAGCCACGCCAGCTAGCATCTGCAATCGGCTAGTTGGTAAACAATGAAAAAAAAAACTTCACAATTAAATGCCCTTGTACCTTCTGTGACTGCTTGCTTCAGTGAATCGCTTCCCTTCCAGGTCGTCCGTCTATTCTAGTCGGCTAGTCTGTAGGTTCTCCGTGGTACGCTTTTCAGTGAACGAACTCTATTCTCACATGCTGTTCACCTACACTATGGCTCCTATGGTTTCTAACGGCAGTATAAGCTAGCTTCGCGATGTTCTTCTGGCCTTCCGTGCCTCGCCAGCCTATCCATGCCGCCCGCCGTTCCGCGGTGGCCGCTTATTGTTGACCTTAGAGCATGATGCTCCAGAGCTCCTGTCTGTTTCTTCTTTGCTCTCTCTTGCGGAATTGTGTGAGGTGTTAAAACAGCACAGATAGTAGAAGTCGACCCCCCTGAGCGGCCGCTTGAGGCACGGTTGGTTCTGGTCGACGGTCATCGACCTTCAAATGGGCGGCAGGCACACAGGCACCGCCGGTGGGCATCTAGCTTGACATTTTGTCCATGCCCATCTTGAACGTTGGGATTTTCCATGATGGGAGTGCTGGATCACGGGGTTTGCTCTGGGGTGGTGTGATGTGTAGTCATTGGAACTTATAGGTAACACGTCTCTGCTAGGAAAGGTAAGATACCCTAGGTGAAAGGAGTCTCTGTCGAGCCTACGGTAGACTGAATGCACATCTATCTACTCCCCCGTGATCCGATTGACTGGTGGTAGGCACTGGCAACTATCTACATTGGTATTTGATCAGTCTCTCCACATGTGGATGTCTGCAGCGGTCAGTGCCGCGGTGAGGCTTTTCTGGGGGAGGGACTTCTCTTGTTATTGTATATGTGAGTTTCCATGCTGCTGCGAGTTGTCATGTGAGGAGGTCAAACCCAAACATTACCCTGTGTCCCTTTTTCAATCTGGAAGGCCGCATCTTGTCTATATACCTGTTTACCTGCAAGTCGCTCCTTACATGCATGTGTACCTACCTTAAATGACCATTCGTACCACATGCAGCAACCTCGGGAAGAGCGAAGCAAACTCTTGAGGCACTGTGGCGCGCCTTCCTACCTACCTCTTCAGCGTCACAAACATTGACCACTCCTTCCTGAAGTCATCTCTCACTTTCCAAGAAAAGTAGACGCCGCCAACGTACAACAACTCTCCGCCTTCAACTTTTCTGCCTGATGCTGCCAGCCGCAACACAGGTCCGAACAGCGAAATCATACTTCCCGGGGACTGCGTCTTCTCGCGGCACAACTGAAGATGTCTCGACGAGCACCGGCTACCTGTCGCCGTGTTTCATCATGAACAGGCGCAGGTATTGCACGACGACGTCCACACGGTATTTTGCCCCTCCTTTGGTATGGGCTATCCCATGCTTCCTCATTTAACCAGACTAACTCGTGCCCAAGGCCTCCATCGTGAATCAACAAGCTACCAGCATCCTCTTCAATCTGCCACAGGAGCTGCGCGACGAGATCTACGAACAATTCTTCTGCTCTACCAGGCTCGCCCATGGCCGTCACCGCTACTGTTCAGGCAAGGAAACGGACACGACGACGAACCCCTTCATCCGGCCTCCTCCCAACTCCCTCGCACTGCTGCGGATTTGTCGTCGAGCTCGTGACGAGATCGGCCAGTCCTGGCCGAAGCAGGTTCTTTTCCACTTCGAGTCTCTGGAAGACATGATTCTGAAACTAGGTCCCTTGCCTCGGGAGATCAGAAATACGATCCAGCACGTTCAAGTGCGAGGCATCGTCTTCCATCGCTGCATTCACATTCCCCCTCACTCCACTACTTATAACATTCGCTTTCAACTCTTTTTTGGCTTGTGGCTACTGCAGGGGCTACGCCTAGACAGCTTGACCGTGCTGGATTGCAGTCCCATCCACGAGCAGTGGGCCAGGGAGATGGCATTTATGATTGGATGGAGTAATGGGTGGAAGGAACTGAGATTGGTCATACCGGACATGAATCTGCTCTCCAAACACCGGGCCGTGGAATGGCACACGACCCTACTTAGACGCGACGGGAGCGAGTCCGGCGCCGCGGTATCGATTTATGTTTCGAGATCCCCTCGCCCGAACGTCGACAGCATTCTGCATCCTGCGAATCGCAAGATTCTTGAGCCAAGACCTGGAATAGGAGACGACGAAGGTACATGGTGCTTGCCGCGGATCGGTCGGGGCGTCGTGATACTGAAGCGAGGCTTGCACGTTGACTGCGAGGTACGAATGGGCAAGGACGTATGGTATCCCCCACGTGCCAAACCATTTCTTCCGGGACGGACGCATCCCTAGCAGGCAGGAATACGAACGTCTCCTCGGTTGGCGCATGGGTGATGACGAACCCCCGCCCGAGTTCTCCCCGAGATCCGGACCGGTTGTCTACGATTCCTATGACGAGCCTGAGAACTACCATGGCATGGGGACCTGTCAGGTCAAGCTCTAGTCCAAACATGCTCGGCCTGGTGGTGAGGGGTGGATGCCGGTACTCCTAGACAGTTGACGCGTTGCGATACTCCGCTGGGTGGCGTCACGAGTATCACCGCGATGGCTTGACCGCTACGAGTGGTACAAGAATACAGTCTGCCGTGGATTTTGGCTGGGCTTTCGCGGAATTAGAACACTGGTTGGCCGAGGAGGGGTCATTTCTGACACTAGGCTCTGTATGATAGTAGATATGGAACGTATCCGACTACAAAATCTATGGTCACCTCTAGCTTGAGAATAGAGTGCAGATTCACCCAAACCGCATTTTGCACTCCGCGAGAAGACTTTGCTTGCCACAGCCTCACTTTTCTGGTCGAGAGAAAGGTACGACCGTGGCAATAGTGAACCATCGAGAGCCAAGTTGGTAACTGATGGCAACTATGAGCTTCTCATACGCGGAGTCAAGTCCCACCTGTATGAATAAGATCCGTATTCCTCCTCTTCTTGAGGAGGTGCGGAGTCCCATAAGCATGTTCTCAATGGTAAACATCAGGCTAAAAAGAATGTTCGCGGAGTCTTGCATCGGAATTTGCGATGTGTAAACGTTGGCGACTGGCAACCCGAACATCAAACAACATGTGTAACTTACTACCTTTTGCCTCCTGAATGAGGCGAATATGCCGATTCAAGTTCCTGGGTAGCAGCGAGAGGTATTTCGTCTCTCTAGGGCCGAGTAGTTGGACGACGTTTAGGTCTGTGGGGCCCAGCATGAATTACCCCCTGAGAGGTTTAGGTAGTCGCGTATTCATCACTATGAACAGCCCCGTCATGCCTCGTCAACTATGAACGTAAGTGGTGTACCACTCGTCTGTCGCTTCTGGCTCATGAACTCTTCTTATTCTCCCTGTACTGAATAGCCAACAGCTCAATTCTACCTGATGAACTGGAGCTGCTTCCCTTGCAAGTCCTTCCTTGTTGTCTTCCTGGATGGATCGGCGTCGTCTTTTCGGAGTGAAGACTGCCCATTTTGTAGGCAGTCCCGAATGCAGTGCTCTCAAAATCTCAGCCATGTTTTCCCAAGTGTGGATTTTTTCTCTCCCAGGGGCCGGCAGAGCCTGAATTGATTACACAACATCGATACCATCTCTCAATCTTCTGGGTTGGAAACACGAACTTTACTAGGGGGTGAGATGTGTGGACGACTTGGGCCTCCTGGCAACGAGGCCCAAAACCCCTGGGGTGTAGGTGTCTGCTGTGAGCAACGACTTACTATCTGGCTGGCAATCCCTTGATTCTCGGTTCTTGGTGGTACTGGTACCAGAGGCGCCTATTTCTGTTAAACCCATGCAAGAGCTGCTCCGTGTGTACGAAAAGGGGCTACAGTTGAGTATCAGAGGCTGGTGGGGGTAACGTTATCATGTAGCGACTCGATTCTGATCGAGATTCTCAAGATGAAAGGTACATTCTGCTGAGGTGGAAGAGTGAAGCAGTAACGTGCATGTACACTCAGCCCTCATAGGTCTGCTCACGCACCGTGAACAAAGCGGTTGCAGCGAAAGGGGTTCAAAAATAGGTACTCTCCTCGGCAGAGTTCTCAGATAATGAGGGCGCCGCGATCTCGCTTGGAGCAAGCAGTGCACCTGAATTACTCTCAAGGCTTGTGCTGCACTCGCAACATTACACTGCACCCTTATGAGTCTCCGTACACTATCCGTCCAGCAACCAGCGGTATCCATATTTATCGAATCGGAATAAGCACAATGGAATAAGCATTAACAATGGCGTATCAAACCTGAGCTGCTTATTCCATTGTGTTTATCCCAATTCGATGTTATTTAAGAAACTCTTTCTCTACAACCACCTGCAATTCATCCACCAGCCGTACACATTCCTCCTGGTCACGAGATCTGCGGGGGCCACCCATCTTTCAAGGCACATTCTCGCATTCGCCCTCGGAGCTCCTTCTCCGTGTCGACTTCAAACCTCAACCTGCCTTAGGTACTCCAGCGATTCGCTGCTTGCCCACGTTCCCTTCACCTTCCACCTCCTCATACGGCCTTGAAGGAGGCGCGTGTTTGGGCCACAACTCTGCCTGCACACTTACCTGGGGACAGCGGCTGATCGCACAACATAATCATCGCCACTTCAGCCCCGATCATATCCTTCTCCGAGTCCACTCATGTGCGCGCATCCTGCCTGGTCACTCAAGAACTCACGATGCCGAAATTCAACGAGTACTGCACCTGCAAGTCGTGCCTAGGAATCATAGGCGGTGCTTGCGAGTGGATGAAGGAAATTGAGAACCACGCGGACGAGGTCACAATCATGTAAGTACGAAGATCGCGTACGCACGAGGAGATTCTAATCAAGCACGTAGGCTTGCTAGGTGCACCCACCAGATCATTACCATTCGATACCCTAGCCATCAAACGGAGGCATCTATAAGCTGCCATGCGAGCCTGCTTTATTTCTACTCTGGCGTCTTCAAACGTGCATCAAGGTTCAAGGCGCTGGGACACTACGCTTCCCTCAGCATGATGGTCTCGATCCCTGGAAGCACATCGTTGAATGGTGCTACACGGGAAGATTCGAGGATGAGCTTGAGGAAGTAACCCACGTGGGTCCTGACATTGAAGCAATGTGGAACGCCGCAATGGACCTCGATATGCCCGAACTCGCGAACTACTGCATGCGTACAATCTTCGCAAAGTACGCATGGACTTTCCACGGGGAATAGCCCCCCGTTTACACGCCTCGCAACAACCCTTACAAGTGCGACGGGCCTAAGCATGTTTTCGAACACAGCCGTGGAAACCCGAGACGCAAGAAACTCCTGGACTTCATGGAAGACCACATACGAAGACGCGGACCTCTCACACCGGAAGCCATGAACCTTTGCTTTCTCGGATCCGAGAGCTTCAAGGAGGATTCGGTCAATGCTATTCTGGGCAGCGAAGACTTCACTATGTGGATCTTTGGTCTGGGTGACTTTCAGCATGGAGACCGTCAGGCCGTTTTGCCCACCCACTTCAGCCAACAGCATAAGTACTTGGTACCAGCGCCTGAGCGGAGAATTGTCGATAGGACACTACCTGTCACGGAAGGCAATGTGGATTCTGCCTCTGAAGCCCCTCGGTTGTTGCCGGAGGCTCGACAGGTGGTGGTTACGGGAGACAATGGCAGCGTCGTTGATTTGGTCTTCGAGCAGGCAGCTTAAACTGTCAGACTCGACGATACATAGCATACAATTGACGTGGTCTCGCTATATCCATCGTAATTAGAATAAGCACACTGGCATAAGCGTTGAAAGTAGCGTATAGCATTAGAGATGCTTATTCCGGTATGCTTATTCCAGTATTTCAGTTGTTTACGGGTGATGTGGAATCTTATCGACATTAATGCGCGTACTAAGACTCATGAGGGCTGCGTGTACCGACTTCTTCAAGGAATCCGCGTATCTTATTTACCTCTCTGCTTGGTGGACTCGTAAAAGATACCATTGGACGTGGGATCCTCGCACCTCACGACCCCAGAAAGTCTTTGCCCGGGTCATTCGTCCAGTTGATGTGAATTTGGTACGCAGGTACTTCAGAGGGTAAGTTACAATTGGAAGGCACCAGGCAGACAGTTCTGGGCTTAGAAGGCAGGCGCCCACCTGCACGCACCCAGTTTCCCACTTTCACCTGCTGCAGCTCGCGACTGCTGAGGTTGTTGACCTGTCTTGGACGCGCCTGATCTCGCCTGCCACTTGATTCCTTCATGTTGGTCCCACCACCTCGCCCTCCATCAACACAAAATCAGAACCGAAACCCGCCAGCCGACCAATTCTGCCCACTACACGCAATTCTCTCTGAACCTGTTGTGCACCTCACGTCAGCCAAAATCAACGACTGCTCTCGTCATCCTCGAAATTGTTGGGTTATCGCGAGACGTGCCTGCCTCTCCTCCATCTCATCTACTCCGGGCGACCACGGTACCGTTCCCTTCGCTCCCACCAGCTTGGACCTGTCATTGCAAGCTTGGCTCAGCCGGCACCAGTCTCGTGTCCTTCCAAACATCGACCGATCCCTTGGCCGAGAGTGTACCCGTGCTCCTCTCGAGGCTCCTGATGGATTAATCGTGAGCCCGGTTGTCTTGCTCGTTGTCGGTTCGTACCTCTGCAATTCCTCTTTCCAGACCGCGCCTACTTCTTATCGCGGTACTGTCGCAAGGCATCCCCTTCACTAACCATACATACCCAGTTCCAGTTCTTCGAGTCACAACACCCAACTCCCCTCGGCTCTTCGAGGTACCGAGATGCCGCTCATCACCAAGTTCTCTTGCACCTGCAAGAGCTGCTACGACCGTGGGTCGAGGTGCAGTGGCCTTCAGGCATTGGACTATCACAGCGATGTCGTGGGGCTCATGTAAGCCGCGCAAGACTTTCCCAAGCATCGTACACCTTTACTCACTGCTTCACAGTCTGAGTGGCGACCAGTCTATGATTCGCGTCTGTGCAGGCGTTGGAGTCCAGCGAGTCGACAAAACCTGCCATTCCACACTGCTTATGTTTCATTCCGACGTCATCCAAAGAGAGATCAGATGCCAGGCCGAATTGGGCTGTCGCACCGCCGTTATCGAGTTCCTGAGCTTGACAGAGAAACAGGTCAGGTTTCTGGACGCCGCGATCACATGGTGCTACACAGGGAAGACGAATATCCAGTTCGAAGAGGCAGATGACCACGAAGATATGTGGAACTTCGCCGTCGATCTAGAGATGCCCGGTCTCGCGAACTACTGCATGAAGCTCATCATCCAGAAGTATAGCTGGGCCGACATCAAGGGTGAACGCCTGATTCGCGAAAACCACGCTCGGTATGGCCCAGAAGGTTTCCGCAAGGTATGCTACGAGAACCGGGGAATACCACGACGGAACAAGCTGCTGTGTTTCGTGGAGGACCTGATTTGTACCCGAGGACCTCTGATGGAGAGTGCAATCCAAGGCCCCGACCGTCGGTCATACGATCAGTCCTATATCAACCTATGGCAGAATGCCCGCTCGGAGGACGAGGTATTCGGAAACTGGTTGAATCGACTTGGCGGCCTGTGCCGAGAAGCAGATGCCCAACAGTGGCCCACCCACCCGACTCAATGGACGAAATACATGATGACTACGCCCATCTACGCTCCTCAAAACAGTCTGACGGAGTTCTTAGGTTGTTACAAGGCGCTTCCAGCAGAGACGACGGTCAGACGGTTTTTGAGAGAATTGAAGGACGGCGAAGTCGATCGGAACCTGACGCGCATGGGATAAAAGGTCATTAGGTGAATGTACACCATTGTCAGCATGTTGTTTACCGCAATGTGGTCTGAATGGCGTTCTGGGCTTACCGGTGTAGGCTCCATACTTGCTATGTAAGGGCTAGGATTTTGCTGTCAAAATGTCAGCTAGAAAACTGTCAGTTTTCAAGTCAGAGATGGATAGCAAAAATTCTAGGGAGCATGTCAGACAACATGAAGCATTGATGAAAAAGACTGAGTCTGTGCGTCTACTTGCTTCTCCAAGTGCTTACTCAGAATTGACGTGATAACGTCGTCGAGAGCATTACACAAACACTCTGTCCGGTTGACAAGAGCTCATAGATACTCAGAGGAGCCTAGACACCAAGACCATTCTTCATCGCCGACACGGACCCGAATATACCACTCATTAGACATAACTACCAGAAATGCATTATGCAGTTTCCCATTCACTGCCGCCGACTCATCCAACACGCCCAGGCAGTATATTCAAGCCATTCGCATCACGCATAGTTCTCGCGACGCACACATATGTCGTAACCCCACACGGCATTAGGCTCTTCATCCGCGGTTGTCAAGCCGACAGCTTGAAGTCCGTGGCCGTGGGCTGAAAAGCGCTGTGGCCTGGCTTGTCGACCGAGGGCTCGCGCTCGCGCGGCCACCACCGCTGCGGCGTCTGCAATTCCTCATCGCTTCTTGCGCCTTTTACCCACGCTCTGAGGTACGGGTTTAATTGTGAGCGCCGATGTCTGTTCTATCACAGTAAGAAGCACCAAGACGAGACGATAGGATAGGTTCGGCACACTACTGACGCTCCGGGATGATGGCGTACCCTGCCTCGCAGCACCCCCAGCAGTCCTAGAGGTCCAGGGGTTCCCGGGTCCCCGATCACGATCCTGGACGGGCTGGCACGGGTTGCTCCGTCGCCGTCCACAGGTCGGATCGGTGGTCCTCGCGCTGTGTGGCAGGTCCCAAAGTCGGGGCACCGGAAGACGGATAAGAGGGCTTGGGTGCGTGGACTAACTCATGGCGCGCGTGGGGGCTCGGGGGATGGCTAGCCTCTAGGTGAGCGAGGTTGCCGCTAGGGATGCGAATTGGGGTCCGGTTGGTGAGTCCATGGTAATGACAATACGGGGATCGATCTCTTCTGAATTTGCTCAAACTCCGATGTCAGGACCACCTAGGTGTGCTTTGGCGACGTCCTCTGACGAGCTCATGAAGATGGCGGTGCAATGCCGTCAAACAAATCACGTGACTCTGTCCAGCGTCCCAGTTTTGCGCCCGTATGACCGCAGTCAGGGGACTTCATGAGGTGACATATCATGGCCACCGGCGCCATACTTATATTCATGTCATCAGTCGCGGCGAGCGAAACCGCAAGCCTGTGGAGAATGCATGTCTGAGCACATACGGTTCTGGACACAGGCGGTAGTCTTTGACGGTGTGCTTCCCTCGTGACTCGTCACCCCACAAGGTTACACTCAGCCGTCATAAGTCTCCGTGCGTGCTACGTTGACAAGATTCTGAATCACACGTTGAAATTTAGAAATACTGGAATAAGCATATAGGAATAAACAGCTCTGGTTTGACATGCCACTTTTGATGCTTATTCCAGTGTGCTCATTCCAATTATGATTTGGTGGTGTTCGGATCCAGGCTTAGATTTCCATCGCGGAACAGTGCATCTTGCATAGTCAGCTTTGCGGAAGGTCACCTATGAGGATAATGAAGATGCTAGATATGGGAAGATGCCTGAATCAAAATTCATTTCGCAAAATCAACTTATCTACCAGATCGGCCATCTATCAGATAGATGGCAGTGCCCTGATCAGTGTCCATTCGAACCCCATACCTACGCCAGATTATGTCACCATTTCCTCGTCACCTTCAGCGCCAGTCAGTACTTGTGCCTCTCTGGGTCAGGGACTGGCAGAGTGTCTCGATGAACTCATTTAGAGGCGTCTTGCGGTGTACTTTCCACTGGCGACCAGAGGACTCGGAAGACCTCATCGCGGAGGCGCAGCACCCAGCTCTCTGTGATCGGCGGGATCGTATTCGAAGGCCTTGTAGAAGACCTGCTTGTCGCGGGAGGGTACACAGAGTGTGCGTTGTGTGTATTTAGTCTTGGCAACAGTGTTCTTCGCTGTCTGATACCCCTGACGGCTGAGCTCAAGACGAAACTGGTCAGGGTCGCGGTCGGGAACCGATACTAGGAACAGACCTGCGAGTTCCGGATTCGTCGGGTCATTGTCCACCTTACTTTCGTCTACTGTTCGCGACTCTGCAACCCGGTAGTTGAGCTGGATATTGCTTGCGAGCCGGTCATGCCATGCGTTCTGATACGCTTCACGCTTACCGTTGCTGACAGCATGCACGAGATCCTCCTGCAAGGGATCGCGGGACGTGAGGAGCCTTTCGATGAACGCGGAGAGACGAGAGTGTCTGACGACGTCCAGCTGGTTCGTGATGACAAATAGCGGTCCCGTGGGTCCGTACGGAGCACTCTGGAAGTCCAACGCGGGAGTCTCAGAGGCACCCAGAACGTTCCAGCTGTATTTTGCCAGAATAAGGCGCATGCAGAAATTGGCGAATTCAGGCATCTCGAGCATAGCCGCCAGATTCCACAGTCGCTCGAACCGACACCGGTCATCCTGGAAATCGCTATCGTCATAATCGATATGGATGCGTCCTGTGCGGCACCACGTGAGGAGCGATGCCATGTCATCTGCGCAGATCTTTTGATTGAAAAATTGAATGCGACTCATGGATCGGCCCTTGCTCATGTTATCTCGCAGTTCACGATCCATGACACCTGAGAAAAAGGCGAGCAGTGTGGTGTGACAAGGCGTCAAATCGTGGGTCGGCGGCCCAGGGAGTAGGATCTGGGTGAGTTGTGCATCATTGGCCGTGCTATATGACCTATTAGTCCGAAAGTGCCAAATGGAGTGGGATGTCAGAGAGGGGACGCACAGAATTCCAACCGTCTTGAGGTGTTTCTCAAGCTCGACCAAGGTCGCGCACTGGCCGCCATCGTTGTTGATGCAGGAAGTGCAGACGCAGTACTTGTTCGACTCGTATCTGGGAGCCTGAGGCTTCTGAGACTGGGAGGACGACATGTTGCCTAGGTATAATCAGCCCTCATAAGTCTGCGTGCGCGCACGTTGATAAGATTCCAGATCCCCCTTTAGGAAAATTCGGAATAAGCATACAGGAATAAGCAGCTCTAGTGTTATACGCTTCTTTTGATGCTTATCCCAGTGTGCTTATTTCAGTCACGATCAATATGCCGTTGTACGCTGGATGGGTGGTGTACGGAGACTTACGAGGGTTCAGTGTAGTCTGGTCTTAGATCGATGATGAGTTTTGCTCCAGAACAGTGAACAGAGCGACCGGATCGTGGTTTATGATATGAGAGAATCGTGACTGGAGTGGGTGCGACTTGAAGTGGCTGTAACGGAGGTTACAAGAGAGTCGAAAGTCGCGAAGGTGTGCTGCGAGAAAGGATCGGCTGATAGGTAAACTGAACACCCAGAAATCCCCCAACACCCTGTTATCCAATCAAGGCCTCGAATATTCAGGGATTTTTGATCTATGGAATAATCACTCTCGAATAAGCTTGAAGCATGGCCCGTGAAGATGCGACTGCTTATTCCAGGCTGGTTATTCCACTGTCTGTATTATGTCAGGAGAAGAACTCTCGAGTGCACGGACCGAGACTCACAAGGGGTGGTTATAGCTTGAAGCGGCTGCAACGGAAGTTGCGAGAGAGTCGAAAGTCGCGAAGGTGTGCTGTGCTGCTGGGAAAGTAACGACTGATGGGTACCTAGGTACCTAAGCATGCACGTAGGTAATGAGACTCATAAGCTGTGATGAAGGGGCGCGAGGTTTAATAAAGCTGTGTGACGATATCTTGTGGGGAGAAAAGCTTTAGGTCAAGATCGTACTACTGGCAGTGCAGCGCAAGGTCTAATCCTGTGGGGTGATTGGGAGTGTGTAGCGGAAGAGGGGGGGACTGAGCAGCGGATAAGGTAAGACTGAGTTGGAAAGGGGGTGGGCGGTGAAAGAGGAGAAAAGTGAATAGTGGTGCGAGTGGGTAGTGGAAGAGGGAGTGCAGGTGAGGCGGAGTGGAAGAGTATCGGAAGAGGCAATGGCAGAGAATCGGGTACCCTAGGGAGAGTATGCACTTACAGACGGCACATTCCTATAAGAGTCTGTGGTAGGATATGTATGATGAGTCGTCAGTGCGTACATTGGGAAGTAGAAAGTGCCGTTGTAGATGATGAGGCTATCGAAGTCGTGGTGAGTACCTGGCAAAGGGATGATGCTCTCGTAGATTGTGTGACAGCAAGGAACATCCAGCTGAGTCGCATGTTACTACTTCATGATGATGACGGCTATGAACGCAGTGGGAATCTCGCCAGGCCTCTCAATGTGTTTGCCCCAAGACGAGCAATTGGAAAACAAGGCTCTCGGATGGAAATTACTCTATGATTTCCACCGTCTCCTGGCAACGAACATATCGCCGTATGATACTAGTACAAGTCGTGCCTCTGTCCGAAGGCCCGAACCAGCTTTCTATTCCTCCATCTTGTCCTCATCCTTGTTCTCCTCTTCCTCGTCATCATCCTCCGAGATGGCCTTCTTCGCTAATCGTTCGGCCTCCGCAAGGATGTCTTTGGGGACCTCCATATGCCGTCCCTTGGTGGGGCCATCCGCGCTGCTGATCCAGCTCATCTCCAGCTCGAACTCTTTGTCCTTGTTGTCTTGCTGTGCGACATAGATGATTCTCGCCGCCTCCTTGACTGCCTGCTGCAGGTCAAGCTTCCCCTCGGCGAGGTTCAGCTTCTCGAGCTCTGCCTTGGCTGCCTGTCGACCCTTGCCGGTCGCTGCGCCGTAGTATCCCCAGTACATGCCGCTGGGCTCGATCATGTAGAGACCCGGGCCGCCATGTTTGCCTTCCACCTTGCCGCCAGCGCCAACAGAAGGGCCCGAGCCAACCTCGCCATCTACGAGTGCTTCGAGCTCCGAGTCGAACCCACCGACGATGGCTGTAATGCCGAATGGACGCACCGATTGGTATAAGGTGTATGCTTGTAGGTATCCGCCCATACGGCTAGCGAGGTCGGAGGTCGAGATAGGTGTCTTGAAGGTATCACGCCACGAACGGGCTTCATCGCGCGACCGGTCGACAAAGTGGTGGCCATCGGGGACCATGCCAGAGTATACCTGCACGTTGAATTGACGTCAGCATTACTTTGCAGCTACCAACAGATAATCTGAAACGATCAGGGCAACCTACGACTCCGAGATGTCTGTCAACAGTTGCGATTCTCTTGTTTGCGCCAGGCTTCAGCAGCTTCGAGGTGACGACCTTCTCGACCGCTAGAACAACGCCATCCTTGGCCCGGATGCCAACTGAAGTGCCACCATTCTCGACCGCCTTCACGGCATATTCGACCTGGAAGTTTCGACCGTCTGGGGAGAAGATGGAGTTGGCGAGATCGTAGCCTGTTCCTATCGACGTCTATCCGGGTAAACTGTGAGCTTGGAAATGGCCTGGGTGTATTGACTAGGTGTCTAGAGCTTACCATGATGAAGGCAATGCACGAGAATTGTCAGATGGAGGTGCTGGATCGATTCAGAGGAGGAAAGGCGGTTGATCTTGAGCTTTGGGAGTCTGACGGTTCGGTGGTGTTTGAATGGGGAGCTTCAGGCAACCCGAGCTGCGCGTTACAAGCTGCATAAGCTAAGGTAATATCGTGGCTTGAGCTCAGCCTTGGAAGCCATTGTCTGAGACACAGCCACATGTGGCGCAGCAACATCCCAAGCTTGACGCGATCACATCGATTTCTCCAGACGCGCGGGTCAACTGAACTCCACACTAGACGACAACTCACGACAACTCATGAGACCTAGACGTCCAAAAGCAAGATGATGACTACTTGGATTCTAGATGCGTAGGGCACGCATGATGCATTGCAGTGACAACTATCATTCTACGACTGGTATGAGTCTGTCATTACGTGGCAAACATCTCGTACGCAGAGAAGACTCGACCAATGGCTCGCAGATGTGGCATTGTGACGACTTAGGAGTACGTTACGTTACACCGAGGTCCGAGAGCGTGATTACGATGTTGCTTTTGGATGCTATCTTACAGTACAGGAAGGGTATTGCTAGGGAGCAGGAATTAAGTGAGTAGTCGTGAGCGAACGGCATCCATCCTGCATTGAGGCACATCCCTTTTACAAACCGCAGTCCACCACCTATGAATGGGCGCCCAAGCCCAACGCAGCGAAATCCTGGATAACCCATGGTCAATGGTTCGCAACTGCCCATTCATCCTTCTTGCTTTGCTCGGCCCAGCAGCCATTGCCGTGGGGAACATCAGTAAGGTCCATGACCTGCACCATCCGTCTTGTCGACCTTGATCGTCTCCTGCTCCGGGAACTTAGTGAACAAGTCTCTTAGTTTATCGATCGGAGCTGCCATGAGTCCCGCAACAGTCTCGAAAGGTGGTCTGTTGGGTGCACTGGGGTGAGAGCGGGTCGGGGTGAACATCTTGGTTCGCTCGAACTTCTGACTGAGCTCCTTGGAGCCGGTGAGACTCAGCGCTTTCTCCAACTGAACGAGGTCGCTCTCCTCCTCCTCCTTGATGTGATGTTTGAGGTCATCCCACAGTTTGTCCAGCGTAGGCTGGAATTCGTCGTCTCCAGGCTTCAGTTTCTGGAACTTGTACAGCTCTTCCTTGACCTTGGGTGGATGTCAGCGAAGGATCAAATCAATAAGGTGCGGTGCCGATGCCATACCACCTGGTGCTGCTCGTGATCCTTCTCGGCAATGCTTTTACCATCGGTGATTTCCTTCTCCATGGCAGGATAGACGACCAGTTCCTCGGCAATCGAGTGGCGGGCCAGTTCCCATATGAGCATGTTCTGGTATCTCAGTTTCTCATCAGGATCGTCGGAGCTGACAATCTTTTTGTAGTACCGTTCCAGTTCGCGGTGATCATTTTGGATGGCCTGGCTGATCTTGAAAACCTGACTGTGCTCGAGCGACTCGGCCTTGCCCGGGAAGCGGTAATCCGCATATGCACGTCTCATGAGCGGCGCTGTCTGCCGACCATACGTGCGCAGGGGCCTGACGGCCTGGGACAGCAGGACTGGACGACGGAACATGATGATGACCTCGGTGTGCAGCGGTAGGCAATGCGGAGAGGGATGGTGGTGATGGTGCTTATGGTGTTGTGGTTGGAGATGCTGGGGTGAGGGGCAATGGGCTGCGTGAGAGGAAGCTGACTTATTGCCCGGCGTGACTGGAATCAGTTGTTTTGATCGTAGAGGTGAGTGCTGTATATGACGATGGGCGCCGTCACCGCACCGTAATCAGCTCCGGTGACAAAAATGGGGCCTTCATGACGGGATGGCTACGGGTACTTAAGGGGTATGTTCACCTGCAATCTCACAGTCTGACCGACATTGAATCTACATCAATGATGTATGTATGTCAGGCACACCCAATGAATTCTGCCGCCTCAGTGTTACCTGACCTGTACCTACCTAGGTACGTGCCATGGGACTTCAGCCTCCGGAGCATTATCTCCGCCACGCCATCGGTGCACCATTGTCCGAAGGTCGTGCTGATTGAGGTGGTGATAGAGGGGCCGGGACCAACGGCCCGCAGGTTGTGCCACAAGTTGTACCGACTCTGGTACCTTAAGGTAGGCATGCCACGACTTGTAGTCTATCCCTTGCTTACTTGCGCTGACGTTTTGCAAAGGCGAGCGTTCCTGTCATCAAGCCTTCTGTGCCCGGAAGAAGTTGCCAATGGGCTATACTTGTGTGCTGCGACGGACGAATAAGCCCCTTTTCAAGACCCAGAGGCATTGCACCAGACATACACGCAAGCGGTTGACAAGATCATTCTTATATTCAACAGGACTGGGCGCTTTCTCGCAGGTAATCTTCTGGAAACCATCAGACTGCTCATTCTGCTGCACCGCAATTCATCTTGTTACCCTGCTTGGATGACAACATGGATACCATGTGATGGCCTGGAGATAGACCGGGAGAACTACCAGGAGATCGACCATGCCATCCCCATATCATTCCATGCTGATATATTCGAGCATAGGCGTGGCACCCCAGGAACCATAGAGGTAAGTGGCAGAAATCTGGTCACCACCATTGGTCCCATCACCTGGTATCATACGAATCCAAGCGCTCATACTTCCGCTCTGCCCGCTTAGCCTCGTCGCCCTTGTGGAGCTCGTTCAGATAGTCCTTGAAGTCTCTCGAGAGCTCAACGACAGCCCGCAGGTGCTCGTCCGTCACCATGACCTTCCCATCCTCCCCCTTCTCAGCATCGTACTCGGCAAGCGACACGGCTGTCTGGAAAGCTGCAGTCCGGTTAGCAAAGGAGTCATGTAGCAGAAACGGGTGATGTGTTCGGGCCTACCATTCCGGATCTCTCGGCCGTTCCATTTCAACGCCTTCATCTCCGACCCGCGGATGTAATCCTTCGCGTCGACGTTGAGGCGCATGTAGTCTCCTCGTTCCTTCACCAGCTTGTCCATGAACGTCTGCCAGACTTGGCGCCTCTGGTCGTCGTCGAAGTCGGGGTAGTATAGCTGCAAGTGCACTCGAGAGATGAAAGCGTCGTCAAATGAACCGACCCTGTTTGTCGTGAGGAAGAGGATTCCGTCGTAGAATTCGAGAGCTCTCAAGAAGCCTGAATGAGAAGTCAATCGCAGCCCTGTGGTCGGTCACAGTGTGTCGGGTTTCAATACGCCCACTTACCAGCGACCAGACTATTCCGCACCAGATCAGCCGTTGATCGGCGTTCCATGAACACGTCGGCCTCGTCAATCAAAAGGACCGCGCCCCAGCTCTTTGCCGTCTTGAAGTTCTTGGTCAGGTTGGTTTCCACGGTCGCTGACTCGGTGCCAATATCGCTAGATGTGAGGACCATCAACGGTCGTTTGGTGAACGCTGCGATACACTCTGTGGTCCCATCTCCGGTCAGCCTTTGGACCCACCTGTCGTGATTGACACTTACCGGCTGTACATGTCTTTCCGACTCCTGGACGACCATGCAACAGGAAGATGAGGCCGTGGCCTTTCCCCTTGACGAAGTCGGCAGTCCATGGGTCTCTGGTTAGGGGGTCTCCGTGCTTGTCTACGCGTGCGAAGCTTTTTGCTAGCGATTTCAGGGTCCGCTTCCGCTTGGATTCCATTACCAGGTGGTTGATCAGATCCTCGTCGAATTTGGGCTCGAAAAAGTGTCGCACATGTAGGTTTTCTGTCTCTGACTTAGCACGTCTGTCCGTGCGACCTCACCCACGATGACGGCTACTACTCACCCCATGTCCGAGTTCTGAACACGAAAGACTCCATCTCAAAGTGACACAGGAAGTACTGATGAGGCGTCAATGTGTCTGTTGTTTCAAGACCGATGTAGTTGTAGTCTTCGAACAGGGAGACCATCTTCTTGTCCTTGTCGGTCGTCTTGCTCTTGCACGCAGGGCATTTGCAGTCCGAGGTCCAGTTTCGACAATCCGCCGTCTCCATCAAGTTCGGTTTGTATCCCCCGTCAGCATAGAAGCTCTTCAGATCGGTCATCACAAGCCCATCGACCTATCGCCCGGCGAGATCAGTCTACTAGTGGCATAAAGGGGGTCGGTCGACAGATACCTCATTATAAGGAAACTTTTGAGTTTTCCCCTTGTACTGCCTGCACTGTTTTCGAAGGAGGTTCCAGTAGATCTCGCCATACCTCAGCTGATTGGCGACATCTTCAGAAAGATTGGTCCCCTCCGAGAGCTTCCCGACTTCAATGTGCTTCCACTTGTTCTGCCCGTCGAACTTCTCAATGCCAACCTGCGTTAAATACCGCCCTAGATATCGACCGTCGTATCGCATATCCCAGTAGTGGACCGTCCAGGAAATCCGGGGATTCTGGAATACGCCCCCCTCCACGGAATGAATAACGCGGGGAAGCTTGTCTGTGCTATCCCGCCACTGATCAAGGAGGGTTATTCCAGGTTTCAAGGCGACCCAAGCGTGCTCAAAGGTGTAGAACCCTTTCTTGTTCCTGTCCGTCTCTGCCAGCACGTCTGGCATCACACTATCATCGAGGAACTTCAGCAGCAGCCCGACCTGCTCATGTGCCCCTCTTTCTCGAACGCACAGGTCCGTGCCGTCTTTCTGAGCGACTCTCTCCCGAAAATCCGCAAGCTCTTGGTAATGATGGATCAGTATTGGGTACGGCCAATTGATGACAACATCGCCGGTGAGGTCCTGGGACGGATAGTACTGAACCACAGACTGGAGTGCATTCACAATGGCTTTTGAGTAGAGATGCAGGGCATAGGATGGAGGAGACGCAGTTGCGACGCTGGTGGTCGTCAAGGGTTGCGCAGTCGTCGAATCCAGTGGTGGTGGAGCCGTCTTGAATGTCGTGACCAGAGCGAAAGCCGGGCCGTCGAGACTGTCCTTGTCGTCGTCGTCGAAGCCAGGTCCTTTGGTGTCGCGGTGGCTGATGAGCTCATTAGTGTCGCGGTTGCGATGCTCTACTCGGTATCGTATCCAGGCTCCTCTTGGTGCGTCCTTGTCCGGAGCGGGTTCTGATTGCCCATTGACCTCCATGCTGACTTCGAACCGTGGAACGGCTGATCACGATGCTCTTGCTTGTTCGAAAGAAACGACGTAGATGAGAGACTTCATTACGATCAATTGAGCCTCTGTTGCTGAAACAGCGAGCGCAAAGACTTTATGTAAACTTTTCGGCCCCCAAGTCACCAGAAGCGAGAGGCCCCTCCCCTGTCCGGTCGCATGACAGGGGGTGAAGATAACCAACCATCGAAGGCAATGGGCTCGCACTCGTTCTTCAGCTGAGCTCAGGATCCCGGTGAGGAGGAGTATGACTGGTCACTGCAGCTTAAATGAATGATGGGTGGACCAGGAGTCGGCATCCCCGCTGCTGCCTCACGGGAGCTCGCGCGATGTAATGTGATATAATGCGACGCTCCTAGCCTCGTGCCGAAAGAATCCTCCTGACCAACACCATTCGGCGGGCACACATCGGTACACTTAAACTCGAATGCTCTGTTCGATGTTCCCCTTATAGCTGTCTATCTTGACGCGAAGGTGAACCGTACAGCCGAAGATGACTACGACAACTATTGACAACGCCCGGGAGGGCCGAAGGCTTGTCCGAATGTACAGCGGTGACGTCGAGGGCAGGCTGCCATATGGTAGCAACGCTCAAGTCCTGGGTCAGGTCCTGGGTCAAAATCATCCTGACCCAAGAGACGTAGCGAATCCATGGCGGAAGTTCTTCGAGACCTGGGAACCTGGAGAGACCGAGCTGTACGATATCACTAACATACCCAGAATGTGTTACTAGCCCTAACACGAGATGTGGCCAGGGACCCTATCACAGATGTGATCACCATCGAGTCGAACAAGCTTCGGGAGAATTTCCTCTCTTTCCTGACCAATTGCTCGGGTCAGGATCGACTCAACCTGGCCAGATCGGAGCCGACTATGGAAGGCGTCATTGAACTTGTCCAAGAGGTCACTGCGGCTGCCCAGGCTAAGAAAGACAGCAGCCGTCGAGGCAAGGCGATGAAGTATTTCCACAAGTTCTGCAGGACCGTTGATTCGCATAAGGCAATGTTGGAGATCAGTGAGCAGCATCCATGGCCTCATACTCACCTTTGGACGCCAGTCACGTTAGTCAGCTGGGAGAAGTGAATGCTAACGCCGCGTCTCACAGTCCCACAAGGCAGCGAGTATGTGTCCATTCTAGCCGGCACGTTGACCGTCGTCATACAGGTCAGGTCGCCGGCACCAATAACGATCCAGTCGCTGATGAGTAATTTAGGCCAGTATAAACCACGAGCGCATGGCCGAGGACTTATCAGAGGCGCTTTGCAGCATCAGCGAGTACGTCGTGGAGTGCAAAGTCGAGCTCGAGCTTTTCAGAACCCAGGCCATGATGAAACTGATTGCGGACTTCTACGCGCATATCTTTGTCTTCCTCTCGGACGTGATGGATTGGATTGCCGAGAAAAGACGACGCAGGCTACTCGACTCTTTCAACGAGAACTTCTACCAGAAGTTCGAGGACAAGATCGAAACGATCAAGCGAAAGTCGGAGATGATCCGAAACCTGGCAGCTCAGAGCTCGCGGGCCGAGCAGAGGGCCACGAGACTCACTCTAGAGGAGTTGGCCAAGGATGTCAGAGTCGGTCTCGTGGGTGAAGAGCGTCGACATGCCGAGATGACCTATTTTGCGGAGAGGATGGAAAGGGAGCTTTTGGCCAGGCAGGAAGAAAGACAGCTGCAGAGTGACCAGCAGTTGAAACAGCTGGCTGAGCGGCTCACAAGTATGCTGCAGGATAAAGCCGTGGTTTGGATTGGTGATATGCGTTCAGTGAACGGAGGTATGCTTATTACCCTGTTCCGCCCTCTCTTACGAACAGTCCAGCTGACCAGTATGGCGAAGGACTTCCCCTGGGCCTCACAGAACTCCAGCACCTCGCTTCTCCGCTCCAGATGTTGAGTGGTGCAGGGGGTTATTCTCGAAGTGGCTCACCAGCAATCGTTGGATGGACAGCTGAGGAAGTCTTGTTGAACTCCAGACACATGGAAGATTTCTTCCATCGAGATCGGATCAGACTACAAACTGATCTTTCTAGCCCGACTCCAGTGACGAGTGAGGCTCTCAGCCGACTCGCCGAGTGGATGAAGAGTCAGTCTTCGTGCTTTCTTTGGCTGGAAGGCCCGCATACAGAAGCCGATGACTTCGACAACGCCATGACTATATTGGCGAACAAGGTCGTTGAACTAGCAGAAGAAGCTCATGTGCCCGTCGTATCGTAGTAGGTCAATCTTTGATATTAGTATGACCCAGGCACCCGATCACTAACCTGCTCCATTACAGCTGTTGCGAACTGCGCCGAGGGGAACGTCTCAGGTCTGGCAACGACACGCGTGAAGCTCAGTCGACAGTGGCTTTGACGTGTGCACTTTTGCGGCAGATGGTAGAGCACTTGCTTCCGAGGTTCGAAACAGAAATTGATCTTTCAGCGAGCCGTCTCCGAGTCCTGGATGGGTCGATCCTATGCTGGTCGCAGATGTTGCAACTCTTCTGCGATCTCCTGCCACTCATGCCCGATACTCTGCTCTGTGTTATTGACGGCCTTCAGTGGCTTGGCGACCGAAGCACCGATGTGTACTTGGAAGAGCTGCTCCAGGCGATGAGGGGTACCAAGCTGAGGGTTCTGTTCACGACGACGGGCAGGTCGGTTTGCTTACGGAAGCAGCTGCAGCCGAACGAGACTCTGGCAATTGAGGCTGTCGACTTGCGAGAAGCGGCGTGGGGATTGGACAGGAATAACTCGTGGGCTTTAACATCCACTTGAGGGGGTGGTTTCGTCGCCATCATGCAGACACCTGGGCATCTTCATACTCAATCCATCCCTGTCACCTGCACCAGCCAGGAACATCTCATGTACGGTAGGGTGTTTGGTCCATCTGCCGCAGCACACACACAAGTGTAAATGGCCGACTTCTAGACTTCTAGGGACAGAAGGCTTGCTGACAGGAATGTCCGCCTAGGTATGCAAAACGTTAGCATATATTTAGTAAGGGATAGAATAGACTACAAGTCGGCCCATGCTTGTTATAAAGTTAGTATAACCTTATATAATTTCGTCGAATTATAAGGAATAAGCGCTAATTAAAAGATATTAAAGGATTTAAAGCGTCAATTAAAAGAATAAAGTGGATAAAAAAGTTTAAATAGGTACTGTGAGCAGTATCTGTTGAATACACGGATGTTGATTGATGCTATTGATTGTTCTGCTCTGCGTGCAGAGATTGATCATCTGTCTTCTTGGAGGGTCAGATGCCCTGTGCGTCTCTGCCCGACTGGAGATCTTCCGGTGTCTATCTCCGGCTCCTATTCAACAGTATCATCTGTATATGTAAGCGGTATGTGGGGATCAGCCACGCTGTCGGGTCGTACAGGGACCCACAGGGCATATAAGTGTATTCTACCACCAACAAACAGTTGATACATCTTTTCCTGAAACCAACAACGCTGTCACGCTCATACTGCACTTATCGTTTCACGGATAATGCTCTCAGATATAAAATATGAATAATATAATAGTTTAGAATTATAAAATAATTAGTACTTATCAAATAAAATTATAGCTAATATCAAGTCAAAAAATGTAAATAAAAACCTTAAAAGGGTAAAAAGAGAAGTATTTAAGCGTTGTTTAATAAGTTTATTATTTAATATTAAATAACCGAGTATTAAAAGACTTTTATAACTATATTTAAGTAGGAATCTTCTTTATAAACTTATAATTAAAATACAGACTATTATTTATCTTATTTTGACCTATTTAAACTTCGTTTTTATATAGTAATATCTTTAACTCTAATGAAATAAGGGTTTTCAATATTTTAAAGGAAATTAAAGCCCTTTAATGAGCTTTTGAGCCTTTTATGACCTTATATAGTATCTTTAAATAATAAAGACGTCTATTTTAAGCGTAAAGACGGACTTATTAACAATGTCGTTATTTTAAAACGTTAAAATAACGCGCTTTAAAATGAAATCTTAAATATAAAAAACTTAATAACTCGTTACAACGTTTTTAGTGGCAAGGCTATTAAAGGTAGTGAAAAGTTATTTATTAAAAAAGATAATATCGTTTAAAAAACGACGCTTTTATGGTCTATGAAAAACACGGCTTTAAGTAATGACTATTAAGAAAGGGCTACTTAAAAAAATAAGTAATTAAAGGTTTCAAAACGCTACGTTTGTTATTATTATTAACAAAATCGGCTATTAAGATAACTTTATATTTATACGGCTTAAATAGTTGCAAATTAATAATATAATTATAAGGGGGTATTTAAGATTTTAATAGGTAGCTCGTACTTATATATATAATTGTCAAATGTTGGATCCCAGATATGGTGCCCTTAGGTGCAGTACCCACTAGGGGGCTGTCAAGAGAACAGTGGATCCACCCTTGCATGGTGCAGTATGGTATTTAGCTGTAGATTAGCCCTACCGAGCATACTTGAGAATGACAACAACATTTGCAGCGACCGCTCACACCCCCAAGGCTTGTGACCCTTCTAGAATCTCACAATAATTTATATTAATAGTATATTATAAGTTGAGAGGCAATGTATTATATAAAGATAAGAAAAAGCTTATTTTTATTTTTATTTTATAAATAATATTTAAGTGGTTAAACTAAGGTAAGAAATTACGTAGTTTAATGATAATTTATAGCGATATTAACGAAAAACTGGTACGTTTTATTCAAAGCTTATAATATAGTAATAATATAATTAACCGTTTTAAAACGACGTATAAAGCAGGTAAAAAGAAATAAAAGTTGATATTATAAGATAAATGTTAAAGTATAATTATATTAATAATTGTTTTATTTTATACGTAATAAATTTAATTAATTCAATAGTTCAATGATTTAATAATTTAATAACTCGTAACAACGACGTAAGTAACGTAATTATTTTAGTATGTAAAGTTCAAGGGCTCAGATAGGGTCAGCATGGGATGGATCAAGTTCGGTGTCTTGGTTATGGATCCATAGGAAATATTCCCACCTAAATACAGCTGTAAAAGCCCTTTGATATCCGGCTGCCTGACAGCAGACAACAGACCTACCAATGGTCATCATAATGGACCTTTCTGTTACGAACCAACGGAACGTACAAGAGGATCAGGCCCGCTGGCAGGCCCAACAGGACGGGCAGCAACTGGAAGAACCAGGGAGAACGCATGGACCACACGGAGAAGTACAGGCCACGTGATCAGGGTTTGTGTCGGATATGTTGGATCATACATATCCAGCATATCCAGATATGTTGGATCATACATATCCAGCATATCCAGATATGTTAGAGCACACATATCCAACCTATCAGTGTGGGAGAGATTGGATATATAAGGATGGACATTTCCTAAGTTAGAACAGATAGACAGTCTCTACCTCAGTGATCAATCTAAGCATCTTAGCCAACCCTAAGGTGGGAGAAATCTCCTGACGACTCGACTATTCAGTGAACCCCGTTCAGACCAAGCCCCAGCATCTGAGTGTCTTCTAGTTGACAGAAGCCTCTATCGTCTTTTGTGTTGACTTACCTCAGAACATAAACCCTATAGAACCCTTTAGCCTTATAGGTTAGACGGCTCGTCACACTTTCACTCCCTTTGGGTCCTTTTACCCCTTTCAGCCAGCTGCCAGCTGCAGCACACACCTGATGGACACCATTATTCTCATATATTATAATAAACAGCGATTTATTTTATAAATATACGTTAAAGGGCTAAGGCTTAAAAAATAATAGCGCTTTTTCGTTCGACATATTTTCGGTATAAACATAATATTTTAATCTTTTTAACCCCATTTTATAAGGAAATTTTAAACTCGTATTAACAATAATAAAAGTAAAAAGGCGAATTATACATTGTACGACACCGATATAAGAAAAGTAACTATAATAATTAAGCTAGTAAATATTCGCATTATTAACGTTATAAAAAAGACTAATTTAAATATAACTATCTTAAGCTTTTACAAACCGATAACGAAGATAAAAACGGCTTTAAAAAACGACGAAGTAAAGCGAAAGTTTTACCGTTAAAAAGTATACGATATAACATTTTATAAGTTTAAAAGGTCTTGTTATCGTTTTTAATTTAATCGGTAGCTTTTAAATAAGTACCGTCAAAGTAACGGCGAAGGTATAACTATTAAATTATTAAAGTTAATATTATTATAAAGCGATAAACCGTATAATAAATAACGGCATTTAAACAAGCATATAATTAATGTATTATACACGATTTTAATTAACGCGTTAATAAAGATTAAAAAATATTAGCTTAATAAATCGTACGTAACGATATATTGTAAACGGTAATAAAAGTACGACAAGGTAATATTTTACGGCTATAAAAAAAGCGAAAGGTCTTTTAATTGATTAAAACTTTATTTAAAATAATACGTTCGGAGGGAAAACAAAAGAAATCGAGTATTAACAGCTTAATTAATGCTTTAAAATAATAGTTATTAAGTGGTTAAAGCTTTACCAGCTAGGATTTTACTACTATGTATACGTATATTACTTACTTAGTTAAGCGATAATATTGTCATTTAAATTAAACTTTAATCGCGTTTCCAGGGCTTTTAAACTTTATTTTTAAGCGTTATTATATAAATAGATTATTTTTAACCTTGATTGATTAAAAAAGTTACTTTATTATAAAGGTAATTAATAATTAATAATTAGTAATATTTAAAGATATAAGACGTATAAAAAGATTCATAGCGATTAAGTATGATTATAACTAGTAATAAGTTTTGAAAGGGTAAATAAAGACTTTAAAAATAAAATGAAGCATTTAAACGTTGTTTTATAAGTTTATTGTTTAATATTAAATAACCGAGTTTTAAAAGGTTTTAATAATTATATTCATATATAAGTTTCCCTTATAAATTTATAATTGAAACATCGATCATTGTTTATCTTATTTTAACTTTATTTAAACCTCTTTTTAAAAAATAATTAAAAATAACTAAAAATAAATAACTTAAACTTAGTTTTATTAATTTTTATATTTAAAAATATTAAATAATAGAAGGTATTATATATAATAATTTTACAATCTTTATTATTTTTGAGTTATGTTTTAATTTTATTCTATTAAAATATAAAATCTACTAATCCAAGGTGGGTCGTAGATTAAAGCGCCTACCTCCTTCTTGCTATTCTTTTGCAACCACAACCCTCAACATTCAGCAGGTATTCGCAGCTCGGCCTGCTCTGGGACGAGCGCGAGCTGTCTAGGCGGATTCAAGACGGAGTATCACAATATAACTTCCTCGGCGGCATTCTAATTTCCCCGAGCCGCAATCCAACGCGGCGTCGGACCGCAATCGCGTACAAACAATCCCGACGCTCGTACTCGAGAGCTCCCTTCGAAGCCACCTTCTGGAACACCCAACCACCCGGTGGTGTGCGCGCTATCCCGCCAATGTAACGCGCCAGAACCACAGCTTTTTATGCAGATAGCGACGAATTCCCTGTCGTCTTGGCCTGACTGGGCGTAACACGATCATCCCAGCTCGACTAGCAGGCTTGACGCCCACCACCCGTCACAATGGATGGAAATCGCGTTCGCAAAGCGCGGATCGAAATACCCATCCCGTTCAAACGTCGGCCATACAGGTCGGGCGACGGCCCTGCTCTTGCCCCGATCCGCATAGCCCTCGAGAACGAATCGAACGCTTTCATAATCGACAGGCGCGTCCGCCCAGGTACACCGATCAACAACGAGCTCAGGCTGGAGATGTACTACATTGTGGGGTGGCCGGACCTGCCTACTGTCCGCCTAGCCGTTCTTGCGACGAAGATCTACGATTACGTCTCGCCGCGCACGGTTGAGGATTGGGAGTATAATCTGTTGCTGGAGCAGGACAAGGAACGAGAGGAACGAGAGGAACGCGAGGCAGAAGCAATGCGCCGGGCCAAGAAGGTAGCTCTGGGACGGACGGCATCTACACCGGCAGCAAGTACGCCGAAGCCTGGCACGCCAATGGTCGCCGGGCAGAATAAGCGCGGTCGTCCGAGCAAGGCGGACATGCCTGCGCGTCGGATGGCACAGCAGGCCAGCTTCGACGATGCCGACATGGAGAGAGTCGAGGCGTCTTTACCTCCCACACAAACGTCTGGCCCGTCATTGTCCACGCCCCAGAAGCGACTCGCTGCCGAACTCATAACACCCGTGGATGATCTTGACGATAACGAACATAATGCCATATTCAAACAGCTCAATGGCGAAGACACCGACATGGACGCCAATGGCCGGACGTGGGGTGAAGATGAGGATGAGGATGAAGAAGAAAAAAAAAAGGAAGAGGAAGAAGAAGAAGAAGAGGTCGACCTGCTCGAGGCCCCGACTAGGTCAAATTTCTTCGCCGGCCTCTCACAAAAAGGGTACGCTTATCCTTTCATCCCAAACTCTTTACATACTTCAAACATGTCATCCAATAGAGACCCGCCCCGACCAACCTCTAACACTCCCGTCCCGGCCCCATCATACCCTCGTCCGAAGTTCAAGAAGAAGACACCGTGGTCACCGAGATCCAAGCTCACCACTCCTGTTCCAGTTCCAACGGTTCCACGTCCGCCTCTGAAGCAGCTGCTACCCCCAAGGGTAAAGCTTACCACCCCAGTGCCGGTCCCCTATTTCCCGGCACCGAAGCCTAAAATATTACTGGCAACGGCAGAAAAGATCGAAACCCCAGTTCCCGTTCCCGCTTTCGAAGAATTAGTTCGAAATGGAGCAAGATCAGCACCGCAACCCAGGTCTACATTCGAGCACCACGGTTTCACACCAGCGGGTCGCAGCTCTGGCAGATGGCCGACGGATTCAATAACCGTAGCTGGGCCAGATTCGCGGACCCAGACGCTGGAGACTCCCCTCAAGCCTCGCCCGAGGTCTCACAAGAAGCCAAGAACACCACCGCCCAAGGAAGACGAACCCGTCTGGGAAGTCAAACGGCTGGAAGGAGACAAAGTAGTAGAGATCGATGGTGCGCGCGTGCGGTACTTCATAGTTCGCTGGGAGGGCAATTGGCCCCCGGACCAGAATCCCACCTGGGAACCCGAGTCCTTCATCGCGCCGCCCTTGGTCAAGCAGTACCTGAAGAAGAAAGCGAGCAAGGGCGACAGTAGTAGCGCAGCCAATACCCCAATCAAAGTCGAGAAGATCGAACGTCCAATGTCGACCCTCAAGCGGAAGTACTCCAGCGTGGCCGAGGCTTTCGAAGGCACGGCGGACGAGGAAGACCCGCTGCACGTCGTCAGCCCGGCCAGAGCGTACGATGCAGACGTCGGGGATGATGCTGACGATGACGGGGTGGATCGCCTGCGGGTCACCGAACGCGACGACTCGCCTCCGATGCGATACTCGGACCATTCGTTCGACGCTGCGCTGATGATGAAGCTCGCGTCGACGTTCCGTAGCAGTGCACTGGGGTCGGGGCCGTAGTATGGCTTTTGACGGGCAGCTTGATAATGATCCTTATCAGTATGCTTTGAACTTGCTGGGAACCCTTGGCTGCGTGCTTGGAGGTTTGGCGGTTGGGGACCTGGACTATGGAGGATGGAGGTGAATGAATGATGCTTACCTTAGCATAAGGTAGTGCTGTAGTATATACTGGGTGGTTGGTTGGTCTGCAGGGTCGGAGTGGGCCAGACATGTTGAATATGCTGCATTCTTCTGCCTGGCGGGAGGATGCTCTCGACTAGCTTCGGAGAGAGATGCTGTTGGCACTGAAAATGGGAAGTGTTAGCCCATCCACTAACTTTGACGTGTTGCTGCTGTGATATGAATGCGCGTTTTTTGGGGCAAGTCCTGTTATTTGCACCTTGTCTTTACCCCTATCTCCCTAAGCAGCTAGCAGCAGGCTAAACTATTAAGCTTACGGCTTACTATTAGATCGAGGTTGTCGGTGTAGTCGTCGGTATAATTGTGACTGTAGTTGTTAATATAGTTGTTCGCGCAGTTGTTGGTGCAGTTGTGCGGAGATGGGCTGTATTGCAGCTGAGCGGCAGTTGGGGTGTGAAGACAAGGTGCAAATAAGGAATTCTAACAAGGTGCAAATAGCAGGACGACTCTTCTTGGTGGGAGTTGGCGGGAGTCCATTCACGCACGGGGCAGTAGGGGTTACCAGTGCCACACACAACTTTCCACTACCATGGGCCTCTGGCGATCTACAGCAACGATCGCAACCTACTACGACATGTCACATCACGGGGAGAAAGAAAGACGGTCACGTTTTTACGGTCAGGAATTTGGGTTTTCATCTAATATTGCATTATCATTTACATGTATCTAACAAGAATGCTCGACTATCCCACGCCGAAATTCGGAAGAAATTCTTCGCAAGTATTGCAGAGGAAGTCGATACTGCTCTGCTGGTGTGGTCGTGGAAGGAAAGGCCGAGATCGGGCGAATGTTCATTCGCAAATCCATCGCAGATGCCATGAGACCTTTTCTCGTCGCGGTTGTCGATTGGCCACAGATGGTGAGCCTATGTTCCTCGTCTGTCCTTGTAATGTCGACAATGAAGTAGGAAAACACCGCAAATCAGTGCGATTGCCCAGATAAAGAGGAGCTTGGTTCGTAATGTACAGGCGCGGTAGAGTCGCACAGGTATTGCGAATAGAGCGGGTGATGCTCTAGTTGTATATGTCTTCATCGTCATCGATGACGGGGTTGGGGGTCGTCTTCTTGGCGACTGCAGACGACAACGACTTGGCTTCCTTAAATACCAGTCGGGATGGGTCCGCTGCGACAGCTTTGGTATCGGTCGTGGAATCAGCCGCTTCCTTGGGATTGCCTCCAGTGCATTTGGTCTCGTCACGGGCATCGGCCGGTCCGTCAAGCGAGGGACCACCGACAGGCCGATCCTCCTCCTCAAGTTCCGGTTCACACTCCTCGCCACGTGCCCACGCCCGCTCCTGCTGGTATCGTGCAAACATTCCAGCATATCTGTCCTCGGCCTCGGACATCGAGTAGACCGCGGGCCCCGGCTTGCTCACAATGGCAGTGACCTCCCAAGCGAACACATACGGACGGCCGTCGCGGTTGATCAGCTCGCGGTAGGCGGGATCGTTCTGAGGTAGCTTCCATTTTGGTATCATCTCGTCATCGGCCTCCTCGCCCTTCGATTCTTTCGGCTCAGCAGATGAGTCGACGGTAACGGTGGCAGCGGTCTTCGCTTGTTGCTTCGGGCTACCATCGGGGGTTCTAGGAGTGGATGAAGCACCAGGCTCTTCGGTGGTATTGGCGGGCTTCTGATCAAGAAAAACCTCCGTGTCTTCGTCCTTGGCATCGTTGACTTCCATCTTGGGAAGTTGATGGAAGTTGCACTTCCACTCTGCTGGGTTACTCGTGTACCCTTGGTAGTCGTATTGAGCATAGAACTGCTCCTGCGAGATGATGCGGTAACGGGCACAGCTCAGGTCGCCACTGCGAAGGCAAATATCGCACTTATGGTCCTCAGGCCAGCGGCCTCGGGCTTGAGGTTCTCTTCGAGCGTGCCCGGCGGGTGGATCGGGTCGTACTCCTCGGTCGCAGCCCCTGGGTGAGTCGACGGGGGCGGCGGCGAAGGGCTTGGGGAGCAGAAGCTCAAGAGCCTTGATATTCTCAAGCTGACCACCAAATGCGCCACCGGGCTTTCCACCAGGCAATAGCAATGGCGCTCCCTCCTCGTGATCAGGGTTGGTCTTAGCAGACAGCACAGGGGTGAAGACGATAAGACTGGGCTCTTCAGAGGTCTCCTTGGAAGGATTGGAGGGCGAAGGAGTCATGGGGTCAGCAACGACCCATTCGGCCGTCTCAGTCGACGCGGTAGGTGCGACTGCATATGCGACGGCCCTCTCCAGCTGTGGGGCAGGTTCGGGTACGCAGTTGCGTGCCTGCCACGCGTCCAGGAGGCTAACTTGTTTGCCTCTTGCCAGAGAGGCGGGACCGTGCAGCTGGTCCAGGGGAACTACACAAGGATCTGCTGCAAAATACACATGCTTTTGCATACCGATGTAACGGATTGAGTTGCGGATGGTGTTATACATGCATCCGGCGTATGCAACGTCCCGGAAGGAAAGGTAGAGGGTGGTGCCGTGGAGCGCGTTGCCGTCCTCGCCGAACCAGACGTCTTCAAGATGGTCTTCTGGCTTCTTGTACCAAATCTTCAACGAGTCAAGGAATTCCTAGATCCCGTCAACATTGAATTTCTGGATCGCGAGACATCTGGTGAAGTTGCGATTCAGCTGGGCCATCTGCTGAAAAGAGATCGGATAAGTGGCTGAACCAGCCAGTTCAACTTGTATCTTCTCATTGAAGACTTCTGCGATGTGAGCCTGCGCGTACTCAGAGTAGGCACGAGCATCAAGGTAGTCACGGAACGTGACACAGGCCGCGCTGCCGGTCACGACTGCTCGGAGAACCTGACCGCCACGAACTCTTGCTAGGATATCTCGGACGTGGGTGTGCGGATGGATGTTGTATATGAGGACATTTCGACACTCATAATTAGAGTCTCTCATCTCCGCCGGGATTGCGCCTTCCGTGGTCAATGGGCAGAATCGCACTCCATGCTGAAACATCCTGGGGATGGGGGCGTATTGACCCATGAGTCGTCTGTGATCAGTGATCGCGGCGTGCCGTTCCTCTTCAGACTCGAAGATCCTGTCCTTGGGATCGTGGTAGGAAGGGACCGTGGGTACTGATGACGGGACCGCCTCGTCCGGGTTGATAAGGCCGGGACTAAGGAAAGGCGAAGAAGGTTGAGTTATACCTGACTCGCCGAGATCGAGATCTATGGCAGGTGCAGCATGTGGGAAAAGCCCGGTGCCATGGGAAGATGCGGAGGGTGAAGGGAGTCCAAACAGCCCGGCACAATCGGGAGATGAGGAGGGTGAGGGGTCAAGAAGCCCGGGACGGATGAAGTTGGGAAGAATTGAGTTTATATAGGGGGCAGGAGTCCGTCTACTGCTTAAACGGCTCTGTCGCTGGTCGTCTTCATTCGGCGTCTCGGGAGCTTCTGATGCCTCGTCGGTGCCACTCCGGTGAGTCTGGCGCGATTCAGGAGGTACGACGGGCGGCGGGCGTAGTCCCAAGGGTATGTAACGGAGAGACGATTCCTTGGTGATCAAGGGCTCTCGCGTCGTTCCGTGCAAGTTCTGGAGACCTTCTGTGAGCTTCTCCTCAAGATTGCGTTTGACAGTGAGCACAACTTGGCCGCTAGACGTATCCATGCCCCAAGACAGGTCGGCAGCTTCAGGAGCCACAATCTTCACGGTATCACTGAGGTCCGTGACCACCTTGATGTGGCTCTTGAGTCTCTCAATCTCGTCACAGCGTCTGAGAATTTTGAGTCGGAGAACCTCCATCTGAGTGATATTCGCCTTCATATCTTTGATTAGCTGATCGATGATGAAGGTTTGGGAGGTCGCGTCTTCAGAGCACGTGTTGCAGCTGTGAGCAAGGTCGTGTATCACCGATGCATCAAACTTGTTGCGCGCTTCCAGGATTTTAATGCGCGTGTTCAATCCATATACCCGGATAGGTTCGTGCTTCTCCAAGGCCTGCACCGAATGGAGTCTTGCGGTGAGGTTGTGCAATTCTGTCGAGAGGCCGGTTCTGTTGTGTTGCAGCACATGACAGCCACCGTATCGGGGTACCGCGAAATCAGCCATCGTAGATTCGTGAAGGGCAATGGGACGGTGAGGGTGATACAGGCTATCTTGTCGTGAAAGACCAAACCGTATCGCTGAGATGAAATCAGAGGATCAAATACTGGCGGGAAAAAGAACCCGAACGTCAACCTCAACAGAAAGAAAGGCAGTGAGAAGCAGCAAAGACAGCGAGTCTTCGAGTGCTGATTGCCGGGAGTCTGTGATGCAGTGCGAGGCTACCCTGAATGGACGGACCAAGTCAGTAATGTAATGAGACGTCTTTCAAGCCATCGGCTGAGCAGACACGATGTTGCAGTTTACCTGTGATGCGAGTTTTACTATGCAGAGAACAGAGCAGAGACTCGACAGACTCGAGAATCTATGTTGATCTTGACGATGCGATGTCGGCGCTGGAATATTCCAGGCGTGTCGTGAATGAAATACTTCAGGCTGAGATGCAGTTCTGCGAGAGCAAGACCTGACTCTTCTTAAGTCGACCGACGGCAAGAGCTGACCTGGAAGTAAGTCAATGTTAGTGATGGAGTGCAAGATCGCGGGCAACAATAATTTGTTGTGGTGTTGTGTGGGGTGGATTATCATATCAAGGACTTACCCAGTAGTAGGTCCGAGGTAGAGGGCGGAAGCAGTAAACCCGTGGCCGGTTATGTTAGAATCGTTCTTTTTCAGATAAAGGCCCGAGTACCATGGGGAAGAGAGGTGGCAGGCAAAAGTTGAGGAAGTAGGAGTGGGTGGGGCAAGCGGGCGATGCTGTATGGGCGATGCAATACGTTAAGTAGGGGCAATGCAGCCTGCCTTAGATGAAGAGGTGCGGGCACAGACAGACGGGAAGAGGGTCATGCAGCGAGAGAAGGGGACGTAAGAAGATGGAGATGGGAAGTACCCTTGGACCAGAGGCGCTGGGATGCCTTTTATTGTTGGAGAACTCGGTGCAGGCGAAGGAGACGTGGTGCAGCAGGTGCGAGGCAGTGCAGTGAGAAGCGAGTCCAGCTGAAGCGCGTGCGTAAATAGGTGAGACTGAATGTTGCACCTGACAGGAGTGGGATGGAGAAGGGAGGACTTGAGTAGCTCCTTGAACAAGAGGTGCCGAAGATTAGCAATTCTCTTGTTGTCAGAAGATGTGCGGGTGAAGGGGAAGAGGGAGCGTGCGGGTGTAAAAGGTAGCGTGGTGATAAGCGAAGACGGCCGAGGACCGATCCGAAGCAGAAGGTACGCAATCGTCTGATCCGCTATCCCCAGCTACGTATCTCAAGAGATCGAAGATATGTGCATGCCGGACGATGGTGTGCAAGGACAGGAAGATGATGCTGAAGATCGATCGTGAGGAAGAAGGGAGAAATGGGCAACTTACCTGATGACCTGGATGCCAAAGCAAGTTCGACACAGAGGTAGAGGAGCCGGTAGAGGGGCCGAGACAAGGACCGGAGGCAAATATCAAGATCGCAAGTGAAAGGTGCGAAAGGCCAAGCAACGGCCACGAGAGAGGTTGCCGAGTAATCGCTGGAATCAATGGCTCTAGTCAGTGGAATGGATCAAGTAGGTGTTGGAAGAAGTGCAAGGATTGGGCGGAGGAAGGGTGTGGTGGTCGAGGTTAATGATTGTGGAAGGAGGTTTGGGGGTGGGAGGTGTTGAAGAGGGAGAAGGGTTGCGGATTAGATATTTCGGTCCAAGCTCGAGTGGGTCAGTGCTCTGGTGAGGGTCGTGAAGTACTGGAAATATGTCGAGGGGATTTGGTGAGGGAATTCGTTGAGGGCACTCTTCAAGGACACTCGAGGGGGGTCACAACAGTGGCCACGAGAATAGGTGCTGCTTTTCTGGGCGTGTTTCTGGGTGACGACTTGGAAGTTCTCGATGGTGCAGTAGCAGAGACAAGACCCTTGTGGCAGAGACGAGACCCTTGTTCGCTGCCTGTAGTGTTCACGGTGCGTGCTGAGAGAGGTAGATCGGACAGGAAATCGTCAGGGGTAACAGGGGCGACGAGGGCAGGTGACGAGAGCAAGGGAGGGATGCGTACCAAAATCCACTTACGAGGGATCGATGTTGAATGTCAATGGTATTGAGAAAGGAAGTGCTCAACTTACCAGGCCTGAGAAGGTGAGGATCGATCGAGATTGCGATCAAGGTAGTGGTGAAAGGTGTATTTGTGATTGAGGTTGGGACGTGGGGATACAAAGGGAAAGATGGGAAAATATAGTCTTCTTCGCTTAGGGCTGGAAGACCTATGTGGCGGATCCGTGCTGAGTCACATCATACATGTTCACTTGGCGGCCCTGGACGTAACGAGAGCAGTGCCCACGGTTGCGTGGACATGTGGTGTCACCCGTAGGGGGGCCACACCGGGACGGGATACCCCTCGAGCCATCGGAGGATCTCTCGACCGCATCGCGCCTGGAGATCTGGGGCAACTTCTGCAGCTGCGGCCCCGGCGGCGTCAATGTCAACATCGACAAGGACAGACTGGCGGTGCTGCCCAACCACGCCCTGAACGGCAGACAGATCAAGACTCTCGTCAAGGCGGCCGAGAGCCTGGCGGTGTTTGACGACACCCACCCCGGCCTGTCCCGGCTGCAGCAGGAAATTTTCATTCCAATGTGCAACGTTGTCCACGACCCCGTTGATAACATACCTGCATCTGCAAATCGTGGAATCAGCCCCGTCCATTGCCCACTGTTCACATCCACGTGCCATTCCCATCAATGGAATCCCCAGTTGGCTGCCAAGACCCCGGCACGAGGATAAAGAACCTCTCAACAGACTTTCTGACCTTGCAAACAGATCTAAGCCGATGTGAAGATCTGTGAGATTGTGGCCACACTGAGTGCTTGAGCGCTTGTGCTGTGTCATCCCTAGCTGGTAGGAGTGCAGTCAGTACTGCTTTTCAACAGAATGTCAACATCAGACACGTCGGTTGCGACTTTATCACGCCGTCTAGTAGCCAAGACCTCGAAGACCGTTTCAAAGATGATCTTCAAGTAATGATCCAAGTGTCAGAAGTCCAATTCTAAGGCCAGCGTGCAAGTCTGGCACACATCGAGCCGCCCCATGATCATCATGGGTGTCGAGGACAGGTGGATCTCGTATGATGGACCCAAGCATCGGGTATCAGTCGATGCAGGCAATCAATAGACCGGACGTGTGCTGGCCACAAACCCAATTGGCGAGGGCTTCCTCATGAGCAGCCCAGTGACTGGCAACTCTCTGTGATGCGAGGCGTGATGGGAGCCGTTTCGACAGACCCAGATGACCAAGGACACGGTCTCAATGAGGGACCAAATGAACGCGTTTTCTTGTTTTCTTGGATACTGGCTGAGCCTCGGCTCCAACCAGTGGTCAAAAGTTTACGCCATGTTGGTGATGGTAGTAGGCAAAGTCGTACATCTGTATTGTGGTCAGCACTTGCTGGAGATTGAGGAGGTTTCCGTGATGCATTGAACCGTCAAAGCAAAATATCGTGATAGGTCACAGACCTTCTCTCTTTTAAGGAGGACTTGGAGCTTGACGAGGTTGACATCCAAATGCGCGTTAGCTCGCGTCTGCCTGGTACTCGGCTGATCATCTTCTCCGTAACCGGACCTTGGTGGGTCCACCCATTAGGCATGGTGGGGACTGACCTCGACGGCAGTCCGATTTCGGAGCACTTCAAATTACAGTAGTGCGGCATTCCCAAGGAGTCCAAGGCCTCCCGTCCTCTTGGGCGTGAAGGATACGTAGAATACGTCCATGAAGTTATAATACCCACCTGCGACACCATATGTCCCACTGACGAGGCTGTAGAGTTAAGACTGTCAACCGTTTATTCGGTATGCGTATGCAGCGGGTGCTGCTAATACAGTATGACTTCCTCGAATCAAGTGACGCGACTCTTGCCTTGGAGAGTAGCATAGGTACTCTGATGATACAATGTGCCTGCTGTGCTGCCATTTACGCCATCTTTGAACTCTAGATCATGAGAGATGCAACATATATTACTTAGAAAGGAGGGGCTGGCAATCATACAGAACAAAAAGGTATTGGATCAGTGAGTATAAGGTAAGTCTATAGTAGTATAATACAGCGAGCATAAGCTTGATGTCGCGCTGGCTTGGAACGATTGTATCAAGGGGTTGGGCTTCTTCCGTTTCCCATCTACAATATCCAGGAACCATCTTCCGGTGGATCGAGCAACATACGAGATGCTGCCGATTCAGTAGCCGGCAATAGCCTGAGTTTACAATGACAAACGAATGACCACAGCAATCACAGTGGCAGAAACAAGAAGCTGCAAGGGAAAACGACGAGTCATAAGTGACAAATCAACATTGTTTTCTACAGCGGGAAATGGCAACAACGTACCAAACCATACGACCCCTGTATCGATCACATCGATGCGCATTTGTCCTGGCCCCCACGCTGGCAGTCTCACGTGAGAGCCATATCCTGTCACTCTGTGTACCGCGCCCCCACTGACTCGTCTACAATATATCTCGGAAGCTGGATCGCCGGAAAACTTTGCCTCGATGTGCCTGATCTGCTCAGAATTTGACTTCAGTCTTGAAGACCCGAGAGGGAAGAGGACGTGGCTAGGCGGGCAGGTGACCTTCACGCTGAGGATCAGGACCACCACGTAGGGAGGGATCGCCAAGAGTAGTGTTACACACGCGCGCACGCATGCCTCGGCTCACCACGAAGATCAGAGGGCGAACCAGACGGCTGGGTCCACACGGGTCTTGAGTCGGCATCTTATCGTCACTGATGTAGGAGCAGACCTGCATGTATGGGCGTGGGTTAAATTCCCGACTCCCCAGAGCCTGCAGTGTCCTTGTCGATGCAGGGTCAGGCACAGTAGGTACGACGCCGAGGTCAGATTGGGCCGGGATTGAACCCCTCGGGTGACCACTTGCGGCGACATGATCTGACGGTGAGGGAATGGGCTGTGAGCCTGTGATAGGGAGGCCTGGTCATTGGCCCCGGAACAACGACGAACATTGAGAATCATGCTCGTCCATTGCCCGTTGCTGCTAGGATGACTGGAGATGTCGGCGGAGGGTGCCTGACCACGCGGTGGCGTCGGGTTGGTACTGAAAGCTGGGAAGGATTGAGGCGGGCGAGGCACGAGGTGCAAGTCGTGAAACCCCAAGTGTTGCCTCCCTTTCTACATTGGTCAAATCGCTGACTTCCCAAGCTGAGGAGACAGTAGCTTGCCACGACCGTCAGAGTATGAGAAGGAATGTCTTAGAGCGCGGTAGCATCTTGACCGACCCGGTGACATGTATGATGGTTCAAGACTGGAGGTGTATTCTCACATCCATCATGTCCAGTACGCGGCGTGGGGGTGGCGACCTGAGTACAGAGGTCGACACTTGCCAGGGGGCAAAAACGGCCAACGGCTTACCCCACGCTACATAGAACACCCCCACGAACTCCCCAAGCCCACTGTAAAAACACGTTCGAGGGCACCCACTTCCCCACGGGCACGCTCCCCACCACTAGCAGTCCCACAGCTTGCCTCCCACCCATCAACCATGTGCCACCACCCAAACTCGTCACCAACATCTTCATCACACCTGAATCCAGGAACAGGTCCCTTCACCGCATCACTTCACCATGGCGCTGGCTGCCAAGCACGCCACTTTTCACTCCCCAGTTCGGATGTCACTCTGTGAACAGATGGCCCGAACACCTTTGACAATGTTTCTCTTTCATCCATGTTGCCGACAAGCGACTCAGCAAGCCAATCGCGGTCCTCCGGGCTCGTGCAGCTTCGCCCTTGGGCTTCGTCACCTTTAGGAAGTTCAATGCCAAGCCACCAACACATCTACAGACTACAACGACCTCGTAGATGTCAACTTCCTTGTACTGTGTAGTCTGTTTCAGCATGGCATTGGACCCCGGTGGTTCGGCAGGGGAAAGACCTGGTCTAGTCAGTACCTGTCACCACATGACACTTTCACCCCCACGCTTACACAAATGTCTTGGCCACCGCCGCGAAGTTGGGCCTCTTGTTACTATCTTCAGCCCGTGAGTCCTGGCGGCGCTGACTGCATAGACACTTGAACACTGCGTCTTTGCAAGTCGAAAAGGGGATGCATCAGGCCCTGCTTTTTCACTGGGTCTGTCTTTGCTCGGCCCCCGCAAACATACGCCGCATGGCCTCTGACCGGAAAAGTACTTAGAGTCGTTCCTGCCACTTCTGGAGTCAGTGACCACAACCATTTCCTACCTACCTATTTATATTGCTCTCACCTCCTCTCCCCTTGACCTTTCTCTCTTTTACATCACTCCCATTCCGCTTCTCTCTTCCGCCTCCCGGACCTGGCCGACACATTACCATCAGTACACAATACCCTACCTCAGCACCTTCACGACATATCGAGCAACACCTGCGAACAACATTGAATTGTCACGCATCGTCGACCCACCTCTACTCAGCTTCACCACCCAGACAGCTCGATGACGGCCTCTCCAGTCCAGCCCCTTCCTCTGCCTAATGGCGTCTATGTCCCCACGCTGGCCTTCTTCAAGGCCAACGACGAGATTGACGTAGAAGCCACCCAGCGCCATACAATCTATCTGGCCGAGGCTGGCGTCGCAGGATTGGTCGTGCATGGCTCCAACGGAGAAGCAGTCCATTTGAGCAAAGAAGAGCGCAGCACTATCATTCAAGCAACACGGGCCGCACTTGACCAATCTGACCATCACCTGATCCCAGTCATTGCAGGCTGCGGAGCACAGTCTACACGTGAAAGCATCCAGCTATGCCGGGACGCTGCCAACGCTGGCGCTAACTTTGCTATCGTACTTCCGCCGGCTTATTACGGGGGTCTCCTCGACACCAGGAAGATCGTCCAGCACTTCTACTACATCGCCGATGCCAGCCAAATCCCAGTGATGATTTACAACTACCCTGGCGCGTGCTCTGGCCTGGATCTATCCTCCGACACTATCCTAGAGATATCGAAGCATCCCAACGTCCATGGCGTGAAACTCACCTGTGGAAATACTGGGAAACTGGCCCGTATAGTCGCTGGCGCAGACCCTGGGTTTTTCGTCGCTGGTGGCAGTGCGGACTTCATTCTGCAGGGCCTCGTAGTTGGGGGGCATGGAACGATCGCCGGAACTGCCAATTTGGTACCCAGAGCCTGCGTTCGTATCTGCGAGCTGTACCAGGCTGGAGAACTGAAGGAAGCCAGGAGGTTGCAGGCCATCGTTGCCAAGGCAGACTGGGTTGCCATTCAGACCGGTTTTGTCGGGGTAAAAGCTGCGCTGCAACTGTTCAAAGGGTACGGAGGGGAACCAAGGAGACCGTGCGAGTTGCCGGATGCCGAAAAGACGAAGATGATTCGGCAAGGATTCAAAGAGGTTATGGCCACTGAGGTGGATTTGGGTTGAGAACTGGCATCTCCTTGGATGCAAGCTTTCTCTGGGGTGGATGGGGCTTGATGTCAATGGTCCATCCCCATGCTTAGATAGACCCGCACCTTCCTGGCGTCATGAGCTGGCGTTGCTTTGCTTGAGCGTGGAAGCTCATAAAAGTCGGAGATGGAGGTTTCCCCGACTTTGCTATTGGCTGAAAAGTTCGTCCGAATCCATATTGTATCGATACAGTGTGCTTGCTGCTCTGATTGTTGTGTGCAAACGAGTTAGACATCGAAGAAATCCCTTAAATCTAAGCCGTGGTAACCGACTTGGCTGCATCACCGGGGCTGATGAGCGCAGAAATGTTACGAGAGCCCAGGCAGATCCTAGACCCAATAGGCTACCTAGTCCGTCATCTCGAGCTTATTCTGGCCGCAGAACGGCGGCCATATGGACACTCTTTGCCTGCATCTGGTGTTGCGCGGTGTCACGGCTGCAACCTGGTTTGGTAATTGCGAGCGACTGAGCGGAGAGGGCTCCGACAGGTCTAGACGGCGAACTATCTACGTAATTATATGTCAACTCATGTATGTCTGGTGTTCAGATAATTGCTCCTAGATGTCGAGTCACACGACATCCGCGACGAGAAGGGATGAATCGCTGCAAGAACCTGACCGCGGACGGGGTGACCATGGTAGGGCACCGGCACACGTGTTTCGAGAATTCTCCGATGGGACGATTTCAATACCAGAATAGAAAGATGATATGACACGAGGCGCACATGCAGCGGCATGGTTGGAAGGGGGTCGCGTGACGGCTGCCGACAGGAACCAGGGGGGTGCGTCGGCTGCTTGCTGAATCGGGCAACTATAAGAGCTAGGGCTTACATGCCCAGCGAGTGCATGTTGGTCAGACCGTGCCACCACAAGACGACACACCGGTTGGTGGAAGATGTCAGACGGAGCGAAGAGGAGAAGACGGAGTGACACACGCAGGCTGCAGACAGATGGAGCCTCATGTCATGCTGCAAGCGCTTCGTCGATCACAGCCAGGGGAGAATGAACTTGAAGGATGAGGACCTGAACCCCCACACCGACGATCGGAGTTAAAACATAGTTGGGGTTGGGTTTGGGGTTGGGGGCGATGTCCGCCTTCCCGTTTGTCTGCCCCCACGCACGACGTTACATCAGGGATGCAGCCTCCCGGTTCCTCGGCACCCGATAGACGGGCAGAAAACACACGATGCGGCACCCCTTCCCAGGTTCCCTGATCTCAAAGAATCAGGTACATGCCTAAGCGATTCTGCAGGTGAGTATCACAGGTGATCGTCATCCCTTGGGTGGCACCGCACACAAGGTACGACGCTGCGCTGCACTGCACGCCTCGAATGATCAACAGCTTGCGTCCATCAAGGTCCTTCCTTGCGCGAGGTCGCTCTGCAGGAGGGGCTGGGATAAATTGCAGATCGAGGCGGGCTGAGCCTTTCTATGCGGGCTTCTAGAAGCCTGCTCGTGGTTCTCTTCCGCGGCCTTGGCGAGGAGGGATCTGGGGTGTTTGGCTTATTGCCGCCGGGTATAAGATGAGTTTACTTTTTACTGGTATGTGTGTCTATGCATCGTGTGTGCAGATAATGGTGAGCTGAACCTGCCCGGGAATGAAGAAGAGTGGTATTACCTATGGCATATCTTGTGATGATGGGTCCGTCAATAACAGGAAGCCGGGACGATGTGTTCTTGCTTCAATGTTCTCGCGGTATCTCTGATTAGAGATCCCATACCCTGCATCTTGACCGACTTCCTCCCGCAGGGCTGGACTAAGGCCGCCTACGCACAGCCTTGGCTCAATGTCCGTCGTCGACGGCATCACCCCACGCCGCACTCTGCACTATAGCCTTGTTTCCCGGTGCTCCCAACTGCGGGAGCCCTGATGAGGAATCCATACCCAGGAGATCCTGGCCGCCGGAAGTGTGATCCGGTGTCTGATGTGCAGGAGACCCGATTGCCAAGGCGCGGGAGCTCCCGTTGGAGGTGTCCGTCATGCCAAGTCTCAGGCCGTGAGAAGTGGCTGCCTACCTGGCTTTCTCATGGTATTTCTGGGATCATCCGATGCAGAAGACCTTGTCCTTGTCCTTGTCCTTGTCTGGTCTAGCACTAACGGCTCCCGGCATCAAGTTCATGCTGTTGGCTGCCATGGCGGCCGGAAAGGGAAGGTCGCGAGAAGAATAAAGCGGTAACCGGCAACGAATACTCTCCATATCGACCATGAATATATGCACTGGGGTAGATGCATGGGGAGGGCACAAGCATAGGGGCTCGTATCCGGAAGCGCTTCCGCGGATGAGACACAGAGGTACACTGAGGTACGTCCTTACAGGTACATACATGCGTGCGGGACAGTCGGACTGTGAGGCTCTGGTCTGGGATGCGAGGTGGCATCGCAGTGAGCTTACCTACCCTATACCCACCCACCACATTGAGAGCGGCGCCCTTGGGGACTCGGAGGTCGTTCGTCACAGTATTGCATGCGTATAAGGTAGGCTTCGAGTCTTACGGCTGGTGGCACTGTACGCTCTCCTTTGGTGCCCAATGTGCCTTGACTTTAGGCATGTGATACTGGTGTTGTCACCTGTTCAAGGCCGGTCGAGCCTCCATCTTCGTTGATCAGATCAACACCGGCTTCGTATGGAATCTCGTGGGCTTCGGGATCTTAAGTTTACCGTCTGAGATAGGCATCATATCATCTGCGATGCCGTCAGATGTGGCTTGCTTCTCCGGTATAGCCTACCGCATGCCTTTTTGGCTGTGAGACACACATCCGGTGCCCTGAGTGGCTTGCGCGGCTTGCGTGAATGTCTCCGGTAGTTGTGACATGCTTCCTGACCGGTCGAGACGAGCAATAATGTGACTTACCACCTCTTACCCGTTGAGGATAGAGGGAAGACTTATTTATGCGTAAGCACGTGGGCTTTTCGTAGAAACGTTGCGCTCATGGGGGTTTCTAGTGATCAGCTTTGACCATATAGTACGGTGCCTTAGTGCAGGGGCACCTATCCTGCTGTATGCTCTATGAAGAGCAGCGTTTATAGAGGAGTCACGAGACCACAGCTATTACATAGTCACATCGAATATCAAAGATCTTAGACTCACAATATAGGCAGGATTCCAACTCTGACATTGGAGTTGAGAAGCGCTTCTATAAAGCCAGGCGAACATGCAAGAAACACGCTCGCCCTCGACCAAAGATAGCTTAACCTCGCCACATAAAACAAAACAGCACCAACAAGAGAGAGAGAGAAAAAACACAACTAATATCGACAACGGTCTACAATACGCTACTAGCCAGCATGCCACACAATTGGTCTGGGGGACGGGGTACTAGGGGTAGTTCCGGCGACGACGAGAGCCGTAATAGCCGCCACCCCAACATCAGCCGCGACGCCTACCCAGGCTGTCCGTGCATGGGGGTCTGCACCTGTATCTGCGGCTGCGATGAGACGGTCCCGGGCTACCGGCGGGCCTGCGAGCAGTGCTGCAATGCCGAGCATGCGGGACAGCGACCCCCGCCCGGGGGACAGCCGTCCACGTATCAGCGGCAGTTGAATTGGTGACCTTCAATTTATCCGTCGACCGTATACCAGCCGGGCCCGCCATGGCCCTGGGGTAATACTAGTAGTTACTGGAGGCGGTAAGGGGAGTGATGAGCTGTATGGGGGATATGGGGATGTTTGTTGGGGGTTTGAGACTGAGGGCTTGGGGGTATGCGTGTGTTTGCGCTTTTCTTTGAGATTGTGGGCCTCATTTTGGAGAGTTTCCCGTTAATTGTCTAGCTAGACTTGGTTTTGATGATCCATGGTGGGTGTAATGGTCTGCTTTCACGCTTTAGCAGGTCGACCGTGGATGTGATAGAGAATTGATGAAATGATAATCAATCGACAGGCGATGCTATGCTATCCTATTTATTCTCTAGTCTGATCCACATGGACCATCCCAGCCCAACCTCCCGTGGCATATCTCTATAAACTCCTGACCGCCGAAGGAGTAGGTGAAGTGCAAGAGCATGTTTCGCATGTATTACCTCCTTTAACCCTTGGCCTTAGACTCGGATCCCAATACAAGCCATCCCTATGAAAATATGTATTCCCGTAGCACTACGATGTACTGGGTGACGACGAAGACTTTCTCTCGATCGCAATGGGAGCAGGCGGCATCCACTTCTCCGAGTCCCCAAGACGATCAGCAGTCAGGCCCGCGGACCCAGGCTGCCTCATGCCAGCCTCGAGCTGGCGCTGGTACGAGACCCGGCGCAGACGCTCGGCTTCCACAGGGGTGAGGTGAAGCTACGAAAGTTTGTCAGCAATAAAAAAACATGCATCAGCAGCCTAGGCCGGGAGTAGCTTACGTAGAGTTCGGCGCCGAAGATGTGGATAAGCCAAGCCAACCATATCGCCATGCCGAAGGATGCGTTCATCGCCGCCGTGACCTCGGCTACGCTGTGAGCATTGGTGAAGGATTGCCTGACCGAGGCATGCTGAGACGGGTTCTCGCCCGAGAAGAAGGACTGGCACTCCGGGTACAACGACAGAGTCCGGCTCTGGTCCCCGAGCAGCCAGTTTAGCTTATCGCAAGGCAGGGCGTAGTACAGCGTGGTGGCCTTGGGGACGGATACTGCGATGATGAAGATGATGCGGGTCGTGATGATACAGCCAGCCTATCCGATGATCAGTTTCGGAGTTTTTTTCTGTAAGAGGGGAAGGCCGTCGTCACTCACCCAGACCCAAGCTCTAATCATCCAGGCACGGTGCTGCTCGATCTGCAACCGCTTCACATTGACGTAGGCCATGACGAGCGCGCCGATGAAGGCGATGCCAAGGGCACCCACAGCAGTCCGGATGTCCAATCCGCCGCCGAAGCTGATCTCGGCGATTGAGAAAGCAGCACCGGTAGACACAATGGCCAGGGTGATTACGACATAGCCGTTGATACGGTGGAACATCATAGCCTTGTACCGCACGGTGGGGACGAACTGGACGACAGCTAGGAGCGCTGCTGGGAGGATACAGGCGAGGTGGAGGATGATGCCGACGGTGTAGCGTGTCTGGAGCCAGTAGAAACACTCCCCTGGCGCGGCACCTAGGTAATCACTGCGGTTAGCATCTTTTATCTGTATCTGTACACGGGGACAGATATCGGGTCGATCAAGACAAAACAGGTAGCAAGAGTGGGTGAATAAGGAGTCGACCTACCACTGCTGCCTGAAGGGTGTGACGAGCAAAAGACGCCGTAGAAGTCCAAGTATTGAAGACGAGCCAGGCTGAAGCCAACCAAGGCGCCGCCAAAGATGAACCAGAGCACGAAGTTGTAGCCCTTCGAGAAGCCGATGGGGTTGTAGATCTTCCGGGCGAAGGTAACAAAACTATTTCGGGGCGGACGATTGGATACGGCCATCTTGGACAGCACTGGTACGGCGGACGACGCTTTGAGCTGTTGGTCAGAGGCAGGCAATGTCGATAGATGCTACTGTGAAATGACCGAGACTACAAGGCAGAGAGATGTTGATAGTTGGGATATTGGAAATGTAGTCAGTTTTAGTCCAGGCTTATGGGTTGTTACGAGACTATATATACTCGAGTAGACCCTAAACCTAGACGTCCGGGAGGACTCTAAAGTCCTCGACATACCGTGGACCAAGCCTTCGTTCATTCATCCATTAGGTTGTTGGTGGCCGTGACTCTTGGCCCTATGCCCAAACCGTGATGATTTTGCGCGAGGCATGTGGGTGATGTGGAGGAGCGGATGAACTGTTGCTACGACTCGCATTCGCAAAAAGCCGGGCCTCGTCGTGTTTCACAGCGAGGCGGAGTTGGAACTTGTTACTACCGATCATTGCAGTTGGGACAAGGGGACAAGGGATCAAGGGATCAAGGAAGCAAAGCCGACGAGGTCGGGCCCGATGGCCTGGGCCCGACACCTCATTACCTAAAATAGAGGATGCTCTCGCTCCTATAATAGTCCGGCGCGCAAAGGCTCTTCTTTAGGATTAGCGTCGCCTCGCATGTGCATGCCGCCCGCGCCACTCCTCAGCCCTACAGTTGGCGAATGCGAGTCATGTCGTCACCCCGCGACCCGGGCTGTGGGTCTTGTGCTGTTAGAGGATCCCGCGCCCCCGGGACTGGAGTGACCGCTTGTCTGAAAGAGGAATCAACGAGCGCCCGTCTCCTCTAGCCTCCAGCCAACGCGACGACGTGCATACCGGTATCCTCACTCACGAGTCAGACCCTCAGAACAGCAGAGATGGTTGGCGTTCCAGGAAGGTCCAAGGGGTGCGAAACATGCCGCAGGCGGAAGAAGGGCGTAGGTTCTTGTTCCTGATCTGCCGTTTCGCTGTACGAATGATTCCAGACGTTGCTGCTGACTGAAAACGCAGTGCGATCGGAAGCGGCCAGCATGCAGTCAGTGCGTGCAGGCAAATGTTGAGTGTGGTGGCTACGAGCGCCAACGCGTTTTCCTCAACCGCACACAAGACACCGAGGCAACCTCAGTCATGGTGTCGTACCGCCGCCAGAGTGTCGTGAAGCCCGTCGCCCGGTCACAGAGCCCTTCAACTGTAGTCGGCCTTCCGCATATGCTAGCCCAGTGTGCATATGTCGACAAGTACGTCGGTCTTTTTCTGACCGAGTATGTCCCTGGCGGCCGTATCTCAGTGGCAGGGGCTTCGCGCTACTCCCCCTGCGACTGGATCGACATTGTCTATGGGCTGCATACGTCCGAGAGGACCGTCCACTTTGCCCTCCTCGCCGTCAGCCTGTGTGGCATTGGAAGACGGGATGGCGACAAGAATGCCATGGCTCAGGGGCTAGAATCCTACAGCATTGCCCTACACGAACTGACGCAAGCCATACGCAACTCAACCCGTGCTACAGAGAATTCAATAATGGCTGCGTCCAAGGTGCTGACGCTCTTTGAAGTCAGTTCGTTATCCGATATCTTCACCTTCACCATGACCTTGAGCACATCACCAAACGCAAGGCGGCTAACATTGATGCTTGACAGATGCTGTACGGCGATGAGTGTCCTGATGAACTCGCACAATCACGCAATTGGCTGCGTCACTTGAATGGCCAGTACGCATTGATTCAGGCGCGAAGCCCGCATCAATACCGTACCGGGGCGAGCCACCAGCTCTTTGCCGCTGGACGCTACCCCCATGTGAGATCCCTCCAAATGCTACCAACTAATCAGAGCACCATGGGCTAACGCCAACCACAGCTTATATCCTCATTGGGACTTCGGAAGCGGTTCCCACTCAATAGTCCGGAGTGGCGGACGGTGCCCTGGGAATTCGAGCCCAAGTCGCCAAGGGACAGCCTGCTGGATATGCTTGCCGATCTAACAGAGATAATAGCTGACTCGGACAAAATGCGCGCGTGTCGAGATCACCAACAACAAGCAATCTTGAAAGAAGAAGTCGTGAGAACGTGCTGGGGCCTTGACGAGCGTCTGCGCCTATGGCCACAGCAGGCTGGTGCATTGAAAGTCTTCCTCGATGCCGATGGAGTGCTCATGAGTCCAGCTAGCCCCGAGGACTTTGCACTCGCACATCTTACCCTTATCTACTGGACCGCCTGTCTGCTTCTCTATTCCGCCCTTCGATCGCTCCTCGACGAGCATACGTATCTGCCGCTCCACACGGACCCCAGCGTTTACATCCGATACCTTGCACAGGCTCTGCCGTACTTTTGGATGCCCGGTGCCGGCCTCATGGGAGCCCACTTGGCCGCGTTCCCCTTGGGTTTGTGCATGAACATACTGCATTCCATGCCGGCTGATGACTGGGACCAATTTGGCCTAGGGGAATTGATGATATTGCCGCAGGTTCGGGACACCGTGCTGAAATTCCTCGTCAGTATACAAAAGGGCTCAGCTAAGCCTGAACTGGCCCATATGGCTGGTATGCAAGGCATCATTACCAGAGCGAGGAGCTGGTCTATGGGGGGGCTGTAGGATATTCAGTTCCTCAACCCGATCAAGAGCCCATATACCGGCCTCCAGTTCCTGTCCGTCTGAACTCGCAGATATTATGTCTCTACCTGATATATCGAGCACTGACAAGGTCTTGAACATATCGCTTTGCTATATGACGGGTCTAGTCCAGTCACGATAATTGCGACGAGGCCTCTAACTAGGCCTCACATAGAGTGTAGGAGAGGAACCACATGCCAACATCACCAAGGGAGCATGTGACTGCTGCTCTCGACGACCACTTCTCAGCGCTTTCTTGGGAAGCGATTAACAGGGACTGGATCATCCGACCTATGGCAGTCAAGGTCGGCACCCGCGGAGTTGACCATATACGACGGAGCGACCATAGGGGATGTATCCGATTGTTCCAACAGACACGGCGAAGACAGAGATATATCCAAAGATCTAAAAATGCTAGACTAAAGAAAACGCTACCCTCATAATTTAATATGTTCTTTATAACTTTTTAATGCTTTATATAAATTTAATTTAGTTTTAATGCTTTTTGTGATGGTTCTACCATCCATCAGGTCTAGCGATTGTCCCTATGGTCCCCGGGTCACGTGACTGAGCACGTGACTGATTGGACGATAGGTTGATCCATGCCCTGGAGGGTCTGGTGGGGGACGACTGCCCACATCTAGCTGCTCACCAATTCGGGTGCATCTCCAGATCTTTCTTTTCCTTCAACCAGAGTTCGTTATACGTTAATAGTCAATGAGGGTCCCTGTATCCTTCCAATACATTTACGGAATTGTGACACTTTTTATAAGAAATGACATTTATTAAGTATAAGTTGTAAAATTAAACCCGAACTTTGTTAAAATTATCGAATTAGGTTTAATGAGGTAAAACTTCGAGTAATAAGCACAGCCGTACCAGATACTAGCACTGATACCCGCGGCTGGCTTTAAAGCTTTATAAAAGCTTTAAAGCTAGCCGTATTAAAGTATGTATTAGGTTCACAGCTAGCTTAAAGGCTCGCTTTTATGCTAGCCGCATTTCTAGGTTTATATAAAAGCCTTTTATTCCGAACTTTAATAAAGCCTTTAAATTTATAAAAACGCAATATCAATTGATAACTTATTTAACCGGTTGTGATGGTCCCACTATCAGTGGTAGCACTAGTTCTTGTGATCACGTGACTGACCCAGGCCCTAGTGGGTCTAGTGGGGAACTGCACACATTTAAGCTGCCCACCAATTTGCGTGCGCTTCTTAGATTTCCTTTCTTCTCACCAAGTGTTCGTTCGTTATACGTCAATAGTCAATTGGGATCACTGCATCCTTGCTAGTACATTTTCGGAATCGTGACACCGGCTATATTGAAGATAATTAAACGTTATGTTTATTTATATAAAAACATTTTTGAAAGCTGATAAAGATCCGGTATAGTTATTGTGACGGCCTGCACAGACCTTCCCACATAACAAGCCGATACTTCCCAATAAGGGAAGTAGCTGACCAGAGGATCCCTTTAAAGGGGCAACCTCCCACTGTACATATCTCTCCCTCTTCATTTTCTCTCTAGTCTTGATATTCTTGTTAACAAAATAATAGCTGCTTGCTGCCGGCCATGTCCCAGCTCTTCAGTACGCTCGCCGTGACATAATATCAAGACTAGTCCAGGCCAGACTAGAAGCCTTGTCTTCAGATCACCACTGCAAGGAGTTTTGCCTCTAGCAGTGACAGGTGCAGTGTCTCCAAATACCCACCTACCTAAGGCTTTGAAGCTCTGCTTTTAGGCCTATTAATACCACCTTTTTACCATTTACCTACCATTACCACCGATTCCGTTTAATACACTGTGACAATGAGTGCCATTATCATTCCAGAACATCAGTATAGTTCTGAAGGGACTGGATGACCAGCCCAACCTACCCAAACATCCCCCAACACTAACAACCTTCTCCCAAAGAAAGAACCAAAGAAACAGAGAACCAAGGCACAAGGGGACCAGAGCAAGCCAAACATGTAATCAAAGGCCGCTTTGACCCATAGCAAATCTCTCTCAAACGCTTCATTGTCTCTATCTTCCTCCAGGACCACATTCCAGGACCCACAGACCCAGCCCATGGCACCAACCATGAGCGGTGCTCTGGGCTGATCAGACGACCCCTTGCTCTTCAACCTGGATGCGCTTACGCCAGAGCAGCTAGCCAGATTGTAAACCGAACTACACACCCGGATCCCGAGGTCTAAGCCACCAAGGCACACAACAGAACGACAGTCTGTGCATTTCAGCGCACCACAAGAAAAACGAGCCTTTCCTTCCTTGGAAACAGGTTCTCTACACACAACGACCCCCTAGGTGGGACTCCCCAGCTTCTATAGCATCAACCTCAAATGCTATGCGACATTCCATCAAACTGACAGACCCTTGAAAGCTGAGTGACGGTCAAAACCCAGCCTTTGAATAGTGAAAGAACAGCACTCAATGCAAGCTACGGACCAACTGGTGGCTCTTCATTACAAAAGAATCAAAGTTTGACTGGCTTTATATGCTAATAGAAGGTGATATAGTTATAGCATTAGAACCATTTATCTCTAAAGAGAACACTGAGTTACTTACTACTATTGAAGAGGTGTATAACCTTTTCTGGTCCTCTTACAGCAATCTTGACGCAGCTGCTCAAGCCAGAGATCAGCTCTATGATCTGTGGATGGAACCAGTGCAAGACTTCTACTCCTTTTGTTCCACATAGGTTCTCTTAGCCAGCAAGGCGGGCCTGTCCCGGACAGAATGGAAGTATGAACTGAACCGAAAGCTGACACCACCCCTAAGGATACAAGTAATGGCTTCTTACCTTGACTCTAACGTTTCTTTCAACTAATTTCGAAATATCTGTTCTAGTAATACTTAACAGCTTGCAGAAATTGAACGAGTCAAGAAGCAGCGCCAAAGCTTCTTGAAAGCTTCCTCTCACCATACCATCACTGTGGCACCTGGACCCCAGTAGTTCATCAAAAGCCTACTAACCCAAGCTTTGTCCAACCAAGCGATTGACACTACCTTCTAACCAGCAAGAGCATCACCTGATTAGAAGACTCCCCGTCTCTTTACAGCCCTTGAAAGGAAGCACATTGACCAATCATGCACATCCCACAAGGCAGAAAGCATTATATGCTACTTGTGGGGCAAAGAGGGCCATATCACTCCCAAATATCCAGACAAAAGAACTCCTCATGTACATTTTCTGGAAGAAGACAATAAGGCCTTTTCTGGTCTGACCTAGGATATTACTTCTAACAATGAGTCGGAAAACTCAAAGGCCTAGGGAAAGTCTCTTATCTAGGCCTCTAATGTACTATTAATCAACTAGCTCATCACTCCCTTGAAATTCCATCACTTTGATCAGACCTCTCTGGCTTGATTGGCGGCAGTACCTTTGTGATGACTGCAACCATTCGATGGAATGGAATTGCAGTGCGTGTGAAAGTTTTGATTGATACCGGAGCAGAGATTTATCTTTTAGGCAGCCGTTTAATCATGAGCCCCTTGACTCAATGATGGGAACTCCCTCAAAGACATTTTGATGAACCCGCCACCCTCAATGGCTTTGGCAAGGGACACTCACAGGTTATCAATACAGTAATTGCAACAAATTTCTAGATTCAGGGAAGAACCTTCCGGGAAGCCCTTATCCTAAAAGCAGAGTTTGGGCACAGCAAGAACTTTGACCTTATTGTTGGTAAGCGGTTTTTGGCTGCTCACAACCTCTTACCAGACTGCTGACAGAACCGCCTATATCTCTCACCGGAACTACCTTTCCTTACCAACTGGAAGACCGACATCACCAACCCAGCTCGCCAGTGGTTAAGGCAACGGGCTATCAATCTTCAGGCCCAGCAAGACATGCTCCATAGGGATTCACAGTGGGAAGATCAAGACAAACGCCCGTAGAAGATAATACGTTGCCCCTAAGTGCTGGCTACATGGGCAAGAAATCATCATCAGTCCTTGCAGGCTATGAAAGACCAGCTAGCCGGACGGGACCGCCCAGCATCCTTGCAAAAGACTTCCCCACGCAAGGCTGTTCATCCTAAGGTTAGCAAAGACGCAATAATGAACGCTCTTGGCGCGGATATCCACCTAGTCTCATGAAGTACCTTCTTTAGACGGACTAGTCACCGTTAGAAGGGGCAATATCAACGACACAGCTACGGAAACGTGTTCTCCTTTTTGGTATACGAGCTTGATCAAGCCATCGATTACTCGATTGATAAAAAGGACTTAGAGACTCAGCACCTGCTACGCAACATGCTTCCCCCAGAGGCGCAAGATTTTATGGATATATTTTCCAAGACAAAAAGCAACGAGCTATCCCCTTTCCGCAAGGATATTGACCACAAGATCGAGCTCAAGCCAAGGACTAAGACTCTTTGCCTGCACCCCTTATATAGCATGAAGGCCGACCACCTTATTGCCCTCAAGCAATATCTGACGAAATACTTACGCAAAGAATGGATTGTTCCCAGTACAGCAAAGTATGGGTCCCTTGTTCTCTTTGCCAAAAAGCTAAATAAAGGCTTGCGTTTCTGTGTTGACTACTGCGAGCTCAATGCTCAGTCAAAAAAGGACCGCTACCCGCTGCCACTAATCAGTGAAACTTTGGAATGTCTATCTAGCGCTAAGCTATTCACCAAGCTGGATATCAGGGCGGCTTTTCACCGAATCCACATGGATCCAGCCTCTGAGGATCTCACGACCTTCCGCATGCGCTTTGGCCAGTATAAGTACATGGTGTTCCTCTTTGGACTTTGTAACGGCCCAAGTACCTTCCAGTGGTATATCAACAAGGCCTTGTTCCTATATCTGGATGAGTTCTGTATAGCCTATGTAGACAATATCTTGATTTTTTCTGCAGACCCATTGGAACACTGGGACCATGTCCGCAAGGTCCTCCAGAAGCTCCGTGAAGCTGGCCTCCAGGCTAACATCAAGAAAAGCGAGTTTGCTGTCACATCAACAAAATTCCTGGG